AAATAACAAAATAACCGCGGGAGCGCGGGATAACTCGTTTTTGCAGCGACTAGCGGCGCTGGCGACGCGCTGCCCGAGTGCCGGCCGCGCTTCGAACGGACCACCGCGCACTCGGGCCAAACGCGGCAATTAAAAAAACAAAACACAAAACGAAAACACAAAATCAAAACAACTGCAAACACACTGTCGCGATGGAAGACGCGGCACTTCCCGCCGATTTAATTCCAGACTTCAAGTGTGGCGGCGTGGCGGCAAAACAAGGAAACGAAAATAATATAAGTCCGTGGGAAGTTTATCTTTTGGAGCGCGCGCTGCGATGCCACTGCCACGCCGTATTGCTACCGTATTGTCCGGTCGGGTGTCGCGCAGGGCGGCCGGGGGCCGGGGCCGGGGCTGGCCGAGGGGGAGGACCACGCCGTCGGCGCGTGGCCACAAGTGGGTGAGCACGCCGAGCACGGCGAGCACGGCCTGCACGCGTGTCGCCAATCTGAGCCACCTTCTGCTGCGGAGCGCGTCTTGTCCCTAAAACAACACGCGGGCCGGCAGTCGCCTCGGCGTCGCTCTGTCTCCCTCTCGCCCCAGCGCCGCGCCGAGAGAGAGAGAGAGAGAGGGAGAGGGACGGGGTGCTTCGGACGCGGCCTGCGGAGGGGTCGGTCGAGGGTCAGCGCGACAAGCTGGTGCCGTTGTCAAAACATGAAATGCGCAGCGCGGCGGCGCGGCGCCGTTCGGCGGGGTGCGGCCACTTGTCGCACTTCTCGGCCTCCTCGGCGTGCTCGGCGAGAGCGGGGTGCGGATTGGCGGGCCGGACGCGCCGAGGAAAAGAAAGAGCGTGGTTATTCTAAAAAGGAGTGTGCCGCTCCATGCGGAGTCGGGATGAGCAGGGGCGGCCGGGGCGGGCCGTGAGGGGAGGGGGGAGGGGGGGGGAAGGCGGAAGGCCGCGGGGCCCTCGGTAAGGCCCAAGGCACGGCCTCACGAATCCAGGTTCAGACCCAAAGCCGCGCACGCAATCCCTCCACCGAGGTGGCGGTAGCGCGGAGGCGGCCAGGCGGCCCCGCGTTGAGGTCCTCGGCATGTCCTTGGCCAGGGCGCACAGCGCGCAGCGAAAGCCACGACGGCGAGCCCCTGCCGGCCGGCGGGTAGGCCGTGCCGCCGTGCACGCCTGTCGCCGCGCTGCCTACCTCGCAGGCGGCGACCGCCCCGAACCCCGAAGGAAGGCGGGGCGCGGTGGAGCCGCAAATGAGACGTCATCGTCGTCGTCGTCCTCGGCCCTGGCGGCAATGCGGCAGTGCGGCACGTCGCCGCCGAGTGATGAATGTGCCGGCAATGACACAAATGACGAGGCTGCCGCTCGAGACGCTGGCGCTGCTGGCGCTGCTGGTGCGCGAATGATGACATCTGTCGGGGCCTAAGTGCTTTGTCAGCGCCGCCCCGCCCCGCCCCGCCCCGCCCCGCCCCGCCTCGCCCCGCCCCACCCCGCCGCCATGAAAGGACGCACCAGCCCGGCAGCGTCATGTCTCCGCGCTAGCGAGCGAAGCGGATTCCATCTTTATTCGACAGGGAAAAAGTTTCCGGCGTCGGTGGGGATCGAACCGCCAGCACCACACGACGAGGGGGCTCTGGCGCCGCCCCCGCCGCCCCCGCCCCACCACGCCCCCGGGCGGCGCCAAGCAAACACGATTGGTGGCGGAGCGGGAGCTGTCGGGATCAACAAGCCCAATCCTCCGGGTGATGCGATCCGGCCCTGCGTGAGGCTTTACAGCCATTAGGAAGGGAGAGGGGGGGGGGGTCCACCCGGACCGACACGGACTGCCATGGCGCTGGTGGCAAGCCGCGTGTACAGGCACCACACTACAAGTCGCTGTTCCGAATTTCACCGCGCCGCCGACTCCAGGTGTAGTAGTTGCTCGGCAAGGCAGTTGTGTTTCGTCGTCTCTCTCGCACTCGCAGGACTAACCCGACGACGACACTCTACACTGCTGACCCCTTGCCTACTTGTTGAATAAATCTCCACGCCATCATGCTGGCCGTGCCCGAGAGGAGCGGGAGAGAGGGAGAGGGCTAGAGAGGAAGAGAGGGAGGGGAGGGGGTAGATCCGATCTACCCAGCTTATTACCGACAGAGTCACGCCCAGCAGGAAAAAGGGTTCGCGTGAAGTGTTTGCGTTCTAAAACCGGCAGGGCGGCGGCGGAGATGGGTTTTCGGTGTATATGTGGGTGTGTGTGGATGCTTGTGTGTGTGTGTGTGTGTGTGTGTGGGAGAGTCGCGTGCGAGCAAGTTGGTGGCACGCGCAATTTTGAGCTGGCGAAAGAGTAAACAAAACAAAACAGCGGCATTGAAATTAATCATCCGGAATCAACGCGGCCGCGCCGTGTGAACCAACCGCGGCCGGCCGGTGGCGTCACCGCGAAGCCAAGACGGCCGCGGTGACGTCACCCTGACGTCATCGATGGCCAATATGACCTCGTTGTCGGTGGTGGTGAAGCCGGGGATGAAGCTAAGCGGGCCGAGGCTAGGCGTCGAGGCAGGCCATGCAGGCCCTCCTCGCAGCCTGCGCAGCCTCGCCCTTTTTTCTGTGTCACCTGTGTCTCTTCCCACGGCCGGCCCGGTCTGGCCAAGCCGCGCCACGGATGGACGCGTCGGCTCGGTGCGGTCCTGCGCAGCGCTCGCCTCGTGTCTCCCGTGCAGTCCGATCCGATCCCAGCCACAACGTCGCCGAGCACGCCACGGCCCGCGGGGCGCGGCGGGGAGGCGACGCGGCCACCCGGCATGACCTGGATGCCGAGCGCAGCAAAAGTTTGTCGAAACGGTAACAAATGTGTAGAAATCATCGTTTGGCCTGACTTTAGGCAGCCACTGCGTCTAATCTATGGCGCCAAATCGTTCTCCCTCAACGGGTGGGTACTCTTTGGGCCTTCCTTTAGAACACCTTTGTTACGGAGTGCGATTAGCCGCCTTAGTTTGGGAGCGGTATTGCAGCAAAGTTTGTCGAAACGGTAACAAATGTGTAGAAATCGTCGTTTGGCCTGACTTTAGGCAGCCATTGCATCTAATCTATGGCGCCAAATCGTTCTCCCTCAACGGGTGGGTACTCTTTGGGCCTTCCTTTAGAACACCTTTGTTACGGAGTGCGATTAGCCGCCTTAGTTTGGGAGCGGTATTGCAGCAAAGTTTGTCGAAACGGTAACAAATGTGTAGAAATCATCGTTTGGCCTGACTTTAGGCAGCCACTGCATCTAATCTATGGCGCCAAATCGTTCTCCCTCAACGGGTGGGTACTCTTTGGGCCTTCCTTTAGAACACCTTTGTTACGGAGTGCGATTAGCCGCCTTAGTTTGGGAGCGGTATTGCAGCAAAGTTTGTCGAAACGGTAACAAATGTGTAGAAATCATCGATTGGCCTGACTTTAGGCAGCCATTGCATCTAATCTATGGCGCCAAATCGTTCTCCCTCAACGGGTGGGTACTCTTTGGGCCTTCCTTTAGAACACCTTTGTTACGGAGTGCGATTAGCCGCCTTAGTTTGGGAGCGGTATTGCAGCAAAGTTTGTCGAAACGGTAACAAATGTGTAGAAATCATCGTTTGGCCTGACTTTAGGCAGCCACTGCATCTAATCTATGGCGCCAAATCGTTCTCCCTCAACGGGTGGGTACTCTTTGGGCCTTCCTTTAGAACACCTTTGTTACGGAGTGCGATTAGCCGCCTTAGTTTGGGAGCGGTATTGCAGCAAAGTTTGTCGAAACGGTAACAAATGTGTAGAAATCATCGATTGGCCTGACTTTAGGCAGCCATTGCATCTAATCTATGGCGCCAAATCGTTCTCCCTCAACGGGTGGGTACTCTTTGGGCCTTCCCTTAGAACACCTTTGTTACGGAGTGCGATTAGCCGCCTTAGTTTGGGAGCGGTATTGCAGCAAAGTTTGTCAAAACGGTAACAAATGTGTAGAAATCATCGTTTGGCCTGACTTTAGGCAGCCACTGCATCTAATCTATGGCGCCAAATCGTTCTCCCTCAACGGGTGGGTACTCTTTGGGCCTTCCTTTAGAACACCTTTGTTACGGAGTGCGATTAGCCGCCTTAGTTTGGGAGCGGTATTGCAGCAAAGTTTGTCAAAACGGTAACAAATGTGTAGAAATCATCGTTTGGCCTGACTTTAGGCAGCCACTGCATCTAATCTAAGCCGCCAAATCGTTCTCCCTCAACGGGTGGGTACTCTTTGGGCCTTCCTTTAGAACACCTTTGTTACGGAGTGCGATTAGCCACCTTAGTTTGGGAGCAGTATTGCTGCAAAGTGGATCAAAACGATAAAAATCAACTTAACCCAATTATACCGTATATTACGGTAAAATTCCGTATTTTGCCGTTATTTACGTAACTTTGAATCTTACCGGTATTTTTGCATCCCTAGCCTGTCCGACTGCCAGGCTGTCAGTGCAGTTGTCCGTTGTCCTCCGGCCGATGGCTGTGCGCCGTGCCTGGACGTGCTGCGCCTGCTCCGCCTGTATGTTTCCCCCACCGCGTCGCCCCGCATGTCGCCAGCGACTTCCGCGGCCTTCTTCTGGGCGGGGCGGGGCGCGCACCAAGCAGCACCAAGCAGCAACAACAAGACCGTCTTGGCCCCAAACAGGGTGGGGGTTGGTCGGTGCAGGCTCCAGGCCGCTCCAGGCAGGCCGGCCGCTAGCGCGCTGTAGGGGTGGGGGTGGCCCGGGGTGGCCGGTGGCGAGGGGTGGGGGTGGGTTGCCGTATATAGCACTCGCACCCCCGCCTCCCTGGACCATTCGCGCTGGCGCCGTGCTGGCCGTGCTGGCCTTCCAGTAGTGCAGTGAGGCGACCGCGAGTGCGCCGACAGGCCGACACGGATACGCTCCAGGACCACGACGGCCACGACGGCGGGGCGGCCGAGGCCAGGCTGCATGCGGCGGGCCCTCCACGGGGTCCTCAGGCAGTGACGGTGGAGGTGGCACGCAGCCCCCCGCGGGCCGAGGACGCCCCCTGCCACGTCGGCCACGCCCAGACCGCCCAGACGGCCCCCGCGGCCCTGCGGCCCCGCATCGACATCTTCCACCACCTGCTGCAGGAGAACCGGCAGGCCCGCGGCAGGATGGGCACAGGTGAGGCCCCACGCCGGTTTTACCTTTCCTGTGTGTTGTGACCATTTGAAGTGAACAGGCCAGGGGTCGAAATGTCAAATTTTGGACTCGCATGTCAGGTGATTGGAAAGGTGTGACATGGGAGTGCTATAGGTGATTCAAATGTTGGCACAGGTGCTTCTCTCGTAAACTGCTTTTTTTTCCAAAATTTTTTTTTAATTTTAAATTTTTTAAAAAAAATTTCGAAAAAAAAAGAGAAGAATCTGTTGGTGTGGTAGAAACAAATGCGAGCAAGGCTGCAAGGCTGCAAGGCCGCTGCCACGAAAGAAAGAGGCCAAAGGATAAAAAGAGGGAAAGAGTGAAGTAAAAAGGCGTTCGCTCCGACGAGTCCGGACGACTGGCGACGCCGCCGGGGCCCGGCACTCGCTCGCCAAATGACGCCGACATCAATAAATGAGAAAGACGAGCCAAAGAAAGCAAAACCCTGTCACTTTTAAGGGCGAGGGAGAGAGAGGGGGGAATCACTCAGTTCACACCGCCCAGACTTTCTCCGCGAATTCATAAAGCTCCTCAAACTGAATCATCGACTTAGGCCCTTTCGCCGGCGGGACGTCCCCCGCCCTCCTTCCTCCCCCGCGCCGCGTCTTACTTTTTTCGCTCTCTTTTTAATCCTGTCTCATTTTTGTCACTTTTGTTTTTCAAGTAACCCCTTCCCGCAGCCTTTTGGCAGTTCCCACGAGTTGTTAGTGGCGAGCCCGAGAAGAGTGAGAGCGGTGTCGGCAGACATCAGTCACCCCCCCACCCCTCTGTCCCTCTCACTCCGCCCGTCTCTCTCCCTCGCACCGCCGCTCTCTTCGACGGCTTAGAGAAAGCAGAACAATTAGAGGAGCACGCGCAAAAAGAGTCGCGTTCGGCCGAGAAGAAGGAGATGAAGAAGGAGAGGGCCTTGGTTTTGCCCCGTGATCCAATTAGCAGACTCCGCGGGCCTCTCGGCCGGACCACGACAAACCACTGACTCGCCGACAGCCGGAAGCCGGCCCGCATAGTTTTCATCCGCAAAACAAAGTTTTTATTGATTGACTGATTGCTTTTTAAAATTGTTGGCACTGAGCGTTTAGTTTTACTAGGAGGTTTACCGTGACTGTTAAATTACAAAAGACGTCAAAAATCGATTTTTTCCCCTTTTTTGTTTGGTGGGTGTTGTGTTGTCATTCGGTCGAATCGTCCCGGTCCGGTCGGACGCCCTCGAGCAGCGGAGCACATCACCGCTTCGCCCACTTCCAAACACCCAACCCCCCTGCTCACACACACACTCACACACACACGCACACACACAAACACACACACACGCACACAAACACACACACACGCACACACGCACTCACGCACACGCGAACAAAATTGGACACGTGGATTGGCAGACCTTGTTACGGCGGGGCCTTGCGCGGGCCTTCCCCGAGGCCTCACCACCACACCGTCAGGGCCCCACGGCCCCGGGGCCCGACCCCGCTATACGACTGGCACGCTGTCGGTCAGGGGCCGCAAAATCCTCCCCCGAGCCGCAGCAAGCCGCAGTCAGCAGAGCCTGCTGCCGGCCGAGGCCGCGAGCGCTCACTCCGTCTCTCTCGCACCCCCACGCCCCCTGGGACGGCCCCCTGGGACGGCCCGCGAGTGCGACAGAGACGGAGCGACACGGAATGCGTCTGCGTGGTGGCGAAGGGCGTTATCGTGAGGGGAGACCGAGGAGACCGCGTGGATCGCCAACTTGGACACAACCATCACACGACGAGGACAAACAGAGACACACACACCAACACACACACACACGCACACCAACACACACGAGGGGCCCGCAGCGATCGGCAGACCACGCGCTGACCCACACAGCCGCACTTGTTGTCCGTGGTCAAAGCCGCAGCACCGCGCAGCACGCGTGCGTTTGTGCACGCCCACTGTACCACTCTGTGTTTGTTGCGTTTGCCAATGTTTGTTGACTTTTGTTATGTTCGTAGAAAAGAAAGGAAAAAAGCGGACTTTTTCTTCTTCCTCTTTTGTTGTTGTTGCTTTCGTTTTTTGTTGTTGTGTTGTTGTGTTGTTGTGTTGTTTTGTTGTTGTTGTTTTGTTGTTGTGTTTGTTTTGTTGTGTTGTTGTGTTGTTGTTGGGACTTGGATCTTATCTGCGCGCGAAGAGCATAGCGCATCAGCGTGATGCTGCTCAATGCAAGAGGTTCAAAATCCCGCACTCATACACGCATTCACTGACACTCGCGCGCGCGCGCGCGCACACACACACACACACACACACACACATGCGTGCACACTTTTACGCGCGAAGAGACTCGAATCCGGTTAGGAAGAAGCGCGGCAACTCATCTCGGGGGGGGGGGGAGATTGGGTGCGGTCTTGACGGCCCAAAGGCAACCCGTCACCGCCTTGGGTGCCTTGGGGGGCTCCAATCCAGCAGGGGGTGTGGTGGAGGCGGTTGCCGAGGCGGAGGCCGACCCCGCCTGCTGGCCCTGCTGGGCTGCCGCCCAAGCAGCCGAAGCCAGTGCTGCTGCTGCCGCCGCCGCCCCCAAGACCGGAGCGAGCAGACCGAGCGGAACATTGCGAGCCAAGTTTGGCAACTCGACGACAAAGGGCGACAAAGGGGCAAAGGCGAGCGAGGAGAGCGAGACGCCGGGGATGGAGGCGGCCAGGAGGGCGGGGCGGCGGCGGGGCGGCGCCTTGCCGTGCCGCCGTGCCATGCGGGTCTCTTGACGGCACCTCCGCCACCCCCACCCTTTTTTTCAAACACCTTGGCGTTGCAATCAAGGCCCGGTGAATGGGGACGTTCGGAAAAGCACGTGCCATAGGAATGGTGGAGAGTGAAGAGCCACATGAGCGGGTTTTTGGATCTTTTTTTCAACAACGCATGAGCTTTACAGGTTGTGCCAAAGGCGGCAAAGGCGTGTTATCCGACCTTCGCGCGGATTCGGAGACACCCCGACCCGCGATTCCTAGACACGCCGCCGTCTTTGGCCCTTGCCGGTTCCGAGTAGCGAATAAATGCGGGGGACGTGGCCCGTGGGGTTGGGGAGGAGGGGGGGAGGAGGCACGCCCGATTCGCCAGTCGCGCTGTCGGGCTGTCGGGCTGGCGCCTTTCTGCGGCGGTCGTCCCGGTCCCGTCTTTGAGCGCGGCGTTCTTCGTTCTCGGCGCCGCTTGCCGCTTGCCGCTTGCGGGTAACGACTTTATTCCACCTGGCTGCCTGGTGTGGAGGCACCGCCATCTGCCCCGACCTCGGCGACCTCCGCGACGCGCCAACCACCAAGACCTCCCCGACCACCACACCGCATGCCGCCCGGACGTGGCGCTGCCGTTAGAACCCTCACAGCGCCGAGACCTCCGTTCTCGGAAGTGGAGCACAAGGTCGGTGGTTCGAATACTCACACACACCCCTTCTTTTTGTGCTTTCAGGAGACCGTCTCCTGGACATCCCGTGCAAAGTGTGCGGGGACAGAAGTTCGGGGAAGCACTACGGAATCTACAGCTGTGATGGTAAAAAAAAACGACAGATTAATTTGGCTACTTTTGGTCGGTCCCCTTTCGCGGCCTTACGACTGTCCCGCTTGGTTCAGGCTGCTCGGGGTTCTTCAAGCGGTCCATCCACCGCAGCCGCGTGTACACCTGCAAGGCCCAGGGCGACCTCAAGGGCCGCTGCCCCATCGACAAGACCCATCGCAACCAGTGCCGCGCATGCCGACTCACCAAGTGCTTCCTGGCCTCCATGAACAAGGACGGTAAGTACAAGGACTTTGGGGAAAAAAAGAAAAGAAAACCCTGAATTGGGCCTCCCACGTACCTGCGACAGGTTAAGCCAACCTCGCGCCCCGGGGCCTGCGCCGCCTGCGCTTCAAAGTGCCACCGACCGAGACGCACCGTGTGCCGTTAATTTAACTTGAAAATCAACAACGCCCCGCTTGTGATAACACCAACTTTTCCATCAGCGCGACTCGTTCCAGGCTGCCAGTGTGCTGCCAGGGCACGGCAGGCCGATTCCGAGGGTCGCTTTCATCGCTCCGTCCCTCTCGCACCTGTACGGGACGCCCCATGAGAGCGAGGGAGACAGAGCGACGAAAACGACTCTCGGAATCAGTCTGCAGGCGCGCTCGGCGCAACCTGTCTGCCTCGCTCGGTGCCTACACCGCGTTGCCGCGTCCATACCCTGCAGGTAGCTCGCGGCCCGCCGCCTCGCCACCTCGCCCCGCCCCGCGCAGCCTCGCCGTCTGTCAATATTTTTTCACCGAAATTGCCTTTGAACGGCATGAGGGGATGTAATAATAACATGTTTTCGTGTTGTTCTTTTTTCCCCCTCGTGCTCTTTTTCCTGCTGCCGTCTGCTCAGAGACATTGTGCCCGATGTCTCTTTTATTCTCGTTCTGCACGGCACGGCACGGCACGGCACGGCCAGCCCCGTGTGCCAGCCCGCCAACCCCAGGTGCGAGCCGCTCCACTCTTCGAATTTGCGCGGGAACTTCGCTCTTGCGGTCGAGATAGGCCCGTTTTGTTTTTGTTCTTGTTTCTTCAAATTGGCAGTTTTTAAACATTTCCGGATTCCGGCGTTTCCGGCCTGAGTCCGAGAGTCTCGCTCTGTCTCTCTCGCACCTCTACGGGACGCCCCATGAGTGCGAGGGAGACAGAGCGACGGAAACGACTCTTGGAATGAGGCCGCTGCGGGCGGTATCTTGTATCAACAGTCGGCGATCGCGCATCGCGCGCATCGCGGGGAAGTGAGTGAAACAACAACCTGAATGTGAATCCGCGTGCAACGCTCCACGCCACACCGCCTCGGGTCGTCTGCATCCACATTCACATTCACATCGGGGAAGGATGCGCGCGGCGGCCGGTTGTTTTGTTTACTCTTTTCGTTATCGAGTTGGTTTATTTTTTTTATTTTTGCAAAGGTAGTCATTTTTTGAAACGCGACGGGCGTTGGCGGGGTGGTGGCGGGGCAGTCGGGGGCAGTAGTAGGCGCTGGCCTCGGCGTCTCGGCCAGGAGGCCATGCAGGCACGAAGTGAGTTCGGCGCCCGCATCCCGGCCGAGGCCATGCCGAGGCCATGTCGCGGTGCTCCGTCTCTCTCGCACCCATACGCGACGCCCCGTGAGTGCGAGAGAGACAGAGCGACGAAAGCGACTCTCGGAATCAGTCTTGCTGGCGGCAGAGGCACGAGGCCGCGCGGCCGCTAGCTCGTTAGCTGAGCAAACGCCAAAACGCCCGGCCCGGTCCGTACACTGAATATATAGTCAGTAGTCAGCGCGAAGCGTCACTGCGTCGCCTCGCCCTTCGTCGCCGGGCTGGTTCCCCCCGTCTAAATCTGAAAAAAGGAATAAACTTTACGAAAATAAAAAAAATGTCAAGTTGCAGAAGGTCGAACTTTTTAGCAGATGATACCTTCACCACGCTTGAAACATACTTAAAAATACTGTACACATGAAGGTGTCAGCGTGCTTTTACCTGAGCCGAGAAACCGCGATCCTAAAAAGTCTAAAGGGGCGGGCGCCGGGGCGGGCGTGTGTCTGGCTGGCTGGCGGTGAGCGCAGCCTGCCGCGTCCAAAGGTGCAGGTAGCTCGCGGCCGCCCGGCTCGCCACTCGCCGGCTTCGCGCCAGCTCGGCCGTCTGTCTGAATAATTTTTACGAATATCTTTGAAGACCCATAGGAGAGAGAAACAAAAATCATGTTTCATAACGTGTTGAATATTTTTTGTTTCCTAACGGCTTTTCCTCTGCCTCGTCACGAGTTTTTGTTGCCGATGTTCTTTTATTCTCGTTCATAACGGCATGGCGCCTCATACGGCCAGCCGCCGGTGTTTGCCATGCAACCGGCTTGGTGCAGCCGCTCCACGTCTTCGAATTTGCCGGGCAACGGTTCTGCTCTTGCCGGTCGAGATACGGCCCGTTTTGTTGTTCTTGTCTTCAATGGATTTTTGAACATTTGCCGGATTACCGGTTTTTCGTTTGCCTGATACGATTTAGTCTGCCTCATACGGTTTTGGTCTGCCTCATACGGTTTTTGATTTGCCGCATACGGTTTTTGTTTGCCATATACGGCTTTTGGTAACTGACTCATACGGTTTTTGATTTGCCGCATACGGGGTTTTGTTTGCCATATAGCTTTTGGTCTGCCTCATACGGTTTTTGATTTGCCGCATACGGTTTTGTTTGCCATATACGGCTTTTGGTCTGCCTCATACGGTTTTTGATTTGCCGCATACGGGTTTTTTGTTTGCCATATACGGCTTTTGGTCTGCCTCATACGGTTTTTGATTTGCCTCATACGGTTTTTTGTTTGCCATACGGTTTGGTCTGCCTATACGGTTTTTGATTTGCCTCATACGGTTTTGATTTGCCGCATACGGTTTTTTTTGCCATATACGGCTTTTGGTCTGCCTCATACGGTTTTTGATTTCCCGGGCATACGGTTTTTTGTTTGCCATATACGGCTTTTGGTCTGCCTCATACGGTTTTGATTTGCCCATACGGTTTTTTGTTTGCCATATACGGCTTTTGGTCTGCCTCATACGGCTTTTGATTTGCCCATACGGTTTTGTTTGCCATTACGGCTTTTGGTCTGCCTCATACGGTTTTGATTTGCCTCATACGGTTTTTATTTGCCATACGGTTTTGGTTGCCTATACGGTTTTGGTCTGCCTCATACGGTTTGATTTGCCGCATACGGTTTTTTGTTTGCCATATACGGCTTTTGGTCTGCCTCATACGGCTTTTGTCTGCCTCATACGGTTTGATTTGCCATATACGGTTTGTTTGCCATATACGGCTTTTGGTCTGCCTCATACGGTTTTTATTGTCGCGCATACGGTTTTTGTTTGCCTATACGGCTTTTGGTCTGCCTCATACGGTTTTTGATTTGCCCATACGGTTTTTTGTTTGCCATATACGGCTTTAGGTCTGCCTCATACGGATTTGATTTGCCTCATACGGTTTTTGATTTGCCGATACGGTTTTTTGTTTGCCATATACGGCTTTTGGTCTGCCTCATACGGTTTTGATTTGCCCATACGGTTAAAATTGTTTGCCATATACGGCTTTTGGTCTGCCTCATACGGTTTTTGATTTGCCGCATACGGTTTTTTGTTTGCCATATACGGTTTTGGTCTGCCTCATACGGTTTTTGATTGCCTCATACGGTTTTTGTTTGCATACGGCTTTGGTCTGCCTATACGGTTTTTGAGTTGCCTCATACGGTTTTTGATTTGCCTCATACGGTGTTTTGTTTGCCATATACGGCTTTTGGTCTGCCTCATACGGTTTTTGATTTGCCGCATACGGTTTTTGTTGCCATATACGGCTTTTGGTCTGCCTCATACGGTTTTGATTTGCCTCATACGGTTTTTGTTTGCCATATACGATTTTGGTCTGCCTCATACGGTTTGGTCTGCCTCATACGGTTTTATTTGCCGCATACGGATTTTTGTTTGCCATATACGGCTTTTGGTCTGCCTCATACGGTTTTGATTTGCCCATACGGTTTTTGTTTGCCATATACGGCTTTTGGTCTGCCTCATACGGTTTTTGATTTGCCGCATACGGTTTTTTGTTTGCCATATACGGCTTTTGGTCTGCCTCATACGGTTTTTGATTTGCCTCATACGGTTTTTTGTTTGCCATATACGGCTTTTGGTCTGCCTCATACGGTTTTTGGTCTGCCTCATACGGTTTTTGATTTGCCGCATACGGTTTTTTGTTTGCCATATACGGCTTTTGGTCTGCCTCATACGGTTTTTGATTTGCCGCATACGGTTTTTTGTTTGCCATATACGGCTTTTGGTCTGCCTCATACGGTTTTTGATTTGCCTCATACGGTTTTTTGTTTGCCATATACGGCTTTTGGTCTGCCTCATACGGTTTTTGATTTGCCTCATACGGTTTTTTGTTTGCCATATACGGCTTTTGGTCTGCCTCATACGGTTTTTGATTTGCCGCATACGGTTTTTTGTTTGCCATATACGGCTTTTGGTCTGCCTCATACGGTTTTTGATTTGCCTCATACGGTTTTTGTTTTCCATATACGGCTTTTGGTCTGCCTCATACGGTTTTTGGTCTGCCTCATACGGTTTTTGATTGCCGCATACGGTTTTTTGTTTGCCATATACGGCTTTTGGTCTGCCTCATACGGTTTTTGATTTGCCTCATACGGTTTTTTGTTTGCCATATACGGCTTTTGGTCTGCCTCATACGGTTTTTGATTTGCCTCATACGGTTTTTTGTTTGCCATATACGGCTTTTGGTCTGCCTCATACGGTTTTTGATTTGCCGCATACGGTTTTTTGTTTGCCATATACGGCTTTTGGTCTGCCTCATACGGTTTTTGATTTGCCTCATACGGTTTTTTGTTTGCCATATACGGCTTTTGGTCTGCCTCATACGGTTTTTGATTTGCCTCATACGGTTTTTGATTTGCCGCATACGGTTTTTTGTTTGCCTCATACGGCTTTTGGTCTGCCTCATACGGTTTTTGATTTGCCGCATACGGTTTTTTGTTTGCCATATACGGCTTTTGGTCTGCCTCAACGGTTTTGATTTGCCGCATACGGTTTTTTGTTTGCCATATACGGCTTTTGGTCTGCCCATACGGTTTTTGATTTGCCTCATACGGTTTTTTGTTTGCCATATACGGCTTTTGGTCTGCCTCATACGGTTTTTGATTTGCCGCATACGGTTTTTTGTTTGCCATATACGGCTTTTGGTCTGCCTCATACGGTTTTTGATTTGCCTCATACGGTTTTTTGTTTGCCATATACGGCTTTTGGTCTGCCTCATACGGTTTTTGGTCTGCCTCATACGGTTTTTGATTTGCCGCATACGGTTTTTGTTTGCCATATACGGCTTTTGGTCTGCCTCATACGGTTTTTGATTTGCCTCATACGGTTTTTTGTTTGCCATATACGGCTTTTGGTCTGCCTCATACGGTTTTTGATTTGCCGCATACGGTTTTTTGTTTGCCATATACGGCTTTTGGTCTGCCTCATACGGTTTTTGATTTGCCTCATACGGTTTTTTGTTTGCCATATACGGCTTTTGGTCTGCCTCATACGGTTTTTGATCTGCCTCATACGGTTTTTGATTTGCCGCATACGGTTTTTTGTTTGCCATATACGGCTTTTGGTCTGCCTCATACGGTTTTTGATTTGCCGCATACGGTTTTTGTTTGCCATATACGGCTTTTGGTCTGCCTCATACGGTTTTTGATTTGCCTCATACGGTTTTTTGTTTGCCATATACGGCTTTTGGTCTGCCTCATACGGTTTTTGATTTGCCTCATACGGTTTTTTGTTTGCCATATACGGCTTTTGGGTTTTCTGCCTCATACGGTTTTTGATTTGCCGCATACGGTTTTTTGTTTGCCATATACGGCTTTTGGTCTGCCTCATACGGTTTTTGATTTGCCGCATACGGTTTTTTGTTTGCCGTATACGGCTTTTGGTCTGCCTCATACGGTTTTTGATTTGCCGCATACGGTTTTTTGTTTGCCATATACGGCTTTTGGTCTGCCTCATACGGTTTTTGATTTGCCGCATACGGTTTTTTGTTTGCCATATACGGCTTTTGGTCTGCCTCATACGGTTTTTGATTTGCCGCATACGGTTTTTTGTTTGCCATATACGGCTTTTGGTCTGCCTCATACGGTTTTTGATTTGCCGCATACGGTTTTTTGTTTGCCGTATTTTTGTTTGCCGATTTTTCCTCTGCGTCCATTTTGAAGAGGGTAGGGAAGGGCGGGGGGCGGACGACGCTGGCGACTTTCGATAGGTCCGCCAGCCAGGGCAGCCAGCCTCCGCTGACAAGAGCGATCAGTACACACGGGCCCTTCCAACCAATCAACGAAGTCAAACAAGAATCTAGCAGCTCAATCAGAGACCGAAGCAAGGGGCCAAGCTGAAAGACAGCCGAGGGCAGCACTCGGCACCCGAAGTCGAGGGCCCCAAGGGCACGAAGGCGTTCGAGGACGGCGACGGCGTCCTCCAAGGCCACCCCATCGGGATCAGCTCTCGACAGAACCGGCGAGGCGAGCACCACTGTCTGGACAGATACTTCGTCATTTTTAACTGTTTTTAATTGACGTTATTCCGGTCCGGAGGCGCTCAAAACTCGGAGCCGATCCCAAGTTGGGCATGTTTTTCGAACTGGAGACGCGAGGGCTTGGCGGAGTTTGCATCGCGTGAATATGACGGTGTGCTGTGGAAGCCCGCCGGGAAGAGAGAGGGAGAGAAATTGGAAGAGCGAGAGAGAGAAGCGACCCGATAGAGAAACGAGCCTTTCTAATTTTCGCGTGCCGCCCGCCCATCTCCCTTGCGGCCTCACCTTTCTGCACTAGTATCTTCACTGCCGGATGTCGTGACGCGATCCTCCCAGAAGCCGCAGATTTCATGATGAAGCAAGGGGTTCAGGGCGCGGCGGGGCGGGGCGGGGCGGGGCGGGGCGCGGGCGGGGCGGGGCGGTCTGTCTGAAAGCGCTGCTGCTGCTCCAGCGCGGAGAAGTGCCCGGGGGCTGCTCCGCTGCTCCGCCCGGGGGTTGCGGCCAAGACTGCGCGCCGCAATGGAACCTCCTCGCCGCCACCAAAGATTCCGTGTTGCAGAACTAAGTACTTCTCATTCCCCGCCCCGCCCCGCCCCGCCCGAAAGTGAGCTGGCTGCCCCGGAGCGCTCGCGCCCCGCCCCGCCCCGCCCCGGCCGCGCCTGGGAACCAAGAGGTCTGCCCGTCCTTGTTAATGCGGAGCGCTGCGCTGTCTCGGCTGTCTTGGAGTGGCGCGGTGGCGCGGCGGCGCGACCTAGAGGCCGAGGCCGCCAGTCCGCCAGCCCCTCACGTGCTGGCGGGGCGGGGCGGGGCGGGGCGGGGCGGCGGGGCGCGGCGCGGGCGTGGCCCCGTCCCCGCCCCCACCGTGCCGCGCTGGGCCAAGAGGTCTGCCGCGATCCTTGTTACCGGAGCGCTGCGCTGTCGTGGCGGCGGCTTGGGGGCGCGGGGGGGGCGGGCGACTAGAGGCCGAGGCCGCCAGTCCGCCAGCCCCTCACGTGGGCGGGCGCGGCGGGGCGGCGGCGCGGGCGGCGCGGGGCGTGTGACCCACCTGCCGCCTCTAAATTCTGCCGTCTGATTCCTTTTCCAAGGAGCGCGCGCCGCGGAAAAGACGGCCGGGCTTTGGGGGACGAGGGGGGGAGGGGGAAATGTTTCCGATTCATCGCACCGCCAAGTGGGCTCCGCGGGGCTCCGCGGAGACGCGACGGCAATGCTTGTGAAAACAGCATTACTTTGAGTCGCGGCGGGGCGGCGGCGGCGGGATCTGCCGGGGCCCAATGGGGGCCGCCCCCGCGCCGCCCCCGCGCCGCCCAATCACCACACTCTCAGCCAACACCGCGAAGGCGGCTCCTTTTTGATGGCGCTAGTCCCCTCCCGCGGCGCGAGGGGAGGGGGTGGGGGAGGGGGCAGATGTGCTCAGCCACTCGGGCCGTGCTGCCGTGGCGCCGTGCTGCAGAGGGAGCTGCGGAGGGCCGCCGAGTTCGCGTGAGTTGATTAATGGAGCATGCCTCCCAAATCCTTGGTGTCGCTCGGCTCGGCTCGGCTCGGCTCGGCTCGGCTCGGCTCGGCTCGGCTCGGAAAGCTGCGAAGCGCGGTGCCCGCGGTGGTGGTCTCATACAGCCCACGGGGGCTAATCTGGCGCCCCCGGCAGAACAGCCCGGAGGAGGGGGAAGGGGGCTTGCGGCGCCATTCCTAATTCAGTTGAATTAAGGAAAAGAGCACTCACTCCGTGCCGCGCCACGCCGCGCCACGCCACGCACCGCGCTCTGAGCGCAACATATGTTACGCGAACACGTAACGTGGTTCGCAGCTCGCATTCGTAATGACGGCACCCAGAGCGGAAACAGGAAAAACAGTAAACAGGACGCGCTCGGGTTCAAATCCCCGCGTCCCTGATGATTTTTTTTTCAGCCTTTATATTTTTAGTTTGGCCGGCCACCGCGTCAAAATGGTTATAGCCGAGCGGCTTGCCCAGAAATTTCTGAAGGGCGTCAAGCCATGCTTTGTGGCAAATAGGCGGGATGTATTGCAATTTGCCCACCTTCCAGGCGGCCGGGTGGTTCGAAAGGGGGAGGGGTCATGACCGGCCTGACCCCCTCCCTGCGGCCCCGCGCACGCCACCGCCGCCGAGATGGAGGTGGATTGTGCGACTTGGGCCGCTGCACGAGATCAAAGATGGCGAAGGATTCTCCGAAAGGCAAAGGAAGGACGGTGGGGGAAGCTCCAAAGACACGCGACGCTGCGCGACGCGGGAGCCCCTAAGCCCGAGGTCCCTCGATCACTTTGACAGATTTCAAGGAGTTTTGCGCGAGAAGGCGCAGAAAGAGTGAGACGCCGAGACGATTAGAGGAGCGTCTCATTCACGTCGCCTCTTTGCGCTTTGATGGATGCGGGCGGCCGGGCGGGGAGCAGCGAGGCACACTGCACGGGGACGCGGCCGCAGTGATAACGAACACACCGAATGATGATCAGGGCCTTTGCTGTTTGCAGCGGTGCAGCACGAGCGGGGCCCCCGCAAGCCCAAGCACCCCCTGGTCCAGCTGGGGCACGGCGGCCACGGCGGCCACACCGGCCACGGCCCGCCCAAGGACATGCTGCACCCGTCGCACCTGCAGGCCGTGCAGTCGCACCACCTGCCCGGACAGCTGCCCGGCCACCACCACCTGCAGCACGGCGTGCACGGCGTGCACCAGGGCTTCCTGCCGCCCGGCGGCTTCCTGTTCCACCAGCCGCCGCCGCACGCGCCGCCGCACCCGCACGCCCACCACGAGTGGGCCGCCAGAGGTAGGCGACGACGACGACGACGGCCTCGGCCACCCCAAAGGAACAGCTAATGAATGCCGCCTTGCCGTTGCAGCCGCCGTCCACCTGTCCTCGCCGCTGTCGCTGTCACCGATGTCGCCGACCGGCTGCCCCGGCCCCCAGGTCAGCGCCAGCTCCGGGGGCGGCTCGGGGGGCGGCTCGGCGAAGGGCAGCCCCAGCGACAGCTCCGGGCTGAGCCCCACCTCGCCGTCCGCGCCCGGGCTGGAGGCAGGCGCCCCCTGCCCGCTGCCACCGCCGCTCGGCTCGCCCGACAGCCAGGGCACCGCCCCCGCGCCCGCCGCCTCCGCTGCCTCCGCCGCCTCCGACGAGCACAGCTCGCAGGGCGCCATGGTGCTGGCGCAGCACAAGCCGCCGCCGCCGCCCAACCTCCTGCACCTGCTCATGTCGGCCGAGAAGTGCGAGGTGAGTGCCGCGGCCGAGCCGCGCGTTCATCTCCCTGGGGGTTCCGAACAGAGCGTTCGTCGCTCCGTCTCTCTCGCACTCGCGAGGCACGCCGAACGGCCGCAAGAGAGACAGAGCGACGAAAGCCCTCTGCCTGCCGCCTGCGGGCCCCGGGTAGGCCGCCCGCCACGCAGCCATGCCGTCGCGTTGCCTACCCCCGACTCCACAGGCGCCGTGCTCTCGCCGTGCTCACCGGACCGGACCGACGCCGTCGCCTCCATCGCTCGCCTTTTGCTCTCCGCGCTGAAATTATGACGTAGCCGCGCGCAGCTGGGGCCGGGCGGGCTGGCAGGGCTGGCTGGCTAATAGGGTGGCGTGATACCCCCCGCGGCCTCCACGGCCTCGGCTGCGTGACGAGGCGTTAGCGTGATCTCCCACCTTCCAGCGCGCTCCAGCTCCAGCGTCCCGGCGTTCCAGCGACCGCACAATGGGCAGGGATGTATATAGAGAAAGGGGAACGTCTTGATTGTCCATTTCGGCTCTCCCCGGCCTCGGCTCTCCCGGCCGCGGCCTCGGCGCAGCTGTCGAAATGATAGGGCAGAAGATAGGCCTCGTCGGAGGAGCGAGGATCAGACCACGCGCGGGCACCGCACCACAGTCAGCACAGACAGTCTGGCAAAAACTGCCAGTGATTTAAAAAAAATTAAAAATAAAAAGTAACGTCCTTTGCGGCCAGCCAGCACACGATTATTCGGTCGTCGGCCTCCTTTTCCATCCGTCCGTCGTTTTTCTTTTTCTACCGAGAGAGAGGAACAACAGCCCGGCCAACAACAAGAAGAGCGACTAGAACAAGACGACCGGACTTTCCATCATAACTTTACCGCGAACTAACATCACCTCCGCCACGCAAGCCGGAGCGGCCCCGCCCCTCTCCCTTTGTTTCGGCGAAAGAAACAAAAAAGTGGAACACAACAACGGCGCCGGGGTCAGGGGGCGTCGCTGTACGCGCTGTACGCGCTCGTGGCGGAGCACATTAAGCATAACAAATAACAAATCCACCGACCGGAGCCATGACTTATCTCGCCGGGTTTCTTCTTAGTTTTTTTTTATTTTACTTTCGCCCTTTTTTCCATTTCTTCTCCCCTCGTCTTTTTACCGTCCATTTCCTCCTGTTCCTTCCCTCATGAGGTCCCCGTGCCGCCCCCGCGCCGCCCCCGCGCCGCCCCCGCGCCGCCCCTGCTCGGCGAGCGCACAATAGCCCCGGTGGGAAGCGGCACATGTGGCGTGTAGCTCCGACCCGCCAGGCCGCCAGGCCGCGACCCGGCACCCAGCGGCACCCAGCCTCCAGCCTCTCAGTCAGGGAGGCAGGAGGGTGGAAGCGTGGAAGGGAGCGCGCGGACGCGGACGCTCCGCGGACACACTGCCAGCGGACGCGCGGACACCAAACGTAAAGCTCCCCCTCTTTTATTTTATTATTACTTCCCCCTCGCCTGTCTATCTTTTATTTTTGTTTCGGGAAGGAAGGAAGATCGGTGTCCGCGCAGAACACACACACGCGCGCCCTCGTGTCAGGCGGTAAGGCTCTCTCTCTCTCCATCTGCCCTCCGTTTTCGCGCCCAAAAGTCCGGAAGGGAGGGAAACGCAAACAGGAAAGCGGAACAAATAACAAATACATCGACGGCATCGCGGGAAAGCGCTTTCCCGCGCGACGCTGCGCGTTTCGCTGTGGGCAGCAACGCCCGTGAGTCGGTGTCGTCCTTGCCCTGCGGAGAGCGAGAGAGAGAGAGGGAGGGGAGGTCAGGGAGGGCGGCGTGTTTTGTGACGATTATAGGCCTCCGAGTGGCATCATCGTGGCACCCTCCCTGCGGCCCGGCCCGGCCAGCCCACTGCATGCAGGGCCATGGCCTGGCGAGGCCTGGCGAGCCCTGGCAGGGTCCACCCACCACAGGGTCCGAGGACGGAGGGTGGGGAGCGGTACGGCTGTACGGCACCAAGGCAAAAGGGCTGGCCGGATTAGAAGGGCTGATGTAGCAACAGGAAGGGCGAGCCGAGCCCTCTCTCGGTGCCAGAGATCACAGATCCCTCTGAGAATCGGACAGACTGCTGACTGCTGCCTGCGCGGGCTTGCCGCCCGCCCGGCCGGCCGTGTCGTGTCCCTTCCCGACTGCAGGCCGGGCCGCGCCACTGCGCGCCGTGTTGTGGGAAGGCGCGCCAAATGTGGCGCCTGCCACCACGCCACCGCGGCGTGCCGGCGTGCCAGCGCAGGGTCGTGGGTGCCGCCAGCACTGCCGCGCCTGGCGTCGACGTCGGCGACATCCACACCCTTCTCGGCCTCCTCACGGATGACTGCGCGTCCCACCCGGGTGTAGCTTTGCAGCGCGCGCCCGGTCGGCCTCGACTTCGGGGACTCGGCCGCTAATCCGCGATGCAGAAAACACCGAGGAGACGGGATGATTAGACGAGACAATGGGGAAACCGATCCTGGCCCCAGTGACTTCTAACCTCTCTGCCCACTGGGCCCCACTGACGAGTCCTTCCCTTCCGTCTGCTTGCAGGAGCTGCTGTGGGGCGCCAAGCTCTCCGAGGACAGGGTGCTGCTGCAGCAGGCCGCCACCCTGCCCATCGTCCTCACCCCCACGTGGGAGGTCCTGCAGGTACGCCTTTGGTTCTTGCTTTCCCCACCGAGCTGCATTTTCATAAACGCGAGTGTGGCTCCACCTCCCCGACACGCCTCCCCGCCCCCCACGTCCCCGTCGTGCCGCCGCCAAGAAGCGGAGGCGGCGCCTGCAGCAGCCTGGTGCGGGAGGATCGTTCCGTCGCTCTGTCTCTCTCGCACCCCCACGGGACGCACGGCATGCCGCATGCGTGCGAGAGAGACAGAGCGTCGGTGAGAAGGCTGGGCGGCGGCGTCATCTCCGACGCTGCTCGGCGCGGCTCGGCGCGGCGCGGCGGCGGGGCGGCTTGGCTTCTTGATTGGTCGACGCGGCGCAGCCAATGGGAGCGACGCTGCTGCTGCGCCACCCTCCCCGCCGCCCGCGGCACCCCGCCCCCGCGCCGCCCCCGCCGCGCCATGCCACGCCCCTCGAGGAACAAAGAGAGGGGGCGGGGGCGGTTGGCCCCGATTTAAAAATGGAGGCGTTGTTCTTTGTGCTGACGCGGCTGTGTTTGCGTTGGCGCAGGAGACCACCGCCCGCCTGCTGTTCATGGCCGTGCAGTGGGTGCGGTCGCTCGCCCCCTTCCAGACGCTGTCCAAGAAGGACCAGGTGAGCCACTGGAAAGGCGAAGCGAAGGGAAAGCCATTCCCCGGACGAGCCCGCCCCGCCTTCACGCCCTACCCCGCCCCTCTCGGTTGCAGCTGCTGCTGCTGCAGGAGTCGTGGAAGGAGCTGTTCCTGCTGCACCTGGCGCAGTGGTCCATCCCCTGGGACCTGTCCGCGCTGCTCGAGTCCCCGCAGGCCCGGGACCGGCTGCCGCAGGACGAGGTGACCGCCGCCGAGCTCAAGACCATCGTGGAGATCATGTCCCGCTTCCGGCAGCTGTCCCCGGACGTGAGCGAGTGCGGCTGCATGAAGGCCGTCATCCTCTTCACGCCGGGTGGGTGGGCCTTCCCTAGCTCTCACTGAGCCACCACGCCGCTAAAAACTTTGCCATGACGCTTTCGTTGTTGCTTTCTCTTTGGCTGCAGAGACGGGGGAGCTGTGCGACTCCCAGCCCGTGGAGATGCTCCAGGACCAGGCGCAGTGCATCCTCAGCGACTACGTGCGCACCAGGTACCCGCGGCAGCCCACGCGCTTCGGCCGGCTGCTGCTGCTAGTGCCCAGCCTGCGCTCCGTCCGCCAGGCCACCGTGGAGCAGCTGTTCTTCCGCGAGACCATCGGGGAGATCCCCATCACTCGCCTGCTGGGGGACATGTACCACATGGGCTACGCCTAGCTCGGCTGCGCCTACACTACAAGGGACTGAACCAGACCGAGGCGCCGCGGGACTCGGACGCCTCCCTCGCTCGGGCCCTCGTTCTCTCTTTTCGATATTTAATAATCGACTATTAATTTAAACGTGTTTAGCATCTCCTATGAACGGGAGGGTTTCAAGTCGCATGGACAAGTCTGACAGGTGTCCAAAAACCATGTTAGAAATCATAGTTACCATATGCCTGTTGTTTTCTTCTAATAAGAATTTTTTTTTTTTGGAGTTACATTTAGGTGCTACTTGGGCAGACTAGAAGAAGCGCTTTTATAGAAAATACCAAAAATAGGGAGTGGATTTTAACTTGTGATTACAGGTAAAAACTGATGCTCACGCCCTGCATGTCTACCTGTATGAATCAGTACGTAATTTATGTACAGGTGAACTAAAATTGATGTAAGCTAGAATTCCAAAGCCTCTTTTGTTTCCTTCAGAAATTGAATGGGCGTCAGTGTTAGCATGGCATTTTATGAAAAAGAAATTATGTTGACATGTTGGTGGTTGAATTTGAGGAATATACTGATTGTGAATAAAATGGTAAAATAAACTCGGACTTAGAAAAATTTATTTTGAAAATTCACATCACAAGTGGCAAATAGCAGATTACCCATGAGCAAACTCAAAATCATACAATTTTTATTTTAAACAAATAACTTAAGGCAGGAGGAATATGATTAAACATTGATATAATGCAACATAATTTTTTGTTAACTTGATAATAGAAGCTCACGATATCTTTCCTTCTACATCAATGGGGTTTTCAGAAGATCCAAAAACATTGATCTCTTCCAGAAGTGGCTTATTTTTCATGAAATATTCCCGGTACCAGTCAATTGTCTCTATCTTCTCCTGAACTGTCAAATATGGGTTTTTACTTAGGCCAACTAAAACCAACTCCATAAAATATTTGATTGGCCCCTCCTTGGGGCACCATGGCTCAGCGTGATGATCTAGGAATATATGTTCTGAGAAGTCAACTTCAGCCTCTTTATCCATACCTAGATGATAGAGATGGAATACATTTATTAAAAAAGTTTATTGATATCTCTGTGGACAGATAGATATGTGTCGACAAGCGTAGGACCATTACCTTGTTCATTATCAATGGGAAAATGCCAGAGCTTTCCTTCTTCAGTCCACACAATACACTGGTCAAACCAATTCAAAGGATCAAATCTTGTGCAACCCTGAAGCCGAGCTTCTTCAAACTTTTTCCACAGGGTCAAAGATGAACTTTCGGAAAGATTTGAGGTGAAAATTCCAAGAGGTTTCTGAGATTTTAACAATTGGTCTACGGTTGTAAAGCGTTGCCCAATAAATCGTGGCTGCACCTTGCTAGTGGAGAGAAAGATACATTATTTACATTTTTTTCTTTTCTTCTACAGTATAGGAGATCATTGGGCTGGGAAAAACTTACACATCACTTGACAGCATGTTAAATCCTCCACCCGAAAAAGCCATATTGACAGCATCACATTCATCAGCGGCAACTGCAGTGTCCTCTCCAACAGCATTTTTCCTGTCCCTTTTACTGAAGCCTTCTTCTGATTTTGGTCTCTGCCTAGGCCCTTTCTGTGCAACTGCCATTCCAACAATGTCCTCCACATTATCTTCATCACTGAAAGAGGTTGCGAATCGCTGAGGACCTTGATTCTTAAACTTCCCAGAGGGTTGTCTCTTTCCTTTCGTATGGTTATCCATTCCCGGAAAGACAGAGTTTAATTTGTCCATAATGTCCCCCAGAACTTCTGTTTTCTTTGAACCAGCCAAGTCTGCAACACTGTGTGCTGCTTTTGCCATTTGTATATCTGTTAAAATTAAAATTTATTGCATTAATTTTTAGTTTTCTTGAATGAGCTATTTACTTGTTTAGGTTTAAATCAACATACTTAATTGCCCTGGCTTAGCTTTTGATGACACCTGCTTCCTCGTTTTTTTGCCGAATGTGGCATCAAGGACTGCATCGAAAACTTCCGAATACTCATCAGAAGTTTTATTTCTAGGTTTCTTTGGGAGCAGGTTCCTATTAAAAAATTCCTCGAGAACATCCTCTTCGCCGTTTTTGCGATCTGATTTTGATACTTGAGCAGACACAAATGGCTCCTTTGGGCCCTTCTTGGATGAGAACCGAGCGACTGAAGGAGAAAGGAATGCGTTCTCCAAGAATACTGGATGGAGCAACCTGTTAAAATAAACAAAAAAATAAAACATTGTTAAGTGAAAAAAATAAAAGTTCAAGTGGCTACCCTTGTGCCGTGCCGTAGCTTGTTGACAAAGAAAGAAAACATTTTAAAGAGGAACATCCAGCATCTTCATTGGGATGGTAGCTTCACGGTTCCAGGAAGATAGTGATTATAGACCCTGAAACATCATATGACACATTCAAAACAAACCTTCTTTTCACTTGGGACAGCATGATTGACGTGCTTCAATGCTTTAATTAGGAACGACAGAAACCACGAAACTACTTCAGGTAATGGGAGGTTATGTGATGGGATGGTTTCTTTCTGCTCGTAGTGTACCGTAACGTTTCTCATACTACGCAACCTAGCCTCAGAGATGAATACATTGACATTCACATTCACACAAACACACATTCATTCGAAAGGAGCAACGAAAACATAAAGGACTGAGGAGTGTGAACGTATTTAAACCGCTGGTTCTCCGCTCGGTTATACAATAGGCAATTTATGTAAGTGTTAATCTTGGGGCGTGTCCGCGTCCGCCCGTGGCCATGTCGCCATGTCCCACTCAGGCAGCCTTCCCGGATGGAAGGAGTTTGTGAGGGGCAGCTGCAAGGAGGTTGAGGTTGAGGTTGAGGGTAGCGTTTGCACAGGGAGCACTGGGGCTCTTAAAGGCAATGACGCACGTCAAGCCTACGAAGAAATCGTCCAGACTGCGTTTACGTCACGTCAGAGACGGTCAGACGCCAGGAGGAAAGTGGCATCCACTGAATGTGGAGAATTGGATTCAACCGCACCTCTTGCCCCCAAGTTACGACATCAAAGCGCTTCCGCTTCAGTGTCCGTCAAACCTAAACCTCCAGTTTCTCTCAGCTCACTGATGAGGTACGTGGAGTCCAGTGCCTATGACAAAGTCGAAGACGCCATCAATTCAGATGCCAGTCTAGTCAATGCTGTTGACCAATTTGGTTGGTCTCCGCTGATGGTTGCGGCTTGTGCAGGAGCGATTGAAATTGTGGAACTATTGCTCCTTTCAGGGGCCAATGTGGGGGTTCGAGACAAAGGTGGGCAATCATGTATCTCACTTGCTCGAAAGAAAGGCCACCTTAATGTGATACAGTTAATAAGGAACTTTAGTCCTGAAAAACCTGCGTTGCAGCCAGAACCACTTAAAAATGAAAAAGTTGCAAATTCAGAATTGAATTTTGAATTCTGTGATGATTGCAATGTCATAATTGAAGAATCTAGGAAAAAAAAGCACCTTACGTCTACAATCCATCAGTTGAGTCGTTGCTCTAAAGGTTGCAAGACGTTCTATAGCATTCCGGGAAATAATCGCGGTTATCAGCTCATGTTGAAAAATGGCTGGGATGGAGAGAAAGGCCTTGGCCCATCTGGCAGCGGAATGAAGCTTCCCCCAAAAACAGTTCTCAAGAGAGATCGCAAAGGACTTGGGGCATCGAAAGGACAGGCGCGTATCACTCACTTTCAGTCCAATGATACAAAAGCTGTTGCTAGGAATCCCTCACAAGGAGAGCATTCAAGTAGTCATCAAAATAAATCACAGCTGAAGCGACAAATTCGTAAAGAAAAATTGTTAGAAGCTGCTTTGCGAAGGGAATTGAGCTGAAGTAAAATCGCACCCACTGCTCATCAAGGTATTGTGGATTTTGGTCTTGCTAAAGTGCATCTATCTAAAACTAGATCTTAATGAAATAACAATACAGTTTCTGGCTCATTTTTTTTTTCTTTTCATTGGCACTACTTTTTGCTCTAAATACCTTTTCCGGCCAAAAGAAAATTTAATTTTATAAGTTGAAATTTTAACCTAGAGAATTAACCATTAGTTTTCTTTTTCTGTTTTGCAGTTTTTTAACATTATGGAGAATCCAGGAAAGTCACTTCTACACCTAACTCAAATTGAAGAGAAAGCTCAAGAAATTTTAAGTGACCGCGAAGAAATTGTCGCCCTAGACAAGCAAAGAAATCAAAACCGTGAAGCAATACGAGCAGTTCAAAGGCTGGACAATTCAACAGCATGGATAACTGTTGGGCCACTTCTTGTTAAAATGCCCATCAAGAAAGTATCCAACATTTTAAATAATGGTAACATCCTGAATCTTCAGTTTATTTGGTCAATCTTGTCTGCCATCTGAGATCTCGATGAAGTCACATCTTTTTATTTGCTTTGGGTTTTCAGATCAAGTTCGCCTGGATGTAGAGGTGAACAAGCTACGAAGCGACTTGAAGGTGAAGGTTAATGCCCTCCGAGACCTTGAGCATACAAGCCCAGTTCCAGGATTGATGTTGAATCCATTGTCTAAAGCTGAAATGAATGCGGTGGGGCAGGCATTAGGAAGAAGCTCGGAATAAGAACATGTGAGACTGGTATCAGTTGTGTCAATATTGTGACTAAATTGTGCATTTAGAATATGTTAATACAATTTAAGACTGTTTGTAAGGGTTTGTAAAACAATTTATTATTATTATTGAACTTCAGTAAATGTAAATATCAAATATCTTCATTTCAGTACATATGTAAATTGAAAAAGAAAGGAAAGTCCATGATTGTGATCTATACCAGCACAAGTGTGTAGGAGATGACATAAAACATTGATCAGACTCAACACATCAAATAAATTCTTATCAGAAGGTAACAGAGTAGCTAACTTTAAATCCTAGTAAGTCAAGTCCACATTTCATGAATGAACACTAGAGGTGTTAAGGAGTTGAGCATGGCAATCAAGGTTACTGGAACAACATAAGGGACTCATTCACACAGCAGTTTCATTTCATACCAAATTTCTTTTCCTTGATATTTTAATTAGGCTTAACAATGGCTGCACTAGGCATAAATCGGTATTACTGATGAACAAAATTTAGGGAATAAGTACAAGTACCTTTTCTATAAAGGCAATGAATGCTTATAATCACGCAATCAGAGGAAATCAAATACGTACTACAGCTCCTTTAAGACCCAGACATTTTTATTTGATTTTTCAAAACATTTTTTAAATAATACTTTCTACTTACATTCTGAAACAAGAGCATCAGTTTTAAATCAGCCTTATTCATTTCTCCCCTGATTATTACTACTGAAAGTCAAAGAAAGTGGGTTCTTAGTCTGAAACTGACACATGCGGAGTGATTATATCACATGAATGTGCACCATACACAGAGCTGGGCTCAGCCAACTGGAGGCATTGAACAACTAACAGCCTCAAACAGTTCAAAGTTAACTGGTACTTAAGACTAGAACAGTTGTGCAAAACTGTAGATCCTACCAAACCAGTGGTTAACTACCAATGAGACCTACAGTTTTGCAAAACTGTCTTTCTAAATTTGTTTCACACAAACACCCCCAGGATTTTATTGCCGTACTATTAAAACCAAATATAAAACTTCAGCTTGTTAGTGAAGACAATGTTTTTTTTTTGTTTTTTTTTACGAAATGAAAAAGCCCAGAGTGGATGTGAGACTTGGTATTAAAATGCCATGAAGGAGAGTTCCATGAATGCAAGACTCATTCATGTCTGACATAAAATAAAGTAAAAGATCAACCATAAGAAATTGGAACTTTCTGCAAATTCTATCAAAACACCACCTAACAACAGCAAAGGCACTTTTGCAGAACAGTAATTTAGGATCTATTTAGAAAACCTGAACTGAAACGTCCACACTTTCTGTCCATGTACTCTGATGGCATTTATAGCACTCAAAAACTTCTTCTATGGCAATCCTAAAAAATACATCACAAATCCTCTGGTTCTGGCATTGTGAAAACTGCAAAAAATTAGGAAAGACATCTGATTGTATAATTATTTAGGCCTGAGAACTGGCATGTCCATTATGAAAGCACCTTTACAAGGACAATAAAATGCAATGATGACATACATGAAGGTGCTGTTCTCAATGGTCTCTGAGTCAAGGTCATCCAAATAGCATTACTCAGCAATGGGAAGAACTAAACATGACTCCATAGAAGGATACAAAAGAGAAAAAAAAATCATCAATAATGTCAGAACTACTGAGGAGAGGGCAAACAGTACTTAGATGAGGCAATCGATATGTAGCGTGTTATTGCTAACAGAATTTTTATAACTTCCTATTTACTTTATTTTTTTAAAAAACATAACATTTTAGAAAAACTACAGAGGAGAGGATTATTATTACCAACTTTTAAGAACAAAATCCACTAATGTCAATAAAAAGACGTTATCAAAGAGCACAATTGGAAGACCTAAGCTCATGGACTACAAAACAGAAAATACAGAAAGGAAACTCGAAGTACGGTACAGCAAAAAGCTCCAGCCAAACCGAACATGTGTTTTTCATCGTCAAAGAACAAAACTTGCAACCGTTGCTGATCATTAACAGAGTCTTACACTTAAGCCCACTTTAAAATTTCACAACACTTCAACAAGCAAGAAATCATACAAAGGCAGCATTGAGTTACGTTTCAGGTCAAAGAAGCAATCAACTTCCAACACATGAAAGTGCAAGGTTTACAGCTTACTACAGCAAGCCTTTGGAAATTCACTCTCATGGCTCATACCTTATTTATGGCAACTAACAGGGACCACAGCCTTAAAAAATATTGCTTTTTAGCAATATGCTAACGATGGAACAGTAGTCACCAACAATGGATGTCTTCCAATAAGCCCTTGAGTCCTTAGCTAATTTCAGGCAATTTTTTTTTCTGTGGATTTATGTTTGTGCATAAGGCAATGCAACAATTAAATCCCCCAAATATTGGACTCCATGAATTGATGACAAAAAACTTAAAGCTCAATTGAAGGAATGTTTAGCTACCAGTCATAAATAAATTTCTTAACAATGAAACTCAACAAATATTATCTATTATTTTCTGTAGATTTGGTCTATGTCAGGGAAGCACATCCCTTGACTGGTAGAACAGAATGTATCCTGTTTCAGAGGACTTTTGGATGTCAGACGTTAATCCGTAGAAGTCTTCTATTGCTGAGGAGTCAATTTTCTGTGAGGAACATCAAGACACAATATGATTATATGCAGCTTGAACAGAATAATAACTGTGTTACAACCAACTTACATCAACCATGTCATCATCAAAGAGCAACCAGAAGCCATGGCTTTTGACAATACTGATGTAGTGGCCACGATTTGGACCACTTCCACAGTGAATTACAACAGCAACTAAATCATATAAGCGATCTGGATTAACAGCATCATCGGACTGTAAAAAAACAACTTTCTGTTAGTCTTTGGTAGTTGGAACCAACACACAGCACCAGCATTGATAACTTACGGTGTTAAAAAGACGCAGCTCTAATGGAAAAACCACCCTATGAGATACTTTTATGTGTCTATTGTACTGTTCCATATATTTGAACCTCTTCAGATGTAATGCTAGGATCATTGGTAATCTTTTTACTCGCATTCTCTTCTACAGAAACAAAGTATGAAAAATAATAACGGTTAATACATTTGAAAACAGTAAAGGATAATTATTTTCAATACTTTTAACTAACCTGAGCTTCCTGGTAACTAACACAATTGTCACACTTAAATTTGTTGTCACCCCATAATGTTTCAGTGCTACTGAAGCACTTTAAGCAGTGTGTGATGCTAGTATTTTGGTCAATATCCACTTGCAAGTCAAAGAAATCCTCATCTTTGGAACTGACCTGAGGAGCAATACAAGTCAAGTATTAAGCATAGTCCTTTATCCATTTAAATCAAGAAAGGTTTCAGAGGTACCCACAGCTTCACAATTTAGACATCTAGTTTCACTTGTCAAAATTCCTTGAAATATTTCATGAACCCATGTTGGTTCACTTTGTGAACTAACAGAATCACCATTACCAGATTTGTGCCTGCTATTGGAATTCTGAGGTCTTTCAGCTGTAGATGGGAAGAAACACAACTGTCAATTTTCAACTTAACTACTATATCAGACCAATAGTCTCTCCCTGAACACATTACTAATAAAGTACCAAACAAGTTTTTGAAACTTACCTAATATTATCTCATTTATGTGATTGATAAGGAAATTTAGAAATTCATGAGCATCTTGTTGCATGTAGTTATCAAATTCAACTGAAATAAAGAAAAAAAAAATCATAAACAAGAAAAGAGATTTGACACCAACAGCGGTGCCAGTCTGAAGAAAAAGGCAGAGTACAATTAAGGCATGCATACCTTTTTCCTTACGCAGTCTTGCTATAAATTTTTTGGGTGCAATAGATCCTACTTTTTTCTTTTGAGTTGCTATGCTGTAGAACAAATCTGCTAAGCATGTTAATAATGTTTCTTTTGTTCTTTTATTTCTTGCTTTGTATTCCAAAATTTTTTCTCTAAATGGTTTGCAGAAATATAGTGCTTGAAGAACTGAGTTACTGTAGCATGTATTTCCAAACTGCAATGAAAGAGATGTTAGAAGACTGACAGGTACACAGTGTACTGAAAAGTTAAGAAGTACTTACATTGACTAGTCCGAAGAAATGTTCATTCGGAGGGAACTGGTCCGCTCCTATATCCCTCTCCAGTTGGGATACATTAGCACCCTGGAAGAATAGAAATAAACACTTACAAATGGTATAGGCTGTCAAAAATTAGGAGGTTATGTTTAGAAGGCTCCAAACTTGATAGAATTGAAAAAGTCTTCGAGTTTCAGGGTTAAAATTTTAATACAAACTGATTTAAACTTTTAGGAGATAATTTTAAATTGTGAATACCTTTAACAGGAAATTAGGAAACAAGTGTGAGTTAAGCTTAGCAGAGTAAGTTAAAACTGAACACATCACATTTTGATTTATTACTGTAAAGTTGAACTACTGTGATTTGAAAAAGAAAAGGCGTCTTCCCCAAATGTGCATCAGAGGTGAGAATTACGAGCCATTCCAATTCATAAACATATGACATCAAATACAGTCATAGGTTAATGGCACGGGGGAAGCCGCTTTTCGAAGAACGAGCGACGCCGACTTACCATTGTAAATGCATTAGTTCAGTAACTAAAGGAAACCGACCGAAGGAGCGGTTCATACAGATTAACAACAGCTTCACATTATGAGGAAATACTTTAGTTCCTGCTCCACCTTGTTGTTCAGATTTGTGGTTGTTTCTTTTGGGAGCCCAACTTCACTTGTTTTTGTCTTCTGGTCTAGTTTTCTTCTGCTGGGTATGAGAAACCGTGACTCGGCGAGCCGTTTAGGAGGGAAACACGCGCCTTTTGTGGACAACCCCATCTTCGAATGAATGAATATGGCGTTAATTTTCTTTGGAATTGCCTCTCAGATTGTCATACGGTCATTTCATTGAGTATTTCCGCGCTGTGGGGCACTTTTGCCTCGCCCGCCGCACCGCCGCAGCGCGCCGCAGAGGCAGAGAGGGAAATTCAAACTCGGCGAATCGCGTGTTGCCATGGAGACCGACGTAGTGCGGACACAAACAAACAACGGAGTTGCGACGAGACGAAGGACGAAGGGACAGTGGTGACGGGTGACGGAAACGTCGAGTGTCGAGGGGCGTTGATGTCGTTTCGGTCGAGACGTGGACGCGGTCCTCTTCGGGGCGCACCTCGAGAAACCGTGCGTAGGGTGCGCGATGGTGGGCGCGCACCTTCGCCGCGGGAAGGACCTCAAGCACCTGCGCCAGGCCAAGGCCCAGGCCGCCCGGGCGTGAAGTGAGAACCGATGTGAACGCCGAGAGGCGCGGTGGCGGCGCCGCCACGTCCACCAGGCCAGCATGTCGACCGACTTGGCCTCGTCCAGGGTGTTCCCGGACTCCCTGTACAAGCTGCGCGTCGACTGTGAACGCGAAATCGACTTCGACTTCTTCGACGATGCGCCCTCCGCGCCGACAACGCCCTCGTGGAGCCAGCGGGGGGCAGGGGACTCCCGGACTCGGCTCGGGGACTCGGACGCCGACCGCGGCTTGGACTTGGACGACGGGAACGTACCGTCGCCGACGCTCGTCGGGGGCCCCACCCCCATCGACAGCAGCAGCAGTGGCAGCAGTGGACTGTCTTCCTCTGCTTCGTTGGCTTCCTCACTCAACGAGGGCGGCAGGCCCGGCAGGCCGACCCCAGGCGACATCGGGGGGCGTCCCGACCGTCTCGACCCCGCGGAAAGGACGCCGTCAAGGAAGCCGCGAAGGAAGACCACAGGGAGGTGCGTGGCATTGCCGTTGAACGATCGTCGTGGACTTCACTTAGGACTCTAGGGGTGCCGGAGCCAAGTGGGCGGGAACAACGCGAACAATATTAGGTTATGTTTACCCCGAACATTTTTTTAAATGTCAGCGGTATTGCTTTGCTTTGCTACAGGTTTCTGCAGAACACGCAGAGGATGATGTGGTGGTCGCGCGGGTGACGAGCTCGGAGCAGCAGCAAGCAAGTGCAGATGCTGGACGGGGTGCACCCCCCACCCCACCCCTAGCCGCGTCTGCCGCGGCCAGCCCTTCCCAGGTAGGCCGCCGGGGAGGTAGGCACCCCGTCCGCCCGGCGTGCTGGTTGGGTTGCCTGCCTTTAACCACTGATTGGGCTCTCCCTCCTCCCAGGACGAGCGCGTGGCCAAGGACGCCGAGGACACAGAACCAGCCAGTGACGCCGTCCCGGTCAACGGCATCCTGGGCGAAGCGGCGCCTCCCCGCACCAGCGTCCCCGAGGCCTCGACGACAAGCTCACCCAGCACGTCATCCTCGCCGTCCTCGTCGGAGGACTCGGACGATAGCGATGACGACAGCGCGGAGGACGCCGTCGAGGACGTGGAGGAGGCCGTGGACGCGGACGCGACCTTCGGCATACAGGAGCTGAGCCTCACCGTGAGCCACAAGCCGCACCGGGCCCTGTCTTCGATGACCGTGTCCTCCATGACGGCCGTCTCCAGCATGGCCAGGGGAGACTCCGCCGGCGACAGCGACCCGGAGGACGCGTACACCATGGACGCCATCAAGAAGGCCCTACGCCGCGCCCGCCCTCCCAGGTAGGTTCGCGGAGTTTCCCCTTGTGGTGTCGGCGTCCCGCTTGGCGTGGCCCTGGCCGGGTTGCCTACCTCCAGGATAAGCAGTCCTTGCCTCCTTCCCAGCTCGACGGGGTCGCTGCCCGTGATGGCGTCCGGCCGGCCCGGCGTGCCCGGCCGGTCGCGTCGGCTCAACATGTCCTTCTCCAACGACGACGCGCGGCGCATCCAGCGCGAGAACGAGCTGCTGCTGCGACGCATCGTCAGCCAGCGCGCCCGCCAGCCCATGTTCGGCCCCGCGCAGCCCCCCGCGCAGCCCCCCAGCCTGGGCAGGGCTGGCAGGGCCTCCCCCGCGCCCACGGCCGCGCACCGCTGCAGCCACGCCGTCAACCGCGCGCGCCGCGGCAAGGACATCGAGCGCGACAACCAGGTGAAGCCGCCATTCTGCTGCAAACCCGCACTGATATTCGAAAAAGCGAGTGACGCTAACAAAACATTTTTGTTTTTTTCACTTAGATATTGCTCAAGAAGATCCAGTCGGTGAAGCGTTCCCCCAGCCAGCTATCGATGTCTCGGTCCAGCAGTTCGATGAGCGGTCGGTACTCGTACGGATGAGACCTTCCCTCGGCCTTTCGGCCGCCATGTCATTGTATTTCCCCGTGTGCTTGTGCCTCACTCGTGTGTGTGTGCGAAACGTGAAACGTGTCTATACGACCAACATCGACGCGCCCAATGGCCTTGGTAGCCACTTCTGTACAGGTGCATCGGTGAAGACAAACTGCTTAAGCAGCTCTTGTCACTCTAGGTTAGATAGGCTTGAATGTATTTTTTTTTTTTTTTTGTCGTAGGTTATTTTAGCTTGGCAGCCGCTGGGATTTCCCTGTCTAGTTTAAAGAATTTTAAGAATTAGATTTCTTTGAGACGCCAAAGCTAAAGTACCACATTGCTGCAGCTGCTAAAGTTGAAGTCTTCAATTTGCCAAATAAACCAATCCGTCCTGAGCTCTTTTGTTGTTACTGGGTGGGAATATGCTTCATGGAAGTCGACAAATGTCGGAAAATTCCTTTGGGCTGACTTCGGGCGACCGATGCATGCAACCTCAGATCGCCCATTTCGCTTCTTCTTATTTCTACATCCCTCAGTGCAGTGGTGGCCATGCGCTGCCATGGAAGGCATGGGACGCAACGGTTGTCCGTGGGAAAGACAGCAAAGGAGCAGCCCGTCGTCGCCCTGCAGGAAGTGGCGATGCACCTCTCCAACTCTTGCTCGCTTGGCAGCCTTGGCACTGCCTTGGCAGTTGACAGTGATTGCGACGACGGCCGCCGACGGCGTGCTCACGCTGCCGCTTTGTGCCATGTCCGCCACTCGGGGCCGCCGTGCCGTGCCGTGGCCGTGCAAGCCGTCGTGCCGTACCGACGTCCGCGGCTCCGCCCACCTCCGGTCGGCTGGCTGGCTGGCTTCTGGATGTGCTTCAGGTGAATGAATGGATGAGACTTACGCCTTCTTGCCGGTCGGGCCGGGCAGACAAAGGCACGGCACGGCACGGCTCGGCAAGCCCAAGGGGTGGATGAGCGAAACAAGAACCCGCCGCACCGCCCGATGCCCGATTCGAGCGCAGATAATAATACACACGCCTCATCTTCTTTCAATCCGACTTCCTGGAGAACCTGTGTACGAACGCGCGTGTGTGTGTGTGTGTGCGCCTCGGTTCGTTGTACGGTCGTTGTGTGTGTGTGTGTGTGTGTGTGCCGCCAGGTCTTTTCAAATGGGTCCCATGCGAGTGAGTTTACCTTGCCTCTTTTTCATGCACGCTGGCGTGGCAGTGGCGTGGCGTACGGCTCGGCGGAGGCAAAGGCTTTGGCCGGGTCTTTATTTGGAAATGATAATGTTGGTGCGGACGTATGGGGGCCTCCTGTCACCGTGCTGACACGCCGGGGCGCGCCGAGGCCGGGTTCCTCCCGCCCCCGATGAACCCCCTAACCCAGCGGTTCTCAACCTTTCTCGGCTCGCGACCCCAAATTTGTAGCCAAAAATTTCCGCGACCCCCAGGAAAAGTTTCGCGACCCCACGGGACCCCTCCTTTAGCATGCCACTGCGTCTGATCCGAGGCGGGCATTTTGCTCCCTCAACGGGCAATTGGTCTTTGGACCTTCCTTTAGCATGCCTCTGTTACGGAGTGCGATTATCAGTCTTAGTTTGGGAGCAGTATTGTCTCAAAGTTGGCCAAAACGCTCAGAAATGTCTTTAAAAAATCATGTTTTGGGTCGATTTTAAGCAGCCACTGCGTCTGATCCGAGGCGGGCATTTTGCTCCCTCAACGGGCAATTGTTCTTTGGACCTTCCTTTAGCATGCCTCTGTTACGGAATGCGATTATCAGTCTTAGTTTGGGAGCAGTATTGTCTCAAAGTTGACAAAAACAGGCACAACGATTTTTCAAAGACATTTCTGAGCGTTTCGGCCAACTTTGAGACAATACTGCTCCCAAACTAAGACTGATAATCACACTCCGTAACAAAGGCATGCTAAAAGAAGGTCCAAAGACCAATTGCCCGTTGAAGGAGGACGAAATACCGCCTCGGGTCAGACGCAGTGGCTGCTTAAAATAGGCCCAAAACACGATTTTTCAAAGACATTTCTGACCGTTTCGGCCAACTTTGAGACAATACTGCTCCCAAACTAAGACTGATAATCACACTCCGTAACAAAGGCATGCTAAAGGAAGGTTCAAAGACCAATTGCCGGTTGAGGGAGCAAAATGCCCGCCTCGGATCAGACGCAGTGGCTGCTTAAAATCGGCCCAAAACACAACCCCAGCTACCTCGCGGCGACCCCTTAAAATTTTTTCGCGACCCCACTTGGGGTCGCGACCCTAAGGTTGAGAACCACTGCCCTAACCTACCCCAACCCCTCTGCCGCCGCCATCGCCCTCAACGGCCCCACTTTTAGCCCCACCTTGGCTGCGCCCCCATCCTGTACCCCACCCTGGCCCCGTCAGCGGGGAGGTGTCCGCGCGCAGACAAGACGTTGAAGGGCATGTCAGGCAGGGCCTTCGGGGCCCTCAGGGTCGCCAACCCATACCCGAACACGGAGCCTGCCCGAACATGGGCCTGGCGGCCTGGCGGGGCTGCGGGACACAGAGGGCTCAGGTTTCGCCTTCGCCCCGAGTTCCGGGCAGCGAGGCTGCGAGTGACTGCCGAGTCGTTTTCACGGCAATTCGCAGGAAACTTCTCTGCTTTTTTTTCCCCTTCCATTCTTTCTTTCTGTAGCCACCCTCGCTTCGCCTGCTTCGCTGCGCTTCGTATCGCCGAAGAGCAGCAGATTAGTCTACTTTAGCGTGTTTGTCTGCGGCCTTTGATGTGGGCGACGCCTTAGTGCGGCTTTCAGAAGAGCGCTTCCGCACGGTTTCTTCTCGCTCTGCCTCTCTCGCACCCATACGGGAAGCCCCCTGGAGAGCGAGAGAGAGAGAAACTGGGTGTAGAAACCGCGATTCGGAGTGAGGGAAGGTGTGCTCGAGATGTGGCGCGGCGATGCCGGAGAGGACGAGGGGACAGGCGCCACCGCCCGAAAGGTGCGGTCAGAAAGGCGAAGGCGCCAGGCAATTCATTGTTTCCGGCTTTGCGATGCTTTGCGATGCTTTGCGGCGGACTTTGTCGTCTTCGGTCGGACTCGGCTCCGTTTTGGACACAGCGTCCCTCCCTTTGTCGTTCTGTCGACGCGCGCACGGAAAACAAGCGGACCAGTTTGGAGACACAACGGACGTCTCTCCGAAAAGTCCACGAAGGAGCGCAGGCTCGGGCTGGCCAGGGCAGCGGCAGGCATAAAAATCTGCCGGGGCCTTCGGGTTTGGGACCAGTAACGTCACAAAGTTGGTCAAAAAGTGATTGAATTTCCGAAAGTAGCCGTTTTTGCTGAATTTGGACGGCCACTGCGTCCGATCTAGTTGCGCCCAACGGCCTCCCTCGACGCCCAAGCATTCTTAAGACCCTACTCTTACATGCCCTGTGTCGGAAAGACGTTGACCACAACGATTTTGGCTTTGACCGCAACGATTTTCCGACCAAGTTGGTCAAAAAGTGGTCGAATCTCGGAAATTTGCTGATTTTGCTGACTTTGGGTGGCCACTGTGTCTATTCTAGTCGCCGCAAAAGGCCTCCCTCGACGTCCTAGTATTCTTAAGACCCTACTCTTTCATGCCCTACATCGGGAAGACGTTGACCACAACGATTTTGGCTTTGACCGCAACGGTTTTCCGACCAAGTTGGTCAAAAAGTGGTCGAATCTCGGAAATTTGCTGATTTTGCTGACTTTGGGCGGCCACTGCGTCCAATATAGTCGCCGTAAAAGGCCTCCCTCGACGCCCTGGTATTCTTAAGACCCTACTCTTTCATGCCCTGTGTCGGGAAGACGTTGACCACAACGATTTTGGCTTTGACCGCAACGGTTTTCCGACCAAGTTGGTCAAAAAGTGGTCGAATCTCGGAAATTTGTTGATTTTGCGCCCCGAGAGTGCGAGAGCGACGGGAGTCCTGCGTCTCATGGTGGCCATGGTGGCCATGATGGCCGAGCAGCAGGAAGAGGCCTAGAGGCCCCCCTGGGGAAATGGGGGAGGGGCCTGGGCCGGCGCGGGGGTGGGGGCAGCGACGCAGTCGACGCAGCAGCCAGGCGTCCGCAGACTGTGCGGTGGAGGGGGCTGGTGTTGCGCGGGCGGCAGCGGGGCTCAACCCAACGGCTCAACCAAACCACAATCACATCATGGAGGTGCTGCTTGGTCGTACATGGCAGCCCCGCCAGAAGGAAAGAACACTCATGACGCCCCTCAAGGGAGCACGAAAATTATAAGGCTAGCATTGCAGGTAGCCCTCGACCGCGAGAACCCAGGACTCTTCGTTTTCTGGTCAGAGTATATTTCCTGGCAATGAGACAACGGTTCCGACCTTTTGGCAGCAAACGCACCTCCGGGCGTGCAGCAGCGAAGCCGAAACCAGTTTGGTTGTTATTCCTAGAGGGCCTCATCCTCGTCCTCCCCATGAATGAGTGTCTTCGCTGAATGAGAGCAGCGGAGCACCCCAAAAGACAGGGAGCGTCCTGGGCGGGGCGGGGCGATGGGCGTACCGAGCCGCCGTGACATCACAAGCAGGGGCGGGGCGGGGCGCGGCGGGGGTCGTGAGAGCCACTGCCACTGCGCAGCCAAGATGGAGCTTCCGGTGTCCCTGGATGAGTCCGTTGCGGCTAGAAAAGCACACATCCCCCCCCCTTCCCCCAACCACCCTCCCGGGCAGATAAAAGACCGGATCCGGTATGGACTCGGGAGTTAGTTCAGAGCGCTCTGGATGTCATCGGCGACGTGGCCGCCCCGCCCCGTCCGCCCCCGCGCAGGTGACGTCGCCGTCGTCAGGCTGCTGCCTGCCGACTGATTCCGAGAGTCTCCACTCTGGGAAAAAATCACAGTAAATCCTGTAGTGATAAGTACAGCTGTCACTGTAGTTCAGAGTACAGGATTTACTGTACTTTTTTGACAGGATCTACTGTACTTTGTACGGGATTTACTGTACCACAGGAGTGGAGTACGGAATATCCTGTACCAGGTACAGTAAATACTGTCGCCAGGCACAGTAGATCCTGTGTTCTTAACTACAGTAAATCCCGGCAAAAAAATTAACGGGATTCACTGTGGTTTTTTCACACAGTGTCTCTGTCTCTCTCGCACCTATACACAGTAAATCCAAAACCCAGTTTCTGGGGCATCAAAACGTAGAAAAAAACCAGAAATCGGGGTATAAAGATACCGGTAACTTTTCAAACTGAAGCCGTGCGCCATTGCCACCAAATCATGCAGGTTTGCCGCGGAACTCGGGGTGGACGCCCCAGTTTCTGGTAGGATGGCTGTTCAATAACTGTCACGGTGCTCTCGGAGGCTGCGGCACGCGCCCCGAGGGCTGTGGCACCTTGAAACAGATTCATTTCTCCCCGGATTTTGGTCAAAAACGCCCCAGAAACTGGGTTTTGGATTTACTGTGTAGGGGGACGTCCCAATGGGTGCGAGAGAGACAGAGCGACGAGAACGACTCTCGGAATCGGTGTGCTGCTGTGTGCCCTTTTGTTTGGCCGATAGCATCGTCTTGTTCGCGCGTTGCTGGCGTTGCTCCGCGTTGCCCCCGGATGCCCTGACTCCTCTTACACAAGCGAGTCGCTCACTTCAACGACCCTCCGGGCCCTCCGGCCTGGGGTTGGGGCCGGCCCTGAGCGGTGAGGGCCCGGGGCTCCGCTCCGCCACCTCCCCACGGTTTTTCCGGGAAATCACTCGGGAAACACACACGATTTCTCGGGTGCCTCTTTTAGGCCGCTGATGTTCAATCCGGCCCCCTCCTCTTTTACAATTTTTAATAATTTTTTGAAAACTGTGTTTTGTGGATTTGGTGGTTTGCGGACGCCCCCCGACGGCCCGTCGTCGTCCCACGCAGTGAATGCCCACTGTAAAGGCGGTCTCGGTTTACATTCATTCCGTTGTGCAGTTTTTGGATCCGCCCGCGCGATGGCGTATGGACTCCAACGAGCTGCCCCTGCCTTGCCTTGCGGGCTTGCCTGCCTGCGCCTTTGGCTGCGAGTGTAGTAGCGAGGTGGCGAAGCGGTGATGTCTGATGTCGACGGCCCCGGCCGGGCTTTATAGGAAACTCGATATGTGTTCCAGCGACGCACACATGTTGGATGCTGACTTGAGGGCTGCTTGCTGCTTCAGGGCCTTCAGGGGGTGGGGGTTGTTGCCGTCAATGTACCAGCAGCAAGTGCAGGCCTCTACAGTGCGCTGGCTGGCAGGGCCCAGTGTAGGCCCCAGTGTCTGCAGGGCCGCAGGTGGGCCCGTATTGTGGAGCGACAATGCGTTGGGGGTGGGGGCACTTTATAACGTCGCCGTGTCTGTGTGTGCTTTTTTTTCTGCCTGAGAGACATGGAGTGGGAACGAAAGGGACTTTCAAAACGCGCAGGAGCTGTTGACGAGGATTCCGACGAGACTAACTCTCGCATATTATGCAACGAATGGGAAGGAAAAAAAACACTTAAGAAATAAAGGCGTCTACCATGGACAACACCCATTCATTTATTTTTGTATCAATTATTTTCATCTAACAATTACATGTCTAGAAAACAGGATTGTCAACTACAGTCGTGAGAAACATTTGATTTACACATTTTGATTGTAGGCTATCTCAATTTCAAGAAACAAACCTCTCTGTAAAAAGTGACGATTTACGTCTCAAATTTTTATAAAGTCTACGACTTAAAATTCCCAATTAATTTCCCGGGTCAAGTCTTGACTCGCTCATCAACTAATTTTGTGCCGTTTTCACACCACAATTGTAATCAAACGCCGCATATCCCATTGCTCCGAAAAAAGAAAAAATTCTTTTGTTCGCTATTTTTGGGTTTGGGGAGTATGTATGCTTAGAATACTTTTCCGGTACTAGCGAGTATTATTTTGTATTTCGTATACAGTCATTGGCCTGCGGTTCGCGGCATCAGTCTGAAACGCCAACCATCCCAACCCTATCGCGCGGGCACCGAAGTTACACCACCAGCTTCTTTTTGGCACAAAATACAGTACGTATGCATTTTGGAGCGACATTTTAAGGGGCTGCAAGTCTTTTCGGGGTAAGTTCCTACGCGCTCTTGGAGTGGTGGTTGGCGCGCACCAGGGCGATGGTCTGCTCCGAGAGCTGCTTCTGCTGGGCACAGCCGGGCGCCACTCGGTGGCTGTGGCCGTGGCTGTGGTTGTGGCTGTGGCCGTGGCTGTGGCCGTGGCTGTGCGAGTGCGAGTGGACGTTGGCGTGGCTGGCGGCCGGCGCGGGTTGCTGCAGCGGTTCGTAGGGCCCCGTCCACGACCACACCTCGGGCAGCTCCAGCACGCGGTCGCACAGCGCGCCCCAGGCGCCGTCCCAGTGGCGGCGCACGGTGGCCCACACGCGACGCACCCAGGACGCCGCCATGGTGACGCGCGTGCCCACGACCGCGGCGGCCGCGGCGCCGCCGGGCACGCGGTCCAGCATGCGGACGGCCGCGGCGCGCAGCGCACCCTCGGCGACGGCGGTGGCGTGGCCGGCGGCGGCGTGGCCGGCGTGGCCGGGCCGGGCGAGGCACTTGGGCCTCGGCGGCCACTGTCATGCGGCCGGCGGCGTGGTGCACGTGATGACGTGCTGCTCCCAGTCCCAGCCCGACCGGAACGTGGCGCCGCACCGGCACTTGCAGAAGCGCACGTCCTTGTGCAGCGCGCGGTGGCGCCGCAGCTCCACCTCGTCCGACCGGAAGTTCTCGTTGCACACGTGGCAGCGCAGGTCGCTGAGGCTGAGCACGCACAGGTGGCGCAGGTGCTCCTTGTAGTGCCGCGCGAGGTTCCAGGGGTTGCTGAAGTCGGCGGGGCACTGGCTGCAGCGGAAAGGTTTCTTGCGGACGTGCACGGCGCGGTGCTCGTGCAGGGCCTGCGGCGTGTCGAAGGCCGCGCCGCAGCCGCAGCGGAAGAACGCCGTCGGCGACGTGGACGGCTCGGGCGGCGGCGGCGGCGGCATCTTCGGCCACTTGCGGATGCGGCGCGGACTCTCCTTGTTGTGCTTCGTCTCGTGCTCCTTCATGTGCTGCCGGAGCGCGCTGCGCTGCAGGAACTCGCGCCCGCACTCCAGGCACACGCAGCGGATCGGCGTGGGCGCCACCGGGGCCATGGCGCCCCAGCCCAGCCCCAGGCTGCAACACACGCGGGGCGCGGGGCGCGCTTAGAACAAGAAGCAGTGGTCCAACAAGTTGGAGGCGCATCACGGCGCACGGCGGCGCACCCATCGTCCGCGCGAATGCCCGCCGAGTGCCGGCAGGTGTGGGGGAGGCCTTGCTTGTTGTAACAGACCACAACAACAACACTCACTCTCCCGCCCCGGCCGCCCCGGCCGCCCCCGCAAAGGTTTCCGTCCGCGAGCCGCCAAAGCGTTCGCTGCGTTCGCCCACTTCCTGCACACCTCGAGCGCGCACCACTTGAGGCGAAAGCGAATCCTTGTTAATTTCCACCCGATTATCCGCTAAAACTCGCGGGCGGAAACTTTGCGAGGAGCACCCCACTCGAGGGGAGCCGAGGGGCGCGGTGCGCCGCTTTCCCATGAAAACGCGAAAACGCCGACAGAGCGTCGCCTTTTCCCCTTACCTGGCCCCGAAGGCCGTCTGCGTGATGTACGCCTGCTGGATCATGAACTGCTCCTCGAGCTGCTGCTGCAGCAGCATCTGCTCCTCCATCTGCCGGGCCACCTGCTCCTGCAGCTGGACTTGCTGCTGCAGCAGGGCGTGCTCGCGGAGGTGGTCGGTGAGCTGGTAGGCGTGCGGGAAGGCGGCGCGGCACTCGGGGCACGAGAAGGCGGCGACGGGGGCGCGGGCGTGCGCGGCCATGTGCGCGCGCAGGTTGCAGGCGTAGCGGAAGGCACGGCCGCACGACGCGCAGTGGTACGGCCGCCGCGCCGGCGAGGGCGGCGACGACGCCTCGTCGACGGCCCCCTCCGACGACGCCGGCGCCGTCCACGGCCGCCCGTCCGACATCATGAGCCGCTTCGGCGGCGGCGCCGTGCGAGTCCGCGCCATCCGCCACGGCTTCCGCGCCGGCTCCGGGGTCTGGACCACCACCACGGTAGCGCGACGGTGCCTGCAACAACCAACAAAACATTTTAAGATTTCTTCAAAATACTGCAAACACAAATCATGACGCGTCAGCTGTTTTGACGAATATCTGTTTCAGGGGGAACGAAACCGATACTACGTATCGGATCGGCTGATGGCCGTGGGAATACTTTGCTCCCGGCCCCACCACAGAGACAGAGACAGAGGCACCACCTATTAGTCCTAATTTCCCCATTCCCCCGCGCCATCAGTATCATCCCCTGTGCCTCCCCTCCCACGCCGCCCACGCTGCGGCGGCCGGCAACCACTGCCAGCACTACGCGTTGCGTGCCGGCCGCACTCCCCCGCTGGAAATCGGGAAGGTGCGTCAGGCGATGTCATCCTGGTGCCGCCCTGCCGCCCTGCCCGCTGCCTCCATATGGCGCGGCCGGCCCAAAGCAAACCACCCCCGCAGGCCAAGGGGTGGCGGCGCGGCTCGCCACGGCCAGGCCGGGCAGCGGCTCCCACGGCGGACAGGTATCGTTTAGGCGCGCCGTGGTCGCGGTGCTCGCGGTGCTCGCGGTGCGGGTGGACCATATGGCCGCGGGCGCGGCGCACTCGGACCAGGGGGCTGTTCACAGCCTACTCGGCTGCTGCTGCATTAACGATCCCAAATCAATCAATGCTTTATTTTACTCATTTATTTTTTTCCCATCGTCGACCCGACGACGCCATCGGTAACGTCACGACACCCCGTCAAAAGCCGCCTGCTCGCGTCCTTTTCTCCTCCTCGACCCCCAACCCCCCTCCCTCCTTTGTGCCCCGGGATAATCCGGAGCCTGGCCGAGGACGCCGAGGACGCCGAGGAGGAGCAGGACGTCGGGGAGGACGACGCCGTTCCGTGAAGACAACAAGAGTGCTCCACTTTCGTCGAAGAACACGAAGTCGCCGCCGTGTAAATGTGGAGCACGCCGGCCGGCTGCGCGCACCCAAAAGACCAAAGGACCAAAAGCGCATTAGAGGTGTGTACACTGTGCATTTTGCAGTGCGGGGCCCGTCAGCCCGTCGACGCCGAAAAGGTGGACAGCCGTATGATTCCGGAGGGTCTCGCTCTGTCTCTCTCGCTCTCATGGGGGCGCCCCGTGCGTGCGAGAGAGACAGAGCGACCAAACGTTTATTCGGAATCGGCTGACAAAAGGAAGAAGGCGAAGCGGGGCGACGAAATTAGTGGAAAGTGCGGATCATTTGTCGTCCAGTGTGGCGGCGGGCGTGGCGGGCGCGGGGAGTGCGGAGATGCACAACTAGGGTACTACACCGTAGGGCACCTCATCTGCATGTGACAACGAGGACAAAGACGGGATTAAAAGTACGAAGCGCGGTGCGGCGGTGCGCGGACGCCACCCCCTCCCCCTCTCCTGGCGGATGGCAGTGTGTCGGCTACCCGCAAACCCCCGCGCCGCCGCCCCGCTCACACCCCCTGAGCTCGTCGCATTGAAGGATGAGGCCGAAGGGCGTCTGTCTCTCTCGCACCCCTACGGGCCGGCCCGTGAGTGCGAGAGAGACAGGGCGACGCTGTTCGAACTCAGCCTGCAGCGCTTGCCGCCGCCGCCCCTGTCAACCGCACAAACAATGACCCGGCCGAGCCGCGCCGCGCCGCTTGGGTGGAGCCGACTCGACTTCACTAATAATGCCGAAGACAAATCCCCTGCGAGGTTTGAGCCGCGCCCTGCCCAGGCAGCGCCCTGGCCCTGGCCGCATTTTTAGGCGAGCTTTAGCCGAGCCGGCCCTGTGGCTGGCCCACTGTGGGCCGGTCTCTTTGAGAGGATGGCGGCCGACGGACGCGCGGCGCCAGAAGTAGATCATTAGGAGCAGCGTCCTGCCGCCTGCATGCAGCGGATCACTTGAAGGCGAGTTCAGAGGCGCTGGACAAGCTTCGAGGGATGATCGCCGCCGCGAGGGTGGTTCCGACGTCGGCCCGCTGAAAGCGCAGGAACGGCGAACCGCCGCCAAGACCATCGTGGGCTTGGCGACGGTGGCCCTACTTGACGGCGGCCAGGGTCCAGGGGTGCTGCACGAGGCCAATCCATTACCCGCGGCCCTCGTCATCGGCGACATTACACCCCCGCGACACACGCTCACTTTTTTCCGATGGACTCGGCGGCGGCGGTGGCAGGGGGTGCGTTGACATCGGCGCACCACCGCACCAGTTATCTCCACAAGCAGATCCAGATCAACAGCATAATAGACACCGGGCCGAGTGGAGCGACGCGGCCGTCGAGCCCAGCCGGGCCAGCCGGTCCGCGGGCACGCACTTGGCGTTGTTGGCGTTGAAAGCCGCGGCGGCTGTCGTCCGCGTCGTCCGCCGGGGACGGAGGACCGCGCCAGGGGGTGGAGCCTCCACCGGCAGCCAATGGCAGCGCCGCGCTCGCTCCCCGCAGCCCGGACTGACGAGGCTGGCGGCCAGCCCCGCCGGCTCGGCTAGGGGGCTGCCTCCTCCTGCATCCTCGCCGTCCTCGCTTCGCCATGGCACTCCGACTCAGGACGCCGCCCAGGCCGGACCCCCGTCTCGTCTCGGCCGTCGCCGTCCTCGCGAACCTCGCCGCAGAGACCCGCACGCAGGGGAGCCACCACAGCCCCTCGGCGAGTGTTCCGTGACCGCGCGTGTGTGTGTGTGTGTGCCAAAGTGTTTGTTCGATTGGATACTCCGCCAGCGTACGCCAGCGAGATGCAGCAAGTCCAGAGCGCCCCGCCGCCCCACCTCATGGACCTGAGGCTGCACCCGCACCACCAGCCGCCCCCGCAGCAGCAGGAGAAGCTGACACCGACCTCCAGTGAGTAGTGCCTCTGAATGTTTGTAGTGATTCTAGCCGCGAAAAGTGCCCGCCGGTTGAATAAAGACCGACCCCGTCAATCGACGCTGGAAAAGTCATTTTCACCGCTCACTGCGGATACTAGATTTTCAAAGCGACATTTCAAATTACACTCCTTGTATTTTTGTTCCGTTTCCATTGCTTCCTCTCGGGATTGACAGCTGTGTAGGGTGCTGTAAAGGACGGCGAAGAATTTTTAAAACAGGTACCATGCATTTGGCGATTCGAGCTTATTCTCAGTAAATGGGAAAGGGGTGCGAAAGGGGTGGCCGGATTTGAACCCACGCCTTTGAGAAAATGTTTCAGGTTAGGACATTTATGTAAACTTATTTGAAGTTGCACTGCTCTTTTGCTCCAAATTCGCCGCACCGCAGCCTGGCTTCTGAATCACTCGGATGAGAAAGCTAGAGATTCCACTAACAACCAGCCTGCCGGATTATAAACCTTTGCATTTTCTTTCCTGTGGCCGCCTTGTCGTCTTGTCGTTTTGTTCGGAGACTGACGGAGTGACGGAGTCGCGAAAGGAGAAGTGAAGCAAAGGGAGCAGAGCAGAGCATAGCGGGACGGCCGGGCATCCTCGTTTTGACAGCTGCCTCTCTCGCTCTCTCTCACCCCATCCGAGCATCGCGGAGCGTCCTGGCCGGCGGCTTCGGCTTTCTGACTCGACTGCCGTTGTCGTCGTTGTCTGGTGGGTTCCGTTAGGGCAGTCGGGGCGGGGCGGACATCAGGCGGACACGACACGGACTCGCAAAGGGAGTCTGCAGCGCTTTTGGCAAAGCGGCGAGCGGCTTTATTGGAGGCCTGCCCCTGCCCCTGCCCACGCGACCCGGTACACGCCGAGCCAAAAGCCGAGGCCCGGCCCAGGTACCCCATTTAGCAGTGTCAACGACAACGAGTGCGATATTCCTCGCTCTACGCGTGTGCCAGCCAGTGCACTAAATTACGTACCAACAGTTTCGTACTATTTAGGTCCGTCGGGGAAACTCAGCAGGGGGGTGGGGGGGCTCAGTGAGGACCGCGGCGCTTTAGCTACACTGTAGTCTGAAGCTGGCCTCAGCTCACCGATCGCCTTGTTGACTTTTTAACAGTGTCACCTTCCCTTCCAGTGCAGGCGGCACGCAGCGGCACGCCTCAGAGACTCAGAGACGTCGCAGACTCATCAGGCAGTGTAGTGGCAGTGACGTTCGGGACGGACTGCTAATCCCTGCCCTACCTAGCCGAGCCGAGCCGAGCCGAGCCGAGCCGAGCACAGCCGGGCCACTGGCAGGGGCGGTGGGGGCGCGCCGAGTCGGGCGGGGGCTGCGCGCTGCGCTGCGCTGCTGCGACTGATTCCGAGAGTCGTTTTCATCGCTCTGTCTCTCTCACACTCATGGGGCGTCGCGTGCATCCACGAGAGAGACAGAGGGACGATGACGACTCTCGGAATCAGTCTGCCGGTCCAGCCGCAGCCGACAGCCGCCATAAAAGCAGGAGCAGGCCAACCCGTCCGCCGGCGTGGCGTGGCGCGGCGCGGCCGTCGGACTAAAACATAATTTGCGAGGTTATTGAGGGGCCGCTCCACTGAAAGCCCGAAAGCGGTCCGCGGCACAACAAACACTTGTTGGGGAACGGGTGGACAGCACAGCTAGCACTGCGACCTTGGCTGCCAGGCTGCCAGCAACGGCCAACGGGACATTGTCTGACGGCGTGCCTCAAGGCGTGCCTACTCGACCCTCTCCGGGGCCTCTGCCTTACATTTGCGGGGCATTGCGCTCCGGCCTTGGCAGCGAGGTGCAAAAGGGTTCCAGCGCTGATGGCTACTCTGCGAAAAAAAGGGTTGTCACTGCGCGGGTGCTGCTCCACGGTCGTGGCATCGCGGTCGTGTGTCGCGGCGTCGCGGCCACTCCCACGAGGGTGCGGCGCGGTGCGGCGCGGCCTCCCCCACCCCAACCCCTCCCGCATGGCAAATCTGTTGGGATGCTCACCCCCAGCTAATTAACCTGGTCGCCACGCATCCCGCATGGCGGGCCTTGTCTCTGTCTCTCTCGCACTCGCGGGGCGCGCCGGAAGGGGTGCGAGGGAGACAGAGCGACGCGCTCGGAACCAGCCGTGGCGGTGCATTCGCGCGCATTCACACGCCACCACCCCTCCAGGTAACGCCCCTGCGCGACGCCGCCCTGCCCGCCACCCCCCGCGCCGCGACCGAGTGCACCGAGAGCGCCAAGTGGACCCCCAGGGCGGCCTGGGCCTGGGGCGGCACGGCGTCCGACAGTGCGGCGTCCTACAGTGTGGCGTCCTACAGTGCGGCGCACGCAGCACCTCGCTGTTCACTTTTCCGCCGCTGGACCGCGAACTTCTCCATCCCCCGCGCGGCCCCGAGTAAAAACGCGTCACCGCGCGGAGGCACACTGGCACAGCCACGGCAGCGACGTGGCCGCGCCGCCACACCGGAAGCCGACTCGGCACCGGAAGCGGACAGGTGGCACTGAGGCCGCGAGGGGGCGATGCTCATTTCGGAGTGGAGTAATTGGACCGCCTGGCTTTGTGCTTTGTTCGCGTTTATGCATAAATCGCGGACGATCTCCCCCCCCCCCCACCCCCGCCTTACTTTCCGCAAGGGACATTTTTTTCTGAATTTTTGGATGGCAGGAAGGAAGTTGGTACTCCTGGCGACGCTGACTAGCCGAGAGGCACTCCAACTTTCTTTTTTTTTTCGCTTGTTATTCATACGTGGCCGTGCGATGCGGGGCGGTCGCTTCCGTCCTCCGCCTCGGCGGCCCGGTGCTGGATGGTGCTGGACCCCCCAGGCCGGCAAGGCCGGCAAGGCCGCCCCAGGCCATGCGGCCGAGCATTCCCTAGACGTTAGACATGCACTTGTTTGAAAAACCAGTACGCAGTAAAAAACGAGTGGAGTGGGTGACGAGTCCTCGCGTGACCTCCGCGACGAGGGTGCAGGGGGTTGACATGGACTCGCGTGGGAGCGGCCGGGGCCGGAACGGCGCGGCAAGCTGTCGCGGCAGTGTGTCGTCTGCCACCCGCGACCACCACCGCGTACCCGTCAACGCGCACATGTCGCGGCCAAAAGCCGATAATGTCTCTGCTTTCCCAGTCTAACCGCGGCGGCGCCTCTCTGTGTGTTCCAGGCCGCATCCTGTACGACATCCCCTGCAAGGTGTGCCGGGACCACTCGTCGGGGAAACACTACGGCATCTTCGCTTGCGACGGCTGCGCCGGCTTCTTCAAGGTGAGAACACTACATTTTCAACCGCGCTTACAAAAATAAAGCAGTAAAAAACGTAGAGCCGGTATTTGAACCCACGAACTTGCATTTGCAGCGGTCGATCCGGCGGAACAGGCAGTACGTGTGCAAGGCCAAGTCCGAGGGCAGCTGCGTGGTGGACAAGACCCACCGCAACCAGTGCCGCGCCTGCAGGCTGAGGAAGTGCGTCGAGGCGGGCATGAACAGGGATGGTGAGTGTCTCTTTCCGCGAATGCGGTTGCCTTTCCCCTTCCTCGAACTCGAAGCCAGGACTGACCTCTCCTTCCCGCCACAGCCGTGCAGCACGAGCGAGGCCCGCGCAACTCGACGCTGCGCCGGCAGATGGCGCTGTACCTCAAGGACGCCATGCCCCACCACGGCATGCCCATGCTGCCCCTGGGGCCGCCGATGTCGCTGGGCGGCGGGCTGGGCGGCCTGATGCCCATGTCCGTGCCGCCGCAGCACCAGCGAACCTCGCCGTCGTCGCCCGTCGGGTCGCCGCACGCGTCACCGCTGCACCACGCCGGCCCCGCCCTCAACCTGGCCATGCCCAAGCTGAGCCCCCGCAGCGAGGACACGAGCGGCACCGGCAGCAGCCACGGCGCGTCGCCGCCGCCCCCGTCCATGCAGCAACTGCCGCCGGCCCCCGGAGGCCCGCTGCACCCCCGCCTGCACGCCGGCCTGCAGTACCCCCACGCCCAGGCGGCCAAGGTGAGTCCACGACCAGCGCGACGACGGCCACCTCGTTGCTAACGAGTCCATGCTAACGGCCTTGTTGTCTTCCCGCAGAACACCGTCTGGCTGCAGCTGCAGCTTCTCGGCCTCGGCGGCGTCCGCGACGGCAGCCCCGAGCCGTCGAGTCGCAGCCCGCCGCCGCCTCCGCCAGCCGTGCCCTCGCTGCCCCTGCCCGAGACGGTCTGCGAGGCGGCGGCCCGTCTGCTGTTCCTGAACGTGCAGTGGGCGCGCGGCGTGCCCGCCTTCACGGGGCTCAGCCTCCGCGACCAGCTCCTCCTGCTGCAGGAGTCCTGGAGCGAGCTGCTCGTCCTCGCCGCCGCGCAGTTCGCGCTGCCGCTCGGCCAGGACGCGCTCCGCGGCCACGAGGACTACCGCCTCGTCCTGCAGGACACCCTGGCCAAGTTCGCCGCGCTGGCCGTCGACGCGCACGAGTACTCGTGCCTGCGCGCCATCGTCCTCTTCAAAACAGGTGAGTAAAGTCTGGGATTTGAACCCGGCTAGCCCACCGTGGAGTTCGCGTCGCGCTACGCGCTCCGCTAATCTGACGCCCACTGACGAATTCTGTTTCTGTTTTGCAGCCGTGGAACGCGGACCCTTGGTGGACGTCCCCGCCGTGGCCGCGCTGCAGGACCAGGCCCAGCTCATGCTCAGCAAGTACACGTCGGCCGCCCGGCCCGACCAGCCCTGCCGCTTCGGCAAGCTGCTCCTCCTGCTGCCCGAGCTCCGGAAGGTCCCCGCCAACGCCATCGAGGACCTGTTCTTCCGTAGGACCATCGGCAGCATCCCCATCCAGGGCATCATTTGCAACATGTACTCCAACAGCGAGCCCTGACGCCCTGGCCCTGAGCGCGCCGCTGAGGACGCTCATCGCCCCCAGGAGTGCCAACTACACTCTCAGTTGCATGCCAAAGAATGTCTCCTTTTCCAGGTGGCGTTTAAGCGCCCGCCATCCATTTCATGACTTGATTTTGCGGGGACTTTTCGCTGAAGAATGTTGTTATCGATTTTCTTGGCCGCTTCGTGGAACCGCAGGCCTTGGATTGTAAAATGTAATGATTTTCCTCGTCCCCGCTAAATTCACAGTGCGGTGTTTTTAAAGAAAGTGTTTATGCTACTGACTGTTATATTTGTGTACTCGTTGTCTGTGATTTTAAAAAATACGTATTTAGCGCTCTTATCAGAATGCTAGGATGGATCGAAAGCCGAGTGAAGCTGCTGCGTGTATATTTTTGTTAATGTTTATGACTGACAATATCGCGCGTCTCTGGCCTGCACGCAAGTTTCATGTCTTTTAGAAGTGATTTAAAGACTTTCTCCGTCTTGCAATGACGCCATTTCTCGTCAGTTATATTTTTATTAAATATGATAAACATATTTTTGAGCCAATGTATTCTTATTATAGTATATCTTTCGCCTAGTAGGCTGAAACAAATTTATATCGTTTTATACTATTAAATTTAAGATTTAACATGTGTCCTTGTCGGATTTAATCATCACCTTCTCATTCAGACGCAAAACGAGTATATAAAGTCCGACAAATGAAAGGACTTGACACTATGAATAAATTGGGTCGCCAGCCGGAAAAAAGTTTAGAACGGCAGACCTAACCTAACCGGTGCTCTATCTTTCTCTATCTTCAGTCAGTACACGTCCCGTCCCACTCCCACCCCCGTGATGGCCCGGCTCAATAGCTTACTGCCGCGAGGATCGGCCCACGAGGCTGGCTGGCCCGCTGGCCCCGGCCGGCCCGCGCGTCGTCACTGGGTTACCGGGCCATGGCTGGGGGTAGCTCGGGGGGTGGGGGTGCTGGAGAGGCAGGGGTGCCGACGGAGGGGTGGCGGCCGGAGCGGGAGGGGGGAGGGGTGCTGGAGTCGACCCTTAACCTCAAACCGCCTGGCCGGGGCTGCCGGGAGCTACAAAGCCATTGGCTACTCCAGAATGGGACACTCCAGCGAGTGCCGCTCGACCGCGCGGCTGAGGCTGCGTCGCTGCACCGCGTTGCGAGGCACCAAAGCATCCCCTTTGTCTTTGGCTCTTCGGCGCTGTTGTTGCTGCGGCCGGGAAACGTTACAGGGAAGGGAAAGGTAGCGAAACGGACCTCGCTGCACCCTCTTCCTGCTTCGCTGCTTCGAACAAAGGGGCGGTGTGTGGATACAGTGGCGCGCGCTTCCCAAGACTATCCCACCGCGTCTTGACTTTCGGCCGTGTCTCGGCCCTGGCGCGCCCTGGGCCCTGCGCCTCGCCGTGGGGCACCCTGCACCCCTGCCCTGCCCCTCCCCTCCCCGGTCCTTTTCCTGTTTCGGCAACCCGGAAGCGCCCCCTCCTGACCCAAATCCCGGATCGCGAATCCGCGGCTTGCGAGTCCGCGCCACTTACGTGCTCCTAGTGGACTTGCAGAGGCAGCACTGCCGCCGCAGCCCCGGCGCCAGCATGCTGGCCTCGTCGGCGGCGGCGTCCCCGGTCTCCAGGGGCACCAGGGGCACCAGGGCAGGCCGCGGGGGCCGCGAGGCGCGTCCGGCGAGCCGCGCCGCACGCGGTCGGCGTCCCGGGGGCGGCCGACGGCGCGGGGGGCACGTCGGGCAGCGCGTCGGCGCCACGGCACTGCTAGGCCTCGGACCCGGACGGCCACGCCAGGACGCCACGACGCGGTGCCGGCTCCGGGGGCGTCGCGGCGGCGTCGGGCGGCGGAGCGCGGGCCGGCGGCGCTGCGCTGAGGACCGGGGCTTGACTGCCTGCCGGGCCGGCGTGGCCGCTCGCCGCGTGGGGTGGCGGGGGCCGCGGGGGTGGCGGGGGCCGCGCGAGGAAGCGAGGATCAATATGTGCCGGGCGGTGGTGGAGCCGGTGCCGCGGGGGGTGGGTGGGTCCTGGTGGGTCCTGGTGGGCCCGGGCGGGCCGCGGCGGGGATCAGGCCCCCCGCGGCGGGGCGGGGCGGGAGGGCAAGGTGAAGGGAGAGGGGTCTGGACCTGCTGGCCCGGCCGCGGCACGGCGGCACGGCCCGCTGCATCCGCTGGTGGGGGTGCTCGGGGTGCTCGGGGTGTCGCGCGGCCCGAGAGACAAAGGAAGGTCGCCGCCGATAGTTCCGCAAACAACCCGGACGGCTAAATGCGGCACAATGGCAGGGCCGGCCGGGCAGCGACATTGCCAAGGGCGCAACACTTTGGGCGAGGATTTCTCCACCAGCGGGCGTTACCCTCCAAGAACGTAACTTTCGGCGATGCCGCTCTCCCCGTCCCGTCGCTGCACTTTTCACACCGCGGCTCGGGATCCGGGCGTGTGAGCCTCGGCAGCCTCGAGGTCCGTGCGTCGCGACGACCTCGTTGACGACCTCCTTGACGGCCTCTCGAGGGGCTCGCCGAATTCCACTCGCATTCCTCGGACTCGGCGCGGAGAGGACGACGACGGCCGGGGTGCCCGCACATGATTACACACAACAAACAACCCCCGGGGCCAGCAGGCTACAGGCAGCGCACAGTGTAGGGCCAAGCCTCGCCGACTCCAAGGCAATCCGGGCGAAGGCGAAGAAGAGGGTCGCGCTGGAGTCGACGGTGACTTCATATCGAAAAGGCAGCCCATCCCTCCGCCATCCCTCCACCGCCTCGAGGCTCTCCCCCCGCGCGCCCCCCGAACCCGCACGCACGCACACACACAGGCACACCGCCGCGGCGGCGCGGCGTGCAGTGTGGGACTGGCGGCCAACAACCCCGCAACTGCCGCCCCTGCGCTCGCGGCTGCGTCGCTCTGCCACGCTCTGCCACGCTCTGCCTCTCTGAACCCGCCCGATTCCCCGACTGACTGACGGCCTGACTGACTGACTCACTCAATGGCTTCTTTAGTTGGCTGCGTGCACTTTCCTCATAATAAAAACAGGTCGCGTCGCGTCGCCGCGTCGCCGAGCCAACGCGGCTGTCTCTCTCGCACCGCCGGCGCGGCCTCGCGGGCCCTGTGGGGGTGCGAGGAGGACGGCGATGCGGCTGGCGTCGGGGATGATCCTCGGGGGGGAGGGGGGGGGGCTAAAGAACCAAGTGAAGCTAGGCCGAGGCGAGGTTCACAAAGCCACGGTAACTAAACAAGGCAACATGGAGTAAATAGTCTCGGGCAAGGCCAGCGCGGCCAGCACGGCCGGCCTGCCTCGGAGCAGAGCTGGCGGCATTGTTGCAGTGATTAGGCAAACCAGCCGGAAAATCTTCACCTCCCTCCGACAATGGGCGAGGAGGCCGGGAAGGCCCAGGACGGGGTGCCTGCAAAGGCTGCAAAGGCCGCAAAGCCAGAGAGTCGTCTTCGTCGCTCTGTCTCCCTCGCACTCACGGGGCGTCCCCTGTAGGCGCGACAGAGACGGAGCGAATAAGTCGGCTGGGTGCGTTCAACTTTGCCTTCAGGCCGATGGGCATAGCCAGGGCATGGGCAGCAGAGCAGCAGAGCGGACCGAGGGTCGAATGCAATCCTCGGTTATTGGGGTTCAAACACCACCGCGGCCTTTAAAATTGATTTTTTTTAATTTTTACGGGGTCATCGGACGTTCCCGCGCGCGCCTCACCTCAGAGGGACCGCGCCACTAATAAAGCCACAATGATCGCCACGGCGTTGTTCTATTTTGTTACGATTTATTTTTCGGCCGCAACCGCGAACGTAAAGAATGGGGGCGAAACAAAGTCGGCCAAACCGAAAGATGATCTGGTCAGTGTCGGTGCCGCGGGCAGGCCGGGCAGGCCGGGCCAGGCTGGCGCTATCGACTGCCCCATCTCGCTTACATCCCCCGGCTAATTCGACCTCCTGGCCGAAAGCGATCGCTCCGTCTCTCTCGCACGCACGGGGCGTCCCCTGAGGGTGCGAGAGAGACGGAGCGACCGTTTCGGAATGAGTGTGCGCAGGGTGCGGCACGGAGTGCACGGAGCGCGTCACAGGCCCACCACAATGGCGAAAAGCTGTGGCCGTGCAGTGTGTGTGTGAATGTGTGGCTGTGTGCGTGCGCGCCGCACCAGCTCAGGCGGACCAGCATTTGTACAACCGTTTCCATTCCGTTCCGTTTCCCTGGCGCCTCACAGACGCCGCCGGCGCACAACAAAACATAAGCAGGAAAAGAAACAGGCCAGTCAAAATTCTGATTACTTTCGTTTGCTTGATTGATAAAGTTTGCGTTTTGAAAATGTTTGGTCCGTCTGATCGGGCGAGGCGGGCCTCTGAGTCGGCCCAGGGCGCGGCCCTCGCCTTTATCGCTCTACGTCGCCAGGTACCCAGGTACCCAGATACCAAGCCAGCCAAGCCAGGGCGGCGTTCGACGCGCCGCTTTGATTACGAAGCACTTGACTCACCGAGTACTTGGAAGCCGCGAAGTCGCTCCCGACGACGCCGCCCGTTTGCGTTCGTGTTTGTTTCGCCGGACACGTCCCGGAAAAGGCAGCGTTTTTCCGGGAACGCCTCCGGGCCGCCGCGCGTACGGTCCTAGCGCCGGGGGCGAGAGAAGCCAGCGCCGAGTCCAACGACCCCGGCCAGCCGCCTGAGCGGCCCATTGTAGGCCGCTGCAATTCGAGTCCGGCTCAAGCAGTCTGTCTCTCTCGCACCCTTGCGGGCCGCGCCTCGAGTGCGAGAGAGACAGAGCGAGGCGGCGGCTCGCGACCGGGGAAGTCGGATTTGTGTTATCCGGCGGCCGAGGGCGCGCCTCTGCCGCCGCCTCCCCGGCGTTGGCGGGAAAAAGCAAAACGAAAAGCCGTGCCTGAAAACAGCTAAAAATAAAGTAAGGCTGCTGCGCGGCCGTGTCGGCCCCCAGCCCCAGGCCGATGGACGATAAACTGGAGGCTCTTGTTCACGGCGGGGGTAATCCGGAGCGCCAGGCCGCGCCGGAGGAAGCGGCAGCAGGGCGGCAGAGCCGCGGGGTAGGCAACACGGCGCACACGCCGGCGGTCGGGTTAGGCTACCGCCTCCGTCACAGGGGCTGAGCCGTGGAGCGGCCTCGCATCGCAGCAGCACTCTGCAGACTCAAAGGTGCTCTCGTCGGGGTCCACGCTCGCCGGGCAGCCGATGCAGGCCGTGTCCGCGCTGGACCGCGCCGTCGACGACGCCGTCCCGCCGATGCAGCGCAGCAGCGGCGCACTCGGAGCGTCAAGTGCTAACCGCTGCTGTTAGTGTAAGTGAGCCAAATGAATGGATCTCGTTTCACTTTATTGCTACACCGTGGAGAGCCTCCGGAGGAAAGGGGAGGGAGCAGCTGTCGCAGTCGCGCCGGTGACACCAGCGAAACTGTTACCGCGCTCAAGAGCTCCTCGAAGCGGCCGATGGACGCGGAGCCCGCGGAGCGAGGGGACGCGCGCGCTCTCTCTCTCTTTCTCTCTTCCTCTCTCTCTCTCTCTCGCTCGCCCGGTCGCTCCTAAAGGATTCGTTATATTTCAAAAGAAAGACTTGAATCGGACTGACTTAATGGGCGCGAAGAGGAGGGCCTACCCTGGCAACCGCGGCCCAGACCTTCGGACTTTCCGCCTCGGGGCCGGAAAAGCCATCGGCACTTGTGGCGAAGTTTGAGATAAGATTACCAATCAATCAGCGCCGGGAATACTTTAGCGGTGCAGTGGCCTGCATGACGCTGTCCGGGAGGCGCGAAAACAAAAAAGTCGGGAAACTCTGCGCACTACCCCAAGCACCGGTCGAAATAGGACTGAATCATCTTGACGGTCTTGACGTAAACGCGTGGCACGTGCGCCCTTGTGACGACAGTTGCCAAAGTTGATAGAATTTCGAGAATCCAATTTCTCAAAAAGCAATAATACTTGGTCTGATGATAAGAGTTCAGCGGCTTTCGGGCGTCACTGGGCGGGATAAACTTGGTGGTGGCATCCTTTCACGTCGTGCCTTTTTCCTGTTCCTTGAGCAGCGCCTTCAGGGAAAAAAGATGAGGAAATGGCTTCGTGTATTCCCCTAGGCAATGGCAACCACGTCATAGACCGACAAGTGCATACGCCCCGGCACTGACACTGCGTTTTATTGGCCCACTCGAGATTTCAAAATATTCCACGCACCATTTAGTCGATATGGCTCATCATCTGGGCTACTGGGGCGATGCACGGCGACGCGGGGCGGGGCGCTGATTTGCCGCGTCTGTCAGTAATCGCGGGAGATAGCGCGGCAATTGCGCGACGACGCCGATAACAACAATTAGCGTCTGTCTCGCGTCGGTGCGTCGCCGCGTCGCCCCATTCGACTGGCGGCGTCCGCGGCGTCCGTCAGCTCAGGTAAGCGCGGCAACGGGCCCATTTGACGAAAGAACGGCTTCACTTCCGAACTTCGCCTGTCGGTTAGGTTAGGTTAGGTTAGCTCAGGTAAGCGCGGCAACGGGCCCATTTGACGAGGGAATGACTTCACTTCCGAAATTCGTCTGTCGGTGGTGGAAGCTCGTCAACAGTGAGGACCACGAGCGCTATACGCACGAAGTAACTTGTGTTTCAAATTCAATTTCCTTATACTTTGTCACACTCAGTGCCAGACACTTGTACAAACGCGCACCATTTAGGAGATACAGACAGAGCTGTCGACCTTTTTTTGTTTGGTTAAGTTGGCATTAGCGGGCTTTGCTCAAACGCCGGGCGGAGTGACTTTTTCTGTCGAGGGAGCACAGGTTCGGAACGCTTTGACGTGTGCGACAGTGCGACACCGGCGCGTGAGTGGCACAATCTCGATCCTCCACCCGAGTACCGAGTACCAGCACACTATCTTCGCAAGCGGATGAAAGATAGCCGGCCGGAGGGAAAACGCCTACGCACTGTTCACCCACCCTTTTTTTCGAATTCTTTTCTCCTTACTCAATTTTTTATATTTTTTTTTAGAAACAGCCATGGTGCAGTGGTGCGGCTTGCTGGTGCTGGTGGCGACGGCCGCCCTGGTGCGGGGCTCGGCGCTCGGCCCTGGACCGGCCCCCCGCCTCGTACTGCCCCCCGCCGGACGGATCCAGGACGACGCCGAGAAGCTGCTGGGGCTGCCCGCCGGGGTGCAGGTCGACCCCGCGCCGCCGCGGCGCTACAGCCCCGCGCCCAAGGCCGCCGTGAAGGCCGTCCGCGCCGACGCCGACCCCTACCGCCTGCCCCAGAACGTGGTGCCCACGCGCTACCAGGCAAGCGCTTGCTTCCAACGCGAACAGAAACACGTTGCCTGTGCACTTCCCTAACCTCTCGCTGCCCTCCGTAGCTCGCCCTGACCGTGGACATGACGGTCCTCAGCTTCACGGGGTCCGTGAGCATCTCGCTGAACGTGCTGGCCGACACGGACACCATCGTGCTGCACGCCGCCGACAACCTCGGTTTGCCCGAGGACAGCGTGAGGGTGGAGGCCGCGGACCACAGCACCGTCGCGGTCAGCAAGGTGGAGCGGAACAGCCAGTACAGCACCGTGACCGTCACCCTGGCCGCCCCACTGCAGAAGAACGCGCACTACACGCTCTCCTTCTCGTCCTTCTCGTCGGACCTCCTCGGGGACCTCAGCGGCTTCTACAAGTCCAGCTACGTCACGTCGGACGGCACCACGCGCTACTTGGCCACGACGCAGTTCGAGTCCATCAACGCCAGGAAGGCGTTCCCCTGCTTCGACGAGCCCAGCCTCAAGGCACGCTTCGACATCCAGATCACGCACGACAAGGGCTACGGTGTTCGGTCCAACATGCCGCTGCTGAGTACCAGGTACCTACCCCACCTGCCATTCTAAGCCACAGCACGCAGAGCGAGCACTCAGATCGACTAACGGCCACTGGTTTCCAGTTCCGACGACAGGACCCAGACGACCGTCTTCAAGTCCACCGTCCCCATGTCCACGTACCTGCTGGCGTGGGTGGTGTCCGACTTCGAGAAGGTGTCCAACGCCGACGAGACCTTCAACACGTGGGCGCGCAAGGACATCGTCGCGGGTGCCACCATCAGTCAGCAGGTGGGCCAGGAGGCCCTGAAGCAGCTCGCCGAGTACACCGGCATCGCCTACGTCATGCCCAAGACGGACCAGTTCGCCATCCCCGACTTCAGCGCCGGCGCCATGGAGAACTGGGGCCTCGTCACCTACAGGTACAAGCACAGGCTGCGCCGCGCGGTGGCAAACGTTCTGCAAGTTGCTAAAAGTGGCCGTGGTCCGTGCACACTGACAGGGAGCCGTACCTCATCAAGACGGAGAACACGGACGTGTCCTACGAGCAGACGATCTCGACAATCATCTGCCACGAGCTGTCCCACCAGTGGACCGGCAACCTGGTCACCATGGACTGGTGGTCCAACACCTGGCTCAACGAGGGCTTCGCCACCTTCTTCGAGAACTTCATCTGCGACAAGGTGCGCCTGGACTAACCCTGCCCAACACGACGCAGTGCGTGACGAACGCGTCAACAAACCAAAACAATCCGTTTGCAGATCAACCCCGACATGAAGCTGATCGAGAAGGCCATCACCACGTACGCCCAGGTGGCCTTCAACAACGACCTGATCGACACCCAGCACGCCATGAGCAGCCCCGTCTCCAGCCCCGCCGAGATCGAGGCCAAGTTCGACCGCATCTCCTACTCCAAGGGTGAGCGTCGTGGGGAAAATCCAGGCTCGGACTGGCCCCAAAAGGCCCCAGCGGATAAGAACGCAAAAGGCCCCCGATCATCGTTTTTACCCTTCATGACCAACTTAGTCAGGCTACCGCTCCCAAACTAGTTGCGGTCAATAGCCTTCCCAATACAGGGCATGAAAGAGTAGGGTCTAAAGAATACTAGGACGTCGAGGGAGGCCTTTTACGGCGACTAGATTGGACACAGTGGACACCCAAAGTCAGCAAAATCAGCAAATTTCCGAGATACGACCACTTTTTGACCAACTTGGTCGGAAAATCGTTGCGGTCAAAGCCAAAATCGTTGTGGTCAACGTCTTCCCGACACAGGGCATGAAAGAGTAGTGTATTAAGAATACTAGGACGTCGAGGGAGGCCTTTTACGGCGACTAGATTGGACACAGTGGCCGCCCAAAGTCAGCAAAATCAGCAAATTTCCGAGATTCAACCACTTTTTGACCAACTTGGTCGGAAAATCGTTGCGGTCAAAGCCAAAATCGTTGTGGTCAACGTCTTCCCGACACAGGGCATGAAAGAGTAGTGTCTTAAGAATACTAGGACGTCGAGGGAGGCCTTTTACGGCGACTAGATTGGACACAGTGGCCGCCCAAAGTCAGCAAAATCAACAAATTTCCGAGATTCCACCACTTTTTGACCAACTTGGGCGGAAAATCGTTGCGGTCAAAGCCAAAATCGTTGTGGTCAACGTCATCCCGACACAGGGCATGAAAGAGTAGGGTCTTAAGAATACTAGGGCGTCGAGGGAAGCCTTTTACGGCAACTAGATTGGACACAGTGGCCACCCAAAGTCAGCATAATCAGCAAATTTCCGAGATATGACCACTTTTTGACAAACTTGGTCGGAAAATCGTTGCGGTCAAAGCCAAAATCGTTGTGGTCAACGTCTTCCCGACACAGGGCATGAAAGAGTAGGGTCTTAAGAATACTAGGGCGTCGAGGGAAGCCTTTTACGGCGACTAGATTGGACACAAAATCGATAACCAAAGTGGTAGATTTGTTTTTAGAATTGCCTGACGGTTTCTTTGCTTCCTGCAGGCGGCACCGTCCTCCGCATGTTCCAGCACATCCTCACCCCGGCCGTCTTCCAGAAGGGCCTCTCGCGCTACCTGGCCACCAAGTGAGTCACGCCCTTACGGCCAAGTAATTCGAAAAAGGTCGACAAATAACCCAAACGCCCCGCGATCGTGCGCAGCATGTTCATGAACGGCACCCCCGAGAAGCTCTTCCGCGCGCTGGCCGCCGAGGCCGCGGCCGCCAACGACAAGACCCCCGACACGGTGTCGCTGCCCGACAACGTGGACTTCCCCGCGGTGGCGAGGAGCTGGACTGAGCAGCCGGGCGCGCCCGTCGTCACGGCCTCGTGCGACTTCAGGGCCAAGAAGTGCACCCTGTCGCAGCAGCAGCTGCGCTCCGCGTCGTCCACGTCCAAGACCAGCAACAAGTGGTACATCCCCGTGACAGTCATCACCTCCAAGTCCGCCGACCTGTCCGCCGTCAAGACCGTCGCCTGGCTCACGCCCGACAAGGACAGCGTCAGCATCGACATCGACGTCGACGACGATAGCGCGCAGTGGGTCATCATCAACCCCCAGCAGACAGGTGCGTCCGGGGTCCGGCACGCGAGAGGAGCCTGTCGAGAGGCACTTCCTGAGGCTTCCCTGACCGCTTTGTGTCGGCAGGCTACTACCGCGTGCAGTACGACGACGCCTCCAGGGGCCGCATCCTGGCCGCGCTCTTGGACTCCCAGAACGAGGCTGTGCTGGACGGAGCGACGCGCGCGCAGTACTTGAGTGACGTCCTGGGCTTGGCGCAGACCGACAAGCTGGACTGGACCGAGACCGTCAAGGCCCTGCAGACCCTCAAGGACACGCAGAACTCGGCCGTGTGGCTGGCCGGCTTCCGCGTCATCAGCACCCTGGCTAACGAGCTCGCCAACACCGACGTCTACTCGTCGTTCAAGGTACAGTACGTGCCAACTAACGCATAGACACTGCGAGAAAAAAAGTCTTGCAAAGTCATGCCCTCTGTTCAGATTATCTTGGACAAGGTCACCGCGTCCACGTTCGAGAAGGTCGGCCTGAAGGTCAAGGAGACCGACGACCACAACACCCGCCACCTGCGCTACTTCGTGGCGCCCTACGCCTGCGCCAGCGGCAACGCCGATTGCCTCGCTGAGGCGGCCACCATGCTCAAGGATCTTTTCGCCAACAGCGTCCTGTAAGTCACGGCCACGCCGCCATGCAGCGAGGTTCGACGCTCTGAGGCCTCACCTAACCTCACCTAACCTCACCTAACCTCACATAACCTCACATAACCTCACCCCTCTCTCGCGTCGCAGCCCCCACGTGGACATGGCCCGCGCCGTGCTGTGCTACGGCCTCAAAACCACCGACGACACCGTCTTCGCCAACGTGAAGCAGCTGTGGCAGTCTGCTACTGGAACGACGCGAAGCGACATGGCCACCGCCCTCGCCTGCGCCCCGAGCCAGAAACTCGTCTCGACCACGGGGTGAGTTGTCTGCCTCTGTCGCACTCACGGGTCGTCAGCGCGGAAGAGACAGTGTGATAGCGCCACACTGGTGTGGTTGAGGCGCACTTTGACAAGGCGGTGTTTCCTCAGGCTGATCCCCGAGCTGCTGTCCAAGACGAAAGCCAAGGAGCAGGACAAGTCCGACCTGTACGACCTGTTCGACTCCATCATCACGCAGCAGCCCGACCACCGCCGCGCCCTGCTGGACTTCGTCAAGGGCAACTGGCAGAAGATAGACACCTTGTAAGTGCAACAAAAGCTCACTTGAAAATTATATTTAAAAAAAAAATTGAAAGTGATATATGTTTTTTGTCGGTTTCTTTCGCTTGCGCAGCTTTGGTGACACCGAAAGCCTGGCCATGGTCTTGACTTCCATCATCGGCACGATCCGCAACGACGCCGAGCTGAGCGAGGTGCAGCAGTGGGTGCGCTCCACCTTCTCGGGCCGCGCCGAGTACGCCAACATCCAGGGCTCGCTGTCCATCATCGAGGACCGGCTGCACAACGGCTGGTACCGCAGCAACTACGAGAAGGTGGCCGCCTACATCTACCTGGAGACGAACACCCACCCGCCCGCCGGCCCCACCACCTCCCATCCCCCAACCTCCAACCCCGGCCCCACCTCGGCACGCCCCACGGGCCAGCCCGGCCCCACCTCGGCACGCCCCACCGGCCAGCCCGGCCCCGGCCCCAACCCCTCGACGGCCAAGCCGAACGGGGCCTCCTTCGTGGCGGCGTCGACCACCACTCTCCTCTCCTTGGTGCTCCTGGTGGCCGCCCTTGCCCAGAGGGCGTAGAGCCCTTTTTGTAAATTTAATTTTAGCTAGAAAACTCGATAAATAAACTTTTATACCGATCGTTGAGAGGCTTGGTCTCTCCATCCCTGCAGTCCGGCTCGGCTCCAGCTTCTCCAGCTAGCGTCGGCTCCAGCGAGCTTACTTGCATCGGCTGCAGACGGATTCCGGACAGCGGACCGTCTCTCTCGCACCCGCGCGGGACGCCCCGTGAGTGCGAGAGAGACGGGGCGACGAAAGTGATGTTCGGAATCTCTCGGCACGACACAATGACTCCTCAGCTCATGAGGGGTAACAGAGTGGAAAATGTGTGCTTTGTCCAGGAGGTGGGGGCAAGGCACGGCGAGAGAGAAATGAGAGAGAGAGGGAGAAAGAGGGAGAGAGAGAGAGAGAGGGAGAGAGAGAGAGGCACCCAAGTCGATTGCCTGTTGAGATAAACAAGGCCTGTATGGCTCTGACCACAATGAGCCCTTGCCTCCTGCACGCCGCCCGACGAGTCCCTCCGCGTCCTGGTCGTCTTGGCCCTCGACGGGGCGTACCGGTGGCTTACCTAATGAGAGCCTTCACCGCCCCGCCCCCGGCGTGTCGCTTACACCTAAGCCGATAAAACAAAAGACTGAGACGAGGCGCTAAAGACTGCCACACGCACGCGCCACAAAAATAGCAAAAACAGCAACAACAAGACACATTCACAACGGCGTGGCCGGTATTCGAACCCGCAGACACCTCGGCGACGACGGGGCGGAACCGCGCTGCGAGACAAGGGCTGCTTCCACGCCCAAGGATCACACACAGCTCTCTCTTTCCCGCTCCTCATTAAGTCTATCTGGAATGTAATCAGAAGTCTGGTATTTTCCTTTCCGGCGGCATCAAGATGAAGAGGTGCGTGTTTGTCTCTCGGAACAGTATACCCACCCCCTGCGAGCATCCCCTCCCCATCCCCGGCCGAGCTCGCCGAGCGTCACTTTGTCAAAGAGCGTGTCAGATCACCGACATGGCTGCAGATTCCTTTCAATATCACTGCGACCATTTTGTTGTGCTCGCCGCATGGCAGAGCGCGGGGCGGGGCGGGGCGGGGCGGGGTGCGCGGGGCGAGGCACCCTGCCACCCCTCGCCTTCGCGCTTCGCCCTCGGACGGGTGGTTTCTGGGTGTCTGATGTTGACAGCGTTGCGGGGCTAAAGTGGCGGAGATCGGCGGGGCAGGGCAGGCAGGGCAACCGGTTCCCGAGGGATGCGCTGCCTGCATGCTGGCTGGTGGGGTCGCCGTCGTCGCCGGTCGCCGCACACAATGGCTGGGTGGAGGGGGGAGGGGGAGGGGAGCCAGAAAGCCAGGTAATAGACGAGTCAATTTGTCGACGCGGACGATCACTCCGGCTGGCCGATTCCGAACACGGTTCTGTCCTTGTCGCACTCAAGGGGCGTCCCGTAGGAGCGCGAGAGAGACAGAGCGACGGAGGCCCTGTTCGGAACCGCTCTGCGGACGGCGAGGCGCGGCGGTGCGGCGGTGCGGCCGGCGGCTCAACTCAACTCCCGCTGCAGCTGGATCAAAAGCCTTTCAGTCGGGCTGCCGGCTGTTTGTTTTGAGTTTTGCGCAAAGCCAGGCAAGCCAAAGGCAAGCCATCAAGCCAGCGGCGTGCCGCGGCGCGGCGGGAGGAGAGGAGGTGGGAGGGAGAAGTGGAGTCGAAAACTTTGCAAAAACGTCAACGAAGGCCTGAAACTTGCGGAATAGACTGGCCTTGGTCGATCACCTCCACAGTGCAGTGGTCTTTGGGCCTTCCCTGAGAACAGGGCACACGAATGGCCACATAAGTTTAGATGCAAAGTGAGCGCAAAGTTCGCCAAAACGTCCAAGAATGACTGAAATGAGGACTGACTTTGGTCGATCACTGCAGGCTGCGCCCAAACTAACTCTCTCTACAGTGTAGTGGTCTCTGGTCCTTTTGAATCAGCGCGCCACCAGCGCCAGGCCCCGGTGCACAGTGCTGCCCCCCACCGGCAGGAGCCGCAACTACGCGCGCGTTTGGCGCCAGCCTAATTTTTCATACCCTGCTGAAGCTGAAACCACGTGACCGTGTGATGATGTCGTCGTGTGCAGAAAATGAATGAATGTTGTTATTGCCTGCAGTGATAGGCGTCTCATCTTGATATTTGCCTTGATTCCGTTCGGTGCGTTGATCTCTCTCGTGTGTAACGCGTCCACCTCGTCTGCGGCCGGCTTTACTCAAAGTGTAGGAGTCCTTTCTTTGACTGTGGTCGGTTTTCTTGGTTTACAGGAGCTGAGAAGTATTCTGCGCGTAGCTAACCTGAACGCGGAGCCGGCAAGATGGGGCGAGGGCGACTGCTGAGTACTCTGTGCCTCCTGGCACTGCTTGCGGTGTACTGCCACGCCCACAACAAGTACTCGGCCAAGGCGAACGAGGCCGACAAGAGCAAGCCGGGGAAGGCAGCCAAGCCTTCCAAGAAGGACCTCACTCCCCCCAAGGAGTCCATTTTTGGCGAAGTGTCAGACTTCAGGAAGCTCGAGAAACCATTCCGGATGGCCAAATTGAACATGCTTTGGAGCAAAGCCCAGTTGGTCAGTCCCTTTTCTGTTTCTCATTTTCTTTCTACCACTCCAGCTAGTTTTCGGTCATCACTGTGTTACGTGTGACTTTTACTTTGCAGAGGCTGACGGAACCTAAGCTGAAATCACTCTTCAGCGAGCTTAAGATTCACGATAAGGAAGAGCTCACGTTCAAGAAGGTGAAGTCTGAGGGGAAGGATAAAGATGGCATGATGGAGGCAGACATGAGGAAAAGGCTAACTGGTAAGTCTATGTTTCTTGAATGGTTCGCTTTCCCGTTATGTTCCACCTTACAATTTGTATGTTTTATCATAGGTATTATGAGTTCTTATGATCTCCTTGAGCATTTTGAAGATGTCAATGATCCCTCAAAGTATAGGCTCCACAAGCCCTTCAACCAAGCCTCCGACGACAATTTGACTAAAAAACTATTCAAGGACAAGAAATTGAACAAATTGTGGGACAAAGCAGAACATGCTGGATTCTCTGGTAAGTTGGCTTTCAATGCTTAATGGAAACTCAACTTTCGGCTTTGAGATTATGTCTAATGAACTACCTCTTGCAGCTGAGGAGCTTCAAGCCTTGAAAGAGGAGTTCCAACACCATCAAGATAAACTGGACCAATTTTACTCGCTTCTTAGTGAGGTTGAGAAGCGCAACCCACAGGATGATGCTGAAAGTGAGTTGGACTCTGATGAAACCCAAAATATTTCCCTTGAGATTTAATTTTCAAATTGTAACATTTTTATTATTATTACCCTCTCATTTTTAGATACTGTTGATGAAACTCATGATAAGTTCAACGAAATTGCGTCTGTGGAGGAAATCAATAAAGACCCTACAGCGAAAGCAAATGAATTGAGGTAACAATTGTTCATCAGTAAAGCTAAAGATCCTCAATGAAACACATTAATTTTCTCCTATGTTTGTTCCATGTCTTTCCTCATAGAACTCATCATCGAGATTTAAAGGATAGTTATGATCGCCTCAACAGAATTGCCTCTAAAGGACCTAAAAGTCAAGATTTTGTTGAACCAAAGGTGCAGGGACTTTGGCGTATTGCTGTAGAATCCAATTTCTCAGCAGATGAATTGGCATCATTGAAGGTGAGTAATGATGGATTGTTTGGTTATCAGGACACTAAACAAAGAAAAATTGGACTAAATATATTTCTATTTTCAGACTGAGCTACTTCATTATGAAAACCGCTTACTGAAATTGAGGCATCTTCAGGCTGAGGCTGCCCTGGGACAACAGCGTCATGGGGACAAGAAAGTTATAGGCCACAAAAGTGATGGAGAAGAGTTAATGGAGGAAACCATCAAAAAGCATGCAAGGAAAGTTGAAAAATTGCATGACTACTTGTCTAAGCGAATTACTAACAAACATTCAGAACTCTAAAGACATTGTGCACAAATGTTATATGTCACCAAAGGATATCTATACTGAAATTTTATACTGTCGTTGGATCTTTTATTTGTTTGTATAGACTTTTAAAAAAAGTTCCTTAGAATCTCCTTATATTTTTGCCATCATTTTTGTTGCTTTCTCTTCTTTTCTATGTTAATTTTATTGTTTTCTATATTACCTGTCTAAAACTCAATGTGACTGTGCCACAATTTGTATTGTATGCAAGTATTAACTTCTTCCAAAGCCTCTGTGATTGTGATTTTCTCTATTTTTCTTACTGTAACTCTTTTCTGTTTCCATTTAAATTCTATGTAAAATAATTTTAATTATGTTTAATTACTTTACAAATACATTGTGATAAGGGCATCTCTTTACTTGTAGGCATTTGTGATATTAGTTGGATATTCCTCTTTGCACATGCCACTCCCGCACCACTTTTTTTCCCATCTCTACTCACATCTGGAGAATGATGTCCCTCTCTGATATGCCAGTTTACTTACTGTAGTATTTCTCTAATGTCTGATCAAAACAATGTACTAGTTTGTAACTGCTCTGAACTGTTTGAAAAAATATATTTTTGATGTTGTTCCATTGTGAAACGCGGACCTCATTTCAAATACCTATCATTGTCGTTCTAGAACCCTAAAGGGTAGAGTTTGGGTCACCGCCCGACAGGTAGGCAACTCAACGCACACGGCGAGGTCCTCCAGATCCGGGCGAGCGCCTGCAGTGTAGGCCACCATTCCGTCATGTAACGGATCAACACACACACACACATGAGCGGGCGGCCCGGTGCAACAGCCGGCGCGGCGGGGGGCGGGTAGGGGCGGGTGCTGCAGTGCGGCCGGTGGCGGCCGGCAACCAAGGGAACCACCACCTGACGTGGGGCGGGGGGAGCGGGGGGTACCGGCGGGGTACACTGTTATTCCTGGGTGTTCAATAACTAAGCGCCTTAAGGCGTTTGCCTCAAAAACCTAGACGCCTTGATGCGCTTAGTTACTCAACGCCTAAGGCGTTTAGTTACTCAACGCCTAAGGCGTTGAATTACAAGACACCTTTGCTTGGCCTGTACCCACCACAACAGCAGTGGGAGTACTAATGCAATACAAGCTGCCTCTTTCCATTGCCTCAAGGCGTCTAACTACTATACGCCTTCCAAGGCGTTTAACTGCTAGACACCTTGGAGGTGTGCAGAGGCTGAACAGCTTGACTGTCTTTGAATACAGCCATGCCATCCCTTGTTTGAACCAAGGTGTTTAGCAGCTACGCACCTTTGAAGGTGTCTTACCATTAAACGCCTTGCAAGGCGCGCAGCAGTTAAACACCTTGACACAATGGGCCAGGGCAGCCTGCACTGCTAATGTATGCATGGAGATTTGTCCATATTTTTCCATTTGTTTTAATAATCTACACATACCTGTCAAAAATTAGTTTATGATGCTGAGTTGTCAATATCCAATTAAGGATGGAGACGGGTGTTGTCAATACGTGTGACCAAACCGCAGAATGTTTTTGTCAATGAATAGCAGTCGTCACTTTCTATTGTCCTAAAATTAACTTGAGTCTTATTGTTGGTTGCAAAGTAAATTAACACAAAGGCAGCAATATAAATTTGGCCTTGAAGGAAAGAAGCACAAATATAAGTCCTTTTCTCCATTGTGAAGAATCCACAATGGACCAGGCGCTGGTGAGGTTGGGCTGCCCCAGTAGATTCAGAGGGTCGGCCTAATGAGTGTAAGTTGGGGTACCCGTGGCGCCACCATGCGGCGGTGCTAAGAAGCTCTGTAGCCAACCTACTAAACATTAAGACACACTAAGAATTGAGATGTTTGAAAAAAATTGAGACGTTTTGAGCTGCAGAATTTTTTTTGCCTTTTTTCTGACAATTATTAAGCCATTCTCTAGTCACATTTGAGTTGTTTATTTTGCTAATTTGAGGAAACGTAAGAACAAAATGATTGTGTGTGAAGTTTGGCAGCGGGCCCCGAGCAGACGAAAATAACCCTACTTAACGTACGAATTGTCAAGCAATTATTCGATCGAGGCAACAGTATTTTTTGTAAATGTGGTATTGTCAAGACCGGCGATAACATACTTCGTCATATTTCAAATAAATAACTTAGTGAACAAGCCTGACTTTTGTCACAGCCATGGTCACAAATACCATAAACAACACCCCGATCACGGGACAGCTTCCTAGCCCCTCCGCATGGTGGCGTCGTGTCGTCCCCTGCGAGTGTAGGCACAAAGCAGGCTCGTACCGACCCTCTGAATGGAGACATTTTCAGAGTTTAGAGGCGTGTCAACATATGTGACGCAATGTCACATCCCCTTCGTTCGATTCGATTCATGATTTCACTGCCACGAGGCGCTCAAATTCGTGTGCAACAGTCTAAAAACGAAATAAACCGAGCCAAGAAGCACACACGAACTCGCACGTAAACATTTGCGACGCAACAAACAAAATGCTGCCAACCTATGAAATGAAAAGAACGTCTGTTTTTTTTTTTTCGTTCTTGTCTTTTCATTTCATAGGTTGGCAGCATTTTGTTTGTTGCGTCGCAAATGTTTACGTGCGAGTTCGTGTGTGCTTCTTGGCTCGGTTTATTTCGTTTTTAGACTGTTGCACACGAATTTGAGCGCCTCGTGGCAGTGAAATCATGAATCGAATCGAACGAAGGGGATGTGACATTGCGTCACATATGTTGACACGCCTCTAAACTCTGAAAATGTCTCCATTCAGAGGGTCGGTACGAGCCTGCTTTGTGCCTACACTCGCAGGGGACGACACGACGCCACCATGCGGAGGGGCTAGGAAGCTGTCCCGTGATCGGGGTGTTGTTTATGGTATTTGTGACCATGGCTGTGACAAAAGTCAGGCTTGTTCACTAAGTTATTTATTTGAAATATGACGAAGTATGTTATCGCCGGTCTTGACAATACCACATTTACAAAAAATACTGTTGCCTCGATCGAATAATTGCTTGACAATTCGTACGTTAAGTAGGGTTATTTTCGTCTGCTCGGGGCCCGCTGCCAAACTTCACACACAATCATTTTGTTCTTACGTTTCCTCAAATTAGCAAAATAAACAACTCAAATGTGACTAGAGAATGGCTTAATAATTGTCAGAAAAAAGGCAAAAAAAATTCTGCAGCTCAAAACGTCTCAATTTTTTTCAAACATCTCAATTCTTAGTGTGTCTTAATGTTTAGTAGGTTGGCTACAGAGCTTCTTAGCACCGCCGCATGGTGGCGCCACGGGTACCCCAACTTACACTCATTAGGCCGACCCTCTGAATCTACTGGGGCAGCCCAACCTCACCAGCGCCTGGTCCATTGTGGATTCTTCACAATGGAGAAAAGGACTTATATTTGTGCTTCTTTCCTTCAAGGCCAAATTTATATTGCCGCCTTTGTGTTAATTTACTTTGCAACCAACAATAAGACTCAAGTTAATTTTAGGACAATAGTAAGTGATGACTGCTATTCGTTGACAAAAACATTCTGCGGTTTGGTCACACGTATTGACAACAGCCGTCTCCATCCTTAATTGGATATTGACAACTCAGCATCATAAACTAATTTTTGACAGGTATGTGTAGATTATTAAAACAAATGGAAAAATATGGACAAATCTCCATGCATACATTAGCAGTGCAGGCTGCCCTGGCCCATTGTGTCAAGGTGTTTAACTGCTGCGCGCCTTGCAAGGCGTTTAATGGTAAGACACCTTCAAAGGTGCGTAGCTGCTAAACACCTTGGTTCAAACAAGGGATGGCATGGCTGTATTCAAAGACAGTCAAGCTGTTCAGCCTCTGCACACCTCCAAGGTGTCTAGCAGTTAAACGCCTTGGAAGGCGTATAGTAGTTAGACGCCTTGATGCAATGGAAAGAGGCAGCTTGTATTGCATTAGTACTCCCACTGCTGTTGTGGTGGGTACAGGCCAAGCAAAGGTGTCTTGTAATTCAACGCCTTAGGCGTTGAGTAACTAAACGCCTTAGGCGTTGAGTAACTAAGCGCATCAAGGCGTCTAGGTTTTTGAGGCAAACGCCTTAAGGCGCTTAGTTATTGAACACCCAGGAATAACAGTGTACCCTTCCCTGCCCTTCCCCGCGAACTCGGCCCGCATTGTGGCAACGCCGACCGCGAGTAAGAGAGAGAGAGGGGGGGGCACGGTGTTGGAGTTCCTTTCCTCCGAGTACTGCATGGCCTGGCCGGCCGGCGCGGTCCTGGCGCTTGACTGCCTCCAGCCGGCCAGGTGAGGGGGGCAGGCAGGGCAACGTGCAGGCCGCAGGGTACCGCAGGGGGGCGGGCAGGAGGGGCCGGAGGGGCGCGAGGAAGGAAGCGGCGTGCAGCGGTCCTGGAGTCCCGGACGGCTCGGCTCTGCGCTCTGCGGCCGCGGCCAGGCAGTCAGTCAGGCCGCCGAGGGTCCTGGAGGTACCCGTGTGTGCCGCGCCGCGCCCGTTGCGCCCGCCGCGTCGAGTCCCTGTCGCGCTGTGATCCTGCGTGCCGCCCCGCGCCGCCCCGCGCCGCGCTGCGTCCCGGTGTCGCCATGTTGTCCAGCAGCGGGCTGACGGGGCTCTCCGGACGCAGCGGTGGGCTGCTGTACCGCGGGCCGCCGCCCCCCGCGCACGCCGCGCGCCTCGGCCTGTACGAGGACGACGAGGACGAGGAGGACGACGACTCCACCGACGAGTACGGCTCGTGCACCGAGGCGCCTCTCTACGAGAACGTCCACGATGACGAAGACGACGAGGACGATGATGAGGAGCGCGGCGGCGTGTACGAGAACGTGGTCTTCGAGCCGCCGGCCTACTCCAACCTGCTGCTGCACCGCCAGGACGAGGCCGAGGACGACGACGGCCAGGTGTACGCCAACGTGCCCGCCGTGGAGGAGGCCCCCACGTACGACGTGCCCCAGCGCCTCGTGCTCAAGGACAGCCACCACCAGCCGCAGGAGTACGCCAACCTGCCCACGTCCACGCCGGCCACCAGCACCCCTCCGTCGTCAGGAGGTGCGTACGCCGTCAGGCCGTCAGCGTGGCCACCGAGGCAAAAAATAAATGTGCTGGTACTAGAACCCGGGACCGTTACGCGGCGTCGCGGCCTCGGTGGCGGTGCGGCTCTCGGTGTAAACACTGCACACGTGAGTGTGGCGTGTTGCCTGGCGGCGCCTTGGGGCCTCAGGCCGCAGTCCGCAGTGGCGAGACTGGCTGCCGCAGACTGCAGGCCAGCCCTAGAGCACTGCACTGCAAAACGGGAGGCAGGCCGTCGACGAGTGTGACACCCAGTACGCAGTGCGAGTGCGACAAGCCTTGTAAACACGACGCCAAGTGGAGCGGACACGCTCCCAGTGCCAAGTCTCACGCGTCCTCTGCACCGCAGTGCAGTGCCAGCCGTGCTGGCAGTGCTGGCCGCTGCACCGGGGATAGGAGCCAGCGTGGGCAGCATGCGCCTCAAAACGATTATGAAAATTTATTTTAAAGAAAACGCGACGCCGCGGCCGGGGCTCGAAGCCACGCCCGAATCCAGAACACACGATTCCCGTTGCCGCTCTGCTGTTAGCCTGTCCTCGCTGATTGACTGCTGGTGTGGGTCGATAGCGGGGCAAGGCAGGCCACGCCGCGGTGCCGCGGTCCGCTGATATGCAGATGAGTGTTCATTATCATGCGTGAGGTAGGGCCGACTGGAGTCCGCTTGACGCCCCGGCGGCCCCGCGGAGGCCTTCTAAGCCAATGACATTGGCCGAGGCCGACCAAGCCGAGAGGTCGAGGACGAGATCGGAAGGGTGTAAGTGAAAGGGCCCGACAGCGGCAACACCCCGCAACGCCACACTCATTCCGAACAACGCGCTCCGCCGCTCGCCGTCTCTCTCTGCGGGCCTGACGAGCAGGGGTGCGAGAGAGACAGTCGGGCTGCTGGGGTGGTCGCGGCTCGCGGGTGCCCCCGACGCGCGGGTGCCCGCGAAGAAAAGAATGTGGTCGTTGTGGTCGTTGGTGGTGAGGCTGGGCGAGGCTGGCGGTGGAGGCGCCCGATCGCGCACCGCACCGCCCGACGCAACCGCCGACCGCGCGGCCAAGGCGCAGCCGAACTGCACATTGTCCGGCCGAGCTGCTCGCGGTTCCGCGCGGGATCGACAAAAGCCGCGCCGCCGAGGCTGGGGCTGGCTCAGGAGCGGCGGCGGGAAGTTGCGCAAGTGAAATCAGAACAGAAATCGACCGAGGGGCAGGCGGGGTCGCCCTGTGTGTTCGGCCGCCGTTTCCCCGCCGAGTCCTGCCTGCACACTTTACAGTAGGCTGCTTCCGGACGTTGCTCTCGTCGCTCTGTCTCTCTCGCACTCGCGAGCGATCCGTAGGGGCGCGAGAGAGACGCAACGACGAAACGCTGGATCGAACCAACCTGCTGCACATCCTGGCGCGAAGGTCCTGCAGAGTCCCACTCCGTGTCCTGCGGCCCGTTTCTCCACAAGGCACTGCCCACCGCGGACCGATTCCGCTCAGCGTTTCGTCGCTGTCTCTCTCGCACCCGTACGGAACAGCCCGTGAGCGCGAGAGAGACAGAGCGACGCAAGCGAATCGACCGGAATCGCACTGCAAAGCCCGCTGCGGCGGCATTTAAACGCGAAATGGGTCCAGTGTCCGTCCGCTGCTCGCTCTGGAGGCTCTAAAGGCTCTAAAGCCGGCCGAGCAGCACGCCGACCGGCGTCCGCTCGTCGTTCTGGCCGCCTCTGCCCCTCAAATCAGGAATTCCCTCGTAACTGGCCGTCTCCGTCTCCGTTCACCGTCGCGGCCCGGTCCGCGTGCAGACGGTGCGGACGGAGGCGGCGGCCTGTTAGCACAGGAAGTTACGCGTCCAGCATTGCGCCCGCCTTGACGTGGCGCGCGAGCGGCAGCGCGCGGTGGGTCCGGTAGCTGACGGCCGGCGTCGAGCTGGCGTGCGCGCACGCGAGGTAGAGGCACCCGCCGGGCCCGGGGCCACCGCCAGCACCTCCAGCTACGCTAGCACCGCCAGCACCGCGGGGCCGACACGCCGATGGAGTGCGTGCGCGAGGCGCGAGGGGCCACGGCAGCAAACGGAGGGCCGGGCTGGGTTAGCTTAGCTTAATTTAGGAGGAAGAAATGATCTTGGCGAAAAAAATCTCATTCAACGAACGTTAATCAAAGCAGATGATCCATCGTGTTACACAACTGCTGTGATAGCCGAGAGGTTAGAGACGTGGGATCGAGTTACCGCAAGCCGGCGTTCGAATACCAGCGTCACAAAAGTTTTTTCGACTTGCTATCCTAAGGGTGGTGGTTCGAGGCCATGAGAGCGGAGCCGTGTGCAACAGGCCCACATGCCGGAGGTTCGACTCCTAAAATATTTCCATTTAATTTTACTGCCTCACCCAGTGCGGTTCAAACCCGTAAACGTGAGCCCACTCCGAGCATGGGACGTGGTGGTCCAGGGAGTAGAGGCGTCGGTCCTCAGTACTGGGGTCGGCGGTTCGACTCCCCCAACTTCTTGCGAAATTTTGACCGGGTCGGTCGAGTCCTGTTGCGTCAAGAACCCACCTCACGCCGGTCCCCTCATCATGGGCCGTGGTGGCCGAGAACGTAAAGTCGTGTGATCCCGATGGCGGGGTCCGGGGATCAAATCCCATCATTTCATTACATTTTTCGACCGCCTTCCTCCCAGTGCAACTCAAACCCGTCGTCCAACACGCTGCCAGACGTACAAGCGTGATAGCGTAGTGGTCAGAGTCACATTCACCTGGCCACTCCGCTGTGGGTGTCTAAAAAGCAATCCGCTTCGGCGGGTTGGCCTCGGCACTGGAGCGATGGAGTATTTGATCCATCAATCCAGACCACCCGGTGTGTGGTTGCGGGTGGTGCCTCCTTGACTTGTCGGGGAGGCGATGATAAGTCCTTTGAAGCTGGCCTAAAACGCTGTATGTTCGGTACGGGAGCGCCGGACAGTGGGGGTACCATGGGGTACACAACCAACCCTACGAAAACAAGAAGCTCCCACCAAACCTCTTCTCTGTCTGAGTCTCTCTCTGTCTCTCTGTCGTCTCACTCTACGTCCCGCCCCTCTAAGAGCTTCGTACTGGGTGCTCTCACCCAGCTGCCTGAGCTTTGGGGTCCTACTGGGTCCCCCGGCGAACGCTTAGGGTCGCTGACGGGATTAACCCCAGGTACCTGATAGCACCGGTTCCCATCCCGAACACCGAAGTAAAGCAGGAGGCCTCCCCATTAAGACTGGGGAGGGGGTGTAGAGTTCAAATTTTTTCTTTTCCCTTTCAAATTTCTCGGTTAATACTCGTTTGGTTTCCTTATACGGGGTAGTATGCGGGCTCATTCCAAAGATAGTTGCCGAAAAAGGGTTAGGTTAGGTTAGGTTAGGCGGTGGCTAACGGTGTGAGTCAAAGAGGCAAGCGCCCCGCCGGTCGCCAGATCTGCCTATTTGCACGAGGCAGAGCGATTCCGCGCAGCGCGCGGCGAGCCGTCGCTCTGTCTCTCTCACTCCTCCGAGCCGGCGCGCGAGTGCGAGAGAGACGGACGGAGGGACGGCACCGTAATTAGGCGGGGCTCGAGCGCCGCACTCGCGAGGCAGGCACGGCCGGGCAGAGCGCCGTGCAATCAGGCTGGTAAACAGAGACGACGGCGGGAAAAAAAGGAAAAGAAAAACGAAAACAACATTCGCCGGCCTTGTGGACGCGACAGGTACGCTGTTCCGTGCCGTGTATGCGCAGAGTGCGAGTGAGTGAGTGAGTGCGCCTCGTCCGGTTGGTTGGCCGGCCTGGGTGTCGCGTCGCTCGGTGTCACTGCGATGGCCGGGCGCGCGCGGACGTGGACGCGAACGCGAGGCAGGGCGGCCAACCGTGACGCGGCCGAGCGGGGAAATCCAAGGATTCCGCGCACAGCGCAGCGCCGTGGTCTCGGACGCTACCGCAGTCCTCGCGCGGCCCGCGGCCCGCGGCCGGGCAGGCGTTGTTGGCTTCCACTTTGATATTTCGCCGCCGCCGCGCCCCGCCCGCTGCACTCTGAAAGCGGTGAGAGGGAGGACCCTCTCGAACGCCGCCTCCTCCGCCGCCGCCGCGCTGCAGTCCCAGTCTCGCCTTTCTCCCGCGCCGGTTGCCCTCGCGCTTGCCGGTTTGCAGGACGAAAGGTCACCCGATGCCTCCAGAGTCCGCGGACCAGGCCAGGCCAGGCCGAAGGGCCGCGGGCGGTGCAGGGAGGAGCCCCCGCAGCCCCCGCAGCACGGGCACGACGGCGACCTGCTCGGCGGTAGAGGCCTGCGGCGGGCGGGTATTCAATACCCGTGAAGCCTATAACTTCGTTGGTTGCTGTCAAAAACATTCCAGATTTCGCATGAACATAGTTTTATGATTGGATCAGCGCCTCTCAAACTTCTGTGCGTTTCGGTCCATTTACTTCAAAGTTATAGGCTTCACGGGTATTGGATACCCGCCCGCCGCAGGCCTCTACTCGGCGGGGGTGGGAGGGAGGGAATTCCCAGTTCAACGCGCTCTAGGAGCTTGCACGCACAGTCCGTCCTAAAGGCAACCCAAGCCATCCAAAGAGCATCCAAAGTCCTTCAATTCACACCGATTACTTTTCAACTCACACCGGGCATCCAGAATCTGACCAAACTTGTCGTTTATTAATTTTTTTTTTGCGCGGGTGGGGTGGAGGGGTGGTTATCCCGGTTGCGTGTGGTCAGTGAGTCGCGACCGGCGCGGCCGCGGCGCTGCACTTGTTGCGTTCCCTCTTCGACGCTCTCCGTCTCTGTCGCACTCGTGGGGCGTTGGGGCGTTCCGCGGGGGTGCGAGCGAGACAGAGCGACGAAACGATCCCCCGGCTCCATGCTCCACCGCCCATGCCGGCATCGCGCGAGCCGTTTTGTATGAAAAGTTGAAGTTTCCCTCCAGCGCCGTGTTGTTGGCTTCGTTGTTTCCGTATCGTCCGTTGCTGTTGTTGTGGCTGTTGCTGCTGCTGCTGCGTTTGCGGGCGCGAAAAAAATTAAATCATCGCTGCAGATGGATACACCATAATGAGATCGACAACGAGAGATACGCACTGACCGTCTTCGAGAAGTCTGCGCGCTTTTTTCTTTTCCCTCCGGTAATTACGCTAACGCTAATTCGAGTAGTACGCACCGCGTGCAACAAATGAATGGAGGCTGGTGCCGGAGGTGCCGGCCCATCAGGTCATCAGGCGCCGTGAGACGCCGTGCGAAGTGGACGCGCGCAGCCACCCACGCCCCGGACGGCCACGCCCGGGCCACGCCCTGCCCCTGCCCCGCGCCGCGGGGAGGCGGGGAAGGCCCACTTCGTGCACTCTCACTCGCCGGCTCGCCGGTGAGGTCGGAATAATGGGCGTTGGGGCGAAGGCAGTGGGACAACCGGCGGAACAATGAAGTCTTGTGCCGGCCACACCACGGGGCGGGGCGGGGCGGGTGTGAGGCGAGGCTCGCTGGCTGCCCCACGGCTGCCCCTCAGGCGGTGGTGAGGTGTGGTGGTGATGTCCGCCTCCCGCAGGCCACTCGCTCGGTCGGTCGGTCGGCCGGTCGACGACCGTTGCAGTTAGCGGAATAGGTTGCCCGTCCAGCCGCGAACCGCGTCGCTCCCCCCACCTTCCCCCCTTCGCCGGGATAAACAAAGTGACGGTCGGACCCGGAAATCAGAGTCTGCATGAAGGATGGCTGCGTCGGCAGTGTGGTGGACCCGGTGGACCGCACTGACACGGCGATTGCTCATCGCGTGGGCGGCCGGGCCGGCATCGTAAAGGCATCCACGGTGCTGCGGTTCGGCCGGGCCGGGCGGGCGCAACACTGTAGGAAAGCATCACCGTGAGACGACTGGCAGCCAGGCAGCCCGGCAGCTTGCAGGCTGTAGGTACTGGAGTGTGTAGTAGTGCTCCGGTCAGAATGCTTCCTCACTCCTGAGTGGCTTTCTCCACTCCACTCACTCCAAAAGCTAAAAGCGCGCGCCCCGCCCTACTTCTTCGGTATTATGCACCCGGCCGGCTGCCCTGGCTGCCGGCGGTGTGGCTTTTGGGCGTCGCGCCGTCATTTTTCCGTTTGTGGGTCAGTAGCGCCTGGCAGCCGGTAGCGCCCCCGACGGGTCACGGAGTCACGGCCCCGCCTCAAGGCGAGCCTCAAGGCCCAATGACGCCCGATGGCCCTCGGTCCGGCACGGCCGCGACCCTGTCCCCGTCCCGCAGACCGATTCCGAGAGTCGCTTTCTGCCTCTCTCGCACCTGTCGGGGGCGCCCCATGAGTGCGAGAGAGGCAGAATGACTCTCGGCATCGGTCTGCCGGGCGTCCTGGCACGGCGCCTTAGTGGCTCAATTCGGTCTGCGGGAAGGCCTCGCCGGACCGCCAGAACGCCCCAACTGCCGCACCCCGGCGCGGAGTTACGCCCTTCTCGGCGGCGCGCCCGCGGCCGTCAGCGTCAGCGGACCCGCAGCGACCGGAACCAGTCCCACTCGGCCTGCCTCGGCCTGCCTCGGCCGGCATTCCCATTCGGCATTCGCCCAGTCGGACACCGACGGCGGCCTCCAAACGCGCCGGATGATACGGCGCGGATGGTACACTGCCAGGGACCGGTGACGGCGGCGACGTCACGGGGCGGGAAATGGGTCGCGTGACTGCGGCAACACCGAGAGGGTGTTGAACCAGTGCACCCTGGCGGAGGGCGTCCACCGCGGCACTCTGACGCCGACGGCGCGCGCCTGGTGGGCTCGCCTTTCGCCGGGCGGCCGCCAAAGTCCACTCCACGCTCCGCGCTACGCGTCGTGGGGCACAGCGAGCTTCGCCTGGTGGCCGCCAGGGCGCGTGCCGCCATGCCGCGGCATGCCGGGAGCAGCGCGCCGCTCCTTGCCGCTCCGCGCTCGGCCAGACCGTTAGCCGGTGGTACTGTGTTCCTGAAACCTGGGACTCCCCCTCCCCCTTTTCCACTTCCTCGTTCCCCTTCCCCCTTCTCCTTCGCCGCAGCCTGGACCAACAACAATGACAGCGACCGCCCTTCTTCCCTCGTTTCCCACTCATGAATGAGGGTGTTATGTGCGTGCCGCGTGCCGCGTGCCGCGTGCCCCAGCGGACAGCCTTCCTGCCTCCGCCCCCGCCAGGACAGCTAGGACTCCGCGCTGCTTACACCTTCCAGTCGCCGTGTCGCGGACCCGATTTGAGCGGCCCGCGTGGGGGCCACGGTCCACGCCGCCAGCGGGAACCGCCTTTTGTTTTCCCTGGGCTCGCTGGGTGGCCCACGGGGTGGGGCCCGTGCAGGGGCGGCAGGTGATAAAGTTCGCCGAGGTATGCGGAACGGAACGCTGGGCTGAACGACGGCGAGGGCGGCGGGCCGCGGTGGGCGCGTTCGGAGAGCCCCGCTTTCTTTGGGCCGAGAGCATTACTCCTGTCCAATGCATTTCATCGACTTGAGAGACCGGGACTTAAACGCCGGCCCCTGACACTTGGGTCTCCACCCCGCACAGTCCGGTCTCATCGAACATTCCCCATTGCCCTGGCAGGCCTCGGCGTCATCCTGGAGGAGACCGAGTCCTCGTCGGCGCGGTCCTCGTCGGGGTCCTCCGGCAGGGGCTCCTCGTGCACGTCGGCGGCCAGCTCCCTGGCGCGCTCCATCACGACCACAACCGGCCTCAGCCAGCGGCCCGCTAGCGGACTGAGCGGCCTGCTCGCCAGGATCAGAGGTAAGTGACACGACGCAGACACACAAAGCAACCCACACGTCGCATAATATTCGACGTCGACGTCGGGTTGCGGCTTGCGGTGACGCCGGTCGCACGACGGGGACAGTCCGGCCGGCGCGTGACGTCGCAGGGACACCGCAGGGAGGTCCTCGTCCAACACGCACGGCCCCCGTTCCCTAAAACATCCTTCCTGCGGCTTCCCACCGAACGGGCAACGGACCCCGCCGAGGGCCCCGCGATGCCGCAACGCCCTCGCCGTCTCGCAACAATAATGCAAAGAAAGGAGAGAAAGACCGAGTTGGGTCAAGAAACCCGCGCGCCTATTTCTGTGACATCCTTCCCTTCCCCGGCCTTACCTGGCGTTGCCTTACCTTATCGCGGTGTGCTGGCTGCACCGCGGCGCCGCTGGGCCGCCTCGACGCGCACGTGACGCCTGCCGAGGTGCGCGCGCATCCTCGGTCCTCGGCGAGGACCGTCGGCGTGACCCAGCATCACTCGCCGCGTCGCCGTCGCGCCGCCGTCGCGGAGCTCAGTGCCTCAGTGCATCCCAATTAGTGTCCTGCCTGCTGGCGGCCCGACGCCTCCCTGACGCCTCTCCGCTCCCGTTGCGGCCGTAATTTCTATTATTTCTGCCCGAGCTGCTACTTCCGGCGGCATGAGTGCTCGCGCAGCCGTGGCCGCCGTGGCCGTGCCCCCCGGCAGGCTCTTGGGCCGCTGTCGGCGAGGTTAGCCGGCCCGGCAGCCAGTGCAGGTACAGTCCGTGCAGCCGTCGGCCGGGTGCAGGCAGTGCAGGCACCGCGCCGCCGGGGCCGCCAGGGTGAGTTGCTTATCTGGTTTTCGGCCGGGCGAGCGCCGTGGGGGTAGGCAGGCCCGTGGCGCAGCCGTGCGCGCCACCCTGCCGGTTGCCTACCCAGCCCCGTCCGCGCCCGGCGCGCCAGGGCAGCGAGCGCAGTCACTGCATGACGCCGTTTTCTCAATCTGCCACTTTTTCTCTCGCCTGCATCCTTCCTGCGCCTCGCGCGTGCGCCGTGCGTGTGGGCGTGTGGGTGCAGCTCACCTAAACGCCAGAGATAACCGCCAGGATGCTGCACGCCATCTACGCCCTGAGTCTGTCGCAGCAGGCGGCCTGTGAGTACGACTCTCTTCTCGTGTCCTTTTCTGGATTCCTCCTGTCTCCGTCTCTGAAAAATGCTAATTCTCCCCCAATCCCGATCCGGCCGGCGTCCCTCTGCCGCTTTTTCGGTTAGTTCCGCCGCCTCGCCTCGCGCTCCTCGCGCCGTGAACGGTACCGCGTGCCTTGTAGTGAAGTCCGTAGTCCACCGCTGTCCTGTCAGATTCCGAATCGCCTGCCTCCAGAACCTCCAGACCCTCTAGACGCTTTCAGGCCAACCGATGCCGTGTTTTGATTGGGCCTCGGCCCCGCCCCGCCCCGCCCCGCCTAGACCGGCCCCGCCCCACCTTCCTCTGCCGGCTTGTCAGAGATTAGTGTGTTTTCCTCACGTTTACAGATTGGGCGAGACGTCAAGACAGCTTGTGTTTGCCGATGGGGCGTTGTGACAGTGTAGCCCATAGCGCCATCCGTTTCCTAGCGCATCAAAAAGTGACGCCAGCTAGGTGTGCTTTGCAGGCTTTGCAGGCGTGCCTGGGCGTGTGCCCCGGAAGCAGTCCCACCGCCTGTGCTTTGCGCCGTCCGCATGTGGAGTCGCTGTCGTCGTGGTGCTAATGTCGCCGCCGTGCTGTCTTGGTGTCGCAGGCGGCGTCGCCGGCGCGGTCACGACGTCGCCGTCCGTGGTGGCCGTCACGGCCAAGACGGACGCCAGGGACGCCCGGGACTACGGCAAGGGCTCCAGGGACTCGGGCCTCAATGACGTCGGCACCGAGTGGACTGCGGCCCGGCCGCCGGCCGCCGCCACCAGGACGTCGTACAGCCCCGATCTCCAGCAGGTGGGTTCAAATCGACAAGTTTCCTCCTTTTTGCCGGGCTAGGTTTTTTTCGGAGACCCGTTCGGCCGCTATCAGCGCCAGTGCCGTCTGTCGGGGAGAAAGGCGCGAGTGGGACGCGGCGCGGCGCCGTCACGAGTGCAAGGGAGACGGGGAGAGGGACGCGGTGAGAGACAGAGAGGGGCCTGGTATTTATCAGAGGCCTGTGACACACATGGGGCCATGCACGCTGATCCCGCGCAGTGCCTCGTCGCTCCGTCTCTCTCGCACCACTACGCGCAGGCTGAGAGCGAGAGAGACAGGGCGACAAAAGCACTGTCCGGAATCATCAGCCCGCGCGGGCATGTGTCACTGGCAACGCCCTGGGCCGTGTGACCGACCGTACCGACGGTACCGGCGGGAATACCCCCTGCTGGGCAAATAGCGCTGCAGGTGAGCAGGTGTTACTGTCCGTGACGCGCCGCGGGAGCTGATAGTGCCCCCACCCCACCCCCTCCACGGCCACCATGACAGAGGCCCAGGCGCCATTGATTGAGCCGCGGACGGGCGTTGTCCACCGCGACGACGGCGACGACGCGACGCCGGTTCAGCGTCGCCCGCCACTTTGGCGGCCCGGTGCGACAATTTCTGCCGGAGTCAGCGAGTCGGCGCCGAGGTCGGCGCGCTGAGGGGCGTGGGTGTGCTGAGGTAAGCAGTTTGGCGCGTACGGCGCCGTCGCCGCCTTTTCGGCGTCGCACTGCCGCCCTGCCGCCCTGCCGGGACAGGTGGCTGGCGACCGCGCAGCGCGCAGGGTGGAGCAGGCAGGCAGGCGTCCAGGGCGTCATGGAGGAGATCGAGGTACAGTCAGTGGGGATGCCTAGGCCCGCCTAGGCCCGCCTAGGGCGGATGCGCGGAGTGATAAGCAGAAGATAAGGTCGGCGTAGGTTAATCCGGCGGCCAGGGGCCAGACTGGGGGCCGCGCTCTGCGGCTCGGCCGCGCGGCGTTGGCTGAGGTTAGTTAGCTCGCGCCGTAGCCAGCCGGGAAGCAAACACAGCGGGCTCCTTTGTGACGGCAATGGTATGAATGTGCGTCCTTCTCGTCGGTGTGTAAGCAAAGCCTTAAGAGCGTCTCTCTGTCTTGTCGGCAGGCCACGCCGGAGCGACTGGCGCGGGTGCAGCAGCAGGTGCGGCAGCACATGCAGCAGGACGAGGAGCACTACCAGCAGCCCAAGCACCAGCACAAGTCCGTCCGCGACCTACTGGGGCACTTCGAGGCGCAGCGCCGGCCGGCCGGCGAGGGGGTGGCACCCGCAGGGCCGGTGGGAGGGGCAGCACGGACCGCGAGGCCCACGTCGACCGCCAGCCAGAGCTCGTCGTACGGCTTCGGAAGCACCACCGCCGTGAAGAACGCCCTGCGCAAGACCGTGTCACAGCCCGTCAACAGCAACAACACAGGCGCCGGCAACAAGGCGCACGCCGCCAGCACCGCTGCCAACTACAACGGTATCAACAACAACAACAACAACAAAAAGGCCTACAGCTCCAGCAGCAGCGACAACAAAGCTAGCAGTAAGGCCTACAGCACAAACGCCTCCAGCTACAACAACTACACCGCCAGCCCCGTCAACAACAACCCCACGCCAGCCGCCACCAAGAGCAACAGCAACAACAACAACAACGTCAACAACAAGGTAGCCAGCGGCAGCAACGCAAGCAGGCGCAGCTTCCTGGACAGCATCATCGCGGGGGCGGCGTCGGCCGATGGCAGCGGCAAGCGGTCGTCGCGGCGGTCCAGCGCCACCATGGAGGAGGTCAACAACATCATCAACGCGGTGCCCGTCACGCTCGCCGACGAGATCCGCGCCAACGTCAACGGCGGCGTGCACCACCCCGTCCTGAGGAAGGCGGCCAGCGCCGGCGGCCTCCGCAGCGGTCGCGGCGGCAGCGTGGACAAGGACGCCGTCGGCACGCCCATGGGCACGCCTGCCTCCAGCAACGGCGGCTCCGTCGCGGACCTCCGGGCGTCGTCCAGGGACGACCTTCGGGACTCGTCGACCACCAGCAGCATGCAGGACATCCCTTCCATCGTGGACCAGCTCCCCGATGACGACAGACCCCAGGAGTCGCGACGGACCACCAGTCAGTGGGACCCGGTAAGTTCCCCACCCTCCAAGTTCCCCGAGTCCGCCGTCCGCTTCGTCGCTGACGTGATCCTGGTTGCAGTCGGCGCTGGTGGCCGCGCTGTACTCCGTGCCCGAGCCCCTGCGCGACAAGCCGCGGCCCGTGGACAGGGTCAACGTGGAGGGCTTCCTGGAGCGGCTGCCCAGCGGCCGCACCAAGGCGACGTTCTGGAACGCGTGGAAGCGGTGCTACTTCCGCGCCAAGGACGGCTTCCTGTACTGCTACGCGGTGAGTGCGCGACTTGACGCCGAGCTGGCCGGCGGGTTGACGGAGGGACAGGCCTGACTCTGAGTTTCCGTCGGCAGGGCAAGCACAGCGAGAAGCCCATGGACGTAACCCAGCTGATGGGCGGCCTGGTGGAGCCCTTCGAGTCCATGGTCATCACCGCGCAGGACAGGGTGAGTCAGTGGTGCGGCGCTCACCAGCTCGGTGCGCAATTGTACGTATTTTTATTTGTCGTGTGTCTTGCTTGCAGAACCCGGCCACAGTGCCCGTCATAGGAATCGACGACAGGGTAAGTCCTTGGTTTTGTTCGCAGCTGTTTAGTTGTTTGTCCTGGACAGCGTTCCTACTGTCTCTCTCGCTCTGCCTGCAGATGGGCCACTACTTGGTGGTGCGCGCCAACACGCCCCAGGAGACGGACCGCTGGGTGCGCGCGCTCCAGACGCACACCGTGGAGGACTTCTCCTCCACCTACGTGCAGCCCTGGCCGATGCCGCGGGCGCCCGCCCTGCTGCGCGACAGCATCGTCGTGGACCTGGGCAGCCGCTCCGTCCGCGCGGGCATCCTCTGCACGCAACGTCAGTGTCTCCTCAAAGTTCCCGGCGTCGAAGAGGGCATGAACTGCTGGTGTTTGAACCCCCGTTTGCGTCTCGTTGCAGCGTCCCTGCCCCAGGTGTTCTTCCCCGCGATCAGTGCCAGCCGGCGCGGCCTGGCGGCCAGCCTGGGGGTGGCCTCCGCCGGCGACAAGGTGTACGGCAACGCGGCGCTGCAGCCGGGCGTCCGGGCGCACAGCAACCTGGGCTACCCCATCCGCCCCACCGAGCGCATCAACAAGGTACTCACTTCCTGAATCCTGCGTACCGCGTACCGCGTTCGTGGGAGCCAGGCGTTCGCACGGAACAGTCCCACGGCAAAGCGAGCGCGGCAAGGCGGCCGTGCCGTGGGACGCCGCGAGAGGGAGAGGCTCGCGACACATGCACGCCGCACGCAGCACCTGGCACTGCCCCCAAAGGCCGCGCTCCTTTGCCGCGAGGCACCCACGCCGGGCACCGGGCCGGGCACGCCACCGCGCCATCAGCCTGCTTCTTTCCCTCTGCGCCGTCAGAGATGACCCACTTGCACAGCAATGGACTCGCCTTCGCTCGGTCTCCGGTTCAAAACCCCGCGGGGGCGTCTGCTTTTTCTGCCCTCAGCACACGATGGACCTGGCCGCGGTGTCCGGCATCCTGCGCGTCGTCTTCCAGTCCCTGTCCGTGGACCCCCGCGACTACGGCGTGGTGCTGAGCGTCCCCAGGACCCTGGACGCCGCCACCCAGTCCCGCCTCGTGGCCGACCTGTTCGACCGCTTCGGCGTGCGCTCCGTGCTGCTGTCCCACCAGACCGTCCTCGCGCTCTACGCCTACAACGCGGCCAGCGGCGTGGTGGTGGACGTCGGCGAGCGCACCGACGTGGTGCCCATCATGGACGGTAAGTGTGCATGTGTGTGTGTGTGTGCTTCGATTTCTGCCGCTGACTTGGACTAACGTGGCCGTCCGCTGACCTGGCCGACAGGCTACATCGTGGAGGGCGGCGTGTCCCGCGTGCCCTACGGCGGCGAAGAGATGTCGGGCCACGTCCGCCGCTTCCTGCTGCAGCGCGCGCCGCCGGTGTCGCTGAGCACGGTGGCCGAGGCCCTGCTGCCGCGGTACGCGCTGGAGAAGCTGTGCTACGTCTCGGCCAGCTACCGCGCCGACCTCAAGCGCGCCCAGCGCGACCCCACCGAGCTGGCCGCCTCGGTCAGCGTCAGCGAGTTCTTCTCCGGCGACAAGGAGCCCACCATGGAGTGCGTAATTCAGGACTCGGAGTGTGGCCTATTTCTGGGTGTATGTGTGCCTTAACCTGCTCTCCCCGGCGTGCTCCAGGACGCTGACGCTGGACGCCGGCCGCTTCCAGGCGCCAGAGGGGCTGTTCCACCCGCAGGCCTGGGGGCTGGACCACCCCGGCGTGCACCGCATGGTGTACAAGGCCATCCAGGAGTGCAGCATGGACGCCCGCAAGACCATGGCCAGGAGCGTGTTCCTGGCCGGGGGGCTCACCATGCTGCCGGGCTTCGCGGAGCGACTCCGGGAGGAGCTAGCCGCCCTGCTGCCCCCCGCGGCGCAGCCCAAGGTAGGGTCCCCAAGTCCCGGGTTCGAATACCCGCCGGTACCCTGCGTTTTTGTTTTCCTGCCAACCTTATTGTTTGGTGCTTACAGGTACACGCGTCGCCGTACCGCTACCACGCCGCGTACCTGGGCGCCTGCGTCCTGGCCAACTCGAGCGGCGTGCAGGAGATGTGCCTCTCCAGGGAGGAGTACGCCCGCGACGGCGGCAAGCTGCTCAGGCCGTGGATCCTGTAGGCGTGCCTGTCGGCGTGCCTGTCGGCGTGCTCCAAGTGCAGCAAGCGCGGCAGTGGTGCGAGGAACGCAGCCAAACGTCCGTCCTCGGGGTTTGGCTGCGTCTCTGGCACCCTATTCGCGTTCCGTCCAGCCGCCCTGCCCTGCAGCGTCCCATCTGGGGATGTTTACTGAGCTTATGCGAAATGTGTGCCTGTGTCTGTCCGTGTGTGAGTGTGTGTGCGTGTGTGCGTGAGTAAGAGTGCTGTCGTGTAACTTGTAAGAAAGAAACTATCAGAGAGTGAAATTAAATGTAAATTATGATCTCTAGCTTCTTACGTGTTTTCTAAGGCGCACCCTTCATCTTATTTAAGTATTTTTCTCGTTTCTGACCACTATGATGCTCTTCGCCCTTCGAAATGGGGATTCGGGTGTGAAATTAAAACTCGAGGCGTTGCTGATTAAATTCATCCTCTTTATTTACAGAATATTCTTCCCCCGCTCGTGGAGGAAGCACACTCATAAACACACCCGGAGAGAACACGACGGCCAATCCGACTAAAGTCACACAAAAGTCACAATTTTTCCAAACTACCCTGCTAGACGCCCACTGGCTGACCTGTCCTCTCTGGGGATAACACGAAAGTGCGATACACTTCAACGGTTAAGTTCGTATCGTAAAGGGAACAAAATGCGGGCCGTTTACAGTTTTTTTTTTTTTGTTTCGTTTTTGGATGCAGTGATTGCACGTCGGCAAGCTGGTGTTTCCCAAAAGGCGTAAAATAACGACAGAACTCGCCTAAGCACAGCTGGTACACTTGCTTCATGAAAAATGCCCGGGCATGCTCGGTACACTGGAATGGAGTACGTTGGGCTGCCTACCTGCCACGGCGCCGCGAGGCGTCCACAGCCAGGCAAGACAAGCCTGCACCCTTACTTCAGTCCCGAACTGTTCCCTGAGAGAACGCCTCTCTAACAATTAAATACTCTAATGTGAAAAACTTAAAAATGTATACTTATTGCATCACATTTATCACACAATAATACGGAGGTGTGACGGTGTGGGCTATATCTGCGCCTACACTGGGAATGAAATCACAGCCTGGTTAATACGTTCATGACTGGTTAATACGCTGCTGGGGAAAAGAGGCAGTCTCCTTGATGTTCAAGCCGCATTGCAGAAAGCTCACAAAACAGTCAAAAATGATATTTTACAAGTTCAATTATAACAAAGGCAGACAGGTTGGGATAAGTACGCTTTTTGACAACGGTGACTGCTGCGAGGTTAGTCAATTGTGATGGGACAAGAATAACAAAATAATGCGATTGCTCATCATAGAGTCACTAGTCACTTGCGCCTTCCTTACACTTAACTCGTCTTTTTCTCAGTACCTGTACAAGATGTATAACATTGTTAATGACCAGAACACGTTTAACTTAATCTAAACTAAACACGAAAGTCCTCCCTTTCTAGCTGGCAAAACACACACACACTAACACATTCAAACAAAAATGCAAGCATACACACACTCACGCAAACACGCATTCCAACATACGCACACACACGCGCCCTAAGACGACAAAAGGGACGCACGATTTTTTCACAGTTCTCTTGGCAAAGACCACAGTGCTTTCAAGGAGGAGCCAGTGTCGCTTAATCTTGGCTCCTTTTCTGGGAGGGTGATCTCTATGAAGAGTTTCACTCATTTCCCTATTTTTTTTCTGACGGTTCGAGATCGTCTAGTTGACGTCCCCGCTGCTGCTGCGGGTCGCTCAGACGGCGAGCGCCCGTCCGACGACGGCGGCCCCCACGCAGGCCAGCAAGGTCCCCAGGAAGGAGGGCGCGGCCACGGCGGACGCCCCGGGCTCGGAGCCGCCGTCGTCCGTGAGCCGCTCGCCGGTGCGGGGGTCCCTCCTCGAGGAGCACGACGCGCCGCAGTCCTCGCCCTCGCAGATGTCGCACAGGGTGGCCACCCGCGGCTCGTAGAACGCCCGCGCGCGCCTCGCTGCCGAAACAAGGAGAAAGCGACAGTCGAAACACCGTTGGGAACTAGTTTGACGCGCCGACTGGCGAGTGCTTACACTGGTCGTAGTAGTCGAAGACGGTGACGGGCACGGGCCGCTGCCGAGCCACTTTGTGGGTGCGGAACGCAGACACCGTCGGGCAGTACTCCTTGCGCACCATCTGCAGGCAAAAAACGTCCCCCGTCAGTAGCTGGCCCGGGTTCGAATCCCACACCACACCTTGACGTTTTCGTACCTTGTCGAAGTAGAGCACCACGACGGTGTCCTGCTCCTTGGTCTCCACGCGGCGGACGTGCTGCGACTGCTCCAGGCTGGGCAGGGCGTCGCGGTCCACGGTGAAGCCCGAAGGCAGCGACACCTCCATCACCGCCATGTTGCTCTCGTTGGCCGCGGGCGTAGGCACGAAGCTGCCGGCAACACAGGTTCCAGGTTCGAGTGCTGCCAGTAGTAAGGGTGGCCCATAGTCGCGGGCCGCCATCTTGTCGTATGGTTGCTATCTTTGGCGGACTTACCCGGCGCAAATCGACAGCTGCAGGTGGTTGCTGTCCGAGTTCTTGTCCACCTGCGGGTCGAGCGTGAAGAGGGGCCAGGCCGCGGTGACGTTGACGTTGTAGGCGTAGGACACCTGCACCAGGGCGACGCCGCTGCCCGTGGCGCTGATCTCCACCTCGCGCACCCCGCGCGGCACCTCCTGCTTCTGCAGGATCATCGAGTTGACGCGGTTGATGCTGATGCTGGAGGTCTGGCCGGCGGCGGCGCGGTACGAGAAGGTGACCACCACGTTGCCCGGCGGCGCGGAGATGCGTTCCAGGAGGCTGGCCAGCGCCTGCATGCCCAGCACCGTGTCCTGCGGGACGGCAAGCGCGGTTAGATCGTTCCTGGCGTCGTTCGCAGTGTGGGAGGCGCGGCCGAAGTACGCACCTGGGTGCTGACGAAGCCGCCGTTGGCGTTCCTCTGCGCTACCAGCCAGTGCATGATGGGGATGGCCTCGTTGACCAGCCCGCGCTGCAAGTACGTCAGCATCGCGTACGACGTCATCTCCACCGCCAGCGAGTTGGGCCGCGTGTACCACGGGTTGCGCTCCTGCCCGGCGGGCACCGTCTTGTTCCACCACTTGTGCTCGCCTGGGGCGCGCAGTCAAAGAAGAACACAGTTACTCACAAACACCCTCGGGGAAGTCGGGAAATGAGTGGAGTGGGACGTACTGTTGGACTGGGCCTTGGACTCGAGCAGGTTGAAGGCGGCCTCCTTGGTGGGGTGCAGCGCCAGGTGCAGGGCGTACGTCGTGACGGCGATGGCGTACGGGTCCTCCACGCCACCGATGTTCCTCACCAGGTAGTCCACGGCCTTGTTGATGGTGTTGCGGTACTTGGACGTGAATTGCTGCAAAGCGGGACGGTCAGCAGCGGATCGGGACAGCGCCGGCCTCTCTCTTCAAGAGTACTGTACCTGGTTGTAGAGGAACGTGGTGAGCACGTAGGCGGTGAGGGCGAGCCCCCTGCCGGCGCCGCCCTGCATGTCGGAGTGGATGACCTTGCCCTCCTCGGGGAAGCTGCCGTTGGTGGCCTGGTGCTCGGCCAGCCACTGCAGGGCCTCGTCGATGACGCGCTCCTCCAGCGGGATGTAGGCCTGGCCCTGGCGGAAGGCCCGCGCCACGAAGGCCGTCAGCCAGGTGCTGCCGCTGGGGTCGGTCTCGCCGAAGGCGCTGAAGGAGCCGTCCTTGTGGCGGTACGTGAGCTCCTGCTGGTAGCCCTTCTCCATGTAGGCGCGCGCCCGGCTCTCCACGGCCTGGCTCAGCTGGCGAGAGTTCTGGCGAAGCACGGGTCGGTTATTGACAAGCGCAATGACCAAAGTCAGCAGGTTGTTGCCTTAATGTAACTTTAGGTTTTAGCGATTTTTTTACCTTGAGGTAGTCCAGGATGACGACGTTGGGCACGAAGTTCAGCATGTTCTGCTCGCCACAGCCGTGGGGCATCCTGATGAGGGAGTCCAGGTTGGGGATGCTGGGGCCCAGGATGTCGCCTGCGGCACGCGTCGACCAATGAGAATGCAGCCCGGTGGCATGGCCGGCATGGCCAGAAGAGCGAGAAGAGAGAGATACTCACCGACGGCGGACACCTCTATGCGCTCCGAGCCGGGCACGATGTACTTGGGCACGTGCAGGGTGACGTTCGTCTTGAACGAGTTGCTGTTGCGGAGGTCCACGAGGATGGCCTTGTTGCGGAACACCGTCTCACCCTCGGGCTGCACAAGGGCGTCATGGACGTGGAGCCAAACCCTTCCGCACCGAGGGAGCGCCACCAAGCGCCACCCCCCGACGCGGAGTCGCAACCTCGGAGCGCCGCCCCCAGCGGCACCCCTAGCGGCACCCCTACCCCCACCCGGCGGCCACGCTTGGCAACACGGCGCCAGGCCGGGCCAAGCCCTTTCGCCGGGCCGTCTCCCCGGCGAAGGGACGCGAAGGGCCGTCGCCACCTCCGCGGCCGCGTGTGCCCCTGGTGGCGGCGCGCGCGGAAAAACGCCCCCGCACACCAAGCTCGAACCAAGGAGGTAACTCTAGGCGCGTTGTGCGCGTCAGGGCCGCAGGGCCGAGGGCCGGCCGCGGTGCGGGGCGACGCCATGGCGACGCCCTGCGTCATGTCCTCGGCGCCCTACGGAAAAGGGACGCACGAAGGCGCCCCCGGGGCCGCGCCGCCGCGCCGCCGCCTCGCCGGTCAGAGGCACTGCCTCCACTCCAGGGGGCGGCACGCGGGGCGGCACGCGCCAGTCAGACGCACCGCGGTCCGACACTCCATCGCAGTGTTTTCCGATTCAAATTTCGCGCTGAAGAACTAAGAACTGAAGAAAAACACACCAAAACAATTGAAAATACGCACCTTGACGAGGAGTCTGCGCTCGATGATGTCGCTGGCGCGCTCCGACGTGGCCTGCACCTTGATGGTGACGTAGCCCAGCTCCCTGGGGATCACCATGAAGGACACCATGGCGGCGTCCTGCGCGCGCACCGTCACCTTCTTGCGGCGGTACAGCTCCAGCTCTGCGGACGGAGGCAGAGCAGTGAGTCAGTGAGACAAGCAAGGCTGGCATCGCCACGGGGAGGAGCGTTCGGGACATTGCACGTGGGTTTTGAATTCTTGGCGGGAAGTCGGCGGCGGCGGCGGCGGCAACCCCGCGCCCCGGCAAGGCGTGGCACGGCGTGGCACGGCGTGGCACCGCCCGCGCGAAGGGCGGATGGCGGATCGATACTGCAACGAGTCGCGCGGCGAGGCCGCGAGGCGCCACCTCCTCGCCGACGTACGGGCCGGGTGGGCCAAACGCGCTGCGGACGCCCACACGGCAGCACTGTCCCGGCCTTCTTGTGGTGGGGGAGCTGCGGGCAGCATCTCTCGCGCCCCGAGGCCACGCCAGGCCACGCCAGGCCACGCCGAGCCCCGAGGGGGAAGCACCACGCTCGCGCGCCAGCAAGGAGGATGTCGAACTCACTCGGCGCGGGCTCGGCGTTGATCTCGTTGGACACCTCGGCGAACTCCAAGTCGCCGGCGTGCTCCAGGGTCACGTCCGTGCGCACGTCCTGGCCCATGTAGTTGAACACGACGATGGGGATGGACACCACCTCGCCGCGGATCACGGAGTAGGGCAGGTCCACGGACACGAAGAAGGGCCGGAAGACGGTCAGCTGGGGGGAGAGAGGGTGGGGGTGAGTCAGGGCCTGCAGGGCCTGCACGAGGAGGACGGCGCCGTGCTCACCTTGCTAGGCTGCGGGGTGAGCCCCAGGCCGTATAGCGGGTCCACGGAGAAGGCCGTGACGACCCAGGACGTGATGGAGTCGGGCACGGCCCTCTTGATGGTGGCGCGGCCGTCAGACCTGCACGACAACGAAAGCTCGGTCAAGCGAGGCGGCCAGCGGGGGCAGGCGTAGCGAGAGGGCGTGGCGACTAGTGGACAGGGCCGGGCGGGGCCGGAGGGTGAAGCAGGGGACTGCTACAGTGAAGGGCAAGTGTTTTTCGCAAGCATAACCAAGTCATTCATTCCCCAGTTCATGCCTTCCGCAGTTCATCTGTTCATTCACTCCGTTAAAAATGCTTTCGCCCAGTTCATGCCTTCCACGATTCACTGATTCATTCGTACTCACTCCTTTTTCTCGTTCATTCCGGGGCCGTCCACAAATGACACAGTCAAAAACTCTCTCAAAAATAAATAAAACAGTCGAATTTGTGGACGCCCCCTCAAATCATTCACTCCGTGCACTCCGTGCGTACCCGGACGAGACATTGGTGAAGAGCCAGGTGGGTGCCGGGGGCTTGGTGAGGAAGACCTTGGGGTGGTTCCAGACGGGAGGCGGGATTCGCGAGAACGCGTAGGGCCCGGCGAGGGGCGGCCTGGTGGCGGGCAGGTAGGCCACGGCGGGGCCCAGGTCGGGCTTGACGACGGGCAGCCCTGGCACCGGGAAGGAGCGGTGCAGGGCGCGGTTCTGGGCGCGGAGGGGGTCGTCCTCGTGAACTGCGCAGCAACAAGCACGTCGTCGTTGATGTTGGCGCCGGTCTAGTTATTGTTGTTGTGCTCGTGCTCCCGGTTTTACCCGCGCGCCAAAGGCTTGGCCGGATGGCCGACCTTCGCCAGAACGGCCAGAATGGCCGGGATGGCACGAATAACGTAATAGTGGCGGCGTGCGTCGGGGACACGGGCACAGCGACACAGCGACGCGGTCACCCGATGGCGGGCTGGCCCAGCCTGGCCCAGCCTTCCAGAGCGATTCACGTTAATGCATCCTCATTCGCAAACATGATTCGCGTCCTCGTACCAAGCGGTGCTTAGTGTTACAAAAAAAAGATAAGCGAAACTTCCCGACCTCGTCCAACCACCAAGCATGCAGCCGATGTAGTCATCAGGCGAGAAGTTGGGGCACAAGCAATGCGGGGCCGCGCGGGACGTGCAGGGAGGGGGTATCCGGGGGTGGAATCGGATGTCGTCTCGCCTGTGGCTCTGGGGGAGTCAGTCTACATTGGTTCAGGGGTGCCCAGGGAACCCACTCCTCCAACGTCAATGTCTTTTTTGGGGCACCTGATCGTTGCCTACCCTGAGTCCTGCACTTGCTCCCACAGCCACGTCTCCGGGAAGTGTCTCCTGGTCTTCGTGGCGTCCGCGGTGGCGTCCGGGGCGGCGCTAATGGACGCGAAGGGGCTGCCCGAGTCAGAGTCCAGCACCGGGGACGGCAGGCCGCGGCTGTAGTACTCTGGGGCACAAACCCGAACAACCGCACGTTCACACAACCGTTGTTTTTAGTCTGTGACCGCCAAGCCAACCGCCCCCAGCGGAATCCCCGCGCGGCGATGAAAAGCTCAGCAGAGATATGAGAAACCTAGCAGCCCTTCAGCGGTTGGCAAGGGCCTTACCTGAGCCGACACCTGGAAGGCGACTAGGCGAATGTACATGACATTACAGAGATTAGTAACACAGATTATCTTTTGATTAATTTGGTTAACGTGTGCAGATTGACAGTTGTTTCTGCCTCGGCTGCAGAAGTAAAAGGTGTGCGTTGGGTTAACCAAGCGAATTAATCACAGTTTTTGTCTTGTGACATCCGTACGGCTTGAGATAAGAGATTAATTACAAAACAATAGTCTTCCACATTTTTGCGATTTCCTGAGAGTTTTAATAAAGGTTATCACTGTACTATGCAGGCTTGACTTACCGACTCTCATGGACTCCATGACAAGACCGTTCGTCAGGATGACCGTTCCCGCGTTCTGAAAACAAGGTTTTAAAATTGTCAACCCATAAGTGAACTACATTCTCCAGGATGTTGTGGCTTCGAGAAATCGACTCACATCGAACACCTCCTGCGCGGTGGCGGAGCCGGGGCGCCATCCCGGAGCGCGGCGGCGCAGGCGAAGAGCGCGGCCCCGCGGCAACGCGGGCTCTACCCCCAGCAACGCCTCGTGCGTGGCGGGGTCTGGACTGTAGGACCGCAGCTCCTCCTTGATGTCCGCCTCGGTGATGTCGTTGCCGTCGCGCAACACCAGCACGCTCTGGTCCACCGCCAGGATGCCGATGTACGAGTTGGGGCGCGTCTGCAGCCGGAGCTCCACGTCGCGCCCGGGCTCCGTCGTGGTGGGGTTGAGCGACAGGTCCACGAAGTTCTGCAGCAGCCCCTCCAGCTCCACGTCTAGCACGTCGGCCACCACCTCGCCCGTCTCCAGCACGGAGTGGATGAGCACGCGCGCATTGGGCGCCATGGGGTGCGTGGCCAGGAAGCGGAAGGTGGTGGAGCGCTGGCCGGCCAGCGGGATGGAGTGCGCCACCACGATGTCGCCGCGCCCCATCACCTGGTACGACAGGTGCGACAGCGGGGACGTGCTGTTCACCTCGATCTCCACGTCCTCGTTCACCTGCAACGGCGCAGTCAGTCATCGGGGCGACGGTGGGGGAGCCAAAATGGCGGCCCATGACTTTGACCCATGCATACTACTCGCCGAGGTCGGCCGTCCCGGTAGTCGCCGACGTACCTTGGGGTTCTGCGTGACGAGCACGGCCTGCACGAAGGACGAGCTGGGTGACAGCGCGGCGTCGATGGTGGAGAACCACTCGGTCAGGTCCAGGTACCGCGCCTGCTCGACAACAAGGTGGTTACGCGTTACGAGCCAAGGACGTGATTAAAAGGTTCCGATGAGCGCGCGGGGTAATCGCTGGCGCCAACGCCGCAGCCCCCGACCCACCTCAATGCCCAGGGTGACGGCGTCGGACGGCGGGAAGAAGTCGACCTTGACGATGCCGGACCTGGGCAGCGGCCTCTCGAAGGACGTGTACTTGTCCGTGTCCCACGTGTAGCCGTAGCGGAAGGTGACGGGGTTGATGTCGTCCTGCACCGGGGTGCCGTCGTGGTGCGCCACCTTCACCTGCAGCAGCGCCAACGCCGTCAAGTCCCACGTCACGCAGCCGAGGATAAGCACGAGAGGCCGGGGTACTTACCCACGCGGAGTACTTGAGGCCGGGCTTGAAGTACTTGGAGGACCTGATGAGCTCCAGGGTGTACTTGTACTTGTGCACGGTGATGTGCTTGGTGATGTTCTGGCGGCGCAGCGTGTGCGCCTCCTCCACGGTCACATCGAGCTGCAGATCGCGAGTGAAGTCGCCCTGGAGCCTGGAAGGAAAGTGAGGGTAGAGTACACGCGCGTCGCCCCGCGTGGTTCTCCAGTTGCTGTCTGGCACTTACTTGAGCTCCTTCTCCAGGTCGAACTCGACGGCCGCCTTGCCGTCGATGGGCACCACTTTGCGCACGGGCGGCTGAAAGATGGGCTGCAGGATGTCCGAGATGTAGGTGGGGTAGGCCGTGACCGTGGCCTCGCCGCGGACCGGCTTCCCGTACGTGTACCTGCGGACAGGCACAAGGACGCCGTCAAAGGCGCGCCGGGGACAGCGACGAGACCCTCTCCGGGGTGTGGCCCTCACGTACCGTGCGCGGATGATGGCCGCGATCTTGCCCTCCTTGTAGGTGGTGAAGTCGGGCACGTCCGCCGTCACCTCGAAGTTGGGGAGGACGTACTCGGCCACCTGGAAGTTCTCGGTGAACATCTGGTCCTGGATGGCGGCGGTGATGTTCCAGTCACCCAGGACGGGGGACTCGGACAGCGGCAGCTCGCCGGAGAACACGCCGCGCGTCAGCGGCACTCGCTTCCACTCCTTGACGCGGTGGCCCTTGCCGTCCTGCAGCACCAGTTTCATTCATGCACGAGTGGAGGCAGCATTACCAAGCCGAAACCACGAAAAGCCATTAGGTTCTCTTTGCCGAGTGATGGGACCCGTTCATACCGAGATGAAGATGTCGAGGGGCAGGGTGACGCTGGGCTTGAGGTTGGCGTTGAGCGCCAGCACACGGAACTGCACGGTGTGGCCGGGCTTGTAGATGGCCTTGTCCGTCTGGATGAACACCGAGTAGCTCTTGTGCACGTACTGCAGGTCGGTGGCGTTCTCGAAGTTGACGCCGCCCTGGCCGCGCGCCGTGAGGCGGTAGTGGCCGGAGCCCAGGTCGGGGATCTGCAGGCACGAAAACCAATGTAATTAACATTTTTAAAAAGAAATTCAAGAGTTATTTGGTATTCCAAGCTGCCCCCGCCCTACCTCGAGCCTCGCCGTCCTGGTGGAGTAGGGCTCCACCATGATGGTCTGCAGCACGCGCTGGCTGATGCTGCCGCCTGAGTCCTGGCGCCCGGACACCTCCAGGGTGACGCTGGTGGGCTGCCCCGTGCCCTGCGTGGTCACGGCCACGCTGAAGTCCGTGTTGGGCCGGATGACGCGCGGGGCCACGATCGTGTAGGTGCTGGAAGGGACAGGAGGGACGGGGAGGTTCGAGGGCGACTCGTTTGCTGTGCAGTGGACGGCGGCCGATTGACGGGGCCAACTTACCCAGCAGCATCAACGGCGGAGACCGACGCGATCCAGAAAACACACAAGGACGCCAGCGCCTTGGTGGCGCTCCACCTGGCGGCCATGGTCTGCGGAGACAAAGAGAGCGACAGTCAATACCTAGGTCAGCGGTTCTCAACCTTGGGGTCACGAAAAAATTTCGAAATACTACCCCGTATAAGGAAACCAAACGAGTATTAACCGAGAAATTTGAAAGGGAAAAGAAAAAATTTGAACTCTACACCCCCTCCCCAGTCTTAATGGGGAGGCCTCCTGCTTTACTTCGGTGTTCGGGATGGGAACCGGTGCTATCAGGTACCTGGGGTTAATCCCGTCAGCGACCCTAAGCGTTCGCCGGGGGACCCAGTAGGACCCCAAAGCTCAGGCAGCTGGGTGGGAGCACCCAGTACGAAGCTCTTAGAGGGGCGGGACGTAGAGTGAGACGACAGAGAGACAGAGAGAGACTCAGACAGAGAAGAGGTTTGGTGGGAGCTTCTTGTTTTCGTAGGGTTGGTTGTGTACCCCATGGTACCCCCACTGTCCGGCGCTCCCGTACCGAACATACAGCGTTTTAGGCCAGCTTCAAAGGACTTATCATCGCCTCCCCGACAAGTCAAGGAGGCACCACCCGCAACCACACACCGGGTGGTCTGGATTGATGGATCAAATACTCCATCGCTCCAGTGCCGAGGCCAACCCGCCGAAGCGGATTGCTTTTTAGACACCCACAGCGGAGTGGCCAGGTGAATGTGACTCTGACCACTACGCTATCACGCTTGTACGTCTGGCAGCGTGTTGGACGACGGGTTTGAGTTGCACTGGGAGGAAGGCGGTCGAAAAATGTAATGAAATGATGGGATTCGATCCCCGGACCCCGCCATCGGGATCACACGACTTTACGCTCTCGGCCACCACGGCCCATGATGAGGGGATCGGCGTGAGGTGGGTTCTTGACGCAACAGGACTCGACCGACCCGGTCAAAATTTCGCAAGAAGTTGGGGGAGTCGAACCGCCGACCCTAGCGCTGGGAACCGACGCCTCTACTCCCTGGACCACCACGTCCCATGCTCGGTGTGGGCTCACGTTTACGGGTTTGAACCGCACTGGGTGAGGCAGTAAAATTAAATGGAAATATTTTAGGAGTCGAACCTCCGGCATGTGGGCCTGTTGCACACGGCTCCGCTCTCATGGCCTCGAACCGCCACCCTTAGGATAGCAAGTCGAAAAAACTTTTGTGACGCTGGTATTCGAACGCCGGCCTGCGGTACCTCGATCCCACGTCTCCAACCTCTCGGCTATCGCAGCAGTTGTGAAACGCGACGGATCATCTGCTTTCATTAACGTTCGTTGAATGAGATTTTTTTTGTGGGGGGAGAATCTGATGCATGCAGTCACACATGGCATCAGCGCAGCAGAGTGGCACCCACTCACTCACGGCCAAAGTCAGCCCGTGGCCTTCCCCCTCCCTTCGCACCGCCGCACCGCCACGCCATGTCCGCGACGCGCCGCGGTCTCGGAAGGCACGGCAGGGCAGGGCGACAGACTGACTTTCAATACAGCGCACCACAACAATGCCCCTCCAAAAAACTTTCTGTTCCTCCAGATTTGGCCCCAGGATTTTTCACGGGCAGCTGAAGCGCCCGCGGATTCGAGCACAGGCAGCCACGCGCGCAGCTAGTTATGCCCGCTGCTGCAGCTGCGCGCGTCTGTCCGCCGGTCTGCAGGGGCTGCCGGGCTGTTGTGCGTGTCGGCTGGCACCATGCTGGCACGCGCGTGTGGGTTGCGCGGTGGGCGGACCACAAGCCCCGTACGGTTTCGCGTCGCTCGCGTCACTCGGAGGCTTGGCGCGGCTTGGCGGCAGTGCTTCTCGCTTCGCGCTCCGCCAAAAGGCCGCGGGGACCGTCCGCAAAGCACGGCCCGGTTCGTTCACCTCGTGCACCCACACGCCTCCAGGCCTCCAGGCAGCCTTCGCATGACCCAGGCCACGCCAACGCCCATCTATTTCCCGGCATACTTCCACTGTCACATTTCCTGATGCGAAAAATCGGCGAACGTTTCGCCGCTTCAGACTCGTGGTTTAGGTTACGAATTTCGGCGCGGCCCGCCCCACCCCGCCTTTTTAATTCGCTTTCGTTCTTGTTCTTTTCCGGTGTAAGAGGCCTGGCCCGCCACCTCACGCCGCCGCCGCACCTTTACCCGAATGCTTCCGTCCGTCTTTGTCCCACTTGTGCCGTGCCCACCGTGGCCGTCGTCACACAGTGTGTCACACTCGTACACCCACACGGAGCGCCACGGAAGCGGCCGAGTCACCGGGCGTCGTCGCCGCGTCACCTGCTCCCGGACGCCATCAACAAAGCCATCACCGCCGAGAACGGCCCATTCAACCGCCAGCAGCGCCACGCCACTGCCACGCCCGCCGGCCGGAACCCCTTGAAAGGGTCGCCGAGCGACGGCGGCGGTATTCGAACCCACGACCCAGGGCCTGTGACAGGCCTGCAGCCGCCTGCAGCCCGGCGGCCGTGACGCCCCGTGTGTTTGCAGTACTTCCCGTCTCGGTGAGAGTGTGTGTGTGTGTGTGTGTGTGTGTGTGAGTGTGTGTGCTCACGACCGACAGCGCACCCGTGCTAAGAGCGAGATGGATTTCCCCGGCCAGACTCCTCCCCTCCACCCGTTTTTTTCGCAGAGAACCTTTTGGCCCGATCGGGCCGTTGGTCGTTCCCTCCCGATCTGGCGACGCCAGCCGATGCCGATCGACGAGGGCATCGGGCCCATCAGGCATCGCAACCGATCGCAACGACGTCCATGCAATCGCAGCCCATGGCAGCCCATGGCAGCCCTTTCTCAACGAGCGGCATGCACTCGTTTGTGCGACGTCTGTGCGCCGCCAGCTCGGGCTGCCCGCCTGCCTGCCAGGGCCGCCAGCCTGGTCTGTCCGGCCGGCCAGCCGTCTCCCTCGCGCTGCTCGCGCTAGCGATGCGTGCCTTACATGGTAGCTCGCCAGTGGCCACAGCCCCACGGCCGCCTCAGTCCGAGGGATCGCTGCGTCGCTCTGTCTCTCTCGCGCCCCGGCGACAAGCCCCGCGAGTGCGACAAAGACAAGGCGACGAAACGGTCCAGTCGGCCACAGGGTCCACCAGAGTGGCCGTCCAGTAGGACAGGCATTCCGACGGCCAGGCCGACGGCGTGCGCGTCTACAGGGTGTGGTGGAGCCGCCCGCCTCACAGTGGGCCAGAAGACCGGTGCTGTCGCGCCCCGCGGACCGCGGACCGCCGGAAGATGCGGTGCGCGGTTCGCTCCGAAAAGTGAAACCGAAACCACGGCGGGACGACAAAAAGGGGGCGAGTTTCCGGTAAAAAGCGGCGGTGCGTTGTCGTCGCCGTCGCCACCAAGGTGCGGCAGAAAGCCTGCAGGTCCGAAAGCCCGAAAGCGTTCGGGCTTTCCCTTTGGAAACTCCCACAGGAAGCCCGCGGGAAGCCGCACCGGCCGCTCCGCATGCAGAGCGATGGGCCAGGGGCCATCGGACGGCCGGGCCTCTGGGCCCGGTCTCCCAGCAGGGAGACCAGGGAAGACACAAGCGGTGTTTTCGCACGGCCGGACGGGCCAGCCGCATCCGGTGCGAGAGCGCCACCAGCGCGACCCCACGACTACGAGGCGGGCCGCGGAGAGGCGCCGCACAGCTCGCCGGCTAGCCGCCGGCAGATGTAAAGCACGTCTGTCTGTCTCACTGTCTGTCTGCCAGGCGCGGCCAGGCGGCCGGCGAGGTGCTCGTCTCCCGACCGCGGCCTTACAACACACGACACGACGCTTCCAATTCCATGCGGCGATGCTTTCAAAATTGCGGCGACAGACAGACAGACAGACAGACAGACAGCGCGGGTAGACACACGGGCCAGGCCGCATAGCGCCGCATAGAGATGGCAATCTCACACGCCATAAGCGCAGCAGACTGGCGGTGCGGCCCACGGTCACCGCCGGACCAACTTTTTTCCAATCTCATTATTTTATTTTTTTTAGGTGAAAATAAAAACAAGACGTCAAGGTCGAGCTGATTGCTTTACAATTGCGATATTTTTTTTTCTTTGTTTACTTTTGGGTGGAATTCGTTACGTCACCGTTTACGGGCCGCCCCTCCGTCGCGGTGTATTCGTTCCGCCCGCGCGTCTGGGCGCGAACGCATGACCCCGCCCCGCCCCGCCCCGCCCCGCCCACCTGGACGGACCCGCCACGGCGCGACAACACGCACCACCTGACCGGCTGGGCGGCTGGTCTGGCGATCCCACCGATCAGAGCGCCAGGCTGCTCCGGACTCCGGGCCACGCCACGGCACGCCACGCCGCGTCAGGCCCATTGGGCAACCGCCGACCGCCACCACACTGCCACGCGCGCCGGGGAGGCTGCGCGCTGCGCGACCGCCGCACCTGTGCAGAGACGCGGGCCGTCGGTCTCTGCCTGTCCTCTGTTACCGTCGGTTACGTCTCACGAGCAGAACGCCGTGGAGGGTAGGCAGGCCCGCCAGCCAGCGGTGCGCACCGGGGTGCCTACCCAACCCTCGCAGGCGCCCAGGCGGCGGGGTAGGCAAGCCCGCCAGCCAGCCCTGCGCACCGGGGTGCCTGCGCATCAGGCGCTGTGCGGGTTCTCAGACGTTTACAGCAGCTCGACAGACGGACGGGCGGACAGACGGACAGGCTGACGGGCGGATAGGCAGAAGCATCAACGGGTGGATGGACTGCGAGGAGCGGACTGCGGCGGCCTGGACAAGCAGGCAAGGCGGGCAGGCTCTTCGCTCCAGTTGCGAGGGCGAGAGCGCGACGAGGACGGCGACGGCGACGCGCGCGCGCGCGCACACACACACACACACCTATACACACATACACACACTAAGACGGGCAAGCGTCGTATTCGTCCGATGGACGCACTCTGTAACTTGGGACGGCCGGGTAACTTTAGACGTCATGAAGTGAAGGGCCCTTGAGCACATAAGACTTTGTGTGAATATTGGATTAATATCGGTTTGGGAGCAGAGTTGCCGCAAAGTTTGTCGAAACGGTAACAAATGTATAGAAATCATCGTTTGGCCTGACTTTAGGCAGCCACTGCATCTAATCTAAGCCGCCAAATCGTTCTCCCTCAACGGGTGGGTACTCTTTGGGCCTTCCTTTAGAACCCCTTTGTTACGGAGTGCGATTGGCCACCTTAGTTTGGGAGCGGTATTGCAGCAAAGTTTGTCGAAACGGTAACAAATGTGTAGAAATCATCGTTTGGCCTGACTTTAGGCAGCCACTGCATCTAATCTAAGCCGCCAAATCGTTCTCCCTCAACGGGTGGGTACTCTTTGGGCCTTCCTTTAGAACCCCTTTGTTACGGAGTGCGATTGGCCACCTTAGTTTGGGAGCGGTATTGCAGCAAAGTTTGTCGAAACGGTAACAAATGTGTAGAAATCATCGTTTGGCCTGACTTTAGGCAGCCACTGCATCTAATCTAAGCCGCCAAATCGTTCTCCCTCAACGGGTGGGTACTCTTTGGGCCTTCCTTTAGAACCCCTTTGTTACGGAGTGCGATTGGCCACCTTAGTTTGGGAGCGGTATTGCAGCAAAGTTTGTCGAAACGGTAACAAATGTGTAGAAATCATCGTTTGGCCTGACTTTAGGCAGCCACTGCATCTAATCTAAGGCGCCAAATCGTTCTCCCTCAACGGGTGGGTACTCTTTGGGCCTTCCTTTAGAACCCCTTTGTTACGGAGTGCGATTGGCCACCTTAGTTTGGGAGCGGTATTGCAGCAAAGTTTGTCGAAACGGTAACAAATGTGTAGAAATCATCGTTTGGCCTGACTTTAGGCAGCCACTGCATCTAATCTAAGGCGCCAAATCGTTCTCCCTCAACGGGTGGGTACTCTTTGGGCCTTCCTTTAGAACCCCTTTGTTACGGAGTGCGATTGGCCACCTTAGTTTGGGAGCGGTATTGCAGCAAAGTTTGTCGAAACGGTAACAAATGTGTAGAAATCATCGTTTGGCCTGACTTTAGGCAGCCACTGCATCTAATCTAAGGCGCCAAATCGTTCTCCCTCAACGGATGGGTATTCTTTGGGCCTTCCTTTAGAACCTCTTTGTTACGGAGTGCGATTGGCCACCTTAGTTTGGGAGCGGTATTGCAGCAAAGTTTGTCGGAACGGTAACAAATGTGTAGAAATCATCGTTTGGCCTGACTTTAGGCAGCCACTGCATCTAATCTAAGGCGCCAAATCGTTCTCCCTCAACGGGTGGGTACTCTTTGGGCCTTCCTTTAGAACCCCTTTGCTACGGAGTGCGATTGGCCACCTTAGTTTGGGAGCGGTATTGCAGCAAAGTTGGTCGAAATGAACAAAATTCGAAAAGAGGCGCTTCTTTTCTTCCCGACCGTCCGATACCGCACAACGGCTCGGTGTCTCTTGTCTCCGTTTCCCAAGCATCCTGCTTGCCTCTGCTTGCCTCACAACGCCGCGCCTCAGACAGGATGGATGTCAACGACTCCACCCGCGCAACAACAACAACAACCGCATCATCTTGGCCACATCTCGGCGGTGGAGCGGGGCGGGGTGGCAGGGCGTGGCGTTCCCAATTATTCTAAAACGCGCTTCAATTTGCTGCGGTCATTACTGGATGGACGCTGCTGCCGCTCGCTGTCGGCAACGAGTGTGCGAGTCGGGCCGAGTTGGCCGGCCGGCCGGGGGCCAACGACTTACTTACAGCGCGCTCTCCACTCTCTGCCGCCGCCCTGCAGTCCGTCAGCGCCAACCGATTGGCCCTACAGTGGGGCTCCCTCCTCATTTAGTTTTTTTTGCCGAGAGACTCTCGTGGGAGAGGAACCTAATCTAGAAATGGCTGATTTTCGCCATCGCTGCCGCGGCCAGGCTCCGGCCGACGCCGCATCGCGGACCGTGGGACCGGCGGCCCGGTGCTCGGCCTGGCGGCTGGAGGCGCACATGACATGCAGCGGCGCGGCGCCGGCGTGGGACAAGAAGAGCAGGATGCAGCACAGAAATAAATGGGGGGGGGAGGCACTCCGTGAAAAAAGTGAAAGTCCTAACTCGCGAGTCGCGGGGCGACGTGGGGCGACGCGGGGCCCACTCCGGTGAGGCTGCAGGGCTCCAGCGAGCGGAGCACAGAAGGGCGGGGAAAGGCAAAGGCAGCGTGTGGCGGGCTGGCGGGCTGGGGGCCTGGCGGGCGACGTGGACTGGAGTGGCGTTCCTTGGTTCCTTGCCCCTAACCCGACTCGTGACCCGGGGCCGCGGTCAGGGTTCAGTAGGGCCGCGCCATGGCGTGCCTCGCCCTCTGCGGGCCCCACGCGGCCCCACGCGGCCCCACGCTTTGCCTCAAGGCTCCGGCCGAAGACCGACAGCGGAACGGGGAACTGTCAGGCGCAAAAGCCGCGTATCTCAACGGAACACGACGGTCGTGCCGGCAGGGCGGCAGGGCACGGCCGGGCCACGGGAGCTAAGCCCCGCGCTATATGCGTGGCGAACCGGCGGGCACGCGGCCGACGATGACAACCACTCGTTTTCGATTCAAGTCATGCTCCACTTTGAAACAATATCCCCCCCTCCCTCCTCGGCCCGCGGGCTTCTCGCAGGCCTCTCGCAGGCCGCGGCACTCACCAGGACCGCCGCTCCAGAGGGACGGCCGATTGCCGATTCCGATCTCGATGTGCCTCCAGCCGCCCAGGTAGGTCCAGGTAGGTCCACCCCCGCACGCGCCGATGAAGGCTGCTGCTCCTGTGGAACGTGCGGCGGTGAGGTAAGCGGCCGACCCGCCCAACTGAACCCGCCCCTGGGTCAAAAGCACGCGCCCCTGAACCGCCCAGGACTCCGCGCCCCGCTGTCGTCGACGGCGTGCTCGGCGCGCGGAGCGCCTCAGCGACGTCCCCGAGCGCAACAAGCAACTGGAGCGAACATCGGCGCTTTCTACTACGTGCGGCGGACCGGCGGTCCGGCGCAGGACCCACGCAACTCGACGAAGGTCGCGTGCAGTTACGGCCGCTCGCACGCCGCCGCCATGCGCCGTGCCCGCCATGCCGCCGCCGACGTCGCTTTTTCTCGTTTTTGCCGCGGCACGGCGATCGGCTTGGAGCGGCTCCGGGCCCTTCGGGCGCATCGCGAGAACCGGAGCGCGTTTGCTTATTCACTTTGCTTCTCGGAACTCGGAGAACTCGGAAGGGCGACGCGAGGCGACGCGAGGCGGTGACGCTGCCGCGCTGCCTCGCTGCCTCGTTAGGGCGTCGTTAGGGGGGTGCTTGCGTCCAGCTTGCGTCGCTCCCGTCTCTCTCGCACCCCTACGGAACGCGCCATCGGTGCGAGCGAGACAGAGCGAGACAGAGCGACGCCGAATGGCGGTTCGGAAACGCTGTCCGGCGTAACGACGGTAACGACGCGGACGTGGCCTCCAAGGCCTCCACGATCTGGACCGCGGCCATCGGCATCGGACCTCCGCGGTCGGCCTCCACCGCCTCCACCACGCCCACGCCGGCCTCGCCCCGCCCCGCCCCGCCCCGCCCCGCCCGCCGCGGCGCCAACTGCTTTGCATTTTACGAGCCCAGCCTGACAAAAGCACTCGGAAATGTGACACTTGACGGGCCATCGATAAACAACTAGGAAAAAAATAGATTTTGTGGAAACACAAGTTTTAGTTTCAACTTTGGTGCTGCCCGGGCCGAATCCCCCACTTTCACGTCTTGTGTCACTGTTGGGGCGTGGGGTGTTTTAAGTGAGGCGACCGCGTCGGACAGCCCAGGACAATCCAGGACCGCCCTGGGCCAGCCCGCCCCCGCCGCCGGCAGTCCCGTGGTGTGGGTCTCTCTGTCTCTCTGCTGCGATCGCAAGGCTGTCGCCCTCGTCCACTTGAATCACTGTATCACACGACTGCCGGTCGCGGGCACGGGCACTGCCCCTCGGGTCCGATCCAGGATCGACGGCGACCTCTGACCCTGCCGCCAAAACTCAAACAGCACCGCTCTCCCTACGGATCACTGACTTTTGGCGCACTTTTACGTTCGGCACGTCACTCCGTCCCGTGGCGACCGGCCCGGACGACGCGAAGGCCGTGCCCTCGCACGGTGGCACGCGACGCAGGACGCGCGTCGCGTCCTTCGGCACACAGGTGGCGCGTCGCGGACACGGGGTGGGCGGCACGGCGCCACCAGCGACACGACGGCTACCTTGATGCTGCTCGCGGCGCGGCGGTCGGATGCAGACTGCAGCGGCGGAGCGGCGACGGGACGCGAACCCGCCGGACGCGGACAGAGGCGGAGCGCGGAGCGACGCGCCGTCTTTCCGTGCCGGGGCCGGGGGAGGGGAGGGGGAGGGCCGCGGAGGGGGCCGATCTCTCCCGCGCGGCCCAGAGGCCCCAGAGGGCCCAACAAGCACCGGCCGACCTACCTGTACCGCCTGCGCAAAGCCCGAGTCAGCGCGGCGGAGCGAGACACCTGTCTCTCTCCCTCCGCCCGGCTCGGCTTGACTCTGCCTCCTCCAGGACCCGCGGGACCCCCAACCCACCAGCGTCCGTCTCCCTCGCTCTCGTCACAAGGCGGCCGGGCCGGACGTCTTGCCGGACCTTGAAAGGAGCACCTGGGACCCCGCCAAAGCGCCGCGCCCCGCCGGGCCCCGCCCCGCCGCGGCAGTAGGCAAGGCACGGCCGCGGCACGGCTTGCCGCCTTGATTGTTCGAGAGGCGTGAATCCTCTGAGGCGTACATGAGCAGTGATGCGCGGAGAGGCAGCCAACCCAGAGGACCCCTCGTCCAGGGCGTCGTCCAGGGCGTCCTCGAGGACGGCGTCGTGCACCTCCTGGCGCGCCCGAACGCAACAGGTGTTCCGCTGACTCTGGTCCGCGTGATTCATCCATTCATTCATCTCGCTGGCCGAACCGGAACCGCTCTTCCGCGAAAAATGACAAGTCATGTTTTCGCACGAATTTGGAGAAAATAAATGCTATAGAATTGCAGACTCGCGGGCAGTGCCATGCCCATGGCGCCGCGTGCTGTCGCTACTCCGCGCTACCGAGGGGGCCCGCGGCGCGGGGTACGTCCACTCTGGTCCGGTTCTGCGAGCTCCGCGAGCTGCTCGGGCACTAATGCCTTCCTGCGAGGCCCGCGTCCTGCGCCAGCGAGGCGGCCACCTCCTCGTCGGGCTGAGGGCCGCCTCGTCCGAACTGCCTCTCCGTCTATTTGTCTAGGTTAGTGTCCGACCGGGCTCCGCGCTCCGCATCACCTCCTGGCCCGCCCCCTTACCGGCGTGTGCTAGTCTGCTAGCACTCGTGCAAAAGTTTTGACTGTCTTCGGACACCTGCGGGGGGTGCTCTGCTGTGTGAAATTGTATCAAGCGGATCGAGAATCTCGAAGGAAATTTTAAAATCCTAGGCCTGCCTCATAGGCTCGTCTGGGCGAGGGGCGAGGGGCGAGGCAGAGGCGGCAGCGTGGCGGTGTGGCGGCGCGCGCCTCTGCAGGTGCACTGGTTCATTGTTACGCGCATCCCCTCCGTCGGCGGCCTCGGCTCCGCGTGGCTCCGCGGCGGACCCAGCGGACGGGACCGCAGGCGCGGACAGCTTAGCACTCTTCGCCGGGTGGCCCCACTGTCAGGAGCAGTGCCGCCCACCGCGGCTTTTGTAGAGGGCGGCGACCCGGAAGAGGACGAGCCCCGTCCGCCACTCCGCGCGCCCAGCCCCAGCTCCGCGATGACGAGTTTATCCTGATGGACAGCGACGGCCCCCACGGCCCCCACAGCATGGCCAGGACGCCGCGCCCCTCTGCCGCTGCCACCGGCACCACGTACGCCGCGTGGCCCCCGGGGCCCTGGGACCTGTCCGCGCCGCGCCACCACCACGGCCAGCACGGCCCCGGCTGCGCCTGGCCCTTGACCCCCGCCCTCGTCAACGTGTGCGAGGACCTGTACCCCGACAGCAGCGCACCGACGCCGTCCCTGGGGGACGCCTTCTCGTCCGAGGTGACGCCGGACATGGTGCTGCCCGCGCTGTCCGCGTTCCCCACGTACCAGCAGTACACCATCCAGGTTAGGCCGGCCTCCCGAGGGCGTCACTTTGCTCACGACAGCCACAGCGCATTTCGCGGCGGAAGTGTCAACAGGCTGAAAAGATCGCAAATGCCATCTAAAAAGTAAAGCGGCCGCTCCCTAACTGGTCTTCCCCGCCAAGGACTCGCTGCTCCCGGAGGACTCGTACGCCGCGCTGCCGCCCGAGTACCCGCTGTACAACTGGACCCTGCCGTACGGACCGGAGATCGACCTGCGCTCCATGGCGGTCGCCTCGCCGGCCTCGGCCCCGTCCTCGTCGTCGCAGTACCTGTCCGCGCCTCTGCCGCGGCATCGGCCTTCGCGCCCGCGCCACCGCGCGATGGGCCAGCCCGAGCCCGGGATCCGGGTGCAGTTCAAGAGCCCCAGCGAGATCCGGCGGTCGTGCGCGCCGCAGGACCTGCAGCAGGACATGCATCAGGTGGCGTGGCTGGAGGGCTGGAAGCGGAGTCTCAAGCAGTGCCTCAACACCCCGGAATGATTGTAGGCTTTGACGCGCAGCCCCAGCAGCGCGGCGGCAGCGGCGGCAGCAACGTGGCGGCCCTGTGCCCCAACCTGCAGGCCGTGGAGACCGTGGACCTGGACGACGAGGTGGTCGAGGTGGAGGTGCGGACATGTCGCCAGGACGAGGCCAGCGCCTCGGAGCGCATCACCTTCGACAGCATCGAGGACGCGCTCGCCTCCATCGAGGCCCAGACCCACCCCACCCCGCCGCCGGTGCGTTGGCAGTGTGGTGGCTGCCGCGAGGCAGGGTGGCGCGTGTCCGCGTCATCGTCTCGACGTGTTTTACCATTGTCGTGCTTTCCTCCGGTCCATGCAGGCGCAAGGCTGCGTTGCCGCCGCCGCCGTGGCGACGGCGATGGCCAGGTCGCGCGAGCCGCGCTGCAGCCCGACCCAGAACCCGAAACTGCCCCTCGCCGACGAGAGGCAGGACGAGGTGGTGAAGGCGGCCAAGTCGCTGTTCAGCAAGCGGACGCGCACCCTGTACCACTGGCTCTACCCCGACACCTCCAAGACCAAGTTAAAGGCCACTGTGTCCGCCGCCTGGGACACCCTGGCCGACAGCGAGAAGCAGTTCTACCTCTCGCAGGCAAGCGCGCGGTGACCGCCACTCCACCGTCCGCCAGGCGCCAGGAAAGGCCGCTTTGTTACTGTGTTTTTCGATTTTTCGGCGCAGGTGCTGGGCAGGTTCGGCCTGCAGGCTTCCAGTGTCATGATCAACCCCCAGCTGGACGGCATCAAGGGCTTCCCCTCGGCCGAGCTAAGCGCGTCGTGGACGGGGTCGGCCGCGTTGCCGACCGCCCGCAACCCCAGCCCCTCCAGCCCCTCCAGCCCACACCCCCGGCCGCCGCTGCCGTTCCACCAGCTGCCCCCCAGGGACCCAGGTCACCCAGGCCACGGCGGCGGCCGCGCGCCGGTCAGGACCAGTGTGCCGCCGCGGCCGCCCCTCGGGCCGCCCTCCCCGAGGCTGTCCGAGGCGCAGGAGGCCGTCAACCAGCTGTTCGCGTCGTGCGCGGACTCGGACACGTGGGCGTCGTACAGCTGCTCGTCCGCCGACACCGCCCCCGCCCCCGCGGCCCCCAGGCCCGCGGCCAGGACGCGCACCCTCTGCGGGCATGCGGACAGGAGGAAAAGGCCAGCGTCGGGGATGGTGCCGATGGTGCCCGACGTGGGGCCCAGGGTGCGGCTCAGCGCCCTGGGGGCGGACCACGTGGACGAGGAGGTAAGCTTCAGTCGCCCGGCTGGCCCGGCTGGACCAGTGCGCCGCCACGCCGCCACCACACTGTCATGCCATTCCCCGTGCCCCCATTCGCAGGTGACCATCCTCAAGGAGATTCGCGATGCGAGACTGGAGGCGGAACTGCAGGAGGACGCGGAGCTGAGCTCCGAGTTGGAGAAGTTCAGGCTGCTGGCGAGCGGCGAGCGCCCGGTGGGCTTCAGCAGCTTTAGGGACGACTTTTGGCGCGGGACGCCTGACCCCGAGGATATTTTCACGCAGCTCGACTTTTGAAACCTTTTTTTTTTTTTTTTGTTTTTCATTTGCACGGGCCGCTTTGGGTGGTCAACAGAACTAGCGGCACTACGGACCGTGCGTTGGTTTCAAAGATTATTCTAGCTGTCTAGTTTTGCTTTACTTTGTGATATTGTAGTTATAGATTTAGACTAGTGTCGACTAGAGAGAAATGTGACCCAAGTCAACTTTGTACATTTTCAGTATTTGCTCGAATAAAAGCATGAGTTTTTGCAGGATTACTTGCGCTAACATCTGTATTTAGGTGAAAGGAAGATTTAAAAAGGGGAAAAGAACAAGAGAAGAGATAAATGGTTTATGAATATATTTCATAACGGAAAGAAAAGCTGGTGTTGACACAAACCATTACCACCCTTATATTTACATACACCACATAGTTCTGACTAGTATTTAGTTGGAACATAAAGCACCACAAAAGCAAATGAACAATGAAAGAGACACAGGTCCCAAGTAAGTGAGAGGGAAAGCCCAAATTTACATATGCACATGGATTATATTTCCATCAATTGTTCTGTTTATCGCACAGATCTACTTCCAACAATAAATTAAATATCTCACCTAGATGTTAGAAGTTGAGGGGAACAAGCAATGCCAGCAATAGAAAACACAATACATGGAGTAGCACACATCAATAATATATTTGTGACTGAAACTCGTTCACCGATATCAGGCCATTGGCAACATCGATACAACAGCAAATTACATGAAAAATGCATATGGCAGAGCCATGGGGCCATAAGCAGCAATGTGATGGGGCCAAATCATCATTCTTACACAATCTGGAGTCATTAATTCACCAAATCCCATAGTATATTCTTTTCCCTTCATGCATTCCCTTAAAACATATTTCAATAACATTTTAATAAACAAACATCAAATTAAACGAATGTAACAACTAATGCATTTCATTAACTAACTATTTGGCCCAACACAAGAACAGTAATCAACAAAACAGAAGAGAATGTACAAAACATTAGGTAAAGACCCTCCTGTAGGTAATAGTGCAAAATCAAGAGCAAGAAAATCGAGTGGTACATGATACATAAGTTCATTGAAACTAAGAGCATCACAAGAGAATTCGATGCTGATGTGGTATTCTTCAGAGGTACTTATGTTTATCACATGAAGGGATACATGAAACTGACGTTTCTTCTACAATATCAACCTTGTTACTTAATTATGAACAAGTGCATTTGAATTTCTTTCACTCGAACGTTATTAACACATGGAACATCACATAACAATTGATAAACTGGAAAAAAAAAACACCACACCGCACTTAAACATTACCAATTTTAAAGTAAAGAGAAATGTTAACAATAACCAACAGTTGAAACACTCTTTTTTTAAATACATTTTTCACATTGAAGATTGTCTATTGCTAATACAAATTTAACATTTTAAAAGAGGGAACTAAACCCAAACAAACACCATAATTTTATTGAACCATTGACGTTGCGATGATTCCGTCTCTTCCATCCTTCTTTCTATGTCATGTGTGGAGAAAGGATGCAGAGACTTCACAGAACAAGCAATAGGATAAAATCATTATTACCCTTAATAAAATAAAAGAATGAGGTAACTGATGCCTTGAAAGACAGCAAGATAAAATGCAACACCTTTGCATTCAAAGATTTTGAAGAATTATGAATATTCATGTCATGGTAGCTAATATTATCAGCTAGCAAGTACTACAATAGTAAAATTGAAAAAAATAAAATGAAATGAGAAAAAGGCACATATCTTTCAAAACATTGAGGCAGTTAACAAATAAATAAGATCATAACTGATGCACAACAAAACATGAAGTTAACAAAAAATAACAGAAACATTAATATCATATATTGTACCATGTACTATTAAGTTATCATTTGAAGAACAGACAGGGCTATTACGCACTACCGTAATGTTCATAGTTGCACTGCGATAAAGTCCCAGTACTTCCAACGTCATATTTCGTTGCTCGTCATGGTGTGGACCATTTCTTTCAAAACAAAATAAGAAACTGGGAAACAATGAATAAGTATCGTTGTAAGTATGAGTTAGGATGAAGCAACAAATCCTAACTTAAGACAATTGAAACATTGCTATTCATTAAGTTGCCTTATTACAGTACAGAGCACATTAGAGATTAAGTACATGAAAATCAGACTGCTCTAGATTATGGGGGTACCAATCTGGCCAAACTGAAAAAGCCAGATGTCTGAAAACATTTTGCTATGCTTTAAAAGATGTTCCTAGGTGTCAGTTTACTCACAAACAAAGTTATACAACATTATTAAGATTAAAATTTGGCTTAACAAAGGCCCTGAAGCAAGGCGTTCTAAGAGGAAAAATGCTTCCTTTATCAGTTTGCCATAAGTTCGTATGTTTTTTTTGGAATTAAACAGTTTATCTGGCATTTCAGTCTCAGATAAATCACAATGTCAAGGCTTAAGAATTATACAAATCTTCAATGTTAGGAGAAAGGTCTAAGTACAAAACAGTGAGCAGAGCAACTAATCAAAGCTAAGAGCATCTTAATCTTTTTAAAATGGCACCTTTTTCTTGTGCTTTGTAAAGAAAAAAACAAGGTCATGTCATGTGGAAATGTCATTATGGTAGGTATTTTAGACAGCAAAGAGCTGCAAACTAAATGAGAGATAGTTGAAACCTCCCAGTATCAGATCATTTAAAAAGAAACATGCGTTTCTAGAATGATAAAAAGAAAAATGAGACTAATGGACACTATAGTCCTTTTCACTTACAAATTATAAGAGACTCCTATCCTGCTTCTTTTTAAATCAACTCAATAGAGTGAACATTGTATCCAGTATTCCTTCAGCCGAAAAAAAAACCCTTCACTTTTGAAGTTTCCTAAGTGTCTTCATCGACTAATAATAAAATGAATGAATGTCAAAAATGAGCAGCAGAAATAAAGAAAATCAGTTCAAATAATTAGGAAAAGTTTGTGAAGAAATCAGCAATAAAATCACAGAGAAACAAATTACAATGCGCATAAACTGAGAAATGTTATTTCGATGAGGATGATGATGACTTAATTATTCTTCTTTAGCTTCCTGCTGCTTTGTCTTGTTAGAACTTGACGAATCAGTTGAGGACTCTGCACCGACATGTGGCAGCTGAAATCAGACAAGGGAAACCAATTATCAGACTACTGGGGCAAGACAAGACACCACAGTAACAACTGAAAGCAAAGCCACAGTAGAACACAAAATATAAATTAAAAATGACAGGGTATGGTACACATATGCAGTAGTCTTATGGTGTAGTTTGATGAGGATGAGTAAGTCAAAATAGAGTTAGGTTTTAAATTTTCAAGAAAAACGGAAGAAGAGGGGGAAAGGGAGAAAGACAGAAAGAGAGGGGATGAAAGAAGAGTAATCGGGGTGAGAACAGATAAAAACAGAAACCTACTTCCTATGTTAAACTAACAAGACATTAATGAGTATTTATGAAAAGGTGTGCACCTGGATGTTAAAAAGTTGGATTCTAAAGCAAGCACAGCAAACTTCAGACAGATTTGAGCTGGTTCTTACTCTACTGTTCACAAATCACAATCAGCTTCACACAATGCATGTTAATCTACACGAATTTTGTACTGCTTACCAACGGTTATTCACTCAGAACAGGGAGGAGCGACCAGCATGGAGGAAATAAAAACCATCCATTACGACCAATTCATTCAATCAATGTCATAATAACAAAAGTACACTAAGGTAATGGAAAATTGATTAACAGTGCTGGACATTTCATGATATTCAATATGAAAGCTTTGCATGTAACTGCAAAGAAAAAAAAAATATAATGAATCATGAAATGTCCATGTTGTATATAATAAGAGAGAATAAAATTGCAGCTTGCTTGTCTGCAAACACTAGACACCTTAGGATTGGATACCTCTGACTGCATTTCAAAAAGTCCAGGCAGCGTGGAAGAAAAATTAGAAAGATAACAGCAAGACAAAGAAAGAAATCCGCGTAAGATGACAGCCCTTATGCTAGGATAAAAGAAGGTAATTAGGGTTTGACGATTTACTTACAGTTCAATGTTTTGGATGTTTGAGTTGGGGCATGTCGTATCTACTTTGACATGGCATTGCTTGTGGCACTTGAGCAGACAGTCTCTGCATTCGTAACCTTGTTTACCAATGCGGCGGGCCACAGTCTTGGCACATATCTGACAAACAGTTCCTCTGTAACCAAGCATAGAAACCATGAAATAATTACTGTTGAACAATGTTGGACTTTAAAAAAATGCCCATGTGAAAAATTAAGTTTTTCCAGCAGGATTCTTACCCAGTGAGATGTTTGGCAATAAAGGTGTGGTCATTGAAAATGTGAAGCTTTGTCCCCTTCTTCTTCCACTTGGTTTTCTGAGCTAATGACAGTGGAACCAAGTAGTACCTAAAAGTGATAGGAAAATAGGTAATGAACCATAGCAGTGTACATCAAAAGTTTCCATAAAGTGTGACTCTTACTTGTGGATGCCATTTTCAAGAGTCTCCAAAACAAGATTTGATGCTTCATTGATGTATGTACGAGTAGATGCACCACTTATACCAGAAGCTTCACTCAAACTTGAACGGGTCGAATCAGCTCGGAGGCCAGGGACAGTCAAGTAACCTAAAAGTCACAGCAGAAGTTTGTTGAGAAAAATACAGCAGCACACTTTTTAAACTTAAGTTTAAACAAACCCAATCATAAGGATTTACTACAATAGTTGAAGCCAAGACATGATGCAACTACCTCTAGAAAAAAAGCCCATGGGAAATGTAACAGTGAAAAGTGGGCTATACATCCTAAAGGACAGTGAAAAGCTTCACATTTTGGCTTTATCTAGCATTGGCCATTTAAAATAAAAAGATAAGTTACATCAGAATGAAAAGCAAAAGGCACTAGCACACACAACCACTACAACATACCTGATGAATGTTGAGACCCATCATGTGCACGATCAGCTGATATTGATCGACTTAGAGCACTAGGAGATTGATCACGGTTTTCATGATCCCCAGGGTCAACTGATTTTGATCGAACTTTAGAGCGATTTAACCGCCTCTTGATGGTGCCAAAAAAATCTCTCTTTTTTCTACGACTGCGACCACGTTCTGACAAGCATAGCAGTAAAGGTGAGGTGTAAACATAGTCGACAGTTGGGTCTATTATAGCAGTGGGTACTCATATATATGGATGGACAAGAGAACTACGATGATGAACATGAACGCGACAGGTGAATGAGGAAGTTCTTTTTTCTCTGGCTGGCGTGCTTTGTGAGCAAAGCCGAAACTCTGCTTTGTAAGGTGGCCTACCTTCTGCTGTCAAGTGGTCACCATCAGGCCCAACACGTTGAGTAGAGTTGAGTTGCTGCTGTTGCTGCTGCTGCAGTTGAAGCTGCTGCTGCTGCTGTTGCTGCTGCAAAGCAACTTGCTGTGGAGACTGCAGCCCGAACCCAGACTGTAAAACGAAAAAAGAGGTACAGGTGAGAAGAGAACCAGAAGAATGTAACTTGCTTAATTATTTTGGCATAAAGGCGAGAAAAAGAAGAAAGCATCATGCAGTATGCCCTCTCAACAAAGGTAAAGATGGTTTCTGCAGAGAGAAAAATAGCCAATTGACAAATTTCAACAAAATAACATATTTTTAAATTAAAAAGAAAGACAGGACTTAGGCAGAAAGAAGAAGCAGAGTGATGAGTGTAAGTCAGTGTGGAATCTACATGCAACCTTTCACTATACTCAACCCTTCAGTCAAAGCATAAATAAAAGAGACAACAAATTTAAAAAAAAAAAGAGGAAGCCCCACTGATTTATTGAATGAACAAATATTAATATACACTGTACCTGATCCACTTCATGCCAGCGTCCATTTTTGCCTTGCTCTACCTGTTTGTCAAAAGCCAAGGACACACTCATAAGAAAGTAGCAAGTTAATGAAATCTCACTGGCACAACATAGCTGTTTCATCAAACTGCAAACCAAGACACTCAACCTGTCTCATAAAATGAGCACAAAGATTACTGCTTTGACCTTGGATTTAAGTGAAATACAAAGCCAAGGTAATAAAAAGCCTACTTCCAAAATTCCAGAATTGGGGAGAAGGACTCAATGGAAAAGGCATTACAAGATTAATTTTAAAGTCTAGCAATATAAAAGTCAATCCAACAACAGGTAACAATTTTGAGACCTACAAAGCCAAGAATGTTATTACAGCAGGAAATTTCTAAATTAGTTATATCTGTGGCTATAATGTCCTTTAGTTTTAAGTTTGAAACTATTTTTTGCAGCCTGTTTTCACACAGGCGGCGCCAGAACCACGCACCAATGAGTGGTGTGACTCTAATTGGTGACAACACGGTAACAGGCACCGTCGTTCATAACAAGTCTCTAATTGAGAAGGATCTGTAGACCCAAGAGGAGTCTCTCATTTCATTTTAGGATCTTTCCTCTAAAGTTAGTCACACATTAATTCACTACATGCATTGAAAAATACTCAAAAATTGCCTATGAATAAAAATTAATTTTTACACTACCTTAACAAGCTGACGAGGTCCTTGCTACAAAGAGAAAAGAAACAAACAAGGTAGAGAAATTAGAAATCATTGAAGAGTAGTAAAAACCCAACATTGGCACACTTTCCATGTATCATTACCCGTTGAACACTATGGATAATCAGGGTGCTTTTGTCTGTCTGCGTAGGTTGTCCTCGGTTCCTGAGCTCCAACTCTTTCAACGCTGATTCAGTTACACGTTCACCACCATTGGACAGTTGATGCTCTGGAACAAAGGCATCTACATTAAATTTAAACGTTTGAAAGAAAGCATTTAGGGTTACTTAATTACATGTTTCAGAAACTTGTAAATAAATCTCACCTCCAGCATTAGCAAACACAGTTTTGGTGGTTGTGATAACAGCTCCAGATGGTGAAGTGGTCTTGAGAGTTTCTTTGAGTTTGTATGGAGTTCCTCCAAATGCAGGAATGTCAGCTCCCTCAATGAACAGGAACTGGAGAACAGATGGGGGGATAATGATTGATTTGAATGGGGTAATCATACAAGATTCAGAAATTTGAACAAAATGGAACAAGGGATGACTGGCTTACCTCAGCAGTAAGTGTTCCTGAAACGGGGTCGCCTTCATAAGGCCGTGATTGTAATGATATCACTTGTCGCTGACTGGGATTGATGAGGAGCTCCTCCACGCCAACGATGCCCAGCCCCATGAAAGTGCCTGTGCGTGACGCTGAGTTCTGAGGGAGCCCTCCTCTGTCATAGACTTCAAAGAGCAGCTCTGCAGTGTTGGGAGAGACGTCACTAGGAGGGAAAAAATGATATTGTAGACAATTTCACAACAAAAAAATATCATTGTTGTTTGAGATGGTGCATTGGTCTTACAAGAGAAAGTGTTCATCCCACACAGGGCTGTCAGTATCTTTCTTCACTGATGTTTGGTACTTTTGAGCTGGTTCGTCCATTTCAACCACGCAATACGGCTCCTGGCAACCTGCTTCAAAACAATGTTCAATGAGCAACTCAAATTTTGTTTAAGAATCAATTAGAGGCCACCATTTTCTTTTATACCTTGCCTGGCACCGAGGCCTACAGCTTTGATGACTTTAACAAGTAGTCTGCGACCCCCGGGTGCTCTACCACCAGCAACAGGGCCAGAGTAAGGTGCTGTCAACTAAACAAGGACAGAATATATTTTAAGAGTAGGAAAAGAGTCAGCGATTAAAAAATGGGACAGACAAGCCAACTCTTACCATGCTATCATAGTGCACAGGAAGAGAAAGGCCGGGCTGATGCACCTGATGGCGACCAAACCTTGGGAAGTCTGGATACATGCCCAGGTTCAGATGGACATTTGACATTCTCAAAGCTGTGGCAATGATGTCAATTATTACGTCTTGAAGCTGCTGTTCATCCAAATTATTTTTTATGCTGCCAACAGGGGCAAGGGACACTTTGATCTAAAAGCAGAGGAAAAAAAGACGGTTTAACAGACAATATATTTGAGGAGTACAAGGTGAAAGCCTAATCAATTTCTTACTTCTGGCCATCCATCGCATTTGACATCAGCAAGAAGCTTTTCTGTGACACAAACAATGTTCAATCGTGCTCGGAATCTGTTCACATTCACTCGATAATGGGATACTTCCACCTTCTCTCCCTTCTGACGAAAAGCTTTAAGTTGTAATGCAGGAGTGGCATCACAATCGCAGGTGATGGTCTAAGGGGGAAAAAAAAAAGAAGGAAAAAAGGAGTTATTAAATAAAACATCAAGAAATCCAATATTCATAATTGTAAAGTTTTAAGCAACTTAGAGCATGTCTTTCAAAGTTCACCAAGATAATTGACGACCTTGAAGTTAAGAGCATCAGTAGAAAATGACTGTACTATGATAGCCCCATGACCTGCAGACCTGCGGGCTTTCCTTACAAAGACCACCTCTGACCTTGCACATTTAATATCTCAATTAACTAAGGATAAATGTGTCTAAAAATGTCATCAGTATCTGTTGGACAAACTACAGACAGAGAGAATCTCAAACAGAGTGGGTCCTCTAATGAGTTTAAAGTGGGGACCAAAGTCCACTCATTGTTAGTGTGGGAAATTTTCCCAGGAACCAGAGAACAGCCTTCACTTTTGAACTTTCAAGTGATGTCTAGAAGAAGTTGGAGTACCTTCCAAATTAAAAATAGCCCCACAAAAACCTTTTCTTTTCATTCCTTGCCTTTTTTTTATCTGATGCTGTCAAAAACTTTTGTTTTCAGCTCTGTTTTCATATTTTATTTTTGTTGTTTTTCTAGCAAACACAGACTACGGTCATAAGATGTGGAAAATTAGGGGTTCCTTTGAACACATTTTCTTGAGATTTACTTACGATATCATCTCTAGAATCACATTCAGCGAAGATGTTGGTGAGAGTTGGAGCATGTGTCTCTGGCAGAATCCGAACAAACTCTACTCCAACTCCAGCCTGTAGATCAACAAAAACAACATGTTATTACGATCAGAAATAGACTTTGCATATGTAAGAACAAGAAACCACCCACCCATAAAAAAAATTTCTAACTTAATGCCGCTTAAAACATTAGGAAACAAAATAAAAACGAAGCGAATGTTGCGCCAATCTACCTAGGCCTTGACAAGATCACAACATCTGCACTCACCTCAGCAACAGATTTCCTTGTCGATTCATTGAGGGACTGCACCCACACCCCAAGAAGCTCATTGAGCGTTACAGGGTCCAAGTGCAACCACGCAAAGACCTGATTGACCCAATGCACAGCTTCTGGGTCTGGACCAGTGGCTGGGGGAGGCAATGTTACAGGGGATACCTTGGAAGCATTCTTGACGGGTCCAACAGACGATCCCCGTTTCGTCGAACCAATTCTTTTGCGTACAGGGGGAGTTGGAGGAACATAAGCCCCACCAGAAGAGACAGCACTTCTCAGCTCCTTGACAGTTGTGCTTTTAACCGAATGGTCATCAATGACACTGGCGGTTGTGGTTACGGGCGGCACGGCGTTGCTTCCTTTCCAATTGCCGCCGCGAATATACTTGGCGTAAATGAATTTTCCGATCCCCAGCACAAACAGACCGAACACCATCCACCCAAACATCAGCATAGCCACTGTATCCATTGTTGTATCACCACCACCTTCAAAACTACATATCAAGTCGTCGATTTTATCCGCCAAGTCGGCCATATTACTCCATCGTTCCGACTACCAGTTCCAAATTTGTTTTAAAATTAGACCGTCCCCGTCTAAAAATACTCCACAGATTCACATGACAAAAATAGCACCCACGCCCCAGCCGACACCGAGATCGTGTTTCTAACGCTGCGGACGGGACGGCCAGCAGCCAGCGGAGCAAACGCTAGCAGACGATTCAACGAAAGGGTTGTGAACGAAAACGCCGCAGTCCGCATTCGCGTAACGGTGAGCAGACAGCGAGGCTACGCGGTGACAGGTCAGGTATGAGAAGTTGACTTGCAGCAAAGAGGGGAAGTGGGGGGCGGAGGGGAGGTGGGGGCAGGCAGGGCGCGGGTACTTTTGAATGACTGCCCGGCGTGGTGGTCTATCTGAAAGGACTTTTCATTTAAGGAGCCAAAAGATACACACCTTGATGATTTTATGTCTTTAATGAACCCAGTAAATACCATAATATACAAAAATAATAGGTCTTTTCATTTAAAAACAGGAAATAAGGTTGAATTTATGATTAATAAATATTTCTGATTTGGAAAGGAGTGTGACTATTGTTTCAGGTCTAATCTAATCCTTTTTCCTCGACTTCTCTCGAAGTATATCATTTAAGCCCTCACGGTTTCTTGCAATTTCAATGGCATAGAATTGGATTCTGGGAACGAGTGTAGTGTTTTCTTGAGAAAATTCATCTTTGCAATTCAGTCGCAGGAGAGTGCCAAAACTATAGTCTTCAACCTCATCCTTGAATTGCTCACAAAATGGACGCCACAACTGAAAAAAATTATTGATTTAGATTGATACTACATGACATTACAAAACATCCATGAACAGTATTGATGCATTACCTCTTTGCCTGCTGCACTTTTAATTTCATCCTCAATAATGACATCTACTTTCAAATCAGGAAATTTGTTCCTAAATTCTTTGTAAATTTTGTCATCCTGGGGGGTAAGCTTCAACAATTTCGGGTCGACTGAAGACAACAGCTGAAAATAAGAAAGGCACAATTTTAAGTACTTTGCTTCGTTGTCAAAACATGACAAGAGTGCTAAAGAGGATTCTCACATTGAAATAGACTTCGGCATGTTTGAATGCTTTCATTGCCCACATCGCTTCCACTGTTTCCTATAGAAGAAAATATAAAATCAAAAGATTAATAAAGCAATATAACAACGAACCAAAATGAGTGTCCCTTCAGTACTGAGAACTTACATCATTGCCGAATTCATCAGCCGGCCTTGACAGAACACTGGCTCCTCGCATCAACCCATCAGCACCCTGGAACAACAGGCGATGAAGAAAATTGACATAAGCAATGCAGCGCTCAAGAGTGACAAGTCGCAAAACCACAGCACAAGCAGCCTGACAACTATTGAGTGGGATCCTTCTATCCAGCTATTTCTAGTACCAAAACAATGAGAACTAATGGAACAGTAGGAATCAAATAACATGAGATAAGGGTCTGAACAGAATGTGAAACAAAACAGGCAAGGCCTGCAGCATAATAAGGTGTCAGAGCACTTCCCAAGGGTGAGAGAAGCTCGCAATAAGACCAGAAAGTAGGCTAAACTTACAACATCGCCGATTTTCGCCATGACAGTGTCACAAAGATTTTACTGTCCGAAATACTGCTTGTGAATGTCAAGTGACGACAACGAGACGGGACAACACGCTAGAGGTTATGTTGTGGCTTGTAGTATCGAGCACGTTTTTTAGCGCACCAGCAATTTCTCATGCAGGTGGTATCTGGTATGACAAATCGAACGACCTGGCGCGTAGTTCGAACTCCATCGCTCAAGGATCAACCTACACGAAAGCCAGAGGCCAGATGGCAGTACTTCTAAGAACTTCTAGTTTGCCGTTCTAGAGGTCTGAGTGTAGAAACAAACTAGACGTTCAATGTCTGCAGTTCATGAAACCGGTATGGTGGGACAGACCATGAGGGAGTTGTTACTTCATAGACAGACATTCTGCCGCTAGAATAGGGGCATAGGGGTAAATTAGGGCAACAAAGAACAAATTGTGGCGTTTAAAAATAAGTTTATTCAAAGCTCTTAAAAAAAACTCAAATGTAATAAATTAACATTTAGGGCACAATAACAAAATTTAATTTAAAACACATTCCATTTGTAACAGTTGCAGTGCAGGAAAATAAAGACATACATCTTCCCATTTAAAAACAAATAGTGAAAATAGTTCGAAGTGATCTAGTTCAAATATATTGATTGCAAAGTGATGAAGCAATGAAATTCAACCCAAACATCACGAATAAAAAATTACAAATTTTCCCAGTGCACACGAGAGAATAAAAATGGAATGAAGTCTTTGTTACAGGTACATAAAACCTATGCAATTACACGAAACAGATCATGTTGGAGGCTGGGTCCACTGAGGGGTCTAGACCACTACTCAAAGCTTCGCCCCGACATCCAGCCATCACCCGAAGACAGTGCATTATCCCTTCACGCGACCAGGGTGATGAGCAGCTTCTTGTAGTCACCAGAGCAGTCAGACTGCAACAAACGAGGCAAAGCAGCATTAGCACAGTGACAATGAACAATACCGAAACAGTGACGTCAGCAAGACGCAAGCCCGGCCCACCTCAATGCGCTCCTCGAGGGTCTTCTCGTAGAGGCGGTAGTAGGCCTCCTTGACGTCGCCCAGGTCGATCTCGGACCGCGCCACGATGATGCGGATCAGGGTGCCGTCGTTGGTGCCGGCGCCCGCCATGGCGTCGTGCAGGCGCTCCGCGAAGTAGGCCGTCTTGTCCTTGACGCACTTGACTGCAAGCAGAACGAGCGAGTCAGTGGGACTTCCCTCGCCGTCTCCCTCGCACCCCTGCCGAACGTCCCACGAGTGCGAGAGAGACAGAGGGCCGAAACGGGCTTCCCTCCCGACGGGCCTCACCGATGGACAGGAAGCCGTCCTCCATGCTGCCGGCGAACTCGCGCTTGATGGCCTTCTCGATGTCGTGGTCGGCCAGCCTCTCGTACTCCTTGAACACCTGGCGCAGGTGGGCGTAGCTGCGCGACGCCAGGATCATGTTGAACGTCGACTCGTCCGTGCCCCACTGGTTCTCACCTGCACGCCGACAAAAAAAATTAACACAAGTTAAAAATTTGGCCTCGGAGAAAAACGAGAAGGGGGGCGGGGATTCGAACCCGCGACACTCACCAGCGTTGAGCAGAGCCTCCGCGTCGGCCTGGGCTGCAGCGGGGTCGATCTCTGCGTTCTCGTCCCGGTTGGCCTGGAAAGCGAAGCAACGCCACACTCAATTGCCAGTCTTTACCAGGCGAAGGCACGGCCGTCATCGCCGCAGTCCCACTTACAGTGCACAGGGAGACGAGCAGCCTCTTGAAGTTGCCCGACGTGTCGCCCTTCAGGTCCTTCTCCAGGGGCCGCTCGTACACTGCAACAGAAGGACGGCGTCAGCACACTGCAGAACGTGCACCGGCCATTCACACACGGGTTAGGAGGAGGAGGGAGAGCCCAAGCGGAGTCAGGACGAGTCAGGATTAGAGAGAAGTACAGCTGCCGATCTGATGGCATGCAATTAGAGGAACAGTTTAACTTCGTCAGGCAGGCAGTTTCAATTCTTCGATGCAGTGCGACCAATATTTGCAGTGGTGCCACTACGCACATGCAGCCCGGCCGGCAGGCCGACTCGGCAGCGGCCGCACACAAACTACTGTACGATATAAAAGTGCTCCGTCGGCGCAACTCCGCAGAATCGACCATGTAGAAAAGTGCCGACAGTGCGCCGCGCTACAGTTGACGAGGGGTTAAAGACCGTTAGGAGGGCGTTCCATTTAAAGCGCGGTTTACAAAAAGGCGCCAAAACCACGACGTTTACTTCGGTCAAGCGGAGGCGGGCGGCGTTCCAAAATGTGTGAGGCCCGCATACGGCTCGAACGGCCAGGCACACGAATTTCGAAACGCCATGCAGAATTAAACCAGCAAATGAACAGACAAGTCGTTTACGGAAGACCCCTCGAGAGACCCGGAACCAGCGAGAAGTGCGTCTAGAAAACAAGCTAGAGCCGAGTGACTGGACACCGGGCACTCACGCTTCTCGTAAGTGGCGGCCACGGTTTGGATGCCGTAGTTGCTCAGGGTGCAGAGCACCTCGATCAGAGCCTGCTCGTCAGTCCCCAGGCCGGAAATAGCGTGGTGCAGCTCCTTGGCATAGTACTCGGGGAGAGAGGTCATCAAGGCCACTATCACCGTCTCCAAAATGCCGCCGAGCTCAGATTTCAGCTCCGAGACCAGGTCCTAAAGGGCCAAAACACGCACACACGCACGCACACGCATCAGTAACACGTCACAGTGGCGGAAGCCCGCGGCCCCGCTGGCCCCCGGGGCGCGCCCGGCCAAGGCGGTCCAGTCCGTCGTCGCTGTTGGCCGGGCGCGGCCCGCGGCGCCGGCAAGACGCGGGCAGCACTTACTGTTCTCGTAGACCTGCGCCACCGTCCGCACGCCGTAGTTGCTCAGGGTGGTCAGCACCTCGACGAGGGCCTGCTCGTCCGTGCCCAGGCCGGAGATGGCGTCGTGCAGCTCCTTGGCGTAGTAGTTGGGCAGCGGCGTGAGCAGCGCCACCAGCACCTTCTCGTAGTTGCCGCTCACCTCACTCTTAAGCTCCTTGATCAGGTCCTAGACGCAACAAGCCTTCAACCTCGCGCACAAGAACGAGCCCTTCGCATTCCACCACCCATGTCCGGTCGCGCCGTTAGGGGGCCGTCCTTGGCCGCCTCGGCCCTCAGCCAGCCGGACCGGCTTCTCCAGGTCAGATCGGCGTTGCCCCCCATCGCGCAGCCCGGCGCCGGCCCGTTTATAGGCCAGGCGGCTTAGGCCCGCCCCCCGCCTATGGGCGGCCTATCCGGGGCCGCGTGGGAAGAGCTAGGCTAGGCGTCCCGGCCGTCCCGGACGCAGCCAGCCCACGCGGCCCGCCCCCATGCACGGCGTGCCGCGGCGTGCACGCCGAGAAAGCAACAGGTCGCCGGCGAGGACTTCCCCCGGGCGGTCGGGCGGGCGCCACCGCCAGCGCATAGCGCGCGGCCCTTCCGAACCGCTCCACAGTGTAATCAAACAAAGCCGAAAACAAAGACGCCTTACCTTGCCGAACATGGTCTTGAAGGCCTCGGCGATCTCCAGCCGCTGGACGATGGACCGGCGGCCCAGCACGTCGGTGATGGCCTTCTCGTCCGTGCCGAAGCCCTTCATCGCGTCGCGGAGCGTCTGCGCGTCCGCCTGCGCGTCGAAGGGGTCCGCGGGGTACACGGTGGGGGTGCACTGCAAAGGAAAGCGGAAAGGGTCACTACACTGCACGCGGCGCACGCAGCCAATCAGCGCGGGCACGCCTCCAAGCGTTACGTCACGAGTGAGTCAGAGTCCGTCAGACAGCTGGCCGCGGTGGCTGCGGTGACGGCGTCGCGCCGGGTCTCGGCTCGGCCCGCCCGGCTGGGACTACCGAGAAGCGGCAGCGGACCGCGCCACCGCCACTGTACAAGTGCCTGATTCACCAGACACGCCACGCCGCGCGCTTCCGACCAATCTGCCACCACGGCAACCGGCAACGTCAAAGTCAAACGCCGACACGGCCAATGCCAAACACACGGCTGTTTGGTGTGAATTGCCCGCGGTGGCGTCGAGGTAGGTACTTCCCCGCGCCGGGTAGGGCTGGGCCGGCCTAGCGGCCCCCAGCGCGTCGATAACCGTGGCATCGGGCGAGGGGGCCGAGGGAGGGCGACGCGGCGACGCCCATGAAGGACGCCCCCGGCCCGCACTGCGGCGCCCAGCAGAGGGCCGCGATCGAAAAGGCCAAACTACACACCAGTGCGCCGAGCGGTGGCGGCGACCCTTCGCACGCAGCCCACCCCGAGCAGGGCCTCTCCCTTGTCGTGGCCAAGGCCGCCAAGGGCGTCGGGCTGTCCCAAAGGCCAGGGCGTGGTTCGTAATCACGCACGGGGCACGGCAAAAAGAGATACAAACAAAACCGTATCTAACTCCGACACGCGTTGAGAAATGCCACAGCTTCTGCGAGACACGGAACTTCCGGTCTGCTCACTGCACTCCACACCCTGTGGTACTCGTCTCGGTAACTCTCGCCAGAGGGCAAACAAACGATAGCAAAGCGCGACAAGATAGCGGTGTCTCGGCGGCGGAAGGCTGCGGGTGGCTTACCTGGGTGGGGTAGTAGGCGCTCATGGTTACGGCTGGCTCGGTCTCGACAGGAAACTGCTGGAACACAAGAACAGAGGTGTCACGCTGCGGCCCTTCGCTCAGTTCTCTCAGTTGGCGGGCAAAAAGGTCGAGAAGCAGACCAGCAACCGACGGGCGGGGCGGCGGGGCGGGCACTGGGGTACTGAGCCAACCGCCGAAACTGCGGAAGGGGACGGCACGGCGGCACGGCCAACTGCCCAATCTACACGGAGGAGTGGAGGGACAAGTGCTGGAGGGGGCAGGCCGGGCGCGGACAGCGCGCTAGCCGGCACGAACGGCACGCCAAGGAAGACGAGAATTCCATTCACCTGAAGTCACCTTCTCTCGCGCTCCGCGGTGCTCCGCGGCTTCAAGCTCGATTCCGGCAAAGGGGCCGCGTGGATCACGCCGACAAAAATCACAGGCAGAAGCAGAGGAAGAGGCGGAGGAAGCGAGAGGAAACGAGTGGAGGCGCGGAAGGGGGCGGACGGGTGTGAAGAGGACGCGGCGAGAGCGGCGAGAGGGGCCCGCGCTGTCATGTCGTACCAACGAACGCCGAGGCCTTGGGACGGCGCGGCCGGTGATGTCAGCGCCGCGGCCGGCAAGCCAGGCAGGCCTACACTACGCTAGAATCTGGAGCTGGAGAAGACGGCCGTGGTCCCAAAGCGCCCGAAGGCTGCACAGGCCGAGCTGGACCAGCTGGCCGCCGACGGGGACCTGCACCGGCCGGACAGATAAGCGAGCCGGCCGGCCACGCCTACACCAGCAACTGTCAAATGGACGCACCCAAACACACCGACACTACACTGCTAAAGGGGTACGGCCGGTGCGGGTACACTGGGTACGCGCGCCGCGACGGCTTGGGAACACCGCTCCGAGACCGGTGGGAAAGCATGGGCGTGGCGACGACCGTCATGGTGGTCTACCGGCACCCCGGCACGCCGGCACGCCCCGAAGCCTGCTGCAGGATGCGGCCACGCCAGGCCGTCGAGGGGGCTTAAAAATAGATCAACACGGCCACTTCCACGACAAAAACGCGTCAAATAAAAGCTCGCTCCTGTCAAACAAGCTGGAATCGTGGGAAAAGGGAATTTCGAATGGGGTCACCTCTGCTAATTATACACCAGCATCGGAAAAAAGGAAATGCCGCCCTAAACGCGATTTGACACTAGAGGTAAGTTGACATTGAACACACATACTCACATCAAAAGGGAAATCGTTCCACGATTACTTTCGGAACACTGAGACGAAGGCGGACTGACGCTGCGAGCTCAGAGAAAACCGGCGACTGAAACGTCAGCGGGAGGCCGCGCGGAGAGGGAAGGGCAAGGCAAGGGAGGGGGAAGCAAGCAACGGGAGTGGGAGGGGGGATGCTCTCGGGAAGAGATGATTCAGGGGTGACAATCTTGCCGATTTTCGTATATTTTGAGGCACCGGGGCTGTTCACTAGGAAATCCACATTTGATACAGTGTTAGTTCTATCCAGCTAAAAAAAAACGAAAAAAAAAATCTTGCTGTCTAAAAGATACTGGCTGCACGTGGTCACTACACGGACCAACCCAAAGAAGAACAAGGAGAAGAATCTCCCGCATGAAAATTATTCCTTCTTATTCCTTTCCGGTCTGTACTGTTTGGTCCCTTGTGTTGTGAGGCGAGTGAGTATCATTTTATCCATCACCATCTGTTAATTATGATTAAAAACTCACGTTAAATCACTTCGGAGTATGTCCTTTAATCCTTGCCATTTCGCTCGATCCGTCTACCTTCTGAAGGGTTCTCTTTATCTCATAATTTCGTCCTATGCCGATGGCGCAGTAAACGTGTGTTGATGTGGCTCGGCAACATTCCGCCTTTTTCCTCCTTTAGTTCTATTCGTTGAGACTTAAAACTCCGGCTTTCGTTTGAATTTTTTAACGTCTGAACTTTTAATCCCACGCAGTTTTGTTTTCAATAAAGTTAAATGATCATGTGTTAATTCGAGGTTAGGTGTTCTGCTTCGTACCGGTATTGCTTGTTTTTCCGCGCTTATGGCAACCTAGTTTTTCCGTTAAAAACCCTTTCAGTCTCGTCCCTAGTATTTCTTTCACTCATTTCTCTCGCTCCGAATGTGATTTTCGTGGACTTGTTTACCTCTGCAGTTTGTATCGCAATGCAGCTCTTTAACCTATGATGATGTCGATTTCGTTTCAGCCTCATCACAATGAAGCTCAACAAATTCGTGTCCTCCTCGCGCAGGAAGAGCCGCAAGAGGCACTTCACCGCTCCCTCTCATATCAGGCGGCGGCTCATGTCCACCCCTCTCTCCAAGGAGCTCCGACAGAAGTACAATGTCAAGTCAATGCCCATTAGGAAAGATGATGAAGTCCAGGTGAGGGTCCCCTTTCCTGTCAAATAATTTGCTTTTATCGCTTCAATCTCCTACTGTAGGTCTGGTCCCTGACGTTCTGTTTAGTTGCCTTTATAGTTTATTGACACTTTTCAGTGTGTTGTCAATTGAGTTATTAACCTTGCCCTTGTTTTCCAGGTTGTGAGAGGACACTACAAGGGTCAGCAAGTTGGCAAGGTTGTCCAGTGCTACAGAAAGAAGTGGGTTGTTTACATTGAAAGAATCCAGCGTGAAAAGGCCAACGGCGCCAGTGTCTACGTTGGTATTCACCCCTCTAAGGTTAGTGTCCCCCATAATTGCGCTTTGTGTTTTTTGGTTTCATTCGGTTCATGGGTGCATGTGATGATCCTGCTTATCCATTCTTTGAAGCAGTTCTGGGCTTTGGTGTGGGTGCTGCTGGCCGGGTTCTCTTGTCAGTCAGCTAACTGCCTTGTCTGTCCTGTCTGCTGATACTAATCACGGCTCTGACACCTTCATGGCTTACTAACTGTGCATGGCGTTTTGGTGATGAAAACTTGTGTGCTTTCAAGTTGTTTTCACACCTCCTCTCTGTTGCAGTGCGTTATCGTCAAACTGAAGATTGATAAGGACAGGAAGAACATCCTGGAGAGGAGATCGAAGGGCCGTCTTGCTGCCCTGGGCAAGGACAAGGGCAAATATTCCGAAGAATCCACTGCCATGGAAACATCGTAAATTAAGTAAGCTGTTCATTGTGGTGGTGAATAAAAAATTTATTTCTAAAATCCAATAATCTTATAAACTTATTCCGACTCCTTGTCACATTCGCACTCTGCGGTGCGCATTTTCTAGTATGGGGTAGGTGCGCAGTTTCAGGCTGTCCAACTCTGACTCCAGCAGTAAAATATCTTTGTGGATGTCCAGCACAGTTCTTATTAACTTTGTACGCAACAGTACCACATCCATCCTGTAAGTGAGATGATGTTAGTAATTGCACATCAGATCTTGGAGATGGAATACCCCCTTTTTTTTACCTCTTGCGTTGGCTTTCCCTTCTGCTCTTTTCTTGGTCCAGGTCTCTTCCAAACTGGAGTTCATTTACCTCTACATTCATATCCGTAATGGCTTTGTCAACTTGACGGTTGGACCTGTTTTTGCTGGCTATTTTTTTGTCATAGTTTGTCACCACCTCACCAAGTAATTTTATGTATCTTTCAAACCCCTGGAACCCAGAAATATGATTATTGCATGTTGAGGCATTTCATTATCGGGTAAAATGTTACTTACTGCTCTAATCCGAGACATTTCTTTGTCAAGTGTCAGAACTCCTCTTCCTGGCAGACTTTCTTTCTGTCTCTTATGAAGCCACTCTTGCAGCTCTTTAATGACCTGCAAGGGATCAATGTTTTATTTCATGTGATAGTTGTGGGGGTGGTTGTGGTCATGTGGTCCAACCAGGAATGTTTACCTTGACTGATTCAATAGTTTTCAATTCATCCTCCTTGTCCTCAATATGCATTCTGACTTTCTGGTGCTCCCATTCTTGAAAGACAATACTTCTCCTAAATTTACAAGCAGCTCTCATAGCTCTTAATTTCTCGTGGCCAGCTTCCTGAAAGGATTGTTTCAGTGAATGTACATTACTGCCCTTAAAGTAATCTAATCTAAAAGTACAAGTGTGTGAGGGAAAGTTAACCTGAATTATTTGGTTCACATAAGCAACGTCCTTGCGGTTTATGAGGATTGCATTATCATAATCACTCAGTGAACCTGTTGTTGGGATTTCGACTAGTCCTTGCTTGATGGCTAATTGTATCTGGAAAGGAAGATTCAAATAAGGTTGTTTTGCGACTTAAAGGGCATTTACCAGAGATGCTCTGACCTCAACATCATGTTCAAATAGTAACTGCTCCTCTTGTACAGATCTTAAATTGGCTTGGAGCTCTTTGTCACGCTCTTTTAACGCCTTGACACTTTTCTGGAATATGCTGACAGTATTTTCCGCCTCTGCTATTTGGAATGCAAGAGCTTTAATCTGCATTGGAAAATGTTGTTCTGTGATAGAAATTTCTGCATTTCTTAAAATAAGAATTGGATAGTGAAATGCGTACCTTCCATTCACTCTCTATTCTCTGCCTGCGGAGGCGGCAGACATTTGCCCAAGTGTCTGGGTTCATGTTAGGTGGGGCGTTTGAAGCACTGTCCAAAAAGTCGATACCTTTTAGGACTTCCAAACACTCTGGAGGCAAGTAAGAAGGTTTCTTCCCGGCCACTGCACATCTTCCCACCTCATTCAGCAGGGTGGCTGAGACCAGGGCTTTAAGTTGGATTTTTGGCCGCTTCCTGTTGAAGGAAAGATGATTTACAAACCTGTTCTATGTACAACTGACGCCCCACTAAAGGAGCCCATACCTGTAAAGGCGAAATGCGGCTTCTGCCATCATAGGTGATAGCTCTGGTAGTTCTTTTTTGAATTTCAAGTCCAGTCCCTTGTCTTTGGCGGTTTGGGCGTCGAACGCGGCGCGGCAATCTGCAGTAGCTTCTTGAAGCTGTGCCACTAGAAGTTGCTCATCTGCCAAGGCCTTCTGATTTGCCATTATAGCATTTCTGTTCATTGAGTGTTAATTTATGTGAGTGTTGAATTGCAGATGTGTATGAAAAACGCACCTGGCAACTGAACTATTACCTGGCAGCATCTTCCTTTTGGGCTAGAACATTACGCTTAGGATTTAACAAGCGGGACCTCAATATTCGCAATGTTTGTTGAGTACAGCTAGCTTCCACCCGCAACTTCATATTAAATAAGTCCAACAATTTATCTTCAAATACCTTAAGTCTATCCTGAAAACCAACACAGTCCATGAAAGAAGATTACTGGTGTTCTATGTTAAAAGAATTTTCAGCTTATATTTTACCTTAAGAGAACGTTTCACTCTTCTGTAATCTGATATCAGTCTGTTTTGGTACTGCTGCCGTTCATTCATTCGACATACTACTAAGTTCTCATAAGCTTTCACTTCACGTAAATCATCTTCAGTGAAATTTTCAGGATTTTTTTCAATCTGTAATTTGTGTTAAAGAGGTGATTTTTATTTTTCTGTGACAGTTTAGAAGTTAATTTTTCTACCTGATAATGAGCTTACCATACATTTAGGCTTCGGTATGTCTTTCTTCAACTCATCTTCCAGTCTTATTTCTAGAACACCATCCATCATTTTTATCAAAGCTAGTTCTCGGAAATTGTCAGCAAGTAGCAAAAGGCGAATTCTCTCCTCTTCTTCTGCCTGCTGCTGTCTTAGTGCTTGCTCACTGGGAGAAATATAGGGCTCTATACCCACCTGCAAAAATCAATAAAAAGGTGTCACAATGGGGAAAAATTAATTCATTTAAAACAACTAATTGTAGAGGAGCATCTTACTTCCTTGTCTTCAACAGTCAACATCATTTCTGGCTTTTCAAACTGGGTCCAGTCTGGGTCAATTGGATCAGGATCGGAATGCTCCACTAGAAAGGTACAACATTCTGCAGTTACTCAGAACTTATGATTAAAACATTAATTACTTGTGATGACTTACCAGAACATGCAAGCCAAAGCTCTTTGAAAATATGTCTCAAGTTCTGATGCAGCTGCTTGATGGTATTCATTTCTTTTTGTTTAGCCTGATATGTCATGGCAAATTTGTCATTGAAGCATTCCTGCAGGCTCCTCACATCTTTCTAAAAATTCAAGTTCACTAATCAATATTAAAAGTGATCAAAGCATCTACAGCCAGAAGCTGTATTAATCTAATTTTAATATTTACCTGTAGGAGAACAATGGAGTGTGCTGTTTGCAAATAGGTGTTCAGTTCAAACTGAGAAATATGGTATGGTGAAGGCTGAATAAAGTTGTAAATTGATGAACCGCACATAACAAATTCCGACTCTCTTTCTTCTTGCTCAACCGAGTCTCCAGGAGTGGAACCCTGTTCTTCTACTAGTGCTTGCTTCAGGCGAGTGGTTTCATCAGAAATGATAATAGAAGCTGGATTGGACATTAACTGCATGGCCATCTCACTGACATCATGAAATTGAAAAGTATAAGCAAGTGGCCTGTCCAAATATAATTATCACATAAGATTCCACATTCCTCTGTTTTCTTACCTGTCTGTTTTTGATACCCATGGATGAAATGAGTCCATAGCTGAGGCCTTCATCTCCATTTTTCTTATTTCCACAACCATTTCTAGAGCCTGTTGCTCTTCTTGGCTTTCGGGTAGCAATGCATAATTGTCTACCCTATAGTTATGTTGTAATGACTTAAAATTTGATATTAGAGGAAACCATTAGTGCTTACAACAACAAAAGAAAATATTTACAATTTTTTTTAAAAGCAGATTCTGTACCTCTATGCTAGTTGGTTTTACAGTTACTGGATCCCAACAGTGTTCCCTAATAAGAGCACTCTTCTCTTCCAAGACAGTGATTTTGGCTGTGGTATAAGCCTTCAGCCTTTCCCTGGCTTGACGCCCTTCTTCCATGGCCGATTCTCGGGCATCCTTGTCAAGATCAAATGCAGAGATAGGGAGCTGTTCTTCTGGTGATGCATTTTGATTAGCATCAAGCATTTCTACCACCTATTATTGTGAAATGTGTTGAAACTGTTTTGTTTGAAGCTGAATTTAAATTTATGACAGTGAATAGCTGTACCTTCCTCTGAAGGTCTTGGAACTCCTCCATGATTTTTGCCCTTTCCGCAGCGTATTGTCGCTCCTCCTGAGCTATGCGTAATTTTTCTCTGTACTGTAGCCAAGTCAAACCAGCGTACTCACCTGGAAATAATTCATTTAACCCTTTTCCCTGTTGGAGTGCTGTATTATGAAACTGTTTAATTTTCAACAGTACCTTCAGGGAAAAATCCAATGGTTGGTTCTTGAAATTTTTCTACCATCTCTGGGCTTGGGTCTGTGGATCCTGGTGTATACTTAGCTGTCCGTCTGAATTAAAATGCTGATTTTTACATATTTGTGGAAAAAATATTGCAGTAAAAATTTACCTTGTTTGGGAAACTTACTTAAGTTTTGAACAAATCAGAGATTTATCCTTGCCCAATGATATGACAAACTCCCCTTTAGGATCCTGGAAAGCTTTAAGGGTCCCAAAGTCTGAACGATGATGAGGCAGGACTATGTAGAATTGTTGCTTGGAGCCCATGGGTCTTGCAATAACTATGCCATCCATTCCATATGTTAATAGTCCATACTCAATTCTTCCAGAAATGTACACTGATCGAAGTTGGTGTCCTGTCAATTCAATACCCTTCAGGGTGACTCCTACCTACAGTGAATAAATTTTAGTATGACTGAATTGTTATTTAAATTTACTTCAGCTGCATTAAACATATACTGTTGTACCTTTCTCTTCACCTCCAATAAGTGAATGTTCCTTGAGCAATGCACAGAGCCAAAACAAATGTTCATACTACTGGCATTCACTACAAGCCTTGTGTAGAAGTGCTCCATTTGTGACTCACTGTCCAGATGAAGTCCATCAGCCTCCAGAGTGTATAAAGCGATAACATTACCAATAGAATTATTTATTTCACTTGCAAATAAAATGGCTAGAACTGGTTGTTCGTCAGGCAACAAAATACAGTCTACGACAGGAAGATTGAGCACCAAGTGAGAAACAATTTGCATCTCCTGGCCTGGAACGCCCTGATAAAAGTGTTCAGAATTAAGAGTGGTCTTGGGGAACTCAGTAAATGAAGTTGTTGGAGGGTTGTAAGTGCTTTTACCTGGATAAGGAAAAATTGACCTGTCTTTGCAGTAAAGGCAACCAACACATCACCAGCTGGTGCAAAACACACTGATGATATCTCCTCTTCGCACAATAAAAATTTTGCAAGCGTTGATGGTGATGAGGGGTATAAAATACTGACAAGTATCAACAAACCATCACTCATAGCAAGTCCAACATAAGGATAGTGAGGGTTGGCTTTCATACTAATGAAGTTAGCAGCAGGACGCAAGCTTTGTTCAGCAGCTTCATGGATGTCAAAAACACCCATCTGCAAGAATTAAAAAAAAAATGCAAGTAAAATTGAAAAAATTGGGGAAAAAAAAATAAAAGCAAGGAAAGGAATAAAAGTTACCAAGCGTCCATTTTCTTTGTCCCACACTTGAAGTTCATCATTTGTGTTCACAGATACAATTGTGTTTCCATCAGGGTAAATAAGTTCCATGTCTATGTTGTTGGTTCCATAGTACTTCAGAAGAGTAACTTTGGGGTTCTTACCAACATCTATCATTACAAGCTCACCCTAAAATTGCAAGGACAAATTAAATTTTTAAATTTTTTTTTCCTTTTAAACTTAAGTCTTACCTTTATGGTCCATGCTAGAATTGCATCTGGTTCTGGGAGATAAACAAGTCGGTACAGAGGAGATGGGCAGTCAACTGTCCATGCCAGAGACCAGTCTCCAAAGCGCTTATGCAGCTGAAAAACAAAAGTCAGTAAAAAAATTTATTTGATATCTCTATGAGAAGATCAAAGTGGGAAAGCTTACCCTTATTGAAGGTGATGGGCCAAAAATAAGAGCTCCTGCTTTGCTCATTGTCATACATGGATCAACAAAGCCATCACAAGTCTTTTCTGCTAGTCCATTCAAACCCCTAGTTTCATCTTCTTCTAACAGCGATTGATTTTCGGGTTGGGCAGCTGAGCAAATCCGTCTAACAGCAGCAAATTCTTCAAAATCAACCTACATTGAATATATTTTTATTTCAATATTGACAACAGTAATAATGATAAAAAGACCACAAAGACCACATCACTTGCCTCATAAACATCCCCAAGAGTATCAACAAAAAATAATGCCCCATCATTTGTGAAGGAGACATCAACAGGAACAACTTTATCTGGAAGTTTCACCTCTTGACTGTTCAAACAGCAAAGCTTGGCACATACATTAATATCCCAAAGCTGCAGACGGCTTTCACCCTTGACCACATGACTCACAACTGTAGGAGAGCACCAGCTGCAACTGTACAGCACAATTATTTAGTTTCCACATGACTTTATGAGCATGTGCTTACTTTAGGCAAGTACAGAGGGAATTACCTGAGATACTGATCAGGGCTAAAAATTCCAGTCTCTTTACAAGCTAATTGAACTCCTGTTCTCCAACACCACACAATCATTGTGAAGTCTGGAACTCCACTGAGTGTTATCAAAAATTCCATTTCAGAAAAAACCATTGCAAGGTAAGTTCCTGATGTGCCACCTTTCGAAAAACAAGGAAAGAGTTACTTTGCTGCCCATCCTCGTACAGCTTGAGCAAGATTTGGAGCGCAACTACCTCGTAATATTGACACTGGCCCCTCCACAGTGGGGTGCGAAAAAACTAGAATGCGAGGGTTGATACATTTTTCTGCCAAGGCAAAGATGGGGGCAGTCCTGTGGCCTGTGACACACTGCACGCCGTCGCCCCGCTGCTTGCTGTTGGCAATGTACACACTCTCCAAATTCCCATCCAGGGAGTAAAACAGTATGTGGCAACCACATCCCACTGCTACAGTGTCCTTCCCGACGGTGGTGAATTCTTTTATATTTCCAAGTTTCGCCCATCTGAAACACAAACCCAATGTCAGGCCGAGCTAGTTATGATGCGCAAGGAGGCATTCCTATTTACGTCGAAAGTTCTTACTGAGGGTACGACAAAGATTTACGCAGATGCATCAAACACGTTTATTTCTGTCGAATTTTTTCGAGGGCTAATGGGGTAATGGCGAGAACCGTTGTCATGACAGCGTAATTTGACGTTCAAGCTTCAGGCGGCTTATAAACAATTACGTCATGTCCGCTGAGTATCAAAAGTACCAACTACCAACAACATTAATAAATAGTTTGTAACTAACATATCAACACGTTAAGGGGTTTCTAGATTGAAAAATAGTTTTTCTTTTGTTTAATTTAAGTAAATAAAGTGATGGATCTATTTTATATCAAAAGAAGTTCATAGAAAAAAATCAAATTAACGTACTTATGTTGGTAATATCTACCTCGACATCTAGAAGACCTAGAGCAGACGATGTTTTTAACTTTGTACTGATATTCTCTGTCTGATGGGACAAAAGTTCGCAAATGGACGTAATTATTATGTGGGTGATGTTTTCCACATTTTCTCTTCCGTAAAACGCCATTTTTTAATTTTATTTAAAAAATTAGGTTTTGGAGAGTGTTGGCTGGCATTGTGGATCAGGCCGGCAGTGAGTCGACGAACAGAAACAGATCAAAGTGATATCAACATATTCTACCTTCCTCTGGCCTGCTGCTAACATCGGCGACCCGTGGCGCTACCTCACGGACCCGCGGGAACTACTGATATGGCGGGAGATTTTGAACTTGGAACATATCAAAAAAGGTTTGGGAAGTGAATTTTGATCTGTATGACCTTAATTCTAATGAAGATGCTTCCCATGATAAAATATTGTGGCCTAAAGTGGATCCCAGGCACATAATTGACTACTTTTTGGTGTTCCCAAGAGCTCGGGTTGGGGTGGTCCGACTAAAGCTTTCTCGACATCTTTTTTTTTTTTAGACCTACTGCTTTTTCTTGAATTATTGATTGACTTCTTTTGTATGTTTTGTGATCACTGATCATGTTAACCTACTGTTTCATTAGAACTGCAATGTTACTTCTTCTTGAACAATTGAGTGAAAAACTTATTTATGCAGCTTTTTTCTTTCACTTTTTGTACGCAAATGAAGAGAAAAATTGATGTTTCTCACCTTCGTTCAAAGTTTGTATTAATTAAATCTTAATATACACTAACAAATTGCTCACTTGCTCGCCCTTATCACAGTTTATAAAGAAATCGACACTACAGCCATAATTCTCTCTTAACTGTGATAGTAAGGGCGAGCATGTGAACAATTTGTTAGTATATATTAAGATTTAATAAAAACAATTTCTAAATGAAGGTGGGGAATATTAGTTTTTCACTTCATTTGCGCACAAAAAGTCAAAGAAAAAAGCTGCATAAGTAAGTTTTTCACTCAATTGTTCAAGAAGAAGTTACATTGAAGTTCTAATGAAACATTAGGTTAACATGATCAGTGATCACAAAACAAAGAAATAGTCAATCAATAATTAAAGAAAAAAAATTAGGTCTAAAATAAAAGATGTCGAGAAAGCTTTAGTCGGACCACCCCAACCCGAGCTCTTGGGAACACCAAAAAGTAGTCAATTATGTGCCTGGGATCCACTTTAGGCCACAATATTTTATCATGGGAAGCATCTTCATTAGAATTAAGATCATACGGATCAAAATTTACTTCCCAAACCTTTTTTGATATGTTCCAAGTTCAAAACCTCCCGCCATATCAGTAGTTCCCGCGGGTCCGTGGCGCAGCGCTGTATGTTGTCCCCTGAATGTAGGCAATTTCAAGGAGCCGAGGAACCAAGAATTTGTTTGTTGTGTTAAATAAGTGTGTTTGCGCTTCATTTTAGTGAATGGTAAGTTTCGAGAGATTGACAATGGTCCACTTTTCGTGTCCTGGTATTTTAGTTGTTTTCGGCTTCTTGGTATGGTGGCTATTCGGAACCGAAAATTTTGCCCTCAGCGGCGTTGGTCTCTCGGCTTGGTCTATCAAACGGGGACCTTCTGATAACTCAGGACATTATACAGCTGACTATTTTGTCCACTATTTTATTTCACTCATTGATTTCAACTTCGCGCGTCATCGCCTTACGTTTGTACGTATCATCCAGCATTGATATCTCATTTTTTGCGTTGTTCCTTCCGGCTAAAGCAGCCCAAGCGGCCCCTTCAGCCTCCTGCCTTGTCGGGAACAATTCCGTGTCAATTCGCTGAAAGCCGTTGTCGTCTGCTGTCGGTGTGCTGGGCGCTGTACTTTGTACCTTTGAATACACTTCAAATATTGTTGTTTATCTTAAGTTGCATGCGAAGCGCTGATACTATTACTGAGTTAATCATAACCGTAACCCGTTTTGATTTACGAGTAACTCTTTTCCTTTTCTCTGGTCTCCACAGAATAATATCTCATCAAAATGTCTCAGTACGGTTCTGCATCGAAGAACCCACCCTGGGCTCGCAGCACAGGTAATTAATATGGATTAAAATTTCTTCCACTTTTTAATCAGAATAACAAGTTGGTCAGGAAGAACCGGTAGTAATGCAATACTTGACAATTCATTGTTCTTTCTACTTTGCATTATAGATGTTAGCAATGTATCGGTTCAACAGCAGATACAGTCTCAGATGATTAACCAACTTGGACAACAAGTCATGTACCAACAACAATCACCAGTTTTCCAGCCACCAATCAGTCTGCAGCAGGTTCCTGTAAGGATTTCGCTTTATTTCTTGTATTTTCCTGTTAGTTCCATATCATACCCTATCATCAATTTTTTTGGTTTCCAGAACAACAATATGATGCCTCTGAATCAATCTTCAGTTGGCTTACCTGGCTTAAATACTGCTCAGGTATGACGATTAGGCTTTGTCGGAGGTAGTAGATACTCTACAGTTCATCATTTCTAATTTTTGTTTTTCAATTTGCTTGAATAGTTGTATGGCCAGTCAAATACGGTGAGCTATCCAGTTCCTCGAGCATTAAACTCATCAGCATTTGGAACACCTCCAGTCACTCAACAAATGCCCCCAAGTCAACAGCCACCCACCACACAGCCTCCAAAGCAAAGGGTCTTCACAGGAACTGTTACCAAAGTCCACGATAACTTTGGCTTTGTGGATGAAGATGTCTTCTTTCAAATGAGGTAAATTTGTTTTACTATAATCGGTAGAAGGCGTTTGCTTCAAGTACTTTCATGCCGACCCTCACCCGTTTACTTTTGCAGCTGTTGTGTGAAGGGCTCAAACCCTAATATTGGTGACAGAGTCCTGGTGGAAGCATCCTTCAATCCAAACATGCCGTTCAAGTGGAACGCTACCAGACTGCAGGTCTTACCAATGCAAGGTCAAGGGCAGAGTGCTCAGGGCCCTCCAGCACGCAAAGGCTTTTCTGATGCCCCCAGCTACAATGCAGTTCCCGCCCCTGGTATGCATGGTTTTAATCCACTCCCATGCGCTCATTGAAAACTTATTACCAACTGCAGTAATTTGACTTAATTTAATTATTACATTCCAGTTGAACGTAATAATGATGTTGGGCATGGTAATTTTGCCCGATCGCGCTCCCCGCGACGTGACCGCGCGCGAAGGGATACTGACACCAGAGATGTTGACGATGATCGCAAGAGAAGACGAGACTCAAATGACAGGTCAAAGTAGGTGCATCGTCACACAATACTTAATCTTCTATCTTCTATTCAGCTATTAATGTTCTTTTGTGTGTCTTCAAAATAGGGACAGAGATCGGGAAAGGGAACGTGACCGAGACAGGGAACGTGAAAGAGAGCGAGAGAGGGACAAAGATAAAGAGAAGGGCTCTACAAGGAGTCCATCTGTTCGCAAAAGGAGCAAAAGTCCAAGAAAACGCAGAGTGCGCCCTGCTCCTCGCTATATGGTTCATGTTCCTAAAATTGCACTAGATGTGTAAGTACTAAATAACTTGAGAAGATACCTTGATTTTTTGAAATGTTGTTCATGTGGTTGATTTCTTTCCTCGTGCATGCAGCCCAGATGCTGATGTTCTTGAGCTGCGTCGGCGGTACAGCAACATGTATGTTCCCTCTGACTTTTTCCTTTCGAACTTCCGCTGGGTGGATGCCTTCCCCCCCAACACTCCCTTCACAATGGACAGGCCTTGCTCCTTCCATGTTATGCATCGTGATACGGATCAGGTCATTGAAAATACTGCTCAGCTGGATCCCCCTGATGCAGATTACCTTTTTTCAGCAAAGGTAAGAACACTAAATTTTTGAGTAAAGTTTTGCCGAATTGAAACCAAGATTGAAACTCAAAATAATTTAATCTCTTTCAGGTTATGCTCATGAGCATGCCACAAATGGGAGAGTTCCTTAAAAAGTGTTGTCAAATGAGTGAAGATATTGACCCAGAATCAGACGGAGAGGGCCGTGACTTTGTCCATCCCACTAGACTTGTTAACTTTTTGGTAGGTCTCCGTGGTAAAAACGAAACCATGGCCATTGGTGGACCATGGAGCCCATCTCTAGATGGTCCTAATCCTGAGAAGGACCCCAAAGTCTTGATTCGAACAGCAATAAGGAACTGCCAGGCCCTGACTGGTATTGATCTGTCCACATGTACACAATGGTAAGTCATGAATATATTATGAATAGATTTTATGGGTACCTGTTAAACATCTTGGTTATTATAGGATCATTCCGTTTGTATTCCCCCCATCATTTAGAGTATTATATTCATGGAGAGTTGTTGTTTGGTTATTGGGGTGATGAGTTTTGCATTAAATCTTGCGATCAGTACTTCAAACGCATTTGTATAATCTGTACCGTAGAATAGTTGGTGGTTCTGGTTTGCTTTTTTATCAAATGGCTTCCCTACCAAGAAGGTGGGGAGCTATCATATCTCTTAGACTACTTAAGAGCTGCTACTATAGAACAAGATATTTTGAATACTGCACAGTCATAAACCTGACATGTGCCAAGCTGTGGGATACTGCATTTTGTTTATGTTTATCTTTTGTTTGGCCTCTTTCCTCATTTTTTTAATATAATAAGACTTTAGTTGGGCTGCCTCTATTCAATCTACCAATGTGGCACTCATTGCTCTCACGGCCGTCCTTCAAAGAGGCAAAGACCCTTAAAAAAGATAAAAACAAAATTTACAGCCAAACACTTGCTTCAGTGAGGAAAAGTGCACACTTCTTCTCGTCTCACCAATCTGCTGCCACCAGAGGATTGCGTCTGAGTCTCCTTGAAATCTTCGCGGATAGGTGTGGGAGACTGAGAAACAAACCTTGAGATCATCATAGTAACCTGAGAATGGCGTTTTCGTGACAGGTACCGCTTCCTGGAGATTTACTACCGCCGGAGCGAGACTACTCACAAAGGCAAGCTGCTGCCGGCGCGGGTTGAGACAGTGGTACTCTTTCTGCCAGATGTTTGGAGCTGTGTACCAACCAGGCTGGAGTGGGACGGGCTTCATCTCAACTACAAGCGGCAGCTGGATCGCAAGCTCAAGGCGCTCTTGCAGATCGACTGCGATGAGGATGCAGCCACCGTTGACGAAAAGGCATTGACTTCTCACCAATCATAGTCTAAGTCTAGCATAAGTTGTGTCTTCCCTGCGCTCCTTGTGACTACAGGATCCTGGGCCCCAAACCCTCCCCCTCTGGTTGCTCTGTGAGAGTGTGGTGGCAACATGCAGCGACTATGCAAGGAGGGCAGGACTGGAAGCAATCACTAGCTTGGATTTGGAGACATATATCTCTCCGGCTTTGCAATGCATTTCATTCAGCATCATTTGTTCCAAGATCGCTTCCAGGGTGTCTAGCATCCAGCTATTCAGGACATTTCTAATGGCTGAATACTCTGAGTGGGTAGACCTTTCAGGATCTGCTGAAAGCTGGATCCATAAGTGGAGTCTTCCAAGCAACTTGGCATTTTTTTTTATTTTTTTTTTCCATTTTTTTTTTGTTTGTTTTGCTCACCTTTTTTTCTTTTTTGTTTTTCCCTTCTCATTCTCTCAACATTCCTCCTGCTCTTTTTGCCCATGCTTATTGACTGACATACATATAGTAAACTAATTCATTCTTGATATCCTCCTTTCCCACTATAAATGGGTTTTGGACCATTGGAAAGTCCTATGTTCAGAAAGCAAAGAATTTCAAACAGTTACTTCGCCCCATAGTATAGAAATCAATCTGCACTTGTGGGTTGGTGTTTGGGGCTTGCACAGTGTGGGAGTCGCGTTAATTTCATGGCAGATTTTTATGCACCAATTTGTTTGGAGCACTGGTTTTATTATAATTTCTGTAAGAGCAGTGGCCAAACATTTTGTCTTAACTGTCTTTTTTCTCTTTATCAAAAATAAAATGTTTGCATAAGAGAATGTTGGAGTCCGAGTTGAGAAGTTTTGTTTATTTTTCCATTCTTTACTTTTTTCTTTCTAACTTTTTATTCTGCACATAATACAGGATGGTGATGAAACCACTGTCATGAGGAGGGAGCCTACTCCTTGGAATCGACTAGACGCTAAGTCTTTGAAGGTAAAAACTTGTGCATTATTTTGTTGACTTTTTGTGTCGAAATGATTGTTTTTTGTTCTTTTTTTTTTTGGTTGGATATTTTAATTAGAATCATCAATTTTTTTCAGGTTTCAGAATTACGAGAAGAATTAGAAGCTCGCAGTATGAGCCCTAAGGGTCTCAAGAACCAACTGCTTGCTCGCCTTCAAAAGGCCTTGAAATCTGAGCAAGACATTGAAGAGAAAGGAGGACATGAAGAAGTAGTTCCAGAAGTTCCAAAGGAAGTGGAAAAAGTTGGAGAGAAAGTTGAGGAGGACGAAAACAAGAAGAAAGAGGTACATTATCCCGTAATGATTTGCATATTATTTGGTTGCTGACATATCTAATGATGTGATTCACATGCTTGTGTTTGCCTTTTCTTAGGATGAAGAAAAGAGAAAGCTTGCAGAAAAAGAAAAGGTGGTTTTAGAGAAAAGATATGAAATGCCAGATAATCCACATGTGATTGTTCACCCAAACCGCATTGCAAAGTCAGGAAAATTTGATTGCGTCACTATGTCTCTTTCCTTGCTTTTGGATTATCGCCAAGATGATACAAAGGAACATTCATTTGAAGTTTCTCTCTTTGCGGAGCTGTTTAATGAGATGCTGATGAGAGATTTTGGCTTCCGCATCTATCGCTCATTGTATGAAGCTGCAGAAAAAGTGAGGGAAGAAGAGAAAGAAAAGGTAAGTTCAAACTCTTACAGCGTTTTCTTCTTAACTGATGTTTGATAAAGAGTAATTGTTTGACTGTGAGATTGGAACAATTTCTATTTGTGCAGGAGCGTAAGAAAAAGGAAGAGAAAGAAAAGAAAGAAAAGGAAGAAAAAGAGAAGAGTGTGAAAGATTCCAAAGAGCCTTCAGAGGAAAAGGAAGAGTCCGAAAAGGATACAGATTTAGAAAAAATGGAAGATGACACCAGTGAACAAGATGCGTCTCAGGTATATTGATCTCTTGCTTGGTGTGTTGCTCAAGCACCAAAGTGACCCCTTTTTAATTTGCTTCTCATGTTCCAGGATGGAGATAAAAGAAGTAGAGATGAGAAGGAGAAAGATGAGAAGGAGGACAAGGACAAGAAAGACAAAGACCGTGAAAGCAAAGACCGTGAAAGCAAAGATAGAGACAAAAAGAAGAAGGAAAAAATGATGACAATCAATCCACAGCTGCTTCTAGCATTTGTGTACTTTGATCAATCACACTGTGGGTACATCTTGGACAAAGATGTTGAGGAGCTTATGTATGCTTTAGGTTTAAACCTTTCTCGAGCACAGGTGAGCCATACCTAATTTATCTTATTGACAAATTTTGCTTTGCAAGTTCTCTTAATTTACTTGAATGTCACATTTTGCCAAAGGTTCGACGACTGGTTCAAGCTGTCCTGAGCAAAGACTCACGTGATTCTCGTGAGAATAGGGAAGCCCTGTTTTATCGTCGTTTGACTGACAAACCTAAGCCAGAAGAAAATGGAACATCAGAAAATCCTGCAGATGATGAGATTATTGATACTAATACTAATCTAGATGCTAATCTAGAAATTTCCCTGGTTGGCAACCGAAGTCTTCTGCCTGTATTTATCAATGATGATAGTGGATCTCCTCCTTCCAAGCGGGCTAGATTAGACAAAAGTGAGGAGTCGTCAAATGCTCCAGAGGGTAAGAAATTTCTTTTTAATTTTGGGTTTTCTCATAAATGCACCATGTAGCATTCAAATCCATTATAAAATAATATTTTTGGTCCTGCAGGACTTGTTATGTTTAGGGGTGGCCTGTTGGATGTTGAAAAACTGACAGAGCAGCTTAAGCGGTCTGAAAAAGCTCGCGCAGATACTGAAAATATGCTAATATCTTTAAGAGAAGAATTAGGTATGTATTGAATATGGAATGTTTTGTTATTATACAATGTATATAAATCAAACTATATCTTAAAAATTGTTTCAAATTTAGGTTCCACCAAAAAATCAGCTGATTTATCTTCTAACAATGTTAAAGAGCTCACCATCAAAGTAGAGCAGCTTAAAAATCAACTTGCCTCCACTACTGAAAGCCTGAATAGTGTCCAGGTACTGTGTTTCTATATATTTAAAGCTGGAAGTGATTTGATTTTTTCAAGCTCACTTTCCCTTATTTTTCATGGTGATTTTAACTCTTTTCAGGTGAAATCTGAGGTTTATGTGAAAACCCTGAAAGATATGTATGTAAATATTGAAAAAGTTCTACCCCCTGTATCACAGAAGAATGAAGTGCCAGTCTCAATTAAAGAAGAGGTAACTGAATGATAGTGTGTGCGGCTATTTTGATGTGTTTCAGGTATGTTGTTAAGGAATGTAAATCGTTCAAGTTATGTTAATGGGTGGGGCTGATCTGTCATAGGATTTGAGCAATAAATGAACTCTTGTAAGAGGTGCGCACTTTGTTGTTAAATTAGAGAGTTTAATCAAGTCCCAAAATTGAGTTGGGATCAAGCAAGAAATCAAGTTTATGTAGTCTTTGCTATGATATAAAATGATTTGTGTGGACCATGGTCTATTTTAGCTGTGCAGATGTAGAAGTATTTGATTTACTGTTAACAGTCTAAGACTGCCTTTCAAAGGTGGAAAAGGAATTTTTTGAGGATTGTTCCTTTCTCTTTGTGTCACTTAATGCTTTTACTGATTGACAATAATACAAAGTTGTTGCTGGTGCCTCTTTTGTAGCTCACCTTTTTTGCCTACGTCCTGCAAATTTAGACACAACAGAATCTCAAAATCCATCAAAATAACTACAGTCTCTTTTTAAGGGAAACATTGTCTATCATGTTTAGTGTTATATTACATGATAGTACTCAGTCCAGTCATATTTACATTTATATTTTTAAATAATCACATCTTGACATCACTCCCGTGAGCATCCATAATTGTCTTCCTATTGTCTCTAGATTAGTTGTCTTTACCATGTGGAAATCATTTTGATTTTTAATTTTTGGTGATATTTTGAGCAACGGTACTTACTCTCTACGAGAACGCTGCTCGATGTTTGTCAATTTTTTATGTGGAATGGAAAAAGTTGTGTATAATATAGTGGCAAGAAAAGGTTAAAATAAAATACTGGCTTTCATAGCTTTAAGATTTGTTCAAAAATATCTTTGACTCACAACAAATACCTGCAGAGATTTGGCTTGGCAATTTCACTGACTCTAAGTTGTGATATAAAGTGCTGATGATGGATCAATTCTTGCATTGTGTCCCTTCCAGTGGAAATCAGAAAATACTAACTGAAAACAATGAGCTTGATACAGGGAATTACATGGCATTATTATTTGTCCTTCTTCCTATTTGTCCTTGTTCTGTTTTTGTTTGTTTCTATTGTGTGTGTTTCATTAAGGTGCCTCCTCGTTGTTTCGACAAGCGCTCCTTTTATTGCATCAATAATAAATAAAGTTATAACAAGTACACACGTTTCTCATTTACTCGACCCGACGTTCCTACATCAATCACTATGGGGCCAGCGCGAGCTGCGCCTCATGCAGTCCGCGTTGACCCTCGGCAGTCTTAAAGTCACGTTGATGCTGAGACAGGGGCGTAGCTACACTGGGAGGGGAGGGGCTTGGCTTCGCCCGAGACGGCTGACTAGCGCCGGGGTTTGGCGGGGAGGCGGCGCGAGGGCCGCGCCTTGGCGGCCTTGGCCATGGCCTTGGCGGGGTTGGGGGCGGGGCACGAGAAAGGTCGCCCCTTGAGGGGGATGCCGGTGGGGCCGTCGGCCTGCGTGCAGATGGCCGTGGACAGGGGGTGGCAGCCTGCCCGCGGGTTACCCCAGCGGCCCAGGAAGCGCAGCCAGCCCGCCGCCGTCGGCGAGCCTTCGTACAGCACGGCGAGGCGCTCCCAGGTGCGCCACGGCGCCCCGTAGCTAGAGGGAGAGAGAGACAAGTCAGACCTCAGCGCTCCACCAGGCCGCCAGCGCCCGCCGAGCAGAGGGTAGGCAAGCCCGCTCGACAGGACGGTCGCGCAGGGTAGCCTACCCTCGAGTCCGCGCGCGCTGGCGGCCAGTGTGCCACTGCGCCGCTGCGCGTTGTGCTGGCCGTGCCCTAGGCCGTGCCACATGCTGTGCTGGTTGTCTGCGGCCTTACCCGCTGTGGTCGTAGAGGCGGGGCACACGCACGTAGCGGTGCGAGCCGGGCCGCGTCCACAGCCCGTGCGAGCCCTGCGCGGCGAACAGCTCAGGGCGGCCGGTGGCGCGGTGCAGGCGGGCCATCAGCGGGAAGGAGGCGCGCTGCAGCAGCTCGGAGCCCTTCCGCACCTCCTGGCGCTCCAGGACCAGGTGCCCCGGGGTCGCCCCCGCCACGCCCGGGGCCGCCCCGGACCAGCGGTAGAACGCGCCCGCCTCGTGCGTCGAGACGTACATGGCGTCGGGGTGGCTCTCCTTCTGCGGAACCACACAGAAATGTGATGACAGAAACACGACACAAACGGGTATTTGAACCAAGATCTTTCCTTACCGAGAAGAAGAGACTGACGTGCTCCCAGTCGCCGACGTGCGCGCCGAAGCGCCGCCACGTGCCCATGCACGAGCCCCAGAGCAGCGGCAGCGGCCAGGGCCCCAGCGGGCCCAGGTCCAGCACGCAGACGGGCTTGCCCTCGTTGTAGGGGAAGAACATCCAGTAGGTGACGTGCAGCAGAGGCTCGGCGTCGGCCGGCCCGGAGGGCACCTCGTTGTCCAGCAGTCTGCGAGACACGAGACACATGGTGGTGGTGTGTCATACCGGGAACACCCCTGGAGATAGTCTTGTGTCCGGCGCCGGCGGCCAGTGACATGTCATCCATCGCGATTTGCCAGCCCTGTGCGCGGGCGCGGGGCCCTGCCTGACGTGAGTCATGTCATAATGGCTGTCAATGTTACGACGGAGTCGCGAGTAGCCGCTGGTACACTGTACGCCCGCAGCGGTGAGCGGCGCTCCAGGCTGCGGGGCACGCCGCGCGGCCCGCCGGCCCGCCAGCCCGCAGCAGGTGGAGCACACCATCACCCATCACGCCGTGCCCGCCGCGCCACGCCACGCGTTCCATGAAACTGCCCTCAACAACTGGTTTATGACTCGTAACAGAGCTCCCCGCCGGTCCCTGTCCCGCGGCCGCGAGCGTGCAGACGCCGCGCGTCCCCGCCCCGTCCCCCGCCCGCCGATGATTGGCCTAATCCACCACGGGCGAGCGGGCCGGGCTGCACCGCGCTCGCGCATTATCTCACCGATTTGGACAGGAGAATGTGAACAAGCTGCATCGGGGGCTTTTATAGCTTATGCAACTAATTGTGAGGAAGGGACAAGGGAGGGGGCCATGGCCATTGTGCGCGCTGGCGCCTTCTGGCGCCCTGCGCCCCGCTCCCTGTCCTTCGGACGACAACGGCCCGGGCCCTTCAGACATCCACACCGGCGGTCCCTGGGATTCTGGGACGGCCTGAGCAGTCATGGACGCCGCAAAGTGGCCGTCAGGCCGCCTTCCTCCCCCTCCCTTCCGTCAAAACGAAAACGAAACCCGGCCGAGATTCCGAACCTGAGCCTCTCCGATTCCTTTCACTTTCGATGCGCGCCGCTCGGCCACGGCGGCCGCGGAGTGACGGCGTGCATGGCCGTAGGCAGGCCTGGCCATAGGCACGCGTGCATCGTGAATACCAAACAAACGCGTGCCTAGCGCCACACGCAACCGCTCGTCACGCGGTCGTCACGCGGTCGTCACGTGGCCGCGGCCTTCGCCGGCACCGCTACTTACTCGTCCTCGGTGTCGGGGCGGTCGGGGACGGCGTCGGGGCTGGCTCCGGGGGTGCGCTCCGGCCGTTCCGGGCCGAGGCCCCTGCCGCCCCGGCTGCGGGCGCGCTCGCTGGCCCGGAGCTCGCGCAGCTCGCGCAGGCCCGGAGGCCAAGGCGACGCTCGTCACACAGCGTGACCACGGCGTAGACCGGCACGGGGCCGCGGCTCGGGTCATGGCCGTACAAGAAGGAGGACGAATTGCCCAGCAGCTCCTCTGGAAAAAAAGAACGGAGGAAGAGGAAAGAAATTAGGGTATGGCTTTGTGTGTCAGCGCGGGGAAAGCCCACGGGTCTAATGGCCGTGACTGTCGCAGGGCGCAGGTTCAAATACCGTGATGGGTACCGCTTTTTTGTTAATTAGCGGGGACTCACCGACGCTTGCGTTGCTCACGAGGTACCAGGCGGCCGACCTGGGCCCCTGGGGGATGGCCGGGACGGCGTTGGCGGCGGCCTGCGAGGCCCCCGTCGAGGTCCCCGGCGAGGTGCGCGTCGACGCGCGGGCCGCGCGGCTGCTGGGCCGGCCGGCCACCCTGCCGGCGCCGCGGCCCTCCACCATGGCCCTGGGGGTGACGTGCTTGAGGAAGTCCTCCACGCCGGCCGGCATGAAGCGCTCGCCCGGCGACAGCCACACCAGCGGCGCCCATCGCGAGACGAGCCGCTCCACGGCTGCGGCAGAAAGAGAAAGAAAGGCGTTTTGAGCGTTTTTACTGGCAGTGCAGCGGCGCGGCGGCCAAGCGGCGACCCTGTCGCTGGTGCGAAGAAAGGAGCCCACCCATTTCCCCAACCTTGACAGTGCCCCGACAGTGCCGCGCCGCCTCGCTGTCCGGCGGCGCGGTCTCTAGGCGGCACCGTGACGGAGCGACCGCCTAGCCGGCGAGCTAGGCGCCCTGCGCCCGCTGCGCCCCGGGCCTCTACAGTGTAGTGGCCGGCACAGTGGCGGCGTGGACCGCGCGCCGCGCCCTTGGCCAGCGCGGCCATGGCGGAGACCCTGTCGGGGCGGCCTTGACCCGAGTCCGACCTGGGGCCCCGCCCCTTTCTCCGCCACGGCCGTCGAGCCGTCAACCCCCGACCAGTCATCCGGTCAATCGGCGCGAACCCAACTCCAAACCGGCACGGCTGGCACGACGGCACGACGGCGACCTCAACCCTCATCACTCCGATCTCAACGGGGAAAGGCAGCTCGGCGACAAGCCACAATCATAGAAAACAAAAACATTCGACTTTGTCGATTTTAAACCTTTAATATCGCCGAAAAAAATTATGTGCATACTTGGATTCGAACCCACGACGGCCGTGGTCGTTGATCGCTCTCGATTAAAAGCGACACGTTGGGCGACTGACTAAGGCGGCTTCCTATCGTCCCTCTCTGTCCCCCGGCACGCGAGCGTCGCGAGCCTCGCCCGCAATCGCCTTACTGCACCCCCGGCGCATTCTCTCTCTCGCACTCACGGGGCGTCGGCGTCCCACAGCGGTGCGAGAGAGACGGCGCACCCAAATCCGCGGCGCGGGGCACGTGCATCGGGGAAGCCGTAGAGGCGTGGCAGGCATGGCCAGCATGGCCAGCAGCGGGGCGCCGTGAGCCCCGAACAACGCCATGGGGCGTCCCCGTCGTGGCGTCGGGCCGTCTGCGCTTGAGGAGGCATTCAAAACAAACAATGGCAGATGGGTGGACCGTGCAGCCACCGGCGCCACTGGCGCCACTTCGGCTCGCCGGTGCAGAGTGGAGCCGAGAGTCCTTTTCGTCTCGTTCGCACTACTCGTAGGGCGCTCCGTAAAGGTGCGAGCGAGACGAAAAGGACTCTCGGAATGAGTCTGCTGCACAGCCCGTTCCTGCCCGCGCCAAATGCTCGGCCCGGTCCGCCCGTTCCTCCCATACCGGCTACACGCGGCTCGGCGACTCCGACGCCGGCAACGGCCAGGGCAGGCGTGGCGTGGCGTGGCGTGGCGTGGCGTGGCGTGGCGGCGGGGGCGCGGGGCGGCGCGGCGCGGCGGGGAAGTGCCTCTGGAACTGGAGCAGGCCGACAGGCCGACAGGTGAGCTAGCGCGCGCTCCGGATTCGCGCTCGCGCGGGGCTGGTTAGGCACGTTGGGCACACGGCCTGGCCTGCCTGCCTGCCTGCCACTCTGCAGGTCCATCGCAGGCACTTTTCCCCGCGTCCCTGGAGGCTGCCGGCGACGCGCGCGCCGTGCGCGGCCTGCTGATCCATCGCGCGCCGCTTTCGGCGATACCACTCCAACTCGACAGAGCGGAGCTGTTGGAGGCTCGACCGCGCGTTCGACTCCCCGCGGCGGCCGGCGTTTCGCGCTCGCCTTGCCTCACGCCGGGCCGACCGGGGCGGCCGGGGCGTTGTAGCGCCGGACTTCCCCCGCCCATCCTCTGTGTGCTCTTCGCGCCCTCCTTCGCCTCCTTCACGCCCAGGACGTGCGCTGGTCAGGGAGTCGCACCGATTCCACTGCACTGCTGTGTCTCTGCCGTCTCTGCGCACCGGTGTGGGACGCCCCGCGAGTGCGAGGGAGACAGAGCGACGAGACGCTGTCGACACAGAGGCGAGCTTGAGTCGGCGGCAAGAAAGGGCCAGAAAAGGCCGCCGCTGTGTGCGAAAGGACAACAGCATACACTGTCAAAGCGACGCTACGCGACGCGTGTCCCCGCGGCCGCGGGCCGGCTGTGCGGCGCGGGGAAGGGGAAGTTGATGAAAACGGAGAACTGGGCCGGTGCGGCCGCCCCGGGCCGGGCAGAGCTGGGCCGGGCAGAGCTGGGCCGGGCAGAGCTGGGCCGGGCAGAGCTGGGCCGGGCAGAGCTGGGCCGGGCAGAGCTGGGCCGGGCAGAGCTGGGCCGGGCAGAGCTGGGCCGGGCCGGGCAGAGGACTGGAGGCTGCCGGGCCGCGGCTGACGCTGCGAGGGTGTCGCAAGCATCGGCGGCAAAAACGGCCGGATAATTACGGTGTACTGTAATGCTCGGTCCACTCCATCGGGCCAGGCTGCCTGCAGACTGATTCCGGGAGTCGTTTTCGTCGCCCTGTCTCTCTCGCACCCACACGGGGCGCCCCAATGAGTGCGAGAGAGACAGAGCGACGAAATCAGTCAACTGACCCACCCCCTCTGGGCCTGCAGTGGGGCGCCGCCCTGCCCGAGGCTGTGCCCACCTTGCCGGTTGCGTCCCGACGTCGCGCCACCTTCTTTTTGTGGCGGGTTACGTTGCCCTGGATGAATCGCACAAACACACGCACGGCGCACGGCGCGCGATGAAGGAGTGGGAGGCAGGCGGGAAGGACGACGGAAACGAATCCCAATCCAACGACGAAGAGTAATCAGGCGCGGGCAAGGCAGGGCAAGGCAGGGCAAGGCAGGGCAGGCCACAGGCCGGGGCAGCCGGGAAGGGAGAAAGAGAAGGGAAACCACACGGTGCCGCCAGACAGCGCGGCGAGGCTGGCGAGGCGCGGGGCACCGGCATTGGGTCAGTGCGGCCGGTACGGCGGGCTGGACACGCCACGCCCCGCCACGCCCCGCCACGCCCCGCCACGCCCCGCCACGCCCCACGTGGTTACAATGGCAGCCGATGAGCACTTCTCGCATTGTGTAATACCGGCGGCCGGTGTGGGAACCCTGCAACACCCTGCCGACTGATTCCCGCACGTCGCCGCTCTGTCTCTCTCGCACTCATGGGGCATGCCGAATGGACGCGAGAGAAGCAGAGAGCGGCGATGTGAGGAATCACTGCGACGCCCCAGGAAGCAGGGTGCACCGCGGCGCACCGGGTCCCTGAGGCCGGCCTAACCTTTCGCGTGATATGGGCATGTCCACGCCGCGGACACTTACTTCTGGCGACGGCGGCCGAGGGCACGGCGCGCTGCAGGTGCAGGCCGATGGGCGGCGGAGGCGGCCCCTCCACGACGGCGGCCGCCCCCAGGACGAGCACGAGCACGGCGGCGGCGAGGACCAGCAGCGCGTGCAGCAGCGGCAGCAGCACCGGCGGGGGGCGGCGCGGCCGGGGGCGGGGGCAGTCCGTGCTGAGCCGCCGCATGGCGAGGCTAGCTGCACTAGCTGCGCCGCCCCCGGCTGCAGGCCCTGCAGGTCGCCGCCCCCACGGGCCGCCGTCTCTGCCGCCGACGTCGCTTGACGTACATGTCAGCACCGCGACGAAGGTGGCCGCACCGCCCCCGCGCCGGGCGGCATCTTGGCGGGGCCGGGGGCGGGGCAGGGCGGGAATGCGTGCTGCAGCATCCAAGATCCGGACCTCGTTGGCGACGCACCGGTGACGCGACGCACGACGCCCGCTTTGGCAAGGCCGCAAGGCCCGGCAGCCCCGGCAGGCGGCACGCGAGACGCGGCGCGAGACGCGGCGAGGCGAGGGCAGGTGCGCGACGACGACACGACGGCGACACGACGGCGACACGACGACGACGGCAATGCCGGTGCAGCCTGTGCACTCCTTTCGAACCGGCCGGGTTGCGACTGACGCCGTACGGGACCGCTTACGCCAGCCTGCGCCAGCCCAGAGAGGCCAGCCCGCTCCGGCCACCCGCCCCGCCACAGCCGCCCCACCCCGCCCACCGCGCCCCGCCGCGCCCCGCCACGCCCCCACCTGGCACTCTTGTTTTCATCCAGGGGCTTCACCAGACACCCCCCCGCGCTGCCGCAAGGGCATGGGGCATCACGTTGATCACGTGGACGAGGGAGTCTGCGACCAGCGGGGCGGCCCGGGTCGCCTGCGAGGTAGGCCGCCGCCGCTGCGCCGCGCCGGGCTGTTCGGCGGGGGTGTCTACCCTCGAGTTCGCAGGCTGACGACGACGCGAGGCGTTTCTTCCTGCCACGTTTCGCCTCGAGGGTAGCAAACGGCAAATAAAAATAGCTCTGCCTCTCGCGCAGTGCGAATGTGTTATGCTTTGGGTCTTCTCCTCAAGCCGCGCTCCAGCGTCGAGATCTCTTCGCGCGGTGCGACCGGCACCCACGGCGGCGCCCTGCTTGGTCCATGCTGGGAGGGGGTTCCAGGGCACGCTCTATTTCACGCCTCTTGACCAAGTGGATCGGCCAAGCGTTTCGCCCTTCCCAGCTTCCCGGCTTCCCACCGCTAAACGGCCGCACACCTTGAGCCGCCAGCCTCCTGCCCGGACCGCTGCCCCAGTGGCTTACAGTGGCTTCCCAGCGGCTTTCCACTGGCTTTCCACGGCGCGGCCGCCACACTTTCCCGATGGCGACGCTGCGTGCTGCGCATGATGGGTCGGGTTTTCTAGCGAAGGCAACGCAGACGAAGGCGTAGTCGCGAAGGCTGGCGCGGCGGAGGGGCGCAGCTCTGAGCCGCAGTTGAGGCGTAGTTAAGGCGCAGTTAAGGCCCATAGCGAAGGCCCGGCCCGGCCCGGCCCGGCCCGGCACACTTCCCCGATTACATCTCGGTCCAGGGCGCCGGCACGGCTCCAGCATGGCTCCAGCATGGCTCCGGCGGCGAGTCCGGGGATCCGGGGGTCCGGGGGTCCGGGGACCTGCTCCGGCAATCGCTACGGCCGCCAGCCTGCACTCGGTCCACTCGGTGCGGGTCCCTGGCAGCGGATCCGAGGTGTGCGAGGTGCCCCAGGCTGTTCTGGAGGCTGTACCGGCCCGGGCTGTCCCAAGCAGTGTCCAGTGCCCTCGAGGCTGGGGACCGTCATGGAGTCCCGCGGGCGCTGTTCCACTGGTCCACGCTCGAGACGATGCCTAGCCCAGCGATTCTCAACCTTTTTCGGTTCGCGACCCCAAATTTGTAGCGAAAAATTTCCGCGACCCCCAGGAAAAATTTCGCGACCCCACGGGACCCCTCCTTTAGCATGCCTTTGATACAAAGCGCGATGATAATCCACCCAAGTTTGGAAGCAGTATTGCAGCAAAGTTGATCAAAACGGTCACAAATGTCTTTGAAAAATCGTGTTCTGGGCCGACTTTAAGCAGCCACTGCGTCTAATCCGATGAGGTATTTCGTCCTCCCTCAACGGGCAATTGGTCTTTGGACCTTCCTTTAGCATGCCTTTGTTACGGAGTGGGATTATCTGCCTTAGTTTGGGAGCAGTATTGCCGCAAAGTTGATCAAAACGGTCACAAATGTCTTTGAAAAATCGTGTTTTGGGTCGACTTTAAGCAGCCACTGCGTCTAATCCGAGGCGGTATATTGTCCTCCCTCAACGGGCAATTGGTCTTTGGACCTTCCTTTAGCATGCCTTTGTTACGGAGTGCGATTATCTGCCTTAGTTTGGGAGCAGTATTGCCGCAAAGTTGATCAAAACGGTCACAAATGTCTGAAAAATCGTGTATTGATCAACTTTGCGGCAATACTGCTCCCAAACTAAGGCAGATAATCGCACTCCGTAACAAAGGCATGCTAAAGGAAGGTCCAAAGACCAATTGCCCGTTGAGGGAGGACAATATACCGCCTCGGATTAGACGCAGTGGCTGCTTAAAGTCGGCCCAAAACACGATTTTTCAAAGACATTTGTGACCGTTTTGATCAACTTTGCGGCAATACTGCTTCCAAACTTGGGTGGATTATCGCACTTTGTATCAAAGGCATGCTAAAGGAGGGGTCGCGTGGGGTCGCGAAATTTTTCCTGGGGGTCGCGGAAATTTTTCGCTACAAATTTGGGGTCGCGAACCGAAAAAGGTTGAGAAACGCTGGGCTAGCCCAAAGGTGTCACTTCACGTAGTCTTTGAGTGGTGACCCGTCTCTCTCGCACTCAAGGCGCGCCCCGTGTGAGTAAGCGAGAGAGGCTGTGCGGCGACGCGGCCGCTGCTCAGGTCCAGCTGGTCCGGCGGCTGCCCGTTGGGCTGCCCTGCAGTAGCACGCTGGAGGCTGGCCGGCCGGCCGGCCCGAGCGGTAGCCGCGGCTCGCGCCTTCTCGCAATGCCTCTCCATGCATTGCAAAACAAGTCCCCTTCTTCTTCCCTCCCTCCTCCTCCTGCTCCTTCCCGTTTCCGCGTGGGGCGGCGTGGAGCGGCGCTGGAAACGGACCAGAATCCCCGCGCCGGCCAACGCCGGCCAACGGACTAACGCAGTACGCAGTAAACACCTTACGCAGAAACGCACGTTCAATAATTCGCCGCCCCCGCTCCCATTTCTCTATTCATTCATCTCTCGGGCCGCTATCCACTCCTTCCGCCGCCGCCGTCCTCCAGTCACGCCCCGCCCCGCCCCGCCCCGCCACGCCTCGCCACGCCCCGCCACGCCCCGCCACGCGTGGTTACGTCTTACTACGTAGTAAGATAAGGACGCAGGACGCACTGCTGGGCCATGGCTGGCTGGGCCGACGCGACAAAAATACGGACAGAAACGAAAGCGTACGAGGGGACTAGAGCCTGGCGGCGGTGGCGGCGGTGGCGCTGCTCGCCGTGGTCACCCCAACGGGTCATTTACGTAAGGGTGCGCGGCGCGCGCGGTCAGCAAATTATGCCCCAGTCCAGCTCTGGTACTGGCTCCGTGCTGGCTCTAGTGGCAGGGTTGGGAGGTCGGTCCAAGTCCCTGGACGTAACGCCGTTTAGTCCTCGGTCCTCGCGGCCGCAATGCGAGCTCATTCCCGCTTCGAGAGGCGGAGGGTGGAATGGGCGAAAGAGTTTGCGAACTGCCTCCGAGCGCTCGGAGCGCGCGCCGTGCGTCTGTCTGTGCCTGTCTGTCTGCCTATCTTTCCGTCCGTCTGTCCGCCCCGGGCCGCACGTGACGTAACGTCGAACGCTCAGGGTCCCCGTCTGTGGTTCAAGGGCTGTCACGCCAGGGCGGGCTCGGCGGGGCTCGGCGGGGCTCGGCGGGGCGGGGTGGGTCTAGCGGCGAGGTGCAAAGCCTCCGTATGGGGCAGGAACAGTGAAAGTAGGTTGGCAGGACGAGTGGCGGAGCAGGGCGGGGCGGGGCCGGCCGGCGGCGAGGATGTCTTGCGAGCTGCTGATGGCTGATAATGTATTCCCGGTTCAGCTGATCACCGCGGCGCGGTACGTGCTGTCTTTGGAGGAAGGACAGCGGCGTGCAGGATGATGGCAGGATGCGAGGGCGCACGCCGCTCCACGCCGCCTCATGCCGCTGCAGGCCGTGATGAACTCGGCCGCCGATAAGAGCGTGACGTCGCGGACGTCGTGGACGTCGTGGACCAACGGCTTATCGCCACGCTCCCGCGGCTCCCGCGCTGCACGCCGAGCCGGCCTGCCTGCCCCAGCCTTGCCTTAAGTCCGAGACATTTCAAACGAGGCCCCTGCGGAGCACTGCGAGTCTTTGGGTAAAACTCCGCCCAATAGATTTGATCTGAATGATGCGTGCTCGCCGCGGCGCCGCGGCCGGTTGTTTCGTCATGAACGGGCTTTCCCTGTTCGGGGAGTCTTCGCTGCGGAGTGCGGAGGCTCGGAGGCACTGTCCCGACCCCCCGACCCAAGGGCAGAATGAATGATGTCGCCGGTCGTGACCGTGGACTAGGCGGACTGGACGCCGCGGAGTGCCAGGCGGAGTGCCCACCTCTATCTCCTTCCCATCAGCCCTATCGGCCACTCGGGCACGAGTCCTGCCAGTGGGTCCTGCGTGCATGCCCACCGCCCACATGAATCATGAATGGACGTCACTGGTGTGCCACCAAGTGCCATGCAAGTGCCATACAGGGGCGCCTTCGGCCATTCGTAGTTTGGCCAGCGGGCCCGCGGCAGGGGAGGGGAAGGGGAGGGGAGGGGAGGGCTATGACGGCTTAAAATTGGCTTACGCTTCGCGACTTCGCGGCCGCGCGCTTCGCCACTGCCTGGGAGCGTCTCGGAGGCGTCCCCATCCACCCAGGCCCTTCCCCCTCCCCCTCCCCCTCCCCCTCCCCCAGCCCCGCGAGGCTTTGCGCGATGCGCGAGGCACGCGAGGCGTTGCGTGGGCGGGGACACGGCGGATCGCACCCAACCGCGCGTTCCGCGGTTCGAATCCCGGCGGCCCCCCACCGCCGAATAGCCTTTTGGGGTGACTCGCTCTGACAAGAAAACAGAGAATGGTCTTCGAATTTCGTGCCGTTGTCGCGGCCCGTGTCTTTGACTTCCCTCGCAGGTTTATATACTGCAAGCAATTTTGAATCGCAAACTTGCAATGTATGAGAAATATATGATTGGTATTGTCGATTTCTCATACATACGAGAAAAACTGAGGAAACTCTTTCAAGGCATTTCGAAGGACGCTTGTCTGTTTATTCCGCCTTGAAACAATCTAGTCGACCCGGTTTTGCTGTCAAGTTTTCAAACATTTGTGGCCATGATTTGGCCCGGCGCTTAAGTTAGTCCGGAAACCTTGAAAACCGCTGTGGTCCGCATGTGTGCGAGGCGGCTGCAGTTGGTACTGCTATTTTCAGTTGGTCTGATGGTTTCTTACATTTTCAGTTCAGTTCTCCATGAAGTTTGAGGAGTTCTGCCTGAGTCAAAGTGATAGATAGGCTGAATGATACCAGAATTAAAATGCTGGCAAAGAACGATGTGCTCTCCGAGTTTAAGAATGTTCGGAGCTATGAGCGGGTTGATCTGCTTTGTAGCTTGTTAGACTTGTGTCTGCCTTACGAGTTACGTTTCCTGGGCACATGCCTTGAATTTCTAGGTAAACGCGATTTCATAGAATTGCGGGAGGACGAACGTCACGCAAACAATGTGAACCATATAACCCAGTATCGTAGTTTAATGGATGAAAATACTCGAAGAAAGCTAGTCCTGTATGTGTCCCTGTTGAAGTCCTGCAATAGTGACTGTGCCAATTGTCTGAATGATACTTTAACGGCACTCTGCATTAGTGATGTGAGTCAAGTTTGTCGAGCAGAACCTGAATATGCTGAAAAACTGCTCGATGAGCTGCTACTTTTATACACCATTGCGGTGAAGCACCCTGCATTCAGCTTACATCAGAAGACAGAATTTGCTGCGCACCTCTCTCGTCTCCAAGAAGAGGACAACAGACTGTCACAAATTCTTTATTCCAATGAAGATGGAATCACCTCAACTTCAAGGGTTAGTTGCAAAGTTAATCAGGAATCTTAATTATATTTGACAATGTATTCAGTGCTTATTAAACTGAACGAAGCTGTTGTCCGTATTTTACAAAGAACAACTGCGCTTTATCTTTTTAAAGTGCTGTTATTCTTGTGCCACATTTTTACAATTATGTCTTTCAATGGTGATTTTATCTACAAGTGTTGCTTCTTTCGTGTTGGCAGATCTCTAAATCAGTGGACTGCATACCAGAAACGCCATGCAAACCCAAAGATTCTCCTTCAAACAACATTGAAGACAGTTCTAGTCAAATCTCAGTCAATTCACAAGCTAACCAGCTGACTTGCCATGTACTGTCAGGGTCTGTGTACACAAGTGCAGTCTTACCCTCTGCGCTGCATCAGGCATCGGCAACTTGTCTGAATCCAGCCCATGTCATGGTGTCTTCCATGTGTGGTCATAATGCCTCAACTGTTGTGGCTCCTTCTCCTGGTGACATTCAACCTGAGAGTGCTTCCCATTTGAGTGGTGAAACTGGTCATTCTGTGATTGCGGTGGGCCTAACAGCCTCTCCTGTAACTTCCAACCTAATGGTGGGTCCTGGGCCTGGACTAGGGCCGGGTATAGGGTTGCCATTAACTTCCACTAGTCACTGTATGATGCCATCCTCAGGTAAGTCTTGTACTTGTTGTTTTATGCTTCTCATTCAAAGAATCAAATTAATGCCATATGGGATTTACAGGTGATATTCAAAAAGGTTCCATGGGACATCCAAATATCATTGGGCCGATGATGTGTGTTCCATCTGATTCTATGGCCATGTCTTATCCTGGACATGCACATTACAGTATGATGGTACCTATTGTTAGTCATATACCTGGTCCCCCTCTAGGGTGTCCTGCAAGTATGGCACCAACTATGACACCACCAGGTGCTTCTCTCACACTGTCCAACATCAAGCCTGTCACATCATCTGCTCCCCCTGGACCATCTCCCAGCTCTATACCCTCAAAACCCATAATTTCATGCTCTTCCCCAAGTGCCACAACCGTGTCTATCACTTCCAAAGAAAATAGCATCAAGTCTGAGCAAGGAGAGGCCCTGGGTAGTCAGCCGGTTTCTCCAGCAAACACTCCTCCGCCTGGTCCTAAAGCACAGGTATTGATTGTATAAATCATTCCTCAAATATTTGACATTATGTTGATGTTTTAAGTTGGTATTTCTTGTTCTTTCAGGTTTCTAATATGAAGCCTTCTGGTCCTCTGTCACATAATCCACACCAGCTATTACAGCAATCCCATCTTCCTGCATCAAATCAACCCCAAGTGCCTCCGTCTTCCCAGCAGCCTTATCAACTTACTCACAATATGTTCCCAACAAGTCAACATCAACTGTCTTCTCCAAAAACCAACTCAACTATCGTTAACCAAGTTCAGTATTATCCAAATCAAATCATGTCCATTGGAAGTTTTGGCCAACATCCACAATCTCCTCATGTGTCAAAGTTCCCTGGGCAGTGGTGCCCTCCTGGGGAAAATCTCAAGGAAGTAATAGTTCGTGAAATGCCTAATTATAAGGCTAACCTTCAGGACTATTCTCCAGATGAGGTAATGTTTTTAAAAATAGAATTTTTGTTTGTGCAATTTGCTTATCTTTAAGTATGAATCAATGAGTGTTTTATTTGCTTCTAATTTCCCACAATTTCTTTAGCTTCTGTACATGAGTGATGATCAGCTCAAGGACATTGGTCTATCTACAAGTGCCATCCAGCAACTACGCTCAATTATTAGCAAGCTTCACTCACCTACCAATGGTCTTAATTGCTTAAATAGGAGTGATGCTGCATTTCTCAATGAGGTTAGCCTTTCGAATTTTATTGCAAGTAATTCCGAGTTTCATCCCTATGGATTTTGGTAGCTAACTTTTGTTTTTATCCCAGCAGTCTTCCAGACGTAGGCACTATCATCCCTCTGACAACAAGGCAGTTCCTTCAATGCAGGGTCCCCCTCCAGGAACTGTAAATTATGCCTACATGGTGCCATCCTCTTACCCAAACAGTATCAATAATATTGGAAGTAATGGATCTTCATTTAACAAAGGCAGCAAGCGACATCTTCAAATAACCAATCAAGTTCGAGCCTTGCAGTTGGAGGATGACAGTAGAAGGCCATGCTCTAACAGCAGCAGCACCTCTGATTGCTCAAGTGGGAGTCACTCTCCACCTGAAACTCCGTCACTTCCTCACATTTCAGAGGTTCCTTGTGATCACCATTTAGATAGAGGTGAGCTGCTGCCTCCTTCACACTGTAATTAAATTTTTTGGCAGTTGTAATTGCATGGAATCACTTGCAGGGTACTCTGGAAAAGATTCTGGAGCAGAATCTTGGAATTCTGCAAATAGTGATGACAAGAACAGGGACGATAGGCTACATGAAGGGGAACGTGTCATAGACGATAGATCCCGGGGCTGTGGTAACCAGCCTCCTGGAGTTCAACGTAATCTAGTTAATAGGTAAGTGCTTAATTTATTGAGGTTCTCACCTTAGTAGTTGTCCATGTTTAAGGCTTTACTTGAATAAATTTTATTGCAGTAGAAGTCGAGGCCTGAGCAAAGCACCACCTGGTATTCCCACAATACCACGAGGTCGAGGCCACCCTATGGCTGATAAAAACCGAAGAGATCCTGTTAGCTCCATGAATGGTGTGCCATCAGACATGAACAATCAACCCCCACCGTATGCCATGTCTGGTGCCACTGGATTGCCTAGTAGCGTTCCATATCCTGCTCCTCCTGTATCGTCATTCCTACCTCACACTCCCTTTACAACCATGCATGCATTTCATAGATTTCAGTCTGGCAGCTTTCTTCCCTCAGGTACGGCATATCCCTTCCCACCTAATGGAGAAATGTGGAGCCCCTTTCATCAGCCCCCTCAACCCACTCACCCATACATAACTGCACCCATTGTAGCGTTTTCTCCCGCCCATCCTCCTCCAAAACTATCGTGTTACAACTGTGGCCGACCAGGACATCAGGGGTCCGATTGCAAGGAATCAACTTTTGAAGAAATAACTCAGCAAGGTGGGTTTAACTTTTTATTTGTTTATAGTTATTGTTTTACTTCCAAGATGTCTAGCTTATTTATTTGTGTTGCTTCTCACCTTCTCTTCAGGGCAATATCACTTGGACTACAAGCCTGGAGATTGTCGAGACGCTGATAAATGACAGTACTCGTTATCAGGCAAGCTGCGTGCCTAAGTTGCTGTTCCTGTTCCTCAATCCATAACCAAAGCTCCTTCTGTTTGCTCCGTCCAGCCAAGTGGGGATGGCAGCAAGTACAGGGCCAGTTTACCAATCATCAGTTCATTGTTTTTATTTTCATTTTTTAATTTGCTTTACAAGAGTGTTAGATGAGACAATTTTGAACCATGAAATGTTAATGTTTCATTGCTAAAAAAAAAAACAACAACATTTTTTCATACATTTAATTTAGATTCTTTTGACCCTATTTAATGTACTTCGAATTTTAATTTGTATGTGTGATTATCATGCAGTTTTAAATGTTTCAGTCAGTGTAGATGAAATGATATTTATTACAGTACTGAATGATCAAATATTTTCAATATGTTGAGAATTTATAGTTTGATGCCATTTTTTTAATTATATGAATGATTATAACCATGTTGGTCCTGTGCTGGCATCTTATAAGTTGTTGTTAATGTTACCTTTGTTAGAATGGAATAGACCCAGCCATGACTCTCTAGGTTGTTAATGTCTGGTCTGTACTATTAAATAATTTAAGTGTGTTGTACATTTGTGTGTTGTTTGACAAAAGGAATGTCAAAAATGTTGTGTAGGTATGTTTGAATATATGTTTGTGTTAATTGTCTTTGTATGATGTGACTCTTACCATTTGAAATCAACAAACCCTCATGAATGTAGTTGCTGGTCAACTCAAGCCAGAAAAGATGTCAAAGCCTATTTATGAAGATTTAAATTATGAGATTCCTTGGAAGTTTGCTCCACTTTTATTTCTTCAAACTGCAAGAAGAAGCCAAAAGTTTTTATAAAATCTGGCATCTTATTTTATTGCATTAATTTTTCTCAAAAGTTTATCTATGTATTTTTGTGATGTGCATTGCATCATGAGAAGTTGTTGAGCTTTAAATGTGACAGTCCATTTTTGAAGGCAAACAAAACGAGTCTTTTTGAATACCATAGTGAAAATTGTTCTGTTGTTGCTATTGCAATATTTATCAAAATTGTGATTCATTAAGACTTGACGAAGGAAAATTGTGTATGCACATGTTAATAGCCTTTTGCTTATCTGTGTTAAACTAACTGAAATGGATGATTTGCATCCTTGAATACATCGTAATCTGAAGTTTCACATACTGGGATATATACTGTAATGTATATACTTTATCCTGTGCATGTATTTGTGTGTTTACACACATGGCGTAACTCTACTTCAGAAATCAAATAAGAATTGGGTATGAATGTTTTAAGAAAGAAACAAGTACAACATCAAATTTTACTTGTTTTGGATGAATTCATCTTCCATCACTCTGTGATCCAAAACCTAAGGTTAATGCTTTTTCGTAAGTTCTCATTATTCAAGCCAGGTTTTAAACATAATGAAAAAAAAAGCAGAAAAATAACTTTTGAAACTTTTTTGTGAGTTAGTTCAAATCAGAGATTCGGAAGCTGCTATTCCATGATATAATTATTTTAATTAGTATCAGCTGGGATCTTGATTTGCCCAATAATTCTTGTGTTAATTTCTTAAAAAAAGAAGAAAAAGAAAGCAACTTCTAAGGTAATAAATTTTTAAACGTACCCTTTGTTAGTCAACTGTTTATTTTGGTGAAAATTCGGAAGTATTCCTATCCTACAATATTGATTTTCTATTGAAAGGTAGATAACTAAACAGATGGACTTAAATTCCTAATCCGGTCGCCATACTATAATAGAGTTATTTACACTTGTCAGTCACATTGATCCTCCAAATGAGATCGGAATATGAAGATAATTTATCTATACTCAAGATACAATTTATTCACTTAAGTATCATACATCACATACATGAATGAATACCATTGAAGGCTAAGAAAGTCATTACGTACTAGGAGTACCCTGACACAGGGAAACAATAAGAGAATGCGTAGAAAATTTTATTTTCTCTTACAATTATGCAGCAGTTTTACCAGCTGTGATTCCAGGAGACTGTCTCCTGTAGAGTTCATTTGATTCTCACTAAAGCATTGACTAATTCACAGTCACACAGAATATGTCCAACATTTCCAGGGAGGTCCAGGCTATCAATGTAGTTGCAGTACAGAATCAGAACATCAAAGTCTGTTCCAGAGCTGTACAGATGTCACTGATGTCACAGAGCTGAAGGAAGAATGTCTGATGTATGCTTAATTGATGACTCGGAGTTACGGAATAAACTCAGGGGAGTCTCCCTTCTTGGCATTTTTTCGATCGGCTCTCGTAGAGCCGGGAAGCCATTCTCATTTAACCAGTCCCAGTTTCTTTGCTTCTATTTCATAAATAAGAAGTCGCCACATTTTCACAACAAATACCTCAGCTTCCTCATCAAGCACCTGCAAAAGAAAAGTTGTAACCAAATGAGTGAAACTTATTTTTCAGGAAAGAAACAAATGAATGAGTCTAAACGCAACACACCATTTGAACATCATCCAGAATGCCTTGTGGGGCACTTCCTGCCAAAACTTTTGAGCAAATAAAATCAACTAGAGTGGGTTCCGGTTCTCCTATATACTCAATGATCTTCTTGTTAATCCAGGGTCTTATCCTCTTTTCCATTAAGGTCTACAAATAAATCACAAATAACGTCAGCGATCTATAGTTTCCCAGAGGAGTAACAAACACAGTATTAGAATAATACATACATTATCAACAGCGGACCAGTCAAGCTCATATCCAAATAGAGCTTGTTTCTCAGTTGGGATCTTTTCAATAAGGGATTTGATATGCTTCCTCTTTTCTTCAGCTATTTTGTTTTGCTCATCCTTCTTTTCCTTTTCTTTATCCTTTTCATCTTTCTTGTCATCTTTGGTTTTCTTCTTTTCATCACCATAATCTAAACATGCAGTAGAATGCACCTTAGTTTCTAATGAACTGGAGGATAGAAAGCAGTAATGGAGTAAATCCAGCAGACTTACCCAATGGAATGAGCTTCCGTTTCTTTCCTGATCCTAGACTGCTGTCCTCGTCATCATCTGTGTTAAAGGCTTCCTTGACACCCATCTTCTTCTTTTCTTTCTTCTTGAATTCCATTTTAGCTGGAGATGTCCAATCATTGTGAGCTGTAGTTACCAGAGTACAAGTCAGTAGGTAGCAAAAATTACCACGTTCAGAAGGACAAATACTGTGTAGTTGCTCACCGTTAGATCCATTGCTGGCTGGAGGGTTGAACGGCTCATCATCAATATCCATTTCGGGAGGCCCATCATCATATTGGTGATCATCACCAGGGGAGCTGAGAGTAGGACTAGCAGGTCCAGCCGCAATTGATCCTTGTCTATGGTGGTGGTGGTGATGATGGTGGTGCTTGTGTCTATGGTGGTGATGGTGGCCATCTTCACTATGAGATTTGCTATCAGAATGGTCACTTCCTCTGCGCCGCTCATGGTCACTTGAGGGATGTTCAGTGCCATCTCGCACCCGCTCTTGTTCCCTCTCTTGTCTATCCAGCTCCTTTTCTCTTTCCCTTGCTGCTCTTTCCATTTCTCGTTCCGCTTCTTTCTGTTTCTCCCTCTCTTTTTCTTTTTCTCGCTGCTTTAAGTTTTCCAAGTTGACATCAATTATAATTTTCGGCTTGTACTGGTCTTCGTGTTCTTTCCGTAACTGCAAGGAAACAAACAATAACAGTCAGTCCAAGCCAAATCTGTTGCTAGGTTACCAGTAAGTCTCCACAGACAGGCACAACAATAAACCAACAGACCTCAACAATGATCCCACAGTCACAGTGAGTCAGAATGGCAAGGTCAACAAAAGTTAAATCACTTACACGCTCGAATTCAGCACTAGGGTCCACATGCTCCTCTGCATATATTTTGCTCTTCAACTCTTCCAGCTCGTCTTTTTCTTTCTGCCTGTCCCTGGTATCAGCTTCAATTTCTTTTTGCCGCTCAGCAAGCCTTCGTTGAAGTTCCCGACCTCTGCAGATACCCAACACACATGTCACAAATGCATACAAAAGATTAAAATGAAACAAATCACAGGGAACCCACTTACTTGTAGTATTTAACATCGTCTCTTTCATCATCATAGTCCTCTAAAAATTCCTTCAGCTTCTTAGCTTCTTTTTCTCGCTCCTCTTCTTTCAGCCTATCTTTCTCTCGCTCCTTATCCAGGTCCTTGATCTTTCTCCTTTCTCTTGTCTCCCAACTCCTGAGACGTTCTTGATATTGTGCTTCCTTTTCCCTGGCCTTCCGCTCCAGCTTTTTCTTGTCCTTGGCCTCATCCTCTTCCTCACGAGCACGAGCGTATTCACGCTCTTGTCCTTGTCTTCTTGGTTCCTCACGCTCCCGCTCTCGCTCTCGGTCGCGGTCACGCTCCCTCTCCCGCACCTCACGCTCGCGCTCCCGCTCCCGCTCTCTTTCGCGCTCACGCTCCCGTTCGCGCTCTCGATCTCTCTCCCGCTCCCTCTCCCGTTCCCGCTCTCTTTCTCGCTCACGCTCGCGCTCCCTCTCGCGCTCACGCTCTCGTTCCCTGTCGTGAGACCTAAGATTTGAGAAACCGGCAGGAGGTAATATCATCAAATGACTCTTTAAAAATTCTAAAGGATAACAGACTAACAAAAATGGCTTACCTGGAACGGGAACGCCTCCTCTCCCTCGTTTTGCTGTTTTTACTGGAATATGAGCTTTCAATAGACTGACTCCGAGTTCCACGGGTACCCTCTCTGGAGTGTGACCTGGACCGGTTGGAACCATCTCTAATGCTATGTGGAGAACGGGAAGGGATCAAACGTTCCCTACTTCTAGATCTGATGGGAGAGACAGAATTGCGTTTGTCTTCCTTCACATCTTTACGGTCTCGCTCTCTGTCCCTCTCCCTTTCACGTTCACGTTCCTTTTCTCGTTCTTTTTCTCTTTCCGCCCTCTCCTTTTCACGTTCTTGGGCTCTGTCCAGTTCTCTTTCCCGTATTTTCTCCTCATATTCCTTCCGCTTACGATCCTGTTCCATTAGCTTCTCTTCCTCTTGCTTCAGGATTGCATGGAAAAAAAGAAGGAAAAGCAGACGTCAATACAAAAGCAAATAAGTACAATGACAAGACCTGCAATAGCCATCTTTCGTACAACCAGCAGAAAAATAATTTAACATGTTCAGTGGTAAACGAGAACCATTTCCTCATAAAGAGGCTCAAAATTGATCTCACTGAACCTGTTCAATCCAATACACAAATTATGAATTAAACAAATGAAGACTACCCCCACATCATAGGTAAGAATTAATATTTAAGATTAATATATAACCCATAGAGCAAATTAAGTCAGAATTGATTGACAAAATGTAACAGAAGTGAGCAGTAACAGATTTCCAAGAAATGAACGTCTATAAAAAGAGAGTTGGAATATAGAATACAGTCTACAAAAGACAGATTTCATGGCAATTTTCAAGGAATTATTGCAAGCAATAGATTGATTTGCAACTTAAATAGAGTAGTTCCTGCTACAGGCATTTTTGTTTTCTTAACTGGTTAATTATAGTTCTTTTAAAGATTGAAGGTCTCAAAAGTATATAATTTAAGTCTAATGCAGTGCATTGGTCAAGTGTTAGAGTGACTGTGTGAATAGTAAACATGTGATATAATGCAGCACTTCCACCCTCTACACCTAGTCTTCGCACTTCCTGAGATTACTGGGATAGAAACATTTGCTTTAAGAGAAAAAAGAAAGTAACTGAGAGAGCAGACCATCAGAACGATACCAAACAGATGGAAACAGCGCATGAAGGAGGTCAGACGAAATCGGCCATGTTCTGAATGCTTCTGGTAACCTGTTACCTTCAAAACATTCAAAACCTTCAAACTGTGGAGATCATGGAAGAACTAAACCATGCATGAGAAGGTTTATTTAACTAAAAAAATTAGCATCTATTCAGAGAAAATATTAAACTGATCTATTACCAGTTTGAGAGAAATTTAATAATTAACTCATGATACAAAATGTTACATTACATGATTGTTTAAGAATGGAATTCCACTAACTGACCAACAGAGTGAAAAACTGAAATTAATTAATTGATACACCAAGGGTCATAGTTTCAATCTTGTATCAAAACTGAGAGTAGAGAAAAGAACTGAAGTCTTTAGAATTTAAGTTTTTGTGTTATATTCAACCACAAAGATCTTTAAAAAAAAAAAAAAAAAAAAAAAAATGGAATGAGGGGAACATTGGGGTGGCCATTAAGGAATCATATTTGATTTCAATTTGCAAGGGAACACTAGGCCTGGACTGATGTGCACCACAAATGTTTTCTCTTAGTAATCGCACAGATTGAAATCATCCTTAGTATAAAATACTACTATAACAAAAATAAACATACATTGTTTTACTTGAAAACATTGCACAAGGGTTATGCTCTTTGATGAATAGCCAAATTAACTAGTATAAAAACAAATGCTTAAGAAAGGTCATAACAGTCCAGGCCATGGAGAGCAAAGAGGTCACGTTGTCCAACTGATGATCAAGCTACTCACCCATCCTGACACAAAACAATAGCGAGCTGCGCGATGGTCCTTCCGCAACCCAAACAATTTGCGTCTCCCTATAGTTTATAAGGAATATCCACGTGTCACCAAAGTAACAAAATTGTAAGACTAGATAGCTTAGAACTTTATCCACTTTAAGTTAAAGTAGATTGAGAGAAGTAAGGCCAGAAAATTTAACAAAGTGGAATTTAAGAAGACTTCCCTTTAAAAGTAAGATATTCAAATGGAGATGATGAAAGAGAGTTGAAGAATTTTAAATCAGCCATCCCACACTACTCAAGTCAATTACAATGAAAGGAAGAAATGAAATTAGACATTAAAAAGCTTTAGCTTACCTTCATTGTCTCTCTGAATTTTCCTATTTCTCTAGTGATAAGGTCTCTCTTCCCCTCCTCAATATCAGCATCATCTAAGTTCTGGAAAGTAATAGAAATGTCACATAAAGTCAAAGGCTTAAATTATGCATGTAATATGAGAAACTCTAACAGTTTTCAAGATACGTACAAGAGAAATGTCCCCATCCTCACCCGCTCCATCTCTACTTAATTTTAACAATTTTTCCTGTGTCCGAGAAATTTTACCGCGATCTTTCACTGTAACGAATAACACATTTAATGAAAGCACTAGTTTAACGCTACAGAAACAGTCACTTTACTCTGCTATTAAGCCTACTTGATCGATCTTTAGAACCTCCATGAGAGGAATTATTGAGATCAGGTTCAAATTCATGGATGATGGTCCTTATCCTTTCCATTGCTTGTCTGTCCATTTGGCGCATGTCTTCGCTCAGGTAATCATCTTCATCAGCTGCTTCATCTTGAAGTGGAGAACCACTGGACCCCTTCTCCCGCTTTTCAGCTAGAAACAATGTATACAAGGAGTGTATGTAATAATATTACTAATAGTTAAAAAAAAAAAAACAATGAATAAATTAACACAAAAAAACTGCTTACCTTTGTATTTGTCAAGGTCTGTCTGTGTTTTAGCATCAACTTTTACCACTAGTTTTTTATTGCCAACTTCCATATCATGTAGAAGACGAATGGCTCTAAGGGCTGAATCAGGACCAGCAAACTCACAGAATCCAAAGGCTGAAACAGATTTAATTTCTTGTGATAAAAAAAGACTATAGTATTAAAAGCACAGGTTACTTATGAAGATTCAAAACAGACCTTGAACTCTTTTCCACGATTGAACTGCACCACAAGATGCCAGAATATGACGAATCATTGCGTCTGGAGCCTTTTCAGTTATATTACCCACAAAGACTGTAACTGGAGGACCATCTGAAGGCTCTGCATTACGTTTACTAGAATATGAGCCTCGATCAGATCGAGACCCACTGTTGCCACTTTGTGAGGCGCTTGAAGAGGAATTTTGATGGTGCATTTGAGGCTGGCGAGGCTGATGGAAGCTGCGTAGGGGAGGTCCACCTATGGGAGGCATTGGACCTCCAGCCAGCATCTGCTTTTGCAAAAATTAACACTATTAATGAAAATTTCTTGGGGAGACCAAAAACTTGCACATAAGTTTAATAAGGCTACTAAGTAAAATTAACCTAGAGGCAAAGAAGTAACACAAAACTAATAGAGAAAAAAATTAAGGAACTTTTGGGGAATTCTTGTAATTTTTATGCGAACCCTGCTCAATGAATCTACTGATTGTGGCAAGTACCACTACCAACTTACATGATGCATTGGTACAGGAACCTGCATCAGATGAGAGGGAGGGCCTGTAAAAAATGAGAAACAGTTCTAGTTAAAATTTATGATCAATAAATTGAGTGTTTGTCACTTGAATAGAAGTCTAGAGTAAATAGAAGTACACAAGTGATAGTAGTGTTTTGATTTGAGACAGATGAAGCAATAACAACAACTCACCTCCTATGGGCACATAAGGCATGGACATGGTGGTTGGCATTGGAATGCCAGGGACCATAGGTGGCCTGCCAGGGTACGACATAACCATTCAACAAAATCTGGCAAATAAAAAAAAAAAATCAATAAACAAAAGTAACAAAAGTTCTAGAATATAAAGCACCATGAATATAAGGTGCAGGAAAGTCTTCAGAGAAATACGTAAGAGCCCATCATAAACTGAAGAGAAAATATTACAATGCATGGGCAATACCAGAAATGGATCCGACCAAAATGATGCATGAAGCTAAGTTAATGCATGCTTCCCTTCCAAATAAGTTACACTGCTGTATTGTTAACTTCAAAACATAAAAATGGAAGCGATAAGGTAAAATGTTTATCGCTCAATGCCTTATGCAGGCAGTATGTAAAACTTAGAAATACATCTTACAACAGCCCAAAAAATACTTGTATTCTCTTATACCAGGAAAGGTTGATGTACAGGAAAGCATGTGTAATCTATTTATTCATAAATATATACCTTTTTGAGGCAGTGTCAAGACATAACCCAATCAACAATAAGAAACAAATTTATAATTCATAACAGACTTACCAGAATTCAATTGAAGGCTATTAAAGTGAAAAGATTTCCTACTGAGGAAGTGGCCTATTGATTAGAACATGAATAATTCGACTAAATGGCACACAAACGTCTAAAAAAGCGAAGCTCCGCGCCTGTGACTTTAGAAGCACTCCCTAACAAGCACTCCCCAAAAGAAATAGTTGTTCAGGAAAGTCGTCTCCAAAAATATCACAACCCCACGTGCGCATTCATTGAAAAACAGAAAATCGGCCCCAAGAAATCCAGGGCTTAGAGTCAATTAATAAAATCCTGATCATCTTGACGAATATTAAGGGGAGAACAGACGGCTTCAAGATGGAGGTTTGGTCGGAAGCCGAGCCGAAACGGCATGTATTGCACACCTGCTGCGAGGCTAGAAACCACCTTTGTATGAGAATTAAAGAAAACAGCATTTTTAGATACTTTTGTAATCACACTTAAGCTTTGTCCTAACGCGCATCTTCCTGTAACTTTTGTTCGTTGTTACAAACGAGGTCTGGTTTTTCTTTTTTAACATGAAACATAAGATCCAGCTGAGCTATATGCATTTATCTATCGACGCGATACCCATGACTCCCCTGTGCTTCCAAGGGTCTTCTGCGTCACCTCCCCCCTCTCCCTCTCTCAACTTGCTTGCAGACGTCTGCAAACTCCTGTGTTTGTGATTCACGGATACATTAACGATGAAGATTTCCTTGTTTTTCTACATTGCCGAATAACTGGTTCCTTATATTTTCAACCTTTATCTCGTAAGTACCCGAGGTATCGTCGTTGACCTTGAGTGAACATCGTGTCTTCTGCTCACTCTCTCTAAGCCCAAGGATAGGGTACTATAACACAAGACTGACACGTTGAATTCAATATAAACGGTCCATATTATCATAGCTTAGTTGTCTTTCAAATGTAAACTGTCTAAAGGGTTTCGAGTAACTGTGCCCCATTCCTTAGTTTCAATGCCACAATCCCTCGGGGATCTTACTCAAGCACAGTAAGATGGGTTATGTTGTTTTGCTCTATCCAAATGTCAAAATGTTCATACGTCGTTGTGGTTCCATATTTGGACATTTGCTTACTTTGTTTCTTTAAGGCCCATACAACCCTTAATATCTTAACAATTCACTCCCCGTATAGATTCTTTTGAAAGTGGTGTTTTCTTAATAAGATGCTGTCAAACTTCAGTGTTTAATTAATGAATGATTTTCACTCTCTTCTGTTACTGCAGGTGACTTGTCAAATATTAGCTGAGATTTTCACCTTATCAGGTAATCACCTTATACTCAGGTTTCTTACTCATATTGTAAAGTAACATTGTTGCTTGTACTTTATCATCTTTTTAGCATTTCTTAGCCTTTGCTCAGAACTGAACATCAATCATTTAATTTCAAGTTAATATTTTTATCTGATCAGCCAATTTGTATTCAACTTCAGCCTAACATCATGGGATGAAATAAGATTCACTAGAGTTGCAAAATACCAAAAACTCTGTTCCATTCCTATTTTTGTGCGCTAACTTGATTATTGCATGCTTATAATATGCTGTAGAATGAATGACAGGCACAACAACTTCCCATTCTTAATGCCCTGCTTAGTTGATGTTAAAAAATTTGCTCTATAAGCTTATAAAATTTATATGCTGTAAATGTGCTCTATTTTGTTGTTTTTTTTTACTCTTTTTTTCAACAGTTACGATGTACAAGATTTGCTGAGTTACACTGACTTTGGTCAGTGTTTCACATCAGACGCACATGAGCAGTTTGGTTGATATATTTCTGATACAAGTCTGTAGGCTGTTGGTTGGCCTACCATGGCTGAACAGTGCAAGGTGAGTATAGCTTAGCTTACCTTTTCTCCCCCCTCCTTCTTTAGTCAAAGGGGTTGAAAATTTTATGGTTTCAATTGTGTAACTTGAACAATCAATGTAATTTTCAAAGTCTGTTAGTCGTAGCTGTTATTTTATCCTAGTGGGAGTGGAATGTTCTCACTTCCTGAATTTTGTTTTGAGTTTAGATGGTTTGCTTGCCTTTGATATCTTTATCCATATCGCATCAACTACCAAAGAATCCTCAATTATGTCTCATTCCTATTTTGTAGCCATATGTGTTGTATAGTTATATCTTTTGAAATTTTGTTACAGGATTGTGGCTGCCAGTGTCGGAACTGTGATCAGGGTACCCTGCATTTACATGTTGAAATAGAAAACCTGAAACAACGCCTAGTGGAACGAGATCGACACATTGTTACAATGGAAACTAACTTTCTGTCAGAAGCAGACAAATTTCCAGATGGTGAATATGCAGCCCTTACAGAGGAACTGTTGACGTGGCAAGAGAAATATTCAAGGTACCATTTATTTCTCATAGCAAGTTCATCTTGTGCATGAACCTACATATAAAGATTACCTTATTTGTCGTTGCAGACTTTATGAATCATATAAGAGAGTGCAAAAAGTAAATCAGGGGCTAGAAGATAAACTTTTGAGAGTTGTTGATAAATTTGAAAGTGAAAAAGGAGCTCTCACGCGAGATGTTGCAAGTCTTACACAGAGACTTGTAGATGCTCGCTTTAATGTTAATCGTTACCAGGAAGAAAATGTAAGTATCTTTTACACTGACACAATGCATTGATTGACTGAAACATATGTGAACATTCTTTTTCTTGATTAATAAATTATACCCAACACATTCATCTATGAAATAACTTATCTTTTTCAGGAGAGGTACAGAAATGATTTGAACCTAGCAATTCAATTTCTTCAATGTAAACCTGCAAACTTTGTACCTCAAAAATTTGAGCAGGTCTGTTGTCTTACCTCTGTAGCTCTTTGTTTAACATTTATGCTTCATCTTTACATTCTTATTTATGGTTTGTTCTTTTGCAGTTGCCCACTGAATTGCAACAGAAAGTGAGGTCGTACATGTCTAGCAAACGACGACCATCGGAATGTAATGGACTTCCTCCAAAAGTTGAACGGAGAACCATAAAGGTGCCCATTCCTACCTTTCCTCCTACTGCAATGGTTTATTCAGTCAACAAAACACCAAATGGTGAGTTATCACTCGTCACTATCCCATTTGTTATTTTGTAATTATAAATTGTGTGAGGTACAAAAATTTTGCTGATGCAATCACATATTTGTCCTTTAGATAAAGACCTGAGTGATGAAGAGAAAGAAGTAGGGGATGGAAAGCCACCCGTTGACATTGTCTCAGCTGCAATACTTGCCAAAATTTTAGAGGAAAGAGAACGAGAAAGACTTCAAATGAAACATTGCTCATCTTGTTGTTGTCCCTCACTCATGATGAAGGTATGTCTGGCTTTATGACTCACCTACCTTTTTCTGGACGACAGTATTATAATGATTCCTCTGTCTATTTTCAGGTTGATATTGGTACACAAACAGAAAGTCAAATGCCGATGAGCAACTCTCCTAGTAGTCCTGCAATAATGAATCTGCGATATTCATCATCGCTGCTAGGGAGTGGGGAGGCCAGCCAGGTTCTTGTATCGTTAGCAGATGACCCGTCTACCTTAGTGATTCCTATTTCTCAGTGCTCTAGTGCGAAACAGTCACCCAGAAGTTCAGTTACCAGTAATGTTTACTCGACCAAATCTGAAGAGGAAGGGATGGATTCTAAAAAGTTAACTTGCTTAAATAATATTAACAAAAGTTTTGAGGCCAGCATTTGGGATGACTGGAGTATTAATTTATCTGATTCGCAAAAACTACAGCATGGTGAAACTATTGCTCAAAGTAATGAAACAACTCAGTCATTTGCAAGAAAGGATATAAATATGCCCAAGGTTTCAGTTAATAACAGTCCTGGTATATGCAGGGTGAATTCCACTGTAATGCCAAGTTCAGCAGGGTCACCTTTAGTTTCCAGTTGGAGTAGGATTGACACGTTTTCTTCAGAAAATCTCACTAGCAAAAAAATGAAGATGAAAAGCAAAGTTACCAATAATCAGGATAACATGTTGAACCCTATCATGATCAAGGCCAATGAAAGCACAAAATCTAATGATGCCAATTCAGGCTGTGACCTGACTCTACCTAAAGATGGGGGCAAATCTGATCTGAATTTTAGCAAATTTCAGCATAACCCAACTTCAAAATTGAATCAGACAAGATTACTACCAGAAACAAAACTTTTTGCTTCTGGAGATACTGTTGAAGTTCATCCTATGGATTCCTTTATGTACTCCATTGAGTGTGAAAAACGCTTAGGTCCAACAACGGTAAAAAACTCCTCTCAAGTTGCAAATTCTTCTTCCCCTCCAGCCACTGATAAAAAAGAAAAAGAATCAAGACCATCTGGCCCACGTCCCTGTTCTTTGCGATTCCAAGCAGGCTCAAATAATATTCTCCTTGATAATGCACAATCTTATGAGCCCATTCTCTATACCAGTAGACAAGCCAATTCAAATATTGCAGCCACTCCCCAAAAGGCAAATGATGCATTAGTCCATACAGCAGGAGCTCGTTTAGAAACTACGTCAAGTGTTGATGATTTACTAGGCCCTACGAATGCACCAGATCCTTCAGGAGGTAACCAAAAACTGCTACAAAGAGCACTTAGTAATAGGACAGAAACTGGTGTCTAAGATGTCCAGTTTACATTAGTAACAATTGTAACCATAACTTATATTCTTTTTTATTAGTTACTGATCTATGCAAAAAAAAAAAAATTGTATTTTGAGTATTCTGATCCCCATTTTTCTCAGAATTGTTCCTGGTAAAAAGTAAGTCTAATGCATAGTAAATTTAAGAGATTTTCAGTTCATACCGAATATCTGAGGTCTAGTCTCACATAGATGTGGACATTTGACTTTAGCAAATGTCTACTTAGGTATAAAAGAAAGATTTTAGTGTACCTGTCAACAGTATTGATAGGAATGTTGTGCAAAGCAATGCTGCTCTTCCATATTTTGTCTACCGGTGTCTATTTTTAAGATACAATTAATGATTCCATCTTCCAAAAGTCTGATTGATCTTTTCCTCTACTGTTCCATTTTAACTAGTTTAACAGTTTCCTGCATACATTAAATAGTGTTTTTACAATATTTGATCCTATTCTTCAGAAAAATCCATGTTTTTTATGCTGTCGAGATCTCATTGCTCTGAACGTTTTTTGTTTTGTTTGACAAGGCTCAATTTTGAAGTAACTATGTGACCACAAGATTGATTATGGTACAGAGTGCTGTTACGTAATTTATTTCATTTTGAAACAACTACCTGATGAACTTTTAATGAAAGCAAAAGACAGAAATAATGTCAGGTTATTGTTCCTTTGGATGAGGAAGTATTCTCAACTATCAAGTGGCATTGAAGCTCTTAGGTTTGCACTGATTAGACTTCTGTGATCCGACTAGAATTACTAACCTCTAGTCTAGTGGAGTTGTGAGTGTAGGATTTTGTCATGCATTGTGTAGTGTACGAATGCTCAGAGGCAGGGTTCCGCCTTCACTGTCATTAAGTTTTTTTTTTTTTTTTTGTTAAACTTTAACTAGTTTGGTTGTTTGTCCTGGAATACATATGTTTTCAATGTCCACATTTTTATTTTAATTGTTGGTTATTTTTTGGTGTATTTTACGTTGTTCTGTTTCTTTAAATGTGAAAGGCCTCCTTCTTAGTACCTTAGCATTCCAATTTACATGGTTGCAATATCAGAGGGGATTTGCCCACGCTCACTCTCTTTTCTTTCCATGTTATAATTTTCTTGCCTCTCGAAAAGAGAATGGATTTTAGTCTGTTACCAAGTTTTCAAAGAAAGGAAAGATACTGGAAGGTTCTGTGATGTTTTTCTTTTACATTTGGATATTGTTGTTTCAATAAATTGTGCTTTTTTGGGGGAGGGGGGGAGTTTGAAATAAACATCTGCTCATAAGGAATCTTAGGAGAATTATTTCTTTCCCTTCCACGATTTTATGTTCTTTTCGGTACTCAAGAAGATCGCAAGCGCTTTTTTGCGCCTCCATGCGGTGGTCTCTCCCTTTTGAAGCATTTGAACGTCCCGCCTCTTCGCAATCCTGGTCCTCCCTCATGCCTCTCGTCCCTCAACGCGCTGATTGGTTCATTCACGGGCTGTATTTGTGTACAAGGCGGTGGGATATGGCAAAGGCAGTGGCCAGAAATCTGACGTGGATTTGAGCGAGTGGCAGAGCGCCGTCTGTCTGTGTATCCTCGCCCAAGCAGACGGCAGCGTCTCCGTACGTCAAAAAAGAGGCCTTTTCTTCGGAAGTTCGCAAGTTCCGTCGCAACCCCTTCGACAATGTTTCTCTGGGATTGGGTTACCGGTGTACTGGGCTACCTGGGCCTGTACAAGAAGTCCGGCAAGCTGTTGTTCCTGGGGCTGGACAACGCTGGTAAGACAACTCTGCTTCACATGCTCAAGGATGACCGCTTGGCACAGCACGTCCCGACTCTGCACCCTACATCCGAGGAGCTTTCTATCGGCAACATGCGCTTCACCACCTTCGACTTGGGCGGTCATCACCAAGCCCGCCGCGTCTGGAGAGACTACTTCCCCGCCGTGGACGCGATCGTGTTCCTGGTGGACGCCTGCGACCGGGACCGCTTCGTCGAGAGCAAGAAGGAGATGGATGGGCTGCTGACAGACGAACAGCTGAGCAACTGCCCCGTGTTGATCCTGGGCAACAAGATCGACAGGCCGAACGCAGCCTCGGAGGATGAGCTGCGCCACTACTTCGAGTTGTACAACAAGACGACCGGCAAGGGCAAGGTGGCCCGGGCCGACCTGAGGGACAGGCCCCTCGAGTTGTTTATGTGCTCTGTGCTCAAGCGCCAGGGGTATGGTGAGGGCTTCCGCTGGCTAGCTCAGTACATCGACTGAAAGTGCTGACCAAAGTGACGATGGGCCTGGGACTATACTGGTGTGCATCGATTGTGTTATGTCATTGATGTGTTGTTTGCAAAACGAATAGGAATCGTGGAGAATGCAGTTTGACCGCTGCTTTGAAGAACTGTCGCAAGATTCCAATGCTTCCAGATACAATTTTGCTGGAGTTATTTTGCCAGAGAGAAAATTAATGAATTAATTGATATTGATCTGATGTTAAGAATGATATAATCTTAAACATTTCAGAATCAGACGAGAAAATGTATTTTTCTAAATATTGGCTGAGTAATGAAATTGCTCAAGTTTATCTTGCTACAAACATTTTGAAAAATTCCTGTTTAATTCTCTGAAATCGAAAAAAATTGCACATTCTCACTCTTTCAGACTGAAATTTGTATGTCTTCTGTGATCCTGTTATATGAGGCCTATTTAAATACTTGATTTCATGGAGCTCCTTTAAGGTTTTTCTAAATCTGTTTATAGTTCGTCTCCCTTTTTTGTTTTCAACCTTGCTTCTTTCTGCCTTGTTTACGTCAAAATTTCAGATCCCCTTACAAAGAAGGGTTTGATAATGCAATCAGATACTACTTTTGATAATTTCTGTTAAGTATGTTTGGGTACCAACTCAAAGTGCCATTTTCATATCATTGCTTTGTTTTTATGTCTTCACATTCTACCTATGGCTGTACGTTGACTTCTCTATTTATTGAACGACTTATTTCCTTTTTTAAACCATTCCAATTAGTTAAGTCCAAATCTGTCTGAGACAATACATTCAGGAAAACAACCATAATCATCCATGGGTATTGAGGCTATGTACTAACTGTATATTGCTGAACCCGTATATAAAGAAGTGCAGCTCAGTTGGTGATGTACATGTGTCAGACTCCAGGTTTTTATTGTTAATATTTAGAATTGCTTGTTTGGGCAGGATAATCCTGCCTCTGACTCTGTATATAAGGTTGTGAAGCTGTTGCTTAACTGTAACTCCTGCATTTGTGTCAAACAATGTCTTAATCCTTTCTTAAGACGTCATGTTCTGTGATCAAGTAATTTCAGGTGTAATCCCAAAAGTGAAATGATGCTTCTTTTATAGTTAAATATTATATAAATTTTAATTATAACTCTAATGGTCATTACTTTAAACCCCATCTTTCCTTGTTTTTTTTCCCTTAGCATAATTAAATGGTTTTATTTAGGGGAATGAATAACAGCGGTAGTAAAGAAGGTACATTTAATTTCTTTCAAATGATTCAAATGGGAGGCTTAATTAACCAAACAGTCTTCAGTTCATATTTTAAAACTTCACAAACGCACATACTGCAATAAAAACAATACACAAGGGTTCTAAGAAAAAGACATCAATAAAAGAAGTGGAATGACAACTGGAAAATCAAAGAGCACAAAGGAGAGAAAGTTCACAAATGGCTATTGTTGACTGCTCAAGAGACAAATGCAATTTGAAGACGACCCTACACAAGTCATAGAATATTTAAATGCCATTCAATGTAACAATTCATGGACTTGGATATTACATTAGGTTCCTGGTGTTAACACCCTGAACCTTGCACAGCAGCTCAACCAACAATAGACTGATAATACATATTGAATGTATGGGGTTGCATAGTTACTGCCATACAATACTTTGATTAATCCTTGCTAAGCATACATCAATAAATGCAGGAAAAGTCTCATGTCGGTCAATTGCAGAGCACATGATAAAAGAAAAGTTTTAAATTTTTTGGTTTGGTGTATTCACAGTGCTGCTAACAGTAAAAGCACACAGCCATAAAAAAATGAACTGTGGAATACGCTACCTTATGAAAAGTTGTGATGTTAAAAAGTTTACCATTGCCTAAAATTTGTCAAAAACATTACATGTGTTGACACTAATATGTTATGGTCTTCCCTGACCCTGGGGTCACATCAGCAATCACTGAACACACATACATAATACAATATCTACAGGCACAGAAAGTCTAAAAAATATAAGGTTAGCAATACCATCATAAGATATGTTAGATAATAGTTGCAGAAGTTGGATGTTTTTGGAAGAAGCCAATATGGCACTCACTGTTATGCAAAGTTCTTCCAGAATAAGATTTGAGGATCATGAGATTTGCTTCACAATAAATGTTATAGTAATCTTTACACTGAGCATCAAGACAAGTATCTATCTTTAAGGGGTTCTGCTACACCATCGCTCAAAGAATCCCCCAAATAATTTGAGAAATACCTTTTCCACTATCCTAGATTTATAATGTTGCTTATTTATTTAATTTCATTTTCAACAAAAATAAAGTAATGATCTTGTCTAAGTATATACAATCAAAATTCATGAAATGCTGCATTTGGTTGTGTTTTACACATTGCCCTCCTACACCCTGGAGTGAACTAGGAATAGGAAGGCTGATGCTTAAATCTTGAACAGATACAGTAATACAGCAAAATTCATTGTTGAGATTGGAACATTCAGGACAGGAAGACAATTTCTTGAAAAAGTAGCATGGGAACATCAAAGTGATGGTATGAAAATAGAACACTAGAAGTTGCAGCATCATGACAAACTATATCCCTGAGCTTTATCTAGACTTGCATGAAAATAAATGAATGCTAGGAGCAGAAATCTATGGAAACTGCATTGAACAATAGAGGAAATATTACAAACACAAAAGTTCCCCCCAAAACATTATTTTGCACTTCCTTCATCCAATGTTCAACAAGCCTACCAACTGAGGCCGCAGATACAATGAAAAATTTCTAGACAATTATCAGTCAATTTATAATAATACTTTCTTTCTTCTTTTGAGCAGACAGTTTTGATGAGCTAAAAGTTAGTAGCCCTCAATCAGTTCCTAAAGTAGAAGTACTAGAAGTACAATTCTTTGGCATAAACAAAAATTAGCAGATCAAATTCTGCTGAGAGGGATCCCTTCTTTGCACTTATTGACCTTGGAGTGCAATCCACTTCAGGAGTTGAGCACAGACAGAATACCGTTGCCTTCAGTAGCTGGCTTCATGTCCAGCAAGGATGTAGAGGTCCATTCCTTCTGGCTCAGTCAGGGTTCCTCCTCTTGAGACATCACTGCTTAAATGACTTTCCAGCATCACAGCCCTAAAACACATTTTGACCACAGGTTAAAATGTTGTAAAATTACAAGTAAACAAAATTCACCCACACCAAAGAAAGCAACGTACTTATCACTCCCCAATAATCTATAAACTCTGCTAAGGTCATTGATTTCTTGAGTGATTTCACCATTTTTCAGACTGCGTCCAGTCATTCCATTTTTGTGGAATGCAAGCACGCTGTCTGGAAGACAAACTGAAAGACAAACAGATACATTCAACAGATTGGAACAGAACAATAGCACTTCACTAAAATAAAGATGGCTGGTAGAGCACACTGACCAACTGATTGAACACGAAAACTGAAGTTAAGTTCTGAAACTTGTTTTCTGCTATTACGTAATTTCCCTTCAAGCGTCACAATTTTTACAGTACCTGAAATTTGAACAGGGCATTTTAAAATAAGAATTAAAGTGTAAAAGAAACAATAAAGACAGGAAATAAAAGTGGCAACTTACTATCATAACACACAAGAATGGCGTCTTTGTCCAGCTGTGTGAGTTGAACAACCTTCACATTTTCCCGTCTAGGGATCACAGTAGCTAAAAATTTATTTTAAACAAGAAAAGTTTTAGTATTTAAAAACACTTAAGTGTCCTGCTTGCAAATTTAAAGCACAAGAACATTTAAGCATCTCAAAACTTGAAGTGAAAGCCTAAAAAGAGAACTCACCGGCTCCGTCCATGTCTTCAAGTTCATCACTATGGAACCAACTTGACCCAGAGTTCATGTTGATAAGATCAAGTTTGAGTCGATCAGTTTGATACCCTCGCTTCACACTAACACAAACCATAGGATACTCCATTTCTGGGGTGATTATCATCTCAAAAACAGACAAGGGTGAGGGCAGCGGGCATTCACAGTGCTAAAAATTAAAGTTTACAGTTAGAACTGAACACAAGATATTCAAAGACATGGAAAAGATGACAATGGGGTGAATATAAAAACCACCCACTACTCAATGAGAATCTTACCTTTAAATGCATAAATTTGTTAAGTGGGTCATACCACTGCATTAGAAATATGCCTGTTGGTGATGCCCCACACAGATACTTGTAACCATTGTAGGGATTCCGTCCAACACAACAACGTGAACAACCCTTAGTGTCTGGAACTTTGGTAGTTAATGCAAATTTACGCGGAACCAGCCGCTCAGGTATCTTATTAACATGCATTGAAAATCTGTGGGACTGCTTTCCGTGAAGAGCTAAAAGGTCATGCCTATAAAGTTGTGGCGTCTTGCCTGCAACAATGTACATCACAACAGTTATTGAGTCAACTAAGAATGGGTGTTGGCAGGAAAATTACTAGGATAGGATGATCTTACTTACCTGACAATGACATAAGCACATCCTTGATGACATACATCCAGGTTGTGCGCCTTGCATACAACTGATCAATAGCAGTCTCATGCAACTCATTGAGGTTCAGGTTATAAATGCCTTCCTCTGCACCAATGAGAATGTGCTGATCCCTGGTGTCTGGATGAATCCAACTTGCAGTGCAGTGGATTCTTAAAGGACAGCCGTTGAAAACCTGAGAAAGAAATACTGTCACAGTCACAGACAACAGCAACTTTGAAAATGCATCATGTGCTGCCGTTGAGATTCACATACCTTTGAAAAGCAGGCTCCCATGTGCACTTTAGGAGTTGGAGGAAGTCCATTGCTAGCTGGTCTTGGAGGTGTATGCCTCTTTTTGTCCCTCCGCCGAGGAGGAACCGGGGGCGTGTGAGGGATCAGGTCGGGTTCAACAGGGGCACCAGAAGCATCCCCATCACCTTTAAGTGAAGCATCACATTAAATTACCATCATATAATAATATATATCTCCCACTACTTAAATTTAAAAAAAAAAAAAAAAAAAAAAAAAAAACAGTAACAACTTTGCAACTTTGCAATTGCAACAACTTTCCTACCATTGACTGATTTATTCTCAGATGCTCTACTGTCACTTAGAGATCTTTGCCGTTGTCCATTCAATGTAAGAGTAGCAGTCAATCCTAGAATCTCATCCACTGAGCTATGGCGGCGGGGGGATCCACCTGTGCCTGAAGGCATAAGACAAAATTTTATATACCAGAAGAATACCTGTTTTAAATGGCCCTACAAAAATTACAAAAATGAAAAATAATTAGTTGAAAATGTATCACGTCACAAACTTACCTGATGTGGCAAAATTTTGATTGTACTGGCCACTCATTGAAGACTCTCCCATGGGTAGGGTGGCTCTGAAACACAAAAAAGGCATACATGATCCAAATGTGTCAAAACCAACATGAAAGGAGAGCAATGCACAGAGGTAAGGATTATTCATATAAATGGCAAGTTCTCTGCTATTTTTGATACACTACATCTTTCTCATACACACATTGATTGGGCACATACATGCATATACATACACACAGAGAGGGTGAACCACATCAAACCACACCGGAGTCATGACCTCCAAAACAGCTGAACTGCATGGCACACATCAAAACCAAAGGAAAACCAAGCTCCAAGAGACAGCAGATGTCAACGCGACTATAACACTTTGACATCTGAACTTAAATGAAACTATGTACCGCAGAAATAGTTACCCAAAGCAGGTCAATGAACATGGTTAGGAAGTAGCTCAACAAGCTGGGCTGACAGAACAGGGCTAAGGGTCGTAAATGGACTTTGCCTGTTTAGCCTGGTTTTACTACTACTACTTACTGCAGAAAAAACTGCTCATCCTGTGCAGACAGCTTGTACGGGGAGTTCCCCCTACAAACAAAGATGAGTGGACAAGACCATAAGTGCATGTACTCAGTGAATATGCAGAAACATGCCTTGCTTGCCTCAAAAACAATAGGGTAAGAAAGAGAAAATTGGAACAGAAAAAAAATGAAAGAGAGAAAAAGACAAAAGTGGAACAGAAGATAGAGCATGTGCATGCAAATGGCAGAGGAGCAGAAGTCTTGAGATCAAAAATTGAGACTTGATAAATTTAAAATTTCAAAGACTATTTGAAAGCCTTGTCCTCTACAAATCATTTGGATTTTACTGTCTGAAAATAACTGCCTACATAAATTGACATGCTTCTTAACCAAACATGCATAACTCCTGCATGCACAATCTACATCTATAGTTTTTTGTTTAAATATAAAGGCTCCAAAACTTCAACTTTTTTCTATATTTTTGTGGTTGAGGAAGTACATTATTAGTCTTCCAATTGATTGAATTTGCTCCTAAAGATATCATGCTTAGTTTATTATATGTCTCTTTAATTTAAGAATAGGTAAGTTTTGTGCATTGATGATACATATAACATGAACAACAATTAACAAAACTATATCATACACTACCTCATAACAAGTTCTTCATCTATGTACTGCAGCAAAGTCCTGCGCAACAGGAACAAAACCCATGGTTGAAACAAAAGAAAATAGGAGGGATGTATACATAAATGTAACAAATAGAGCATAAGAGAAGATTTATCACTTTTTTTTCTCTTTGTGATAATGTACAAGGATGGGCAAAATAGTAAGTTCAGTGAACAAACAGCAATAGCAAAACACACCATCCATCTCAAAAGAAATTTCTACACATACTCAGTCCAATACTGTATTTTTAAAATGGTGATCCCTGGCATAACAAAACCATTACTAAAGATGTCAGGAGCATGCAGAAAAAAAAACAGTTAAAGGCACATGCACTACATATTAACTAACCATATGCTTATGCCAGAAGTTTACACAAGAACTTCAAATAATATGTCAAAAGCAAATGTTATCTACTAAAGCTCAACTAGAAACACTTCAAAAACGAAAAGATGAGAACAGAAATAGACTGAAGATTTTATATACATTTCAACCAACTCATGAAATCAGCCCAAGAAAATTAAGAGAACTAAGCCACACGCATGGTCACATCATGTGCAATTATATTGAAAGCAAGGAAGAGTGCAGTAAGAAGAGTGGGCTCATCCATCTACAGTCTGATTGACCTCCATCCAGCTAGTGAAACAACAAGAGGGATCAGAATATGTCCTAAGTAGAGTCATAGAATTCTGGACACTTCAAGCATGTTATTTCATTGGTTATGTTACAATCGTAACAACTTTGGGAATAACCGCTTTCAAACTGTCAGTAGACACACCACTCACTGTCAATGAAATTTTTGTACCTTAAAGTCATTTGAAAGAAAGATGCACCACTGCAAGGAAGGTAGGACTTACGACACATGCATCCATGACGTTGCATTTCTGAATAGTGTCCTGCGTAATTTGCAGCATAATTTGCAGCATGAGGGGCTGCATAGGGTGCTGGATAAGGAGCTGCATAATGTTCTGCAAAGTTTGTAGCCCTTCCAAATCGCTTACTGATCCTAGGTATACAACCATATATTTGTCAGGACAATTGGGTTATGAACAAGGCAAATGAAAGGACGAAAGAGTTAAGGTGACAGTCAGGGTAAGAATTGCCATGGAAATACTTTGGCCTGGATCCAAGTCCGAGCTCACATCTACATAACATGCTGGATCTACAGAGGGTGCTACGTGGCAAAATAATATTCCACTGCTGAAAACATTTTGTGATTTGCTTAACAATTTTCTTAGCAATGTGCACTTGAAAGAGTGCACGTTGATGCGGAAGGAAACCCATAATTTCCTTTCTGACACAGCAGTGCCAAGATTTATGGTGACAACAGCATCAAACTTTCGAACGTCCAAATAAACAGGGGGTATTTTTTTCAACAATTCACATGCACACGCATCATAAAACGGCCCAGATGTGCAAAGACAAGGCTAATACAACAATGATAATTGAATAAACACACCTGTTTGACAAGCTGCCGGAGGATAGGGAGGAGTGTTGGGGAGGATAAATGAGAGAGGTACTGTACGAAGAGACACAACTGTTGTACAATTAACACAGCAAAGACCTGAATGAAAAGCTATGCTCTAAACCATTTAAGAAAAGAAAAAAAAGTAAACTAGAAATGAAGATGTAGAGTGTTGAGATGACGCTTGGGACACTTAAATTGTATTCTTCCTCACTTCCACACACAAGCAGAATCCTACACTTCAGGTCTGAAGAGGTCATCCTGTCAGAGCGATCCACCACTTAAAATCACCGCAAGCAAGCAGTACACTCATCAAGACAAGTGTTCCATTACCAACTACCTATCAAATACATGGTCACAGAGGACACCTACAACTCTAAAACATTTAAGGAATAAACATTAAAAAAAATTGACAAACTTAATCTAGAAAGGGCATGAATATACAAGGTACTTTAAAAATTTGACAATGAGTTTAATATGTTCAGAAAAATAATGAACATCTTCTAAAAACTTTGGATTGGAAAAGGTTTGTGCACTTAAGCTTTTGTGGGAAGCTTGGTAAAAATGAAGCTTGTATTGGGGTACCCATGCGTTGCTTCGCTGCATCCACATCACCAAGAAGTGCTGATAAACGTGTACACATCAAGAGAGCACCACGATTCAGAGAAGTGGGCGTGAGATAACCCCTACATGCACCAAGCTAAGACCACATACATGCGCTTCAGAAAAGAGGGATGGTAATCTTGCTTTCTTCGTATCAGAGCAAAAAGCAAATCAGAGGGACCTTTCACAGTAAAGAGTATGAGCTCTCTAAAATGCTTGAGCAAAAATTTACAAACTAGACTCTTAATTGAGGGATCTAATACTCATCTACAAAAGGGAAGGTTCTAGCCTGATAAATTCTCCATGGATTCAAATGAGATGATTTAAACTCGAACTGAGGAACATACATAATTGAATGCCATGTGAAGTGTAGAATATTGATACTTACTTCTCACTGCCGCTTTCAAAGATGTTTCCTTTAGCCCACTCATTACTTGTATCACAGTCAGGGTCATTCTAGAAACATGTAATTATTGTTATTTCTATTACACAATATTAAAAAGTAGAATTAAGTTGATAATTTTTGGAAACTATTTCCTTTAAACTTACATCAAGAGTATCTAAAACATCAATCACATCCCAATCAGGGTACCTAGATGATGATGGCTGTTGGTTGGCTCCCTCAGCATTCCCGCCTAACAGGTACAAAAATAATTTTACTAAATTTGCTGGTGGATATAAGAAGCTACAAAAAAAAGACAGTGGAGCGAGAAAAAAATCAAGGAAGATTTTGCTTCCTTGAATAGGCAATACCTTGTTGTGACGATAGTCTTCGTTTTGCACGAGCTGTGTGTCTTGATGCAATTCTTTGAGGTACATTGAGAACAGTCTGAAAGAAAAAAATATAATAAGATTCTAGAAACCAAAGCTTGCTCATATGTAGTAAAGAAACGCAAGGACAGGAAGAAAACTCACTCCATCATCATCCACTTCCAAGTCTGAGAACATGTGAGATGGATTATTAACTTTCTGAAGTAGTTCAAGAGCCAGTCTCTTGCTCATGTCACTTTGGAAAAACACATGCTGCAAAGGCACAATCATAAATACGAATGAATCAAACATAATAACTAAAAAGTTAAAACAGAAAAGAAGGAGAAGTGAAATACCTGTAATAATTTGTCAGCAGTTGGCCTCTTTTTTGGATTTTTAGTAAGAGCAGTCTTTACAAAACTGTGAAAAGTAGGACTCCATTTGTCTCGGTCCTTCAATGCTGGCGGTTTGAATCCTGACTTGCTCATTAGAAATAATGCTCGCATGGGATGAAGATCAAACATTGGTGGCTGAAGTTCAGCCAATTCTATGGCAGTTATACCAATTGCCCAAATGTCACAAAGCTGATTGTATCCTCCCTTTCGCTCCACAGCTGCAACCTACAAAATGAGAATGAGCATGAACCCTTATACATTTATCTTATTACTGTAGCATATAGTTATTATCACAAATGAGAGGAAAATTACCTCAGGCGCCATCCAATAGGGTGTCCCAATGAAGGATTTCCTTTTATTTATTGTTGCAGTAATCTGGGCGGACACACCAAAATCTGCAAGTTTCACATCTCCATCTTCTGTTAGAAGAATATTGGCACCCTGAAATACCAGAAATGGGGTGATCATGTGGCCTCTTTGACAGTTAGGTTAAAATTAATACAAAAAGACAAGCACTATAGTCAAAATTTAACTGTGCAAATGTAGACACACAACCAAAATGGTAATCCAATGAGTAGAAAAAATTACCTTAATATCCCTATGCATTTTACCCATTCCATGAAGGTAAGCCAAACCGTGGAGAGTTTCTCTACACATGAAGGCTATCTGAAGTTCAGTAAGTGGCCCTGTGACTAAAAACGGGAAAGAGAAAAGAAGAAATTCCATGAGAAAAAAAAAAGCAACATACGTTTCAGTCACCAGGAACATGTAATGTCAATCTTCACGCAAACACACAAGACAATACACTTACAATCCCAGAACATTCAGAAATGCAGCATAACCCAGCGCATCAAAAAAATAATTCTACATACTACTTCAAGAGTTGAAAGTTAAAGGGATCACAGAAGGATGTACTCACTGTGGTAAATATCTTGTAGCGATCCTCCCCCACAAAATTCCATACAAATCCATAGTTTGTCTCTCCTAAGATAACTGCCAAAGTACGCAATTATGTTTGGATGCCTACAATCTTTCATCATTAAAATTTCTTGCTGAATTACAGCAAAGTCATCCCCTGGAAACAAATAGAAATGACCAACTATACTTCTTGACCTAGCAGATGACCAATTTAAACAAACATTTATAAAACGTTCCCTTACCTGGTTCTAGTTTTATGACTTTGATTGCTGCATAATCATTTGTGGACAGTTGCTTAGCCTGAAAGCATAGTTTAATGGGATCTCACAAACTAAAATTTTATAATTACAAAATTAACCGGCAATTTATCTCTAATACTTCGCAGCATTCAGATATTAACTGTAGTAACGCCAAACAATTTTGCCACATTAAATGATAAATGTGAGAGCGCATCAAGGAAATTGCAAAGCGTATTACAATTACGACTCTCAGGGCTTGTTTAACAGTTAATGAAAGAAAACAGCCGAGACAAGAAATAGGAATAAGACAGGAAACAAGTATATTTAAGCTTTCAGAAAGAACTGATAAATAGACAAAGCTGAAAACAGAACAATGAACAGTTTTTATAAGGGAGGTTCGTTCCCCAGAAGTCAGCCAGGACAATGCCAGTTGAATAAGACTAACATAGCACAGCCCTAGCACAGTCTAAAACATGTTCAGTAGCGTGTTTTGCTTCGTTCAAATAAATTTATTCTCTGTCTAAGTGGATAAGGACAATAATAGCCTAGAAGATATTGTTCGTCCGCACCTTATACACGTCCCCATAGGTACCACTCCCGATCCTTTGTATAAGTTCATATTCATCTTGAGGATTTCTTCTGCTGATGTCAGAAGTCAGAGCACTAGGTCCTAGAGCCATTATCACACAATTCAAAGCAATATTGGACAAAATACTATATAAATAATACTAAAATGTAGGTTACACAAAAATTCGCCATCATTTTTCAGAGTACTGTTTCAATCATGGCTGCCAGCACAACAACAAAAGTAAAATTTGTTTTACAAAACAAGACGATTCAAGCTGAATCGAGATCAGGTCCTTCATAAAGGCGCGGGTGGCGCAGATGTGACACAAAAATATTTGACCTGATCTGTGTACTGTTCGAAAGCTGGTCATGTCCTCAGGAAGTAGTGGACACCCTGGAGAGAGAGGAAAATACGGCCACAAGGCAGCGATCAAGGTTTTCAAAAGAGGTCAAAAGTTGTGCTTTTTCGGGAAAGATTTTTCAAAAGCTTCTGTTTATTCAAATAAAGCACTTTTTCTTGGCAGTATTGTTTCGTCATTCCCCTGTTAGATCTCAACAATGTGAGATAAAGCAAACGGAGAGTTAGTTTTGAACTTCGCGCGCGTAGGGAAGTTCATACATTAAACCAACAATCCAATAATTTGTCGGTCGATGTATTCACACGAAAGGTTTCGTTAAAACCAGTTCACCAAGTTCCCATTTAGTTACTGATTCTTAAAATTAATAACTTGTTTCTCTTATTAACTCAACAAAGTGCCAGACTAGCTTGTTTTTGAAAATTATTTTGAAGTGTTGGTAGTGCTCCAGTGACGGCCAACCCCCCGCCGCACCTCCCCCTCTCCTCGCCCCGCCCCGATTCGTTGAATGAATGTGACAGTACACCTTGCTCTGTCGGATTGAACCTGTCTGTCGGTGTCCTTTCCGACTGACTCTCAAGACGAGAAATTTGAACGAAGTATTGTCATTGTCGGATTATGACTCAAAAGTTTTAGTTTGGTAAGGAAACATATTCTTTGATTGTCGCTCTTCAAAATGATTGCCTTCTGAGATTGTTCCTCATAGGGGGTGGGTCAAATCTTCTTCACTTATTTTTTAAAATTTTATGACTCTTGCTGCCCCTGGCAATGTCATCAATCGATGTAACCGCTTTGAACGAAAGTACATGTGTTATTGTCCTGCCCAAACCCTTTCTGAAAATTCGTTTCCGTTCGTCCTGCGTGTGATTCAGGTTATGGGTCACTAATCAATATTTTGTTTATGCTAAAGTATTTGCTTCCCCTTACACTATATTGTGGATTTTTCAATCTATAGTGAGTAATGATAGCTTTCTGATCCATGGTTTTGACAACTCAACTTAGGGCTCTAAATATCTTATCTTTACCAAAGCTACTTCTTGGCAATTCTCACTTAATTTTTTTAAATTTTACAGATTTAGTAAAATGGCAGGTGTACCAGGTGAGTCAGGTTATTGCACCTATTTCCTTGCATGGAGCATTATTGTGATTTGATTTGAACAATGTAGGAGCACTCTTGGAATTTTGGGGAATTTTTTTGATCATGCTGTGTAAATTTTAGGTGGCATGGAAGCCTGGGTGGTGCAACCAAGGGAACGTGCCCGATACGCGGAGCAGTTCATGTCACTTAATCCCATCAACGGAATTGTAACTGGAGACCAAGCTAAAGGATTCTTACTTCAATCACAGCTGCCTCCGGCGGTTCTGGGACAAATATGGTTCGTATAATTTGGTATATGGATTCTGTGTTTGTTCTTTGTCTTGGCTATGCCTACATTCTGTCTTTTCAAACAGGGGCCTAGCGGACACAGATGCAGATGGCAAAATGAATATAAACGAATTCAGCATAGCTTGCAAACTCATCAACCTGAAGCTGCGTGGTTTTGAAATACCAAAAGTTCTGCCTCCGATTCTGCTTCAATCGCTCACCCAAGCTGTTGCACCTGCAGCAGCTCCTGTATCTGCTCCCATGCAAGCTCCTATGGCTGCACCCATTGCAGCAGTCACTGCCCCTCCAATCCCACCACTACCGAACATGGGCACACTGCCTCGCATGCCTGCTGCCCCAGCGCAACCAGGGGTCATGCCCATGCAGCCAGGGGTCATGCCGGTGCAACCAGCAGTTATGCCCATCCAAGCAGGGGCTGTTCCTATCACAACGCAACCGATGAGCATGAGTGCACCCGTTCCCCAAGCGGGTGTTCCACTCATGATGCCGGGCACCGTGCCTCAGACAGGTTGGTATACGTCTGGTTTCTGAGCATGACAATGTTTCTCTCTGAGTGATCAATGTCTAAAACACGGACTTTAGCTATGCCCATGGTGCCCGGTGTACTGCCAGCCGCCGTCCCTGGAGCAATGCCTCAAGCCATGCCAGCCATGCCAGCAGCCCCGGCTGGAATGATTCCTGGAGTTGTTCCGTCAGCCCCTGGAATGACTCCAATGCCAGGGGTCACCCCTGTGTCAGGAGTCACTCCCGTTGCCCCATTGGACCTGAACAAACCAATGGCTCCATCTCTGACTGGCACACCCACAAGTGGTAATGTCAATTCATTCTTCATGTTCCCTCATGCTTTTGGTTACCTGTTTTGACTGTCAAATTGTCTTCACTGAAAATTTTCTCTTTCAGCACCAGGGAGTGCAACAGGCAGTTACAGTGGAGAGCGAATGGGTTCTGTAGATCTTGGGTAAGACTGTCGTGACTAATCTAATAAGCGACAACGCATAATAAGCTCTGGTTCAACCTCATATTTGACTGCTGGTTTTTCCCCCAGATTTGGTTATCCACACATTGAATGGGCAGTTCCTCACCAGTCGAAGTTGAAATACACCCAGCTGTTCAACACGACAGACCGAGCTCGTTCAGGGTTTCTCTCTGGACCTCAAGCAAGGAATATTATGGTTAGCACTGGAGTACCCCAACGTGTATTGGCATCTATTTGGTATGTACTGGGCCTTGTGTTGCGTTTTGACTAAACATGACACAGTAATTGATTTCCTTAATTTTCTCAGGGGCTTGGCTGACATGGATTCAGATGGGCGTCTTTCATGTGAAGAGTTTGTTTTAGCCTTGCACCTTTGTGATATGGCTAAGGCTGGAGAGAAAATACCAGCAGCTCTCCCTCTTGACCTGATTCCTCCATCTTTTAGGCGGCAGAGGCAAGGGAGTGTTCCTGGCTCTGGTGCCGTCGTTACACCTGGGTCAGATAAAGGCGTTGAACTAGATGCTGCAGCTACTCTTATCAGTCAAGGTGGGTTACTTTTTGGTCTTACTACTGTTCAAAGTGAGTCGAACCCTGTGAGTGAATCAAATTATTGGGTCTCTCTAGTTACATTTGAAGACAAGAGGAAAGAAAACTTCGAAAAGGGCCAAGCAGAACTTGACCGCAGGCGCAAGTCTCTGTTAGAAATACAACGTAAGGAGCAGGAAGAGAGAGAACGAAAAGAGAGAGAAGAACAAGAAAAGAGAGAAAAAATAAGGTATCTTATTTTTGTTCTTTTTGTAGTGTGTTCTGGCACTACTTGCCAAACCTGTTACTATTACCAATCTGTAATTGAATTTTATTAGGCTTGAGCAAGAACGTCGACGTCAAGAAGAAATGGAAAGACAGTTGCAGCGCCAAAGAGAGATGGAGCAGGAAAAAGAAGAACAGCGCAAAGCACAGCTGGAGCAGCGTGAGGCTGCACGACGGGAGATGGAGCGACAGCGCCAACAGGAATGGGAAAAGCAGCGCAGTCAAGAACTGCAACAGGCTAGACAAAAGGAGCAGGAAAAAGTGTTGTCATTAAAGGCTCATAACCAAAAACTTGGCATTGATCTCTCTCAATTGGTATGTAATTACAGTTACAAATGCCATTCATTGCAAGTCATTAGTCCTTGTTCATTAATTTTAATGGTTTTCAGAATGAAAAAGTGAAGGAATTAACCACTAAGATAAGTGAAACAAGAATGAATGTGTCTTCTGTTAAAACTACCATTGATGGCATGCGGGGCACACGTGATACTCAAATGAGTGAAATGCAAGCTCTAAAACACAAGCTGAAAGATCAGAATAACCGACTTTTATTGTTGAGTCAGGAAAAGGCTCGTATTGAGTCTAAAAATAAGATGAACCAAGCTCAGGATGAGGACAATAAAGAGGCTCTGGCTCAAGCTGCCAGTGCCAAGCAAATTGCTTTAAAACAGATGCGGGACCGAATTGCAGATCTTGAAAAGGAGGTATGATATTATCCATTTTTATATTAACAATGTAAGTTTTCTGGCCCATTATTGTACATGTATGTTTTCCCTCATTCAACTCTTAGGTCGAAGCTAAGATGGAAGACATGGAAAATAATAATACTCAACTTACTGATCTCAAGAATGAACTCTCAAAGCTGGTAGATGAATGTGAAACTCTCTATAATACTTTTGATGATCGTAGATCAAAGGTACGCTCCTGGTTATTGTTTATTTCTGTTTAGGTTTGTGTTCAAGGGAAAATTTTTGCTTCATTTTTCTGTTTATTTTTAACAGGTTCTTCAAATTAAGTCCAAGATGAAGAAAGTTGATCCACTTGATGCAAATGCTGCGTGGGGTAACTCATCGTGGGATTCCGCTCCTTCATGGAATGATGACTCATCCACCGCAGCTGATGCTGCTGTCCCTGCACGTGAGTTGAGCAGCTGCCTTCCTTTTGCTTCTACAATTTTTCCGGTTTGTTTCTTTAATTTGGTTCCTTCTTTATTTCAGAGAGCGGCCTCTGTAGATATCGGGCTCTGTATGAGTTTGTAGCTCGCAATCAGGATGAAATTTCCTTCCAGCCAGGAGACATTATCATGGTTAGTTACTGGCGGAATTTGCTGAACACTCTGCGTAGCTCTTGATTGCTCTTGTTTTGTATATCTGTGGAAACATATTACACCAAAGTTTTTGTGCCTGCAGGTTCCACACACTCAGAATGGTGAGCCAGGGTGGTTGGCAGGAGAAATTCGAGGGCACACTGGCTGGTTCCCTGAATCTTATGTTGAGCCCATTGACACACCTGCTGAATCTGCAGAAGCTATTGATGCAGCAGCCACAAGTGCAAGGCTTGAGTGAGACTCAAATTTATTTTGTTGCATTGTCTAAATGTACAATTTCTGGTATGACATTTGTTTTCTTGGTTTTAGGGGTATTGCGGAAGTCCCAGAGAATGTTAGTGATGCAGGCTCTGCGGCAGATCCTGCTCTTGCAGCAGCCCAAGTGCCACCTGCAGCTGACGGTCAAGGTAAAGCTGTGTTAATTTCGCTGCGCACTGACAATTTAGTTACTACTGTTTACTAAATGGTTATTTATCATTCCAGAGTGGTACATGTCAATGTACCCATACGAATCTGGAGAGCCTGGTGATCTTAGTTTTGGCCAAGGTGAAATGATGCTTGTGGTCAAGAAGGATGGTGATTGGTGGACAGGTGTCATTGGTGACCGAACTGGCATTTTCCCCTCCAATTATGTACAAAAAACTGACGTGAGTTGTTGTTTGTTGTTTTGGTGATGATCTAACAGAAACTAATTTACTACATCTGTTTTCGATTCTAACAAAAGTGTGACTGCTAATTTGCATGGCTGAACTTCTTTTTTGTGTGTTGTGTTTCAGTCCACTGCAGGCACTGCCACATCAGTGCCAGCAGCTGCTGCCACTACTCATCCCGCAGTTTCAGATATTTCTGAAGAAGTCATGGCGGCCATGTCCAAAACTGCAGCAGAAGTGCAGGTTTGTTCCAAACTTTCTTTGTCATTGTGAATCCTGGCAGGAAAGGCAGTTTGTTACTTCAGACTTACTCAATCGGAACTGTTAGTATTGTATCTTTTTTCTGTACTCCCTCAGTCACTCCCTCAGCATGAGAAGCCAGCCACTCCTGACTTTGCAGCACTCAACCAATCAACTCTGGTAAGTGCTTAGGGATCAAAATTTTACAGCTGTGTTCAGTTCTGTTTTTGAGTAGTTCTTGTCTTAGGTTTTCTACCTTTTGTTACAATTCCACTATTTTAAACAGATTTTTCTTAGACGCTCAAAGAGAGCACATGACAATATCACAGCTTGTAATAGAGTCTGTTTGGATTTCTGCACTTTATGCACAGATCAGATTTGCAAAATTTATTCCTAGCACATCCCATGTCACCTAAATGCTATGCAGCGTTTTCTAGCTTACAACAAACTATTATTATCTGGAGCACTTTTGGAGTGCCCTAGAACTTAGCCAACTTATCATATTTTGGACTTATGTCATTTATGAAGCAATCAATAGCTAATTTTTAACTTGTAGTTATATTCCCTGAAAAGTACATTGGAAATTATATGAAAGTTTGAGGTATCTTTTATGATTTACAGTCCACTAAAATTCCTGAATTCTCTAAAGGAAAAGAAAATGCCTAGAAATTACTGTGACCTTATATAATTTCCATTGCTCTTGTAATGCACATGTTTGTTTTAACTTAATGCGTAGTGCACAACTGTTCAAACTGGCTATGTAGTTGACTGTATTTTTCATTCTATTTGCGCGGGTCAAAGGCTGAAGAGGATGCTGATCCTAAGGTACTATAAGATGTTTTGGTCTTAAGTGCATGCTCATTTGAATTTCACTGTTAAGTTTATACCTTATGTTTGGTTAGTGCAAGTGTATGTGGGAAGGTATAACAGTAAACTGAGCCTTGTGACAACATAACTCCTGTAACTAGATTTTCTAACACACATTTTAAGTAAAATTAACTGCGTTCCTTCCTGTAACAAATAATTTCCAGCAGCTATCCTCATTGCTACATGAATTTGTTCTCTCTTTTAGGGCTCTAAAGGGAAAAAGCCTGAAATAGCAACAGTGTTAGCACCTTATAAGGCAACGAGCACAGAGCAACTGAGTTTGAACCGAGGTCAGCTTATTATGGTTCGCAAGAAGACTGACACTGGCTGGTGGGAAGGGGAGCTGCAGGTGGGGTCCTTGGCACACATTGATGCATTTTTTTAAAAAATCGAGATTCAATGGTGCTTATCTGAAAATTTCTCTGAATCATCCTTTGTTTTCTAGGCAAAGGGCAAAAAGCGTCAAGTTGGATGGTTCCCTGCTTCTTATGTAAAATTAGTTCAGAAAAAGTCTGGTCAAGACACACCTCCTGCTACAACTGTAACATCAGCAGCTGCCTCCCCATCCCCCTCACCCACTCCAATGTGCAGAGATGGAGGTGCAGGACTAGGTATGCTTGCTGCAAACTAAATTTTCATGAATCTTATTTTGTTCAGAGTCCGTCATCATTATTTTCAATTTATTTTACAGAAAAAGTAATAGCCCTGTATCAGTATGTTGCCCAAAATGAAGATGAACTGAGTTTTGAAAAGGACGACACCATCACTATCCTAGCCAAAGAGGAAGCAGCATGGTGGCGTGGCGAACTTAATGGTGTCTCTGGTCTCTTTCCCAGCAATTACGTGGCTCCTCTGTGTAAGTAGAACTTTCTCTTTTCTGTGATTAACATAGATTTTCATAGCGAAGGAAGATCATCTCCTTGGAAGATCACGCCAGTTTATTTCATCAAACCACCTTTTTTTATGGGAAGAAGCCTGATGCTTTCATTTTTGTGTTGTGTTGTGGATTTATAGGATTTGAGAGGGGCTGACCAGAGGGACTCACCTGAAGGGTGGCATGGCGGCTGCAGCAGTTTCTCGCCCACACCCTTCCTAGCAGGAAAATTATGATAGTATTGTGTATCATGTGTTCATATGTATACCCTTCATTTAAATTTAAGCCTGAGAACATGTATCAGTTACTTTAAAAGCAATCAGCTGGTGAAATCTTTCTCTTCGCCCTTTTCCTGTGCTGGAAAATTTGCTGTTCGATATCTGCCTGCAGCTGCTTTAGTAGATGTCTCTTTGTTCCAAATGTGTTAATTTGTCTACTCTTTGCTTTTGGTCAAAGCATGCATGTACTGGTGCTTTGTCTTGCATTGTTACTTTTGATATCAAGGCATTTGTGTTTAGGCTATTTTCAGCAATTTGCAAGTCTCTCTTCACCTTGCTATTATTAGGAGAGTTTAAAAATCGTTTTTGTAATGGTCGGCTGGTAATCGTTCCAGCTGAATTTTATTTAAATGTTAGTTGATGTCTTCAGAATGTGTTCTTTTACGCAAGTAAGCTCTGTGTCTTTTCATGTAGTTTCTCAAATACTCAGTGAACTCATGTGTATTGTTGCAAATGCACGGCTTCAGAGAACACTTGTCCTATTTCAAGAACATTAATAATCTTGTCTGGAGTAATAGAGTAAAATTGTTATTGCCAATTATTGGACAATTCACAAATTCTTAATGTTTGTTGATTTGAATTGTAGGTAAACTGGTTCAGATAAAATCCTATCTGTTCCTCTTAAATTAGTAAAGCGGCTATGCTATGATTTCTGTTACTGCCTACATTGAATTGATAAACTTATTTGCCTGTGAGTTACTTGTTATTGTTGTTGAAGGAAGTGTTTTTATTTTGCTGTATCTTACTGAAGTCTGTTTCATAGATGTGTATGTTTGTGAGGCTAATTATTTGTTAATTACTTTGCCTGCTCTTGTTTTGTAAAGTCCACAATTTTACTGTTTCTTGTGGTGGAGCAGGCAATATTTTGTTTCCGGTTCTTGCTGGCCTGTATTCAAATTACAGTATATTAATTTTAATTTGAGTAAAGGCCAGGGTTTTGTTGCAAGGTGGTGTGTTATAGAGTCTCTGAATAGTACTGTGCATCATTGATCATATGAGCTTGTACGCTGAATTGTTTGTCACTTATCCAATAGATTGATAGATTCATTTAGCATATCACTCACAACCCCCACCTCCCACTTTATCCCAATCTGCCAGGATTTTTCTTAGTTGATTTTGTTTAATCATCAGTATGTATTTTGTTAATAATATACCTTTACCTTGTTATTTTTTATATCATCAGATGTATATTGAGTTGAAATTTTGAATCTGTATATATTTTTCTTGTAGCATTTTTGTTACCCCTCTTGTATAGTGTGAGGGTTAGTACAAGGTTTGTGGCCTTCAATCATTTTTCAGAGATAATTTGTTGCTGCTGAGTTCCTATCAGTTATGTGCATAGCAACTTTCACTGTAGTTGCCCTTGGATTGTTATCTGTAGTTATTGATTACAGCTTGTTGTGCAGCGCCATTTGTTTATTTATTTTGTGATAAAATATTTTTTAAAGCTTTTCTGCATTAGTGCCATCATTAACTGCTAGATTTCATGCTCATTATGTTTCAAGTGCCGGTTAGAAATGCAGTTATTTCCATGAATTTACATCTGACATTGAAACGACTAAATTTTGAAGTGAATCCAAGCATTCTGTTAAGATATTCCTGTCAATTTCATCTTTCTCTATTTTGATTTCTGTCTTTTCCCCCTCTCTAATACTAGATAGTAAATCAATGTAAAGAGTATGAACTGAGACTAGTATTTTTGTTTACTTTTTAACTTATTTTAGCTTTTTAAAAGTGCGTGGTTTCAAAAATGTTACTATGCTCTTCCTTTGAGGTCAGAGATTTTTAAAGAATTTAAAATGTTACAGTTTCAGATTGTCTTATGATTGTTGTATGCATGATATTTTCCCAGATAGAAAGAATCACCCCCTCATACTGCTTCTACCACACCAAATTTTGAAGAAAGGAGATATGTCAGTTGGTATCAGCTTTATGTTACATTTAGGGTTGTAAGAGGTGAGCTTTAATGAACACTTAAAAGTTAGTTCTTTACCTGCTATGGAGTCAAATATATACTACAACAAACTTGTAGCAAATGTAAGAAATGGTTGAAGCATGTAAGTTGCTTTGTGTAATCAATTAGGTGAAATTTGTAGTCTTGTAACTTCACTGGATAAATAAAATTATCAAAGGTTCATGCCTTTACCACTGAAGTTGACATCAAAGGGATTTTCTTTTCTTTCTTAATACTGAAGTTTTCCTTCTCTCTTCTGTGTCAGGTCAGAAGCTAATGTATTCTTGTCTTTGACAGTTTGACCATTGCTTAAGTGAGTTATTCTATGCAAAATATGTTAATAGATTTTAGTAAAGGTTGCATTCCATCTCATGTAAACAAGTGAAAGAATTTGCAACTGTAGTCTTGGTGGCATGTGTGTGGCACATGTGATGCGTCTCAATAAACCCAATTGACATTCTGTCTCCGTTTCCATTTTCAAGTTCCCTTTCATCACCCTGAGCAAAAGTGAAAACCACAAACAAACATGTTATGTGGTCTCATGAGTTTCTTACAGGCCTCATCTCTGTGACCAAGTTATGAAGTGTAGGTTGGGAATGATGGTTATGATGTAAGTACAACAAAAGGTCAAGAAAATTGTTTGTAGCTTCCCTGTAATAAGTTGTTTTTGTTTTTCTTTTGTAAACAAGCCCTTTTCTTACACCCTCAAATTAGACATATATTTTGTAGACACCTGCCAGTGTTGCATGTTAACGTGTGAGCGCAAGCTTCATTCCTTTTTAATTAAGTTATATAAATATACAACATCTTTAGTGGTCCTCTGCTCAGCAAGAAATTTGGATATTTCGTTTCATCTAATTTTCCCGCTGTGGAAAGAAAGGGAAAGTCAAAGAGTCTGATGAAGGCAATAGTCCACAATTGTTAGAAAGCATATGATTCTGGCCTACTACTTTGTTTATGTTAATTATGCATGAAAGTGCATATTGATTTTTATTTTTTTATACCTGGCTTGTTTTAGAAGCAGAACATCTTATGTTAGTTATGAAAGCTTCATTTAATTGTGTGATCCTTACCCTTGCTTTGCTTTTCATCTAAAGTTTCTTTTCTTTTGTTTCCCCTAATTTGTGTGTTAGTGCTGCTGTAATTTTTAAAAATTTTATTTCCATTATGCTATTAAAAAAGCAACTGCCCGTTTTTCCGTTAGAGATTTTGACGAAAGTTTTTTGCTTCCTCATTGATATTTAGTAACTTTTGTGTATTCTGTCCCAGGATGGTAAAAAACTTAGTGAGCCACATCATTGCGTGTCCTCCATATTCTCAAGTGGAGTTACAGCTATGCCATGTTTCTATTTGTTACAGCTATGAACCTTTTAAGTGGGGTGGAGAGGAAACGCCAAGATAGTATAGCTGAACTCATTGGTACCGAGCAAGCTTACATTGATGATATGTCAATTGTACATGAGGTGAGGAACACTGATTTTTTTTTAAATCAAACATGCAGACATATGCGTCAAATCATTTTCTTTCACCATTTAATTTTGTTCCTTCAGGTATTTGAAAACCCATTGATGCAGAGAGGTATTCTCAGCAAAGAACAACTCCAAAAAGTTTTTGTTAATTGGAAAGAAATTATAGTCTGCAATGTCATGTTTCTAAGGTTTGTACACAGAAACTTCGATAGGATGGGTTTTGTTATCAGACAATTTCTTAAAATCAATTTTTATTCTTAGAGCATTGAGAGTTCGAAGAGACATGAGTTCTGGTGGAGTAATAAGAATGATTGGAGACATTTTGTGCGAAAATGTATGTATACTGCGCAAAAATTACAAGGACTTTTCTTATTTTCCGTATTCTAATATTGATTTATTGCTCCAACAGCTGCCAAAAATGAAGGTTTACGTGAGGTTTTGTTCATGTCAGCTGACAGCTGCGTCTACTCTACAGGATCTTCAAGAAAATAGTGAAGATTTCCGTGAAGTGTCACGATTATGTCAGAGAGACCCTCGTACAAAAGGCCTTCCTCTTAGTTCATTTCTTATTAAGCCAATGCAGAGAATCACCAAATACCCTTTACTTATTAAAAAGGTAAGAAATGATCTAGTGGTTTGCTAGTGATCAACAATAGCAAAGAATGAGTTGATTTTTTTCTTATTGACAGATATTACATTATACAAGTATAGACCATCCAGACCATTCTTATGTTCAAGAAGCTTTATCAAAGGCAGAAGAATTATGTAATCAGGTAAAATACTATTGGCACTGAAAGTATTGACTTGTTTTAAATTTTTGCTTCTGGCTGAAAGATTGTTGTCGTTTCAGGTTAATGAAGGTGTACGGGAAAAAGAAAATTCAGACCGCCTAGAGTGGCTGCAGCGAAATGTTCAATGTGATGGCTTAAATGAACAAATTGACTTTAACTCCCTCACTAATTCACTTGGGCCTAGGAAGTTTCTTCATCATGGAGTTCTCATAAAGGTGATATCATCAAGCTGTTAGCACAGTTGTTACGTAGTTGTTTCAAAGAAATGAACTTTACATCGCCCTTTTCTTAAACTCCCTCAGGCTAAAAGTGGTAAGGAGTTGATGGGATTTCTTCTTACTGATTTCCTTATGTTAGCAAAGCCTTCAAAATCACTTACTGGGAAACAATTTTCATTTGAAAAAAATATGAGTGTCTCATTTAAACTCTACAAAAAGGTTTGTGTCCTGACAGTTTGTCTTCTCAAATGTCAAAATTTGCATTCACGCATGTTCTTTGTGCCAATCCAACAAAAATTGGTTTATCTGGTCTGGTTTGTTAATCTTTAGCCCCTAATATTGAGTGATATCCAAGTGGCTGACAACTCTGGAAAGATCTCACCTACAGAACCACCAGTTGATGCCACCGAGAGAAGAGAGCTTAAACTGGAATTGATTGATGCTGGTACAAATCTCGTTCTTCTAGCACCTAGCACCACTGAGCGCAATCTTTGGTTTAAGAAATTGGATTTAGCCAAGCGTCAATTTATGGAACATGAACAAAGTCACTTAAGAAGACAGCAATCCAGTAAGTGACACTGGCTGTAGAAGTTAACAGACAGTCTTTCATTCTTAAACTTTTTTAATACTGGTTTTTATATAAAACAATCTCTCCCAGAACAAGCTCAGTTTGGCGCTGTAGGACGCATCTTAGCAGTTGTCATGAACGGCTTAAACCTAAATTCATCAGGGGGTAAGATTTGTTTACAGATCTGAGCATGGAAAAGATAGGAGCTGCTTGATTTTTTGCCTCTGAACAATCTTTGCACGGTACTCAGGGTATTAAGAAAGTTAACTTACATTGTTTGCTCTGCACTTTGCACTTATATCAGTTCCCTCCAGATATTGCAGCACCATCTGTTTTTCTTTCTTTTTTTTCTTGACTTTCTTCTTGAAGCTTTTCTACGGAACGCAGCCTTACTTCAACATACCCCTTTTTTCTTTTCATTGTTTTGTCTTTTTTCTATCTTCTTCGTAGCATGATGTATGTGCCATAATTGCATGAATATGTATGCCATTTCCAGTGCGCCAGCTACCACCCAAAGGAACTCTTCTAATATCTGTGTTGCATGGGGATGAGATGGCTCTAGTAAGGCCTTCAGGTACAGGGTTGAAAGCACTACAAAAGTTTGCATGTATCATATTGCTTTTCTGTATTGAAGTAAAAAATATTTTTGTTCAATTTTTTGTCATTGCTTTACAATAAATGTGATTGTGTATTTTAGGAAAATGTGAAGCATTTTGCAAAGTCACAATGGGATCGCAGGAGCACCGCACTGCTGTTGCAAATGGTCCTGCACCTCAGTGGAATGCATCAATGCAGTTTCTTGTTAAAGACCTTCAAGAAGACAGATTATGCATCACTGTCTTTGATCGTGGTCACTTCACCCCTGATGGTAAGAATATTCAATTGAATGGCAGCTGGCATCATGGTGAACATGTTTTGATTGAGATTTGTTCATTGCAGAATTCTTAGGGCGCACTGAAGTTCGAGTTTCTGAAATTTTGAAGTCATCTTCAGAAACTCCAGGGCCTATTTCTAAGCGATTGATTTTGCATGAGGTAGAAACTGGGGAAGTTGAAGTTAAACTAGATTTACGACTGTTTAGCAAAGAACAGTGAAAAGCTCTCTGCATTCTTTGTACTGTTATAGTTAAGCATAAGCTTCAGCTATTTGTAATCTCCCTTATATTTAAGACCACTTGGATCATGGATGTGATTAAATTTTGCAGATTTTGTAGGATGTTGACTAGATGTTAATAAATTCCAAAAACACACATGTAAGCTTATAATTTTTAAAAGTCAAACTTTTTTTTGTATCATACACTTCAAATTAGGTCATCATTCCTTGATTTATTCATAAAGTTGAAATCATGGTGGGTGCATTCTGAGATGTAATATATCTACACATGCTGTTCTGATACATCTCCTTCTTAAATGACAATCAACATTTACTAGTTACACTTTTATTTACAATAGAGCAATCCCTTTAACAGTATTCACAGAATAATCTAGCCCTTGACATATTTTTATGTGCTGTATATGGCAACATATCCTGTGTCCAGGGAAGTAAACTTTGAATGCCATTTCTGAATGTGTCCTTATTTGGTCATAACTACATTCTTTCATTACATCTACCGACATCACAGAGTAGCTTCTGGCATGCAGTATGCAGCCCTTTATGTGTGCAGTGGCCAGAGCCCCCGCTACCCCAATAGTATTACCACCACCATGAAGGGAGGGTCTGACACAACTGCAGACGACGTTGCCATCTTCACACCAAAATCTCAAGAGAGAATACAAACAATCTTATTTTTAAAGAAGGATTAAATAAATAAATAAGTTAACTAATAACACATGGAGTAGGGGGAGAAGCCGCAGAATAACATGCATTGCCGATTAGATGGTATGCTCGGAAGGCCTTCATCCCACCCCTCAATGAGTGTTCAGTCTGCAAAGATTTTGGCTCGTAGCATGAAAAGGTGGCAACACCGGGCTTGAAATTGCGTCCAGTCATGAGCCCAGTGCAGGCTGCAGGCGTGCATCGGCTCGACAAGTCTCTCACAGCCACGGGCCTGAACCGAACACCCCCGGACTAAGGCCTCAGCCGACTCGCATTGGCCCTGCACTGTCCTGCACTGGCTCAACGTAGGTCAGAGGCAGGGGCGCAGGGGCTTCCCCGTCCCTCCCCCGCCACCGAGACTACTTCCTGACGAGAATGAAATGGAATGTTCGCGTGCACTCGCACTTTTCTGGTTCAGGAGATTCAGCTGGCGGTGGCAGCGGCTCCCTTGGGGGCCGCGGATATCGTCAGCTGCCTCTCTTCACGATCGGTGGACGCGGCGTGGATGGCAGGGGCGGCGGCATCGTCGGCGGTGGACGAGGACGACACCGGCGCCGCGGAGGGGGCCGACGCCGCGGCGGCCGGGCCTGCGTCGTCCTCGTGCAGGATGGGCTTGAAGCCGCCGAAGAGCTGCGGCTTGAAGTTCTCGAAGTCGAAGGACGAGTCGGTGGACGTGGTCTCCTTGATGATGTCGCGGATGTCGGCCTTGTCCACCGTGCCGGGGCGCATGGCGCCGCTCAGCACGCTCCAGCCCTCGACGGGCGTGACGGCGGCACCGCCCGGCACGCTCGGGGCAGTCTCCACGCTCACGCTCGCCTGGAAGGGCGCCTGCGACACGGACAAGGCTATCAGGAAACGCATTTCTCGGACTTGGCGCCACAGTCCCCTAGGAACTTGAAGCCGCGCGGTCTTCCGGCCAGTGCGACCGAGGACCAAGGACTCACCTGAAAACCGTGGTCATCCAGGACAGGCGGCCCCGAGGGGGTCCCCGATGGAGGTCCAGACGGCGCGGCCTCTGCCGCCTCGTCCGCCGAATGCCTGTGGTTGCTGAGGGTGTGCATGACGGCGCCGACGGTGAACTCGGAGCCGCCCGACGCGCCGCCGATGACGGTCTCGTGGCGGCTGGGCGGCCCCAGCCCCACGGGGGTGGGCGTGACCGTGTGCAGCGTGGCCGAGATGGGCTGCGCGTGCGCTACTTGGAGGCTAGCTGGCGGCGCGGAGGTACCGGAGCCCAGGACGATGCGGGCCGGAGGACCCTGGCCCTGGCTGGACACGGTGACGGCGCTGCTGCTAGCGCCGGGGCTCAGTGCAGCGGATTTGGCAGGGGTGGCTGCCGCCGGGGGCCGCTTGGTGGCGAAGGGCAGATAGTCCTGGAGGTACGGGATCACGTTGATCTCGCCGTCGGCGTGGGCGTCCAGGAAGTCGTCGCGGCGTTTGTCCGCCACAGCGGGAACAGCAGGCGGCGGCCTGAGAGACAGGACAGAGTTGCACGTCAAGGGGGAATCAGGGAAGGACACACAACGTAGCTACGCTAAAGCGCGCCACGGCCGACGGGAAGAAAAAGAGATAGTGACAGTCTTGCTTACCTGGCGGCGGTGCCGGGGCCGGCAGCGAGCGCGATGTCTGCTGGGTGCTCGATGGCGTATGGAAAGTCAGCCCGCGGAGGCTTGGCGGCCTCCTTGGCCTGCTCCTTGGCGGGCTGCCTGGCCGGCTTGAGCACGGGGTCGTCCCCTCTGGACGAGGCGCCGTACAGCGGCTCCAGCAGGTCGTCCAGCTTGTTGGGCTCGCTGTCGGGGCGGCTTGCCAGGGCGGGCTGCTCCGCGCGCTCCGCGTTGCTCACGGGGTACACGAGGAAGACGGGGGCGGGTCCGGGCGGCGCGTTGGCGGGCAGGTCGGCGCGAGACAGCACGCGGTGAGTGGGGCCCACGCCGCGCTGCTGCATCATCTGCAGGGTGGCGACGCGGCGTCGCGACGCGGGGTGTCCGGGATGGCCGGGGTGGGCGTCGAGACCCATCGGTGGCGCCATCGGCGGCCCGGACCGTCTGTGCGGCTGCGGCCTGGCGGCGTTGGGCCAGTGGTGCTGCATGGGCGGGGGAAGTCCCTGCGGCGGCGCCGACTCGGGCTCCACCTGTGCGGGGGCGGGGGCGTCGTTCTGCAGCTCCTCGTTGTGGCGGTTCACTCTGAGCAGCGGGGCGAGGTGGTGCGGTGGCAGCGGACGGCCTTCACCCGGACGCTCCATGAGGGGCATCCTCTGCGGCATGGGCTGGTGCATGGGCTGGTGTAGTTGCTGGTGCTGCTGCTGGTGCTGGTGCTGTTGCGGGTACTGCTTGAGGCTCATGAGCTGCATGCCGTGCTGTTGCTCGGAGGGGTGTCCGGAGAGACGGGCGTTGGGCCGAAACTGCGGCAGGATGTTGGGCAGGCCCGTGTCCTGCTTGTGCACCTTGTAGCCTGGAGGCACGGCGCCGCCGGGCGGCAGAATGCGGTGGCCGGGGCCGAGGTTGGGGTTGGCGGGGCCGGGACCGCCTAGCGGTGGCGGCATGGTGTCCAGCTTGGGCCGCAAGCCCTGCTGGCCGAGGCCTTGCGGGTACGGCTGCTTGGGGCGTCCGTTGTGGCCGAGGCCCTGAGCGGGGCCCTGCACCGTCTCCCAGTGCGGTCGCGGCCAGTCGGTGCTAGGCGGCGGGCCTCGGATCTTGCCGGGGTCCGCGGGAGGCATGAGGTCGGTGGCGGGCACGGGGCCGGCTGCGTTGGCGGCGGCCGCGTTGTGCGGGGGTGGCAGTTCGTAGGCGGGCTGCTGCTCGGAACCCTCGCGGTCCGAGTCCAAGGCGAAGGGCGGCATCATGTCGGCGGGCGGTGTCTGCGGCGGCGGCCGGCGGAACGGGGGCGGCGCGTCCATGACCTGGCCCTGGCCTTGTCCCTGGCCCTGGACCGCGGCGCCGTGCGGCCTCTGGCTGGGGTGCTGGAAGGAGCCGTGTACCACGATCTCCTTGGTGTCCAGGCCGTCGCGCTCGGCGTCGCGCTCCTGCTCGTTGACGTTCTTGTCGCGCTTCTCGTCGGGGAACACGAAGCGGCTCGTGGAGCTGGCCGGCGGCGGCGCCTTGGTGGTGGACGGCACCTTGGTGGTCTGCTGCTGCTTTTCGGGCTTGTCGTTGGCGGGGGGCACGGCGCCCTCGCGCTCCGCGGCGGTGGTGCTGGTCGTCTGGGCCGTCTGGGCAGTGGGCACTGCCGTGGGTCGCGGGGGCGGCGAGGGGGGCGGCTGACGGAAGGGGCCCGGGGGGTTGGGTCGGGGCGGCTCCACGCCGGGGAAGCGGGGCGGGCCTGGCGGGGGGCGTAGCTGCTGCGGCGACGGCGGCTGGAAAGAGAAGGACACGTAGTTGTTGTCGCCGCCCGCGTCCGTGATGAGATCACCGTAGCCGGAGGGGGGCAGGCCCGCGGGGGGCGGCACAGGGCCGGGGGGCGGCACGGGGGCGCCCTGCTGGAGGAAGCCCGGGGGCGGGCCGGGCCGCCGGTCGTACAGGGGGCGGAAGGGCTGGTTGGCCGCCATGCCGTAGGGGCTGTCGCGGGGAGGCAGTGGGGGCGGCATGGCGATGGGGCCTTGCTGCTGCGGCCGCGGTGGCCCTGGGTAGGGGCTTTGGGGGCGGACCGGAGGCGGGCGCTGAGCGGGGCCGGCGTTGGGGGCAGACGGTTGTCGCGGCGGCGCCTGCTCAAAGACCACCTTGTTGCTGGTGCCGGGCCCCGCACTGGGGCGCTCTGGCACCAGCACCACGTTGGACGTCGTGGGTGCGGCGCTCGTGGTGGAGGAGGCCTCCGCGCTGGTGGGCGCCGGCGTGGTCGTCGTGGTGGTCGTCGAGGTGGGGGCGGGGCTGGTGCTGGTAGTGGTAGTGCTCGGAGATGACTGGGCCGTCACCACGACGGGCTTTCGATTGAACGGCTTCAGGATCATGACCGTGGATAGCTGAGGTCGGCGTGTTGTGGGTCGCACTGTCGTGGTAGTTGTCGACGTGGTGGTTGTTGACGTCGTGGTAGGGGCCTTGGTGGTCGTGGTGGTGGTTGTCGAGGTAGACGTAGAGGCCGGCGTGGTGGCCTTGGAAGCCGGAACTGGCGCATCGGTCGTCAGCAGCCCCATGGCGGGGGGCTGGTGGGAGTTCTGCGGCCGAGGCGAGAGTGCTGGCGCCTGGGGTGGCCTCGGGGGCGGCGCGGCATACTCGTCGTCGTAGCTGTAGTCCGGCCCGTAGTCCACGGAGGGGCCCTCCTCTCGGGGAGGCTTCATGCCGAAGGAAGACTGGGGCGGTTCCACGGGCTCCGGTCCGGAGGGGCCGGAAGGTTCGGGGTACTCTTCGGACTCCAGCAGCGACCAGAACGACGACGCCGTGGTGGGCTTGGGCGTGGGTCTGCGGGTCGTAGCGACGCTGGTGGGCGGCACGCTCGGTCGCCGAGTCACTGTTGTCGGTGCCGGCGTGGTTGTGGTCGTCGTGGTCGTGGTGGTCCGAGGGGTGGTCCGGGCCGTGGTGGTCGACGCCGTGAAGGGTGCCGGGGTGGTGGCCGTGGTCGTGGGCAGGGTGTAGTAGTGCGGGGCCGGCACTGTGCTGGAGGGCGGCGAGTACGGCTTGTGGTTCTTGATGCTGCCGGCAGACGCGCTGTTGCTGCTGGCGCTGCTGGCGCCCATGCCCTGCACCTTGGTGTTGGCGTACGAGCTCGAGATGAGCGGGTACTTGTCGCCCGCACTCGAGTACTTGACGGGCAGGTTGAGGAAGTCGTGGAAGTTGGGCGTGACGATCTTGAGGGCGCCCTGCGAGTCCAGGTCGTTGGGGCGTCCTCGCGTGCCGGCGGTGTCCTTGCGGTCGATGCCGTCGTGCTCCTCGTAGTCGTAGTCGTCCTGCGGGGGCGGCTCGGCGGGCTCCACCTTGGCGGCGCTCAGGTCCAGCTGGCCCGTCACGGGGTCCTTGTCCGCGAAGAAAGGCTTGCCGCCGTTGAGGATGGTGGCGGGGCCCAGCAGGGCGGCGGAGTGCGGGGGCGAGGGGTCGTCCTCCAGTTCCAACTCCGAGTCCCTGGCCTCCATGGGGAGCTGGTCCGCGGGGGGTCCCAAGAGACCATCGTCGGGCGGGGGGCCGGGGGCGCCCAAGACACCCACCGCGGCCACCGCGGCGCTAAGCACCAGCACGGCCAACTGCCACGTCAGTCGCATGGCGAACTGAAACAAAGCAGGAGCACAGATTAGTGAGACTCACTACAAAATCTCAACACTGAACAAGAAGTGTTAGGTTTGAACTTGAACGTCGCACCCTGTTTGGGGTTGACAGCTGCAGGCCCCCGGCCAGGTTGACCATGGAACCATGCCTGGACGGGGAACCGGACCGGCCGCATGCAGGGCCTCCAGGGCGTACACAGCAGGGCCGTTAAACGAAATGAAGGCGGCGCTCTGAGCGCCACGCTTCGCCAGCTTCGCCAGCTTCGCCAGTTCCGCCACGCCCCGCAGCAGCAGTGCAGCAGCACAGCAGCGGGCATGTAGGATGCGGGGAACAAACGGCCACTCACTATGCAGCAAGGCGGCAAGGCGGAGCGCGGACCGCGGCCTGCCCTTATTCCCCTCATTTGAAAACAGCGCCACGCGAGAGCGCCTTTTTATACACCTCGAGTCCGGCCATGCCGGACACGGACACAGCGCACAGGCTCGTCGATTCACAGTGTGTGTCGCAGAAAGGGCAGCCTGCCTCCCCCCGGGCCTTGAGCCCTACCCTGCAAGTCCTTGCTCTATTCCGGGCCTGACGCGTGGCGGCGTGGCGCTTGACGCGCTTGGCGGCGGCAAGCCGGACCGGACCGGGCCGCAACCTGTCCGCGGGCAATCCCTGTGCCGCGCACAGTCTGGTAAAGTCTACGGTCGGCAGGGTAACGCACGGTGCGCGGCTACGCGGCTACGCGGCACGCGCGGCCAGGGAGGGGATTCGTACGGGATTGGCTTTGCGGGACCTGGAAGTATCGCACCGCCTATCTGCTTAGTCAGTTTGCAGGGGGCAGTGGAGCTTGACCTCGCCTGGCCTCCCGTGCGCCGTGCGCCGCGCCTTGGGCCGTGTGTGGTGTGCGGTGTGTGTGCGCGCGGTGTGTGCGTGCCCAGGCTAATCTCCGCGGAGGCCCGGCAGCCAGGTCAGCCAGCCGAATGAACTGGAGGGGTCGTCTGTCTCTCTCGCACCCTCATGGAACGCCCTCACGAGTGTGCGCAGACAGCGCGACGGGAATCTCTTGGCTAGGCAGGGATATCAAAAATACTCTGTGAAACATCGAAAATACTGTGTCTCATCAAAAAATAGCCTGTTCAAAAATAGTCTCTGAGACAGCAAAAATAGTCTGTGAGGTATCAAAAAATAGTCCGTGGGCGGGGAGGGGAAAGAAGGCGCCCCGAAGTTGGGCGTTTCGTCGCGCCGCGCCATGACCACGCCATGACCATGCCCAACGAGGCGTCCAGCGCCCAAGCCGCGGAGAATATCGCCGAGATAATAAAGATATGAAAAAGGAAGGAAGCGTTGCGAATGTAATACCCGACGGTCACGACCGGCCCAGCTACGGGAAACCATGTCGCTTTGCAAAGCAAAAAATGATTTTAAAAAATGGGCAAAAGTAACAACGACGAAGCGGATGAGTTTAATGTCGTCATGTATCGAGGCGGGCGCTGTGGAAGAAAGTCCCTGCTCGTGATACGGAGCGCTCGCGAGTGTGTGTGTGTGAGTGAGCGAGAGGGACGGCGGCCGGGGGCGGACACACACGGCCACGCGGCGTGGCGCGGCGCGGCGCGGACTCGGCGTCCGAAATCAGGTCAGTGGAAGCACCCAACGCGGCCAAAGTAACCATTTAGAAGGGAAACGTGTGAAGTCTGTCGTCGCGCCGGCTGCCGAGGCCCGCCTGCTGCAGACTGACTCCGAGAGTCGCTCCGTCTCTCTCGCACCCACGCGGGACGCCCCATGAGAGCGAGAGAGACGGAGCGACGAAAACGACTCTCGGAATCAGTCTGCTGCCCGGCTCACATGCCCCAGAACAACAAGAGCGGCGGCAGGGCGGCGGCGTGGAGAACACAGTGTAGTACCAGGTACTGTACGGGCCGCGGGCCGCGGGACGAGGCAGACAAGGCGACGACCACGCGGAAGCGGCGGAAACGAAGAGACAGCGGCGAGAACTCTCACTTATCGCGCTCCCACGATAATGCCGAAGCAGACAAGCGGACAACTAGAACGCGGCGCTCTTCTTCCTCGGCGCGGCCCCGTTCCCTGCGGGGAGCCTAGGCAGGGAGACCAGGGAGACCTCGACGCGCGCGCCGGCCAAAGTCAAGGCGAAGGCCGGGCCGCACAGTGGGCCAGAAGACCGGCGCCGGCGGCCAAAACTCTAGACGCGTTTTGAGCTCCAGAGTCGCTAAATGGGACTCGAACCGAACGTGTGACCCCACCAATGGATTGCTCTCCGAACGTCTAGCCCGTAATGGTAATGGTAATGGAGCGCCGTGGCGGTACGCAACCGCTGCGCAGCGGTGCTCGACAGGCCGGTCTGCCTCGCCGGCGCCAGGCGCGCAGCGCGCCCAGCCTTCCATCATGCTTTGTGAATATTCTTTTCTCTCTCGGCGGGGCGCAGCCTTCGCGTCGCTGCCTTCGCGCAGCGCGTGCCGCAGGATTCCGGGTCACCTCTGTTGACACGGCGGCCAGCCTACGGCCAGCCTGCCGGCCTGGACGTCATCGCGGTGGAAAGCGGCGAAGCGGCGAAGCGGCGCTGGCAGGCTTTAAAATGTCTGGCAGCCCGTCGGTGGCGTCGGTGCCCGAGTCGGTGCCCGTTGGCGGACTCCTTGGCTTTGACAGCAGCCTCTGGGCGTGGCGGCTGGCACCACGCTGCCACGGCCGTTTTCAGAGATTTTCACCCCGTGCCGTTACCCTGCTGGCCAATCGAGGCGTGTTTATCCCCCCCCTCTCCCTCGCTCAAGCCCACACATCGCCCAATTCAGTACGAGTGAGGCTTGAGATGTTTGGACGTCCCGGCTGGTTATCGGTGCGGGTTTCCTTGTGTGATGTGCGACAACGACGGGGTCCTGTCCGGTCCAGTGTGAGGCCATGGAGTGGCACTTGGCGAGCCGGAACCCGTAACAGCGGAGCGAGCGGAGCGGGTCGCAGCAGACGATGCCGGTCTCGCCGGCTGAGGGGGAAAGGGGGGGGGGCGTCGGCCCATGGCAAGGCGGGCAAGGCGGGACACACACGACAGGGCCACGGCCAGGGCCACGGCCAAGGCCGAAGGCCGCTGCACCGTTATGGAGGCCGAGGTGAGCCGAGCGGACGAGCCGAGCGCAGCCGAGCCCTGCATACCTGGCCGCGTCGAGCCGAGCCCAGCCGGGCCCGGGCAGGAAGACCAGCAATCTCCAGCCAGCCCATTCCGGGCTCTGGGCCGGTCCCTCTAACTCCCAGCCAGCCAGCCAGCCCGACCACGGCCCTTTCCGAGGCCCTTTCCTCATCTCGTCATTTTTGAGGCCAGCGCGGCCCTGCGGTCCCTTGACGATCTCGCCGTCCCTCGGATAAGGACACGACACAGACGCCAGGATGTGTGGCGGGATCGACACCGCCAGGGCACGGTCGGTCGGCGCCGGCCCAGCTGATAGACAGTGATGGAGAGTGATGGAGGGAGGAGCGACGACAAAGGCGAGGCGAGTCCCGGTCCGGCGCCCGCCCCGCCCCGCCCCGCCCACTCCGAGACAACCCCGAGCGGCGACAAAGGCGCCCCAGTGACACTTTGGAGCGACCAAATCGGACCAAAATGGTTCGCCGGCGTGGGAGAGGCCGAGTATCGTCGACCACGTCCCGTCCGAGGAGACACGGCGGACTCGGACGGGAAAGCGCGTCGCGCGAGGCACTGCGAAGCGCGGCACGCGTCAAATGGGCCTTTGCTGCCTCTGCCCGCCGCTGCCTGCTTGGCACCTGTTTTGCGGCACGGCGGCACGCCGCCCGTCGCCCCGTCTGCCTCGCCGACGAGGATATAATGGAAAGTGCACCTTCATTTTCTATTCTCCGGAGTGGCGTCGCCAGCCGCGGTGCGGTCGGGCGCGGCGTGGGCGCGGTTTGGCGTGGCGGCGAGGCAGGTACCTCGTCCTAGCGTAACCTCTCCAAAAGTAGTCCCTCCTCACGCCGAATCGCAATTTTCTAGTTTCCCATTGTTGTATTACCTGCGGGACTCATTTCTGTCCCCGGGCCACAGCGGAGTGATTCGGGAAGGTTGCACTTCAAACGTTGACAAAATAGCCGACTGCCTTTGATGTTGCCTGCCGCCCCACCCACTCCCACCCCCACCCCCACCCCCGCTCCGACACTCACAACAACACCCCGGCCGGTGCGATGGGATGCGCGCCGAAAGGAAAAGTGAGGATCTACACTCTCAATCTCTGTCTCTACCTGATTTTACTTTTCACGGCCGCAGGGCGACAGGGGGTCGAGGGTGGGGGCGGGGGGCGGGGGCGGGCCAGCGAACCTGCCGCGCTGCTGACCGCTGCGGCTGCACACGAAACGGGCAGGCGAGGCTGGCGAGGCCCGAGGGACATCGCTGCCGACGCCGTGACGCCGCGGTGCACTTCGCAGTGTCGCCTCGTTACAGTTATGACACCGCGGTGATGCCGGTGACGGCGTCGCCGCGACGCGTCCGGCACGCGTTGTGACATGGCCGTGACATGGTCGTGACATGTGTCGGTCCGTTCGACAGGCGAGGGGCACGCCACCGGCACGCCTTTAGCCTCCAGCATCCTGATTGGGCGGACCGTTAGCGAGCTCCAGTTCCGAGACACCGCGCCGTGCCCTGCCGCGCCACGCCGCGCCGCGACACGCCCTGCCACGCCATGGAACTGGAACAACCTTGAACCTGGGCATGGGCAGTGCATGGCGCGCCACGGCGGGGCGGGGCGGGTCCGGCGCGCCGGCTGCGCTGATGATGGTGATCGGTGGCCAGGAGAAGCACCCGGCGAAATCGTGGCGTTCATAGGCGTTCCGCAGCGCGACGCGCGAAACTAAAAAGTTCGCCTGCCGAGAAGGACTTCTCTGACTCCTGCCGGTCGCCCGATTCGCCCAATAGACACAAGAGGGCTGCCATGCAAGCCGCAGACCGAATTTTGCATACGCAAGTTAGAAGGCACTTGTCTCCGTCCGCACACCGCTACACTCACCTGACGGCGCGGTTACGAAAACGATTGCTTATCCAGGGGCTTGACGGCGCACCGCTCTTCTTGTCACGTCACGGCACACACACTCACTCACACACACACACACAATCACAAACGGACACTGGCGTTGGCGCACATCCTTGCACGCTGTGTCGTCGGGGGCTGGAGGCTGACTGAACCAATGTAGGCTCGGAGGAAAGGGGCCCTCCCGCTGCTCCTTCCCCGCCCCTCCCTACCTGCCTCACCTTGCGGGGCCTGCCGTGGCCTGCCGTGGCCTGCCGGCCGGCGCTGGGGAAGGGGGGCGTAGGGGGGCGGGCAGAGGGGGGTCCAACCGTCCAACCCCACCTTCAGGTACAGTTAGCTATGGGTTCCTGGGGCGGGACGACGCGGCGCGCCGCTGCGCTGCCGGCCTACCGACGCACGTATGGGCCGTGCGCCTGGCCGGCCTGCCCCCCTCCCCCCTCTCCCTTCAACCCTTTTCGCCGGCAGGGCCGCGCAGAGGGCTCAGCAACAATCGAAAGTGGCGGCCAAGGCCGGCATCCGGGCGTCCACCGCGAAGCGGTAGCGGTCGCCGATATTCAGCTTCTGCGGCTCGGCGGCCTGCCCCCGGCTTGCCCCCCGTTGCGTGCTACGCTTGCTACGCTGCTGCACGGAACAGCACCCATTCCGGCTCCAGCAGACTCATTCCAGAGAGTGGTTTCTGTCTCAGTCGCACTCGCGGGGCGCGCCGCAAGGGTTGCGAGGTGCGAGAGCGACAGAGCGTCGGAACGATTCGATTCCTCGGAGTCGCTCGGCAGGTGGCGCTTCGCGATTCGCGCTTCTCCGCCGAAATCCACTTCCAGTGGGAGCGCGCGCCCGCCCCCCGAGACGGGCCGCGCTGCCGCGGCCATGGAACGGCCCCCAGTTCTACTTCTCGATGGCTGGATCAAGAGATTGGGGGCCGATGTTGGCCGTCGACCCAGAACGCGCAGAACAGCGCAGCTAGCGCAGCCGGGGACGCGCCACCAATTGACAGCTCGCTGCCAAACGCTTTGGCGCGGCGTTCACTTTTCCTTGCCGCTGCGCCGCTGCCGCGTTCATCGGCTCTGTCTCTCTCGCTCGCTTGCGTCGCCACACGTAGGGGCGACAGAGACGGGGCGATGAAAACGATCCGTCGCAACGGCTGGGCTGATGCACTCACTCACTCCGCCCACACTGCCTTCCCTGCTCCAGTTCCTGGGGGCCTGGGGGGCCATTCCATTTCCCGACGGCTGGCGGCCTGGCGGTCGACTTGAGCTGCAGCGGCGCCCCGTTTCCCCCCAGTGCACCCAGTGCTGCACCCAGTGCACCTCGCGGTCCTCATTAGTGCGTCGGCCGTCTCTCTCGCACCCACTGCTCGGGAGGGGGCGCCCCACGAGTGCGACAGAGACAGAGCGAGGACGCGCGGAAGCAGTGAGCAGGCCGAGTGGGCGTGGTTGCAGGACGGGCCCTCGGCGACCGCTGCCACGGCAGTGTGTGTGCCGCGCCCCGATTGCGATTGCCGGTCATTGCAGAAGCGATTGCAATTCATTTGTGATTGCAGAGCAAGTGCAGCGCGAATCGGGGAAATCGGCCCTCCGCGTACTTAGCGGCGTGGCGCCTTCGTGAAAGCTCATCAGGAAGCAGAGGACGTCGAAGAAGGAGCCGGCGGCGGCGATGAAAAATGTCGCGGCTGGAATACCCGCGCCTTGCTGCGCCTTGCTGCGCCTTGCCCGCGGCGGCGACGCGGAGGTTCGAACCTCGCGCGGTGTTCCGGTTGGTTCCTGTTGCTGCGACATTCCACGATCCTCGACGGTCGACTCGGTGGACTCGGCGCGCGCTTCCGATGGGCGCCACCCAGTCGCCACGCATCCCGACGAACCGCGGCCGCCGCCTGTTTCTCTTTCGCCCCATCGCTCCGTCCTCCTCTGTCGCTCCGCATGGGGCGTCCCGCTGGGTGCGAGAGAGAGGGGTGGAAGGGTAGAGCCAGGCCCGGGCGGCACGCGCGCACGCCGTCGCACGGGTCGCGGGGAAAGTCAAGATCGCGGCGTGGGCGAACGACAGCGCGGCGGCAGCGCCAAATCGCGCGACGGCGACGGGCAAAACGCGTCGCGGGAACAAGGATTTGGCTGGACGCGGAATGCCCCGAAAACGGTGGAAAACGGAGTCGCATTCCGCATTCCGCGCTGGAAAGAGAAATCCCGCGCCGCGATTGTTTATCCCCATCGCTCCTCGTTCTTCGGGCACGGCCAGGCACGGCCTCGCGGCATGCCGTGGCATCATGTGGATCGGTGACGCGTTACGACTCCCTCCGCTGCGCTGCGACACTTTCTCGTCTTGTTTACCCAAAGTCCCTCACGGCATCGTGCCCGTCAGCCTGGCGCTGTCGGTCGCTCGATCGGTCGGTCACCAGTTTTGCGACTCTTTCGTCTACTCCACTTTGTGGCAAGCCACAAGCATGGCACCGAGAGTCGCGACCGTCGCGACGCTGCCACCCGTTCCAACTCCGAAACCGCTCTGTGGACTGACTCCGAGAGTCGTCTTCGTCAGTAGTATGCGCGGGTGCCCTCAGTAGTTTCGTCGCTCTGTTTCGATCGCACTCATTAGGCGTTACGTGCAGGTGCGAGCGAGACAGAGCGACGAAAACGACTCTCGGAATGAGTCTGCTGGGGAGGTGCGCCCGGCCAAGCCGCACCCCTTTTCTTTCCCGTTCCCTCTCTTTCGGCAGGTAACACGGGAAGGACCGCAGGACCGCCGGGGATTCTCGGTAGGGCGCCCAGCGCGCCCTTCACTCTGTCTCTCTCGCACTCATGGGGCTCTCCGTGACGTGAGCGTGCGAGAGAGACAGAGCGACAAAGCGATCTTTCGACAGGCCCTGCAGGACCTCGATTCCACGCAACCCTCGTCAGTCCCGTTATGACGTGGCCTAACCCTTTTTGCCCTCTCCTCCTTCTGGAAGTCTGCGGTCCCTTTCGAGTGGTTCTCCTTTTGTCTGGATTCCTGCGCCATGCCTGCGCCATGCCTGCGTCCAGCCTGGACGGCCGGGACCGGTGCCGTGTGTCCTGGCGGCGTCCGCGCCGTGGTAGACGATGGCGTACTGTTCGACCCGCTCGGCACTCGCCGCGATCGCGGGGCGGATTGCGAGCTCGGCGTGACTCCGGCCACAGTGTCGTGCCACGTCGTGCCGCCCTGGCCGAAGCACTGCTTCGCCTTGCCGGAGAGGCCGAGAGGCGATGCGCCAAAATGCAGCGGCCGCTTCTTTCCGTCCTCGGTGCACTCCCGCGCGCCGGTCGGAATTGGAGCGGCAGACTGATTCCGAGAGTCTCTGTCTCTGTCGCACCCACACGGGGGACGCCCTATGAGAGCGAGAGAGAGAAGACAGGGCGACGAAAACGACTCTGGGAATCAGTGTGCAGCCGATGGTGTAGGCGGGGTCTTGACGTGACCCACCCCTTGCACCTTGCCCTTGATCGCTGGAACCGCTAGGGGTCATTGCGCGAGGTGACGGCGCGACGACGCGACGGCGTGCTATTGGCGATCCCGTCCCCCTTCCCCTGTGTCACAGTGTGTCACGGCCCTCTAGAGGCGCGGACAGCCGCTTTTCTCCGCACCGCCTCCGCCCGTCGCGTCGGACGCGTCGGGCTGGCCGTCGCTGTCCTCCGCGGGGAGCTCCTCGCCCACCGCGTGCCAAACTGGGTCGAGCAGGTTGGTGAGGCTGGTGGTGTTGACCGGGCGCGGCGCGGCGAGGCGCGGCGCACCCAGCGCAGCAACCTGGGACTTGGCACGCGGAAGCAGCGGAAGGGAAGAGCAGGCGGGAGGCTGCGGCGCGGCGCAGGACGTGCAGGACGCAGCCAGGCGGATGCACGCGGCAGGCCGGGCAGGCCGCAGGAGAAAGGCGTCACTAAATTCCCTCATTTGCATATTCGCAGCGCGAACCTCGCGAGGCGCGCCGACGCCGCCGATGTGGCGCTTCGGGTGCTTAAGGAGGCGGTGAGCACCCCGAGCAAGCAGTGCGACGTCCAGGACGACGAGGACGCCGTCAGTCTCATGAGTCTCATGCGGGATTACGGTAGTTAAATGCCCGGAAGTGGTGCAGCGGCGGCGCGGGTACGCGGGCCGCACGGCCAGGCGGAGCGCAGCGCCCAGGCAGCGCCCCGGCTCCTCCAATGAGTGATGACTCAAGCAGGAATGCAGGGAAAGTCGACACGGGCGGTCCCTTGGCTCCCCCTGCCCTGGTCCGGCCGCCGCGTCACACCCATCTCCCGCATTTCCCTCTCGCGGTGCAGTGGCGCCGTGGCGCCGCCAGCTAGAGGCGCTCAAGGCCGCGATGCCCGACGTCGCTGCGTTTCGCGTCGCCGAGCGTCGCGTCGTCTGGTAGCGGCCAACCGCTCGGGGGAAGCCCCACTGCAAGGCACTGCCAAGGTGCGAAGGAACCGCCACCGGCTCGCTCTGCCGAGCGGTTCAGAAGAGCGGCTTGTCTCTCTGTCTCTCGCACGCCCTTATGGAGAGCCCCACGAGTGCGAGAGAGACAGCGACACGCAACACGCCTTGCGCTGTCCCAAGCGCGGCATCGCTTGAACGGTGCGCGTCTTGCCGGGTCACACACTGGTTCCGGAGGCCGCGGTCACCAGGGAAGCTCAGCTGAAGCCGAAGACCCGTCATCCTCTCGAGCAGTCGAACTTTAGCTCTCATTGGGTGAACGATCAAGGAGCTTTGGGCCTTGCGACCCGAGCACTGAATTATTGAAACAGCTGAGTGTCTTTGGCGCGGCAGGTTTGCTACACTGGAGCACCGCCTTTTGCTTCTGTAGGCCCCCCTCCCCCCCCTCTCCCCTGTCGTCGGCACAACGTGCGTACGAAACATGTTGTTTATGTGCCGCTGATAAGCACAACAAGTGTAACAAATTGTTTAAACCACCAAAACGGACCGTCGACATCGGTTGCGTTTCACGACCAAAGCACTGCACCTCCTGCCTTGCTGCTGACACCACCGCGGACCCCTCACAATGGACTGTGCCGACGAAAGTAAGCACGGTGCGCCTGGCACGTGTGTTTATATCCCTTGTTTTCGTCCACTCGTCCCTTCTGGACCCTACACTTTACTTTACTCGCCCACCAGGACGTGAAAATCATGTCAACCCCCTGACACGGTTGTCCCGGTCGTTTCTCTATCTGTCTGGTGTGACATTAGTTTCAGTGTGCTAGGTTAGGAAGCAACTTTGTGTGACTTTTTGACCACAGAGAATGAAGATTTACGAAGCTAATAAATAATCGTCACGGCCTACTGTTCATTTCATTTGAAACAGCTTGTGTCGTTGTTTACGTTCTCTGCTTACTGCGTTTATTAGTTAATTGTATGAGGATTACTTCAATACACATTGTTCTCTTGAGCGCTTGAATCAAAATTGTACCTTTTAAATTTTTATGTGCTTATTTTAACACCTTTATGTTGCAGACATCCCTGATTTATGCCCGAACAAGATGGATACTGCAGACAGTGAAGATGATGACAACTCTGATGCTTGGGATGAAACTGACGTTCCAAGTAACCAATTGACAAAGTGTTTGTTTTGCACAAAAGTCTTTACAATTGTTGAAGATGCCTTGGAGCATGCTAGTAAAGACCATAGTTTTGACCTTCCTGGTCTCAAGATGCGATTGGATATGGATTGTTTTTCATTCATTAAAATGATAAACTTTCTGAGATTGCACCCAATGGATGTCAAAGAATTAATGACTGTCCAGAAACCGCTGTGGAATGACGATAAGTATATGAAACCTACTCTAGAGGATGACCCCTGGCTTATGTATGGTAAGAATTTATTAGTCGATCTTCTTTATTTATTTTATGTTTTTTCACCTTGGTTGTGTGAATTATTTCTTCACTCATTATTTTTCTCCTTAGATTTTGATGATATTGAAACCCCACTTCCTAACATGAGTTCTGGTGATGGAAGTGGTGGATTTCTGGCCAATGCGGAAAATGGTATTGTAACCCTTTCTGAACAACATTTTGCTGAACTTCAAAAAAGAATTCAAGCACTCTCAGTTGAGGTACTTTGGATTTCTGTTATGTGAATATCATTCCATTCTTACTTCGTAACTCAATTAATTTTTAAAATATATTTTTGTTAGGTTCGAGTGAAAAACTCTCTTTTGGAAGCAGCAGCTGAAGACATGAAGCGCATGCGTACCCTAACCCAAGAGCTGGTTGAAGGAAGTAGTTCAAACAGCATATGTGATAAACCAGTTGACCGTAAAGTAGCCTGTTTAACTTTGAGTGAAGACCAAAGTTATTTTGATTCATATGCTCATTTTAGTATACATCTTGAAATGTTGTCGGTGAGTCATTGCTCTTAATAAGATGAAATCTTAATCTGTCTATGGAATCCTGTACTTACAGTTCCATTCAATTTTTTTCTCTGTTCTGAAATTTTCAGGATGTTGTGAGAACCTCCAGTTATCGTGATGCATTGCTGAAAAATTCCTCTGTGATAAAAGGCAAAGTAATTTTAGATTTAGGTTGTGGCTCCAGTATCTTGTCCATGTTTGCAGCTAAAGCTGGAGCCCAAAAAGTGATAGGCATTGATCAGTCGGACATAATATACAATGCTATGGATATTGTGAGGTATGATTTAAGTCTCTAAAATCCAATGCCTTTTTGCTTAAATGAAGTCGCTCTAACTGTTTCTTCTGTTTCTCCAGGGAGAATGGCCTTGAATCTCAAGTGACGCTTGTGAAGGGACGTTTAGAAGACACAGTCATTCCAACTGAAAAAGTGGATTTAATTGTTTCGGAATGGATGGGATACTTTTTATTATTTGAAGGAATGTTAGACAGTGTAATGTATGCCCGTGACAAACATTTAGCTGAAGGTGGTTTTCTCTTGCCGAATCGATGTACAATGCATCTCGTTGGCATTGATGATGCAGGTAATTTCCCTCGTTAATGCATGTGGTACATTTCTGTATCTTTTAGAGTTGATTAATTCATACATTGTTTGCAAAGTGATTTTCTTAACAATTTTTTTTTTTAGGGCGCCACAGTGAAGTGGTTAAATTTTGGGATAATGTATATGGATTCCGAATGAGCACCCTAGCCGCAGAAGTTCTTAAGGAACCCTTTGTCGAAGTTGTCCCTAAGAGTGCCATTGCAACCTCATCACACACTTTGGTTGAGCTCGATCTTATGACTTGTTCCACAAGAGACTACTCCCATATTTCCAGTCCTTTCAAGCTAGAGGCATTACGTGACACATCGATAACAGCATTAGCTGGTTATTTTGATACATTCTTTGACCTGCCAGAAGAAAATGTGTCTTTTACTACAGGTCCTCATGGCGAGCCTACTCATTGGAAACAGACCATCTTCTACCTTAAAGATCCCATTTCTGTTAAGAAAGGTAAGATTAATGTTGGTTATTTTGTTTTTTTTTTAAGTTTACCAGGCTTAAGTGGATACTGATTTTTTTTTTCTTCATTTCAGGTGATGTACTTGAAGGACACTTATTATGCCAGCGCCACCATAAAGAGATTAGATCACTTCACATATGCATAACTTTGTCTGGTACAAAGCATAATTATTACATGGCCAGTGGCTCTGGGTCAGACTAATAACCAATTTCAAGCACATTCTTTGTTATTGTCCTAAATGCATTTTAAAATTTGAATATAAATAAATGAAATTTAATATGGATAGTTACTGTGTTAAAAATTTATATACCTGTGGAAAATCTCAGCATACTGTTAAGTGTGCACAGCAGGAGAAGGGCAAATAAAGAGGAGAATTCTCTAATGCTGTAAAAGCTGTATTCTTAAATAGTGAGGCAGATAACATATTCTACAATAATAATTATAAACGATAACCGATTAAACAAAGACTAGATGATCACAGTGCCACCTTGTGACAATAGGCTCAACACTCAAATATTTGTTTACAAAATAATATGTCGAAAACAAAAACCTTAAACTTGTAACTGGAGGAATGACGAGCAGATGGAATCACCTTCTTGATTGAGTATCATTTAGTAAAGAGAAACACCTTCCAGTTAAAGGACACACATTGGCTAAACGCCCGCATTCAACATGTGTCACTACGTCATTTGGGTACCGTGCAAACTTCATATCAGTAAAAGGCTTCTTGCAGACACAGCAATAACTGAAACAGTAGGAGAGGTCGTTTAGTCAAAGCTGTCCGCTGTCCACTGGAGAAGAAATAACAGCCTTCTCTGAGCCACTTACTTTGAATCCATCAACTTAAGGGAATGTCTTTCTAAATCATATAAAGAAACTGTCTTTTGAATACTGTCTGCTTTGGCCAAAGATTTTTCCATTTTGTTGATTCGAAACTGAAAACGAGCAAAGGGAGATGAGGTAATAAATGTATTTTCACAAAAAAATAATTTAGCAGAAAACTTAACTATACCTTGGTCATCGATGACCGGAGAGCACCTTGTAAGAAGGATTCCAAGATACTAACTGACCACTGATCAGGTATTATCTCAATTGCTTTAATGGGGTCCAATTGAGATGCATGTTTATTTAGTAATTCAAGAGCTGGTTCAAGGTAATCATCTCCCTGAACTCCACTGGAAATAGAACAGAAGAGCGTAAAGTTAAGCTTGAATCCATTGGAATGACAAAATAAGCTTCAATCATAACTTGAGGCCTTACCTGAGCTTTGGATCAAGATATATTGCGAGAAGAGTGTTCAATAATAAATTAGGAGCATTGCTGTTCTTGCCACCATTGATAAGACAGTATTCTTCGGCGGCTTTGAAGTCCCTCAGTTGTCTGACTAGTATGCTCAGAGCCTTGTCGTGGTCACCCATCTATTTGAAAGGAAAGACACTCAATGGATAGTGAGGCAAAACAAAGACAGAAAAAGTGCCATGAAAGTATAATTGAAAAATTTCTTGAATGGGTGAACTTTGTTTTACTCACTTTTCCATACAGGAGAGCAACCTCTTGATCCAAACCTAGATCTCGAACTTTTGGTAGTAGAAACTGAGCTCGGTATTGGGATGATCCAATTAGAAATTTCCTGAGCCTCAATATATTTTCATCCAATTCTCTTTGATTGTCAATCCCGGAAGTCTTCAGCTTTGATATCCGGTCAACATACTGAACAGCCAACTGCGTGTGGAACTTTTCTTCCTATGAATTAACAGAACATGAAATGTGATCAAGATTCTATTCAGATATTATTTTTATCATCAGAGTGGTTCAAAGATGAGCACATACTTCATTTCCCCCATCATTGATCAGATGTTCTAGGTACAAAATAAGTGAGTTTGGATAACGTTGAAGGTAGTTAGCTACAGTGTTGGGATCCAGATTCATGGAAACAGGACCTTTTGAATGATCATTGGCATCCTGCAAAAATAATTCAACCCCTTCTTCTTCATTGGAGTCCAAAACCAAATCTGCATACTGCCACAGAAGATCTGGATTGCCCATACTGAAAATAAAATGGATCGATTTTCAATGCAAGTTTAATGAACAAAATCAATCAACACAGTGCAGAGCCACAGCATTTCCACTTACTTTTTCAAAATCTGTGCAAAATAGCTCACTCCTTTGAAATTGGAGTCCAATACTTCTCCTGATATCAATTGGCACCAAAGGGATAGAGCCTCTGATTGTTTCCCATTTTGCAGCATAAGTAAAGCTCTAGCATGGTGAAGAGATTTTGATTTTAGCCATGAGTTGCAGCATTGAAAGTCACCCTTGAAACGGTTGGATTCCAATAACGCTTCCAGTTCTTTATTCTGACCAAGCTCAGCGTACAATTTTACCAAAGCCGTATCAATTTCCTGTTGAAAAAGACAAAGTATTAATTCACTTTTAAAAGAGAAATGTCAGAATGTAAATGTTTGAGGGAAATTAAACTTACCAATGGGAACAAACTCTTCCTAGAATCATGGGCCATTTGCAAGAAATGAAGCAGAAATTGTTTAGCCTCCTGAATTTTCCCCCCATCACCGTGATAAAGTTGAGAAATGTCAGCAATACTGTGGAGAGGTGGGACTGCACGCACAAAAGCTGGAATTCAAAGCAAAAATTTACCAAATGTTTTAAGCAACTTTTAATTTCTTTTTTGTAAGAATGGAAATAAAACTGACAGGTTGATGAAGGTAGTAGGCCAGGGAAGAGAGATATCAGTTCCCTTTCATCAACTTCTGAGTCCAAAAATAGGTCCAAGGCAACCTCAAGCTCAGAACGAGCAAAATAAATGAAAGCTGCTTGCTGCTTGAATCGCCTCTTCAGAGGATCGACATGACCCACCGAGCGGTTGTGAGGACCCATTTTCTCAAGGAGAGCAAGAGCTTCCTCCACGTGTTCATCCAACAATAGCACCTACCAGACAAAAAAAAAAAAAAATTGAAGACAACAATACTCAATGAGTGAAACAAAAACAGTGACTTAAGGATTTTAACACTCACTTCAACCTGTTTCTCCCATGGAATAGGCACCAATGCATTCAACTCATTCGGAGAGCAAACATATATATGTCCATCATAATTTCCAATTATCTGTCCACCAACAAATGGAATAGCCTGCTTTTGCTGCTGATCTACAATACTATATGAGAAAAAAACCAAGATTATTGTTCAAAGTTTTCTGACTCTCAACAAATCAATCATATCAATGTACCTATGAATCATGATGATTTCATTGCTAACTCCTAATATGTACGGATGATGGAAAGCAAGTGAGGTCAAAGGGTACGACCACTGCAAAGGAGGTCGGGTTGAGGTACCACCAGAACATACAAAGATCCCCAGGCCATCTGGACCACTGACCAAAAATTCCTCCTGTTCAGAAAACATAGAGATAGCTCTGTTAAAAAAAATAATATAGACAACAGAATTTGGATGGTAGGGTAAAGAAAGATTGAAACTTGCCTTTGCCACCCTACAAATAAAGGAAGCAAACCCATCTTTGTCAAATGGAAACAGATCCTGCACCAAGCCCAGATCACAGTCAACAATAACATACTTCGACCGAAGGGCAGCGCATATTACGCTACAGTCAGCACCAAGGCTTTTTGCAGGCTCTGGTAGACTGTAGGATGTCGTCTGAACAAGTTTGTCTTCAATAGTAACGTTGTATACCGCAACCTGACTTTTGGACACAGGGGCAACACAAATCTACAAAAGAAATGGTCACCACGAACACATTGGTCATGTTTTACAAAAACCTGAGAGGGCAACTGAAGAAAAGAGACAGTACCTGCACAAGGAAGGGATCAGAAGTTGTTGGATTTTCATTGACACAGAATGTTTGAATGTTTTTTAATTTGGTTCCAGTTTCCTCAAGACTGTTTAGGCTCAGGACGAATAGAACAGTATCACACAGTACTATTAGCTTTTCTAATGCTGAGGCTGCTTTCATGATGCGTACCGGCTTTTTCTGTCAAAATTTAAAAATTATTTAAAACAACAATTTTTTTTAAAAACGTATGGTACATTTATGACAGAAGACTGGAAGGGCTCTGACTAAATTCAAAAACTCACAGAGTCAAAAGCATGCTGCCCCTCTTTCTGGTACAAAAATGGTGAATCAGAATCGTGCTTAACTCCTGTTTCTTGAACAATATACTTCAAAATGTAGCTGCAATATTATGCAAGATAGGATTATAGAAGTTAATCATGATTGCTCCAATAAAAATAATAATAATAATTAATACGGCTTACCCATCACTTGTTCCAATGAAAATGTATCTTCCGCAACACTCTATGCAGTCAATCTAAAGATGTGTGATACAGAAGAAAAGAATCGTTAACAGTTTTTCTTAACAGATTAAAACACAATAATGTTGCTGGAAAGAATACTCGAAATGACGACAAAAGCTAATAATATTGACACTTGGGATGAGGTCTAACCTAACGTTGGGGATGAGTTAAAATTGACATAAGAACCAATAAGGCAGGAAGAGAGAAAAAATTTCAGCAATAGTGGCTACAGGGTCGAAGATCTTACCTTCGCATTTTTATCACCAGGTGACGCGAATTTAGATATTGATGGGACTAATTCATATGCTTTGACACTCATCTTAGCTGAGTTGACAGACAAAAATGACAGCTAATGTTTTGATGACGTACAAATCTTAGACAACACTCGTGGATATTGGCAAAGAGCTGTTTCAACGAAACGCCATCAGGAATAAGGAATATCTTGCCTCATCCACAGCTATAAACAAAGTAAACAATTAATGAACATTTCAGTAAACAGGTTGTAGACGACAGACAGTGATCTGAGCAGAAAAACAACATCCGGCCTGCAACTGACCAGGAATTTTGCTACCAACTTGCACAGCCATAAATAGGACACGTTACGTTTTGCCATGTTCGTAACCCTCTTTAAATTTGTTTGTTATTGTTTTTTCACAAACCCTCTAAAATTTGAATGTGTTTCATCCTTTTTACTGGAAAAAGTTTCCATTGATTTATTGGGCTTATTTTATCAGATGTTGGACAAAGTGCAGATGTGTATGAACTGTGTCCCCCGGTTTGTTTTTAGCGCGCATTTTCGAATTTTTGCATAACTCTGTTTTCCATCCGCCATTTATGGGAATGACAGTCAAAAAATAAAATAAGTAAGAACTTCTATGTTTATTGTACTGAAAAAAAAAAAATAGTCGACTCTTTGACGTTGATTGCCTTGGTTCGTACCGGAACCAACCGGAACCAGAGCACTGCAAAATCGTTTGTCGCACTTCACTTCCTTTCCCGGAACTGCACCGAACAAGTCCGAACAGGTACGAACGGGCAGCCGGCGCATCGTCTGCTGTCATCGCGTGGGTTCTTTCTGACACCAACGCCGACAACGCACGTGTTGTCATTGAGTCCAGCACCGTCACGTCGATAGGTCCTCGTCTTCGTCTCGTCAGCCCCGCCCTGACCCATTCGCTTGTGGAGGATCTTTGGAGGATCGGACGCTACGATTTTGCCAACTTATTACCATGCTCCCGAAAGAGCCCGACGCTTTGGCGCCAACCAACTTGGCTGCAGCGTGGGCTAGTGTCAAAGATCTGACGACGGTGAGTTACATCATTACTTAAGTGGAATGAACGGGCGCGGGCGGTGCTCCGTTCAAGTCTCCAAATGTCAAGTTTATCTTGGGTTTGCACCTGTTTACCACTGATCCAACCTCAACCGCTTCTCAAAGAATGCAATTATGGCTAGACATGGCGAAATCGCTACCCCCTAATAAACAACAAACTTATCCGACTCTCTGAGCGACCTGATGCATCGTCTTTCGCCTTCCATTTTGCAGGCTGTCAGAAGGAAAACAGACTACCTCAACAATAACAGTGGTGGTGCGGCTGGTGCAGACGATGACGGCGATGACGATGACGTCGTAGTCGTCGAGGTGGTGGCCTTGGCATCGGCCTCGGCCCCGGCTGTCCCGGCCGCCCCGGCCGCGGCGTTCAAGACTCGCAAGCTCTCCCGGAGGGTGGCGCAGGCGGCGCAGGCCCAGCTGCCGCAACAGGCGCGCGTGGTGCGTCGCCGGGGTTCCGACGACGTGGACGACGAGGAGTTCTTGCACACGGTCTTGGTGTGCTCCAACTGCAGCGACCTGTTCCCCACGCGCAATGAGCTGCTGCTGCACCGCCTGCAGTGGCACCCCCTGCAGCCCTACCAGTGCCCCGAGTGCATGGCCGCCTTCGCGCAGGCCGAGCTGCTGGACCAGCACCACCTGACGCACACCAGCGACCGGCCGCACCCCTGCCTGCACTCTGGCTGCCAGAGGCACTTCTCGCTCAAGGTGCACGTCAAGACCCACACCCGCGCCGTGCACGGCCAGCCTGCCCAGCCCACTGTGCGCAGCGCGCCGAGGGCCCGCGCCCCCGGCCCCAGCGGCCCCAGCCCCGAGTACAGGTGAGTCACGTCGGGGGAAGTCCAGCCTTGGTCCATCGCTCTCGCTCGCTGCTCTGCATGAGCGGTCTCTCATTCATTTCGTCTTCTGTTTTGCCTGCAGGTGTGGCACCTGTTCCAAGGTGTTCCAGTCAGCGACAGGATTAGCCAACCATCAAAGGTGCCACTCTGATGAGCGCCCATTTTCCTGCGACATGTGCTCAAGCACATTCAAGCTGCGTTCCAATCTTAGTCGGCACACTATAAAAAGACACCCACAGTAAATGTTCTGTAGCTGTTCGTGCTTGAAATTTCTCTAATTGTGCATGAGTCATTGCTTTTAGTTTGTTATTTTGTAATTTCTGTACTGTAATAATTTTTTTGAAGAAGTTTTGTTGCTTTATGTTGTTGATTTTAGTCTCATGAAGTCATAGTATTAAAGTTGTTTTCTCATAGGTCTTAGTATATTTCTAATGCACATCAAAAATTTATGTAGAAATTGTATATGTGAAAGATTTAAAAAAATATGAATGAAGAAACAAATTTTCTTTCTTGTAAGTACCAATTTTACTACAGGGCGGAAATTTTATTTACAGTTAAGATCTTGCTCATAAAATACGTTCTAAGTGGCTTACCAATGATATCAGAATAGATCAATATCGATTGTGAAAGTATAATGACTGTAGGCATGAATCATACATTCACCTAACTTCAGGTGCACTGCTATGCTTCCTCATTTTCACTAGTGACTGTTGCATAAGTTAAGAATTCAGTGAATTCTACAGTAAGAAAAGTGAAGCTTGCACATACAGTAAGCAGACAAGAGGTAGGTTAGTATATGCTAGGGAGGGGAACAAAATAAAAACTTGATCTGACAATCCAAGTTTTCAAGAAACCATGATCCCACCAAGGTTGAGGTTCTGGTTTATTAGCAAACCAAAGTGGGGAAAAGTTAAGGATTCCAGATTAATTTGTGACAGTTAATAAACGCTCCAAAGGCCTTGGGGTGTTCTTCTGCAAGGTCAGCAGCAAGGTAACTTATAAAACTGGCAAGAAAGCACTTATACCTAGCTCTATTTCAGGCATAATTATGTAGAATGCCTACAATGGTTGAATCTCTCTTACATATTAGGTTATAACAATTGCGTCATTGCCTTTAAGAACACTAAAAAATACTTTAATGCTGGCCCAAAAAAGGAAACGGGCAATGAAGTTCCACAACAATAGAAATGAAGAATAATCTAGTAAAATCTTATCACTTGCACCAGGCAAATAACTGTCACGGTTCACAGGAGGGCACTTCACTTGAACTTCAATCTGCACCTAGCCACTAATACTTGCTGTCTTTTTTACATGTGGCATTACCCTAGACCTCTCATTTAAATCAACAAGAACATGAACCCCTTTCAACAGACAAAAACTAAACAAGTTCAAAAATTCAATAGTTAACAATCTACAACAAAATCAAAAATTAATGAACTAGGGAACTATTGTGCTTATAAAATAAACATAGTCACAACATTTGTGTTAGGAAAACGTAACAAAGCATCAGTATACTAGCCCTAACTGAATAATGTTAAAAGTGAGAAGTCAAGTCATCACAAAAAGTGAAGTGGAGAGGATCAGAGAGAGAGAGAGAATGGAATAAAGAACAAGTACCACATCCACATCTGTCTTTCATGACCACAATTTCCTTGAGCCCAGTGATTGACTTGAAATCTTTCAGGTTTGAAACAAGTGATTAAAGTAAAAACATTGAAACAACAATGGTGGATTCCCCATGATACTATGAGAATGCTTGTGCTCTATTATCCTATGCATAATGAAACCTCAAAGGTCACTTTTATTTTGAATTTACCAATTTAAAGGGTTATTGTGGTTAATGAGGAACGTAATAGAAAATGTTGTCCATTATCAAACTAAGATGGGTTCCTACAATTAAAGGAAACCCTGTTCAAACTAATTGTGACACACGTAGTCGTGGAGGCCGGAGAGTGAGACATGATATCACCAAATCTCCCACTAACAATAAATCTATGTAAAAGATCAAAATGCTGGATTCATATGAGAAGCATGTAGCATGTCAGCAAAGAAGAAATAATTAAAGGATTAAAATACATATGGATTAACAATATTTCAAACCCCTACAGTCGCTCACATAACACTCACAGCAGCAACAAAATTAATAACACCTAATAATATCAATAGTAATGCCACGTACCATCCTGTGCTTGACAAACACTTGCACAGTTTATTGTACAATAACATCAGGAATGAGGACTAATGATCACAAATATTTATACTGATACATGCAATGTAATGCATAGCATATCAGTGAAATTTCTAGGTATTAAAACATCATGTTACCCCTTTGAACCAATCAGTCTTCGTATGATGTCTTCAATTGTGCAAAACTTACAAAGTTCCCTCTCTTTTATTTTACCTCCTTATTGTTACTAAATACCAGGAAAACCTACACAAATCTCTGAACATTGAATTTTTTCATGTTATTGCTCATGTCCAGGAAAAGTGTTACAAGAATACAGCAAACAACAACAAATTTTTGATCTTAAGTTTAACAGGAACAAGGTATTCCTGACAAGCAATATTTGTTTAATGCAATTTTGCAGTAGCAAAACGCATAAGTAAAAAAAGTTGTTCACTCTTGAATGGAATCCTGCTCCTGACTCCATTTAAAATATTATACCCACAGAAGCAAGTCATAGAGGTTCAGAAGCACACTCCATTTACAAACTGCTTAAAAATTTCAGAGGAACTTCTTTGTATGTTTATGGATACAGTAAAAATGCTAAAATTAATATTGGTGACACTTACAAGCTCTAATCTATGCAGAAGATAGTTGTATGTAAAAAGACACGCTAATCTAATCTGCAGTAAATTTTGGGGGTTCATAAGATTTAGCCAAAAACAATCTGAAGGTCACAAATAATCACTTATTCATTAATGGAAGGCAAGAATTACCAGAAATGAGCTATCAACTTTTTTTTTCCTTTTCTTGTTTTCTAGTTTTTAGGGTTTCTGCTGACCAAGTGGAGCACACATAAGAAGTCATTGAAGATTAAAGCAAACAGAGTTTCAAAAATAAATTACACTTTCACAGTCAACATACTCACATACACACACATGACAAAACGGTGGTAGAAAAATCTGCAAAATTAAATAATTAAATCAAAACACTGTTATGTTTTGAACATTGCTTGTTGCTCCATGATGGGTATCATTCTACTGTCTTGTCAAACATCAAAATAAGTAACAGGCTTTTAGAAATGTAAGTATGAGTTCCTATACCTAAACTTATACCAAACAGAAGGAATATGTGTCTAGTGAGATCAGAGGGTGGTAACAGCAGTATTTGTTGCTGCTGTCAGCCAATGATCTACAATGTTAATAAAGTTGTGATAAAAATGGTACACAAAGCGAGAGGAAAATAAAAACAACTTTCTCTTACACATAGGGAGGGGGTGGGGGGAAAAGTAAAGCAAATGTAGAGAGAAGTGAAGGAAATAGAAGAGCAGTGAAATTAAGTTTTACAAAGGCAAAAAAAAAGAAGAAGACTTTCTTTTGTTTGCATTTTTTTGGGGTGTTTTTTATAAGGTGACGGGGGAGGCAAGAAAATGAATGGGACACCACAGAAGGTGAAACAAGAGTAGCAAGAAACAAAATGAAACTTCTATGCATGTGTCCTATGGATGGACAAAAGTGGATGGAATATGTCTTACATAAATGTTCCCTATTTAAAAAGCCAAGGGTTTGCATGCCTGAAACCATGCAAACAAATGGTTGTGTTTAAGTTTGATCAGATACTGAAAAACCATAATCAATAACATAAAATAGGGAAAAAAGATGTTTCCTTACAATTCACATCTCAAGGTAATTAATGACTTCCATAGATAAAATAGACCAATAACATGACTAGAAAATGTTCCTAACAAGAGAGAGAGAGAGTAAAAAATAACAAGCAATAGCATGAATACCATGCAAGCAATAGCAACATGTTCCCAATAACAAAAAAAAAAATCATGTAAAATATTGATACAACAGTTTGATTTCAGAGTGGTATGGCTTCCACAGACTAAAACATGGAAGCAACAACATAAACAAAATGTTCGTGATGAAGAATAATAGCTAAGTTTCCATTAATCAAATGGTGTTTTCTCAAAGGACAATCTGAAATGCTCGAACAAGAGACAATAATCAGCCAAATGATCTGCATGGGGGCAACTATGGAAGACACTAATGATGGTACAAATTATACATTGAATGCATAGGTTGCCATTGTACATGTCTGAGTGTGGTATCTATTTAAATCTTAGACTTGCATTCCATTCAAGCATTTGCAGATTGGCAAAAGAGAGATGAACCTGTTATATTATCACAACTTAGTTGAGACAGATCGAAAGCAGATGCCCAACTAAAACATCTGACATTGAGATCTCACCTATCACAAGATATGGACTCTAAAGATAACACATTGACGGCCAGCAAAAAAAAAAAACGTTCCATTTTAAACAAAAAAACAAGTAAGGCTTAATAATACTGACCAATATGGAAAATGTGCACAAAAGAAAATAAAATAAATGGAAATTCAAGATATGGTAACTAAATTCCCCCTCCAGCAATGTTCCACAAAAAGATGAAAAAAAACTGTATTAACTGGAAAGAATACTGGCATGGTATGAACTAAAAACAGTAAAAAAGCAAATAACAAAAAATCTGTGAGCTGGAGCTCAACATTTTGTTGAAGAATTAGCCATTAAATAAACCAGATCATTGATGTTAAGTGGATATTAACAATGAATGAAATGAAACTATACACCTCAATTACAAATCTCCTATACAACTAATTTGAACACTCCATCGTGGTCCCTTTGAGCTCGAATCAGCATGACTTCTTTGCATAAAACAGGGCTTTGAAACTTTTAACAAAATGGAAATGTTGGCAAGAAATACCTAACACAGACAAAAAATCAAATGAAAGGTTAAAGAAATGGTATAACGATGGGAGTATTCCAAAACTGCAAGAGAATAGTCTAAGACTGTATGATGACTAAAGCATTAAGATGAGGAATCGCTTAACATAAATTTATGCATTCCCACTCACTAGTTATGCATTAACAACAATTATTAACACTGGCACCAAAATTTAACAACTAAACCAAAGTAAATATACTCATTACAAACCTAAATTGAGCAACCAAGTACATGGACGCATCTGTGCCACTTCTAAGAGAAACATTAGTTCACATGCTGAAGACAAAGAAAGAATCTCTAATGTGAACCTCAGATCATGTGTCACAAAGGTACTAGAACAAAGAGTACCTAACCTTTGTTCGTTTCAATTGTAAAGAGGTATACTTAGCCATTTAGATTCACATGAAAGACAAAGACACAAGTATAGAGCGCCTAAAAGAAGAGATAAGTGATTTAAAAATATAAGTGAAATGAAAAATAAAATACAAGGGAGATACTCATAATAAGAGTCACATTGGTGAGTGTTGTGGGAAATAAATTGAGTGAAAGAAAGAAGTTTCAACTTGCAACTATCCAAAGATTATTCTAAGCTGTCAGAAGCATTGCTTTTACAGTAAATGGATACTGGTAATTACTTTTCGTAGTTCTAAAAAATTAAGGTGGATACTTCTTTTTTTGATTCGTCCAAAAGCAACACTACAGATTAAGCCACAGTTAACATGGGGACTTATTCAATTTTATGGAAATTGTTAACAGCTTGCACAGCTTGCAGTGCCTTCACCGCAGGCAATTGTGAGACACTACGTTCATGACAATCTCAGTCTGCTTCAAGCCACCCACATTTCACTCCACTAAAAAGACTTCTCCTCTGTAACCCTTCTAAGAAGTTATTGTAAGTAATGGTGCCACTGACCTACAAGTGAAGACTCAATTGTTTGTGCTCTAAGTTAAAACCATGGACAATAAGTTTAGCAGCAATATGTTGCTTTTGTTGAATTTAAACTTTGTAAATCATTTTCCCAACACTGAACCAAGGAAAACTACACTTTCAATCACTGAATGCCTTATTTCCACGTCTTAGAATGAGTATTAAAAGCATGCATACTGTTTAAAGCAGTAACAATTACTTTTATTCTGCGTCATTCTTTCCCTTAACTGAACAACATTAATATGCTGAATAAAGCATACTAAGGTAACTAAATGGCAAGAAACTAAACAGCATGAACTTCATCTGCAATAAGGCTAAAAGGAACAGTTTTCTTTTCTATGGAATTAACACATGATGCACTCTCTGTAATAAGAATAATTTCAATATTCCTGACTAGATTCGGCCAGCACACCTACACCGATATGGAATGTTTAAGTAAAACGGCTACTTCTCTACTTATGCAAAATGAGAAGGTTCTCTAACTATGTCCTCTTAAAAGGTTCACACTAGGCAGTACACAAAATTGAACAACAATTCTGTGTACACCGGTCATTGATGATGATGATGCACTACTTGCGAAGACTGTCCTTGCTGCTGGCCAGTGAGGTGCTGTTGCTGCTGTTGTGTGAGTTGATGTCTGCTCGCACATCACCACCACTTCCGCTCCCACTAACACTAACCTAGGTAAAACAAATTTTAATAGATTAATTTTTAGTTGAAAGTGAAGAAGTACATTAGGAAATCTTATCGAAGAAACGAACCTCTCCATTAAGAGAAGGTGAGGCTGCGGCCGCTCCTGAGGTCCCTCTTGACCGTGCTGCGGCTGCTCTGACCTCCTCTCTGCTCCTGCTGCTCCCCGTCTCACCATCCAGAGAACTGCCTCCTCCCCCCCCTCTATTGCTATTGGATCGCCTGTCGCGCTCCCGGTCCCGATCTCGGTCCCTCTCTCGGTCTCGGTCCCTGTCCCTCTCCCTGTCACCCCGTTCGCTGCTGCTGCTCACTTCTCCATTCATGGAGCGCTTGGAACGGCGCCCACTCATGGCCAGCTCCTCCACTGATGTCGGTGTTTGTGGAGCACTGCGACCTTTGAGCTTGTTTATAACCTGCAATATGACAATAGAACTCCTTGAAATACAGAAGGCAAAACAAAACAACTAATCATGGAATAAAACACAGGTGTTTCAGGGAAATTTACTTTGTCCAGACGACTGATGAACTGATCCACGTCTGACTTCTGCATTCCAATGGCAGCAGCTGCTGTGAGGTATGGGACTGGGTACTTGCTTGTGTGAGCTCCCCAGCCTGTGGAAATTAGAAGAAGATACTGGCTAGACTAAAATCAATAACACAGGCAAAGACTTCTTTAATCCTCAAATACTGTATTCCATACCTTCAAATTTGTACCCTGCAACCTCTTTGTAATCAACTGTGGACACCACTCGGGTGCCAGACACACATCGTAAAAACAACATAGAACCCAGCATTGTTACAGACTTTGGATCAGATGTCACCAATGAGTTTAGGGTCATGCCTTCACAGAGAAAGAAAGTTATCAGGTGGCTCCAGAATAATAGAATAAATTTTTTTATCACAAACAGTTCTTACCCATGGAAATAGGATTGTTTTTAGTATCAAGGAGTCTTTCACCGTGCTTTGTAGCAACTTTTGAAAGTTCATCCCGCAAGTAATTATACATTTCCTTCCGCTGTGTGACTAAAGTCTTATATCCACTGATTCCCAATGACAGAAGAGTGATAAACACATCTATCGCTGGGCTAGATGATGCTCTCCCTACAATGAAACAAAAGAGGGACATTGCGCATTGTGCACCATAACAGATAAAAACCAAAACTTTGGAAAAGAGATAGACAAAGGTACCTGGATAAATTCTAGCTATGCGTTCTAGAAGACCCTTGTCAAAACCTGAGACAATAGCACCGCCTACAGGAACCATGAAGTTCTTGTCAGTGCTCTGTACAAAAGCATCAACTCGGCCTTTCCTTGCAGCCTCTTGAATTAAATGCATGCATCGAGAACTTTGAAGGCCATATGCATTATTTATAACATGAGGGATGTTAAACCGTTGGCAAAGCACTGCAACTTGCTCCAGAGAATCAGACACACGAGGAGCAAAACAACTTGTTGTTGTTAGTACACAAACAATGTTATCTGATCCTATTGTGCACATTTGGTGTTCCATTGCAGCTAAATCTGTTTTCAACTCATCTCCTGATGCTACTGTCTCTATGATAATTGGTTGAAGACCTGCAAATGTACGACATAAACAAAATATAATGAAGTGTTAATAATTAATTCATATAATTAATTCATATGGTTGTATCAGCTAAGCAAGCATTACCTGCTGTGAGAATACATTTGAAGCACGCCTTCTGATCTATGCGAGACCACAACACAAACTTTGCTCCTGGACGGTCCTGCTTTAATGTTAACATACATAATACCAAAGTCATGCCAGTTGCCATTGGTACCATAAAACATCCTGCTGTTGTCTTCACACCTACAGTGGAAAAAAGCTCTACTTCAGAAATAGTTTCCTACACAAAAAGTTGCATAACAGAGAGAAAGATTATAACAATTACCCATGTAACGAATTGTGTCCAGCAACAAGGAATTGACAAGCTTCATCATAAGACTAGATCCTGCGGCCTTTGGTTGAACCTCCCCTAAATCACCAGATCTGCCGATACCATGACCGATTCGGTAATGTCGCCGTGCTACCAAAGCTGAAAGAGAGAGACCCAATTAGCTTTGAATAAAAAGCCATTGTTATACAACAGAATTGGCATGCCCAAACTAACCTGATGCAAATCTTGCTTCTCTTTCCCCAATGCCACAATTATCAGGGAAATTGTTGCTGTCCATTTGAGCTAAGTCCGCTAACAACAACTCTATTGTTGCATCGTCCCATCCTTCTTCCGGCCATTTTCTCTGTAAACACAAAACAGAACGATATCATAAGCAACATTTTAAATTGCTTGTTCACTTAATTCTCATTTTGAACAGTGCCAAAATCTTGTAGTATATTTACGGCAGAAAATACACACCTGTTCAATGAGTTGTCTGATGAGGTTCTCACGAGTTTTCTTTGAAGCAGCTGCTTGTTGCAGATATGTTGCCGGTATTAACCGCTCTGCTAATGTGAAGCTTTGACTGTTCATGGCAAACTGGGTATATTTTAATTGTCGCGATTCAAACTTCTAGTCAAGAACTGTGGAAGAGAGAGAGGAGATAAGATACTAGCTCAATACAAAAAACTGGGATACAACCATCAAATTTCAAGACAAATGTGTTTCATTTAACCAAGACCTTGCCAATTTAGTTGTGCGCTAAATTTAAAAATGACAAAGAATGGTAGAAGGAAATGTCCTAGATGCAGTCTAGGCTATGTCACAAATGTCACGTCGACTGCATTGCTTTGAAATAATCTTCACATGGGTCACTTACGGTTTCCACATTGACGGCAACTGAAATCATTGCAGACGAGGCACAGGTCTAGTTTAAGATGCGGTTTAATGGGTCTTCGTGCTTTAGGCCCACAGACGAGACGAGCAGAAGCTTTGGAGGAAATCCTGCGCGAATCTGGGCTCTGTTCAAAGAACAGCGAACATCATTTGTCTTCTCAAGAATGTCACAGTTGACACGATAATGATGCGATGCAGCGAAGCGCAAACACAATCACAAGACAACAACACAACACCACTGGGCAACAAAATCAATCCATTTTGTAATGTTTCATATCAAAATATCGTCTGCTGTGCCATGAAGGAAAGTGGGTGGCTGGTAATGGAGAACCTTTCGGAAACGAGCAGTGCTGCCAGATTGAGCCGTCTTAAAGGGGGTAAAAATTCGGAATGTTTTAAATGTCGTTTCGACTAAAATGATAAGGGTAGCGCGTTCATGACAGTAAAATATGAGCTATTTTCTGTCATAGGCGGAGATTTTCGTCATTTGTTCGGTTTGCTTGTCATTTGTTTATTCATGTTACTTTTGACTATCCTATCACAAAGAAGAAGTAAAGAAAAAGTTTATGGTCACTGTGACGTCAGTGGTCGGTATGAAAACAAAAATTTTGTAGCCGGCGCACCGCTTCTTGCCAACTGCAAAATCGAAAAATTTACCTTTATCTTGAGATGGTGAGCATTTAAATTTATTATAATTGCCCTTAAGATCCACTTTATGGTCAATTTATGGTTCTGTGTGTTTTCTTAAAGGGAACCTGAAATTAATTCGTTTTAAGAAAAGGTATTTGGTTTCTCTTCGTTTACGGTGTTTGATTGCTAAACTTAAGTCGCAGTGACCCTGTCTTCACTGTAAAATGTTTGAGGTTAGAACTCGCCTTGGCCGTTCCTTAATTTCTCGTTAAAAAGTCATTTTCGTGGCCTGTCAACGCAATAATGGCCAAGTACTTAGTGCAAATAATCGTGGTCGGGGCCACGGCGGTGGGGCGAGCCTTCACAAGGGCTTTGAAGCAAGAAATCGCGGCCAGTCAGCAAGCAGCCCAGAGAGCAGGAGGGGGCAAGGCAGGATCTGAGAGTGCAGCCACTAGTGCAAAGACTGGAATCACCATCGAGGAGGCCAAGCAGATCCTCAACGTCAAGGACCTAGACCCCAAAGCCATTCAGGAGAACTATGATTTTCTGTTTAAAATTAATGACAAGGCTAAAGGAGGATCCTTCTACCTCCAGTCCAAAGTGTTTCGAGCCAAGGAGCGCCTGGATGCGGAACTTCAAATAAAAGGAACAAAGCCACCTAAAGATGGAGCAGAAAGTAGATCACCTGATGATAAAAGTCCAGGTGGTAGTTAATCAAACATATTTAATATTAGTTAGATTCTCAAAAAGGTAATATTTTAAATTGTTTTTGAAGAGAATATGTGTGTGTGTGTATTGCATCATAAAATGTTACGGAGATTTTGTCGAAGTGATGTAATTGAAGTGTAACAAAGACTATTGTTGCTATTTTAGTAATAAATGAGTTATGGTGCAATGCTTCATGTGGTAAGATTTGTGCTGTCTCATAAGTGCCCTTTACGACTGTTAATTTTATTTGATGCGCTGGTAGTAGATTCCAATACATTATTCACCAAGGAATGTACCTGTCTTGATTGTAAGTGTCCACTTCTCTATGTTAATGTTTCATGATGGTATAAAATTTTACCTATTGAGCCTTTGTGTATCATTTACTTCTGTATGAGTAATTGGTTGGCTCACTGTAATCCTAAAAGTTGATAAATGTTATCAAGTTTGTTGTTTTTTGGTAGTTCATTAGCACACTGAAATTAAATATTTGAATGCATCAAACACTTTTTAATAGTTTTTTCATTACCTGAAATCACAGATTTGATTTGATTTTTGTTAGAACTTCAAATATTAAAAATATACATGGCTTGTGCAGAGATAAAAAAATATTGAGATGACTTTTGTCTTTCACATTGCTGTCAGACATACTCGTTTTGCAGATGATAATCCTGATGCTACCTGGCCACACTGAGGGCATGGAAATTGTGGATCTGCCAAAATGTTAGCCTGAAACAACACCAATAAATGATACAAATTTAATGCCTACAAGTACGTCCCTCCTTAGATCACTTTGTGTATTTAATTGCAAACCTGCAGGCAGAAGAAGCAAAAAATATGATCACAATCCATGTGATGAGGAAGTATTGGACGTTGAGAACAGACCGCACATTTTGAATTGATTGTGAATGTGATTCGCTTTTCGATTCCTCGTTTGGGTTTTGTTACACGGGTTCCCAACATGAGAACTCTCAGTACTTGGCGCTTCAGATAGTGATAATTAATCAGTGGTAAAACAAATACCAGCAATTCCTATCAAACAGAGACTTATTAGCTGCACTGCAAATAAGAGTATAAAACGACAATTATACTTTCAAAAATATCTTACAATGAAACTGTGCCAGATAAGTTCTCGGGTCATGTGAGTGTACCCAGCTTGACGTTGTCTGCTTTTAGGGGAGACATAAGCCATTTGGATGCCAAAAACACGGTAAAGCAAATTTGGGTAGTGACCAGAGTGAAGGAATAACAGAAGATTTAAAAGACTACCAACAGTGAAAGAGATTTCCCCCCACTGTGATAAGAAATCCACCTGAAGAAGAGAAACATCACCCACTCCTTTCAGACATCTTGTGATGTGCATGTCTTTGAAATGTAATAGTCAATCTACAATGTGTCACAACTTACGATTTTCTTGAGTTTGCTACTCTCTGTTCTTGATGCTACACTGGAAGCTCTTGTTTGAATGTATTTCAATATGATTGGAATGCTAACAGCTAATAATGCTGACTTTCTTTGTGATTTAAAAAATTCTATGTTTAAAAGCTGCTGACCAAATGTTGCCCCAACTCCTCTTAAGGACAGCTGGAAAGGTTTACAAGACATACATGAGACAAAAAGTGATACATACACATCATGAAATATTGATACATAAAAACTAGAACATACATGTAATACTATTATTTGAAGGATTGTGTCCACCTCTGGTTCCCATTTGTTCTGCCATGACAGCTAGAAAATATAAGGCATTTTAAAAACTCAAAGAACGATAGATATCACACATAGATACTGTTACAATTTAGACTTTTTCACTTACAGGTAGAAATTTCAGGACACTTAACAACTGGCTCTTTAAAACATGCAAAACTTCACGATCCAATTCAAGAGCATCAAGCTGTAAAAAATAATAATATTATAATGGCGTAAAAAAAAGTAGGATGACATGCAGAAAGTTCACAGCTATGAAATGCATAGGAGAAATGTGCCGTATCAGCGACAAAATTCAGAAGAATAGACTCTTGTAGCGCGTTATTCTACGAAGAATAGTCATCAGACCGAAAGTCTTAAAACGTGTATTTTTATAACAAACGAGACCTAACCCCGTGGGAGACCAAATGTTTACCTGCTCCACGCGGCTTTTGACAATAAGGTCATTCTTCTCCATGCTGGCCGCGGTAAAACCTGAAGGAATCTCCCACTAATTCCTCAACTACCCTCACACCAATACCTCCCGAATTCTAGCCATTGCCGAGTTAGAAACGGTACCTAGGTAAACAACAGGGCTCAACAGCAGCCGACAGCAGCTGACATTGTAGTTTCAGGGTGTCAAACTGTCGCTTTGCAAAAAGGAAACTACGATGAGGCGCAACTTGAATGGGAGGACGCGAAGGCTATCTATTGATAATAAACCTAAATGAGATTGATAGGTTGTTTGATCTTTTTGAAATCGGTGCCAGGAAATGAGTTGTGAGAACTTCGATGCCGCGTGTTGGCCAGACTGCATGGCCTCTGGCGGGCTCGCCCGTCCTTCCCCGCGGAACGTCCGCGAGGCCGCGAGGCTTTGCGGATGCGGAATGGCATCGACACCCCTTCGGCCGGCCGTGCGAGCGGCTCTCTATCGGACAAGTGAGCCAACCGCCATACAGCCTCGAGGAAGAGCTTGGTCGGCAAAGCCGTTGTTGGGCAACACTTGATAAAGCGGCCTAGCGTTGCATGGATTGCACGGATTGCACACGCACGCACGCCGCGCCGCGCTGGGGCACGATGTATGGGACCGTCTGGGGGCTGTGGACAAAGACAAAGACAGTGAACCTGTCACTGCCACCCGAGCGGCCTCGGCCGTACCATTTCACCCTTTCCTTAAGGACCACCGTACTCGCCGTACCCGTCAGCCGCTGTGCGCCGCGCTAGCGAGCGGGTTGTAATCTCGCATCGCCCTACATGTATCGTCCGGTGACCGCTGACCCCCATTTGACGCTCCACTGTGCTGCTCCTAAAATAGAGACGCCACCGCCTCCGAGTCGGGGCTAAATTGGGGCTGAATTGGGCCTCAATGTCAGTGGAAAAGGAGCACTCGGCGCGGCGACGCCGTGGAAAGTTTTCCCTCCCGGGCATGGAACTTTTCCGTGGAGCCGGTGGAGTCAGCGGGGCCGATAGAGGAGTGCCCCAGGCACTGTGATCTCAGAGAAAGAGGGAAAGAGAACACAGCTGATGGCCTAGCCGGCCTAGCCTATCGACGGGGCAGGGAAGGCCCCAGGTTGCAGCCTCGACCAGTCCCGATCCGTTCGCCCGCAGGGATCCAACGATATGAGCCATATCGCACAACACAACAGTGTGTAATTTCGCCTTTGGCGGCTCCTATCAGTTATTGGGCAATATTTACTTTTATTTATAATTCGGCGCTGTCGGGCGGATCGCCTATGGCGGTGGCCTGTGTTTTGCACAGTGCCGCGCAATCGCGAGACAAACACACACCAACACGCTCACATATGCACACACGTGCACACACGGACACGCGAGCTTCGATACGTGGATACGTGGGCTCCAGAGCAAACACTTGAAGCAGGTAAACGCGCGTGGAGAGGGGGCGCGACCATCGTCGAGTGCTCCACAACCTGCCCGACCTGCCCGGCCGACCTGTCCACTCGGCCGAAAAATAATTTATTCTCAGGACAACCTTATCTGGCGGCTCGAGTCCGGTCTGGTGGAGTGGAGTAGGGCAAGCAGGGCATACCTTGGCATGGCCGGCACGGCACCACCTCGGTGCGCAACCCGTTAGGGGCAGGTGCCGCAGGTGCGTGGGCCCGCGTGCAATTGGCTCAATCTGACCGGTGTGGCCAGACACACCTCTGGGCCCGACGACGCGGCCGTTGCCACACAGAGCTAGGAGGTGGCGAAATGAAATGCACCAGGTTCAGGGAGACCGCCAGTGCCCGACCAGTGTCTCGTGGTCGCGAAATTGGGCGAGGAAAATTTCAGTCGTCCCTCACTTGGGTCGCTCTTCCTCCGTTGAGGTTCTTATTTTTGTTTTCGGGAGTCCCGGCCGGGGCGGGGGCACGGGCGTTACTACATCCACGAGCGGGGGGCGGGAGGGAGCGGTGGGGGCGGTCTCCGGGAGGGCGCATGGCGCACGGCGCTCTGGTCGTGGGGCTGACGAGCTTGACCAGTGCCTCCGTCGCGCCATTCCACCGCCACCACTCCATCGAGATGCTGCGAGTACAACGGTTGCCCGCTGACGGACGCTGCGGCTCGGGGCCCGCGGACGCCGAGGCCTACGACGCCGAGGCCTACGACGCCGACTCCTGCCGCGCCGGCTCCTGCGCCAGGCAGTGCAGTGCGGCCTGCAGGACACCGACACCGCAGAGCCGGCTCCACAATGGGGCTGCCTCAGAGAAACGAGGTGAGATTCGAGTTTCCGAAGGAAAAAAAAAAGGGTCTTTGTGTTTGTCTTTCGCCGGCCTCTTTTGAGTGGGGGCGTCGGAAGGACTTCGGCCGATACGGCGGCCACTCGAAACTAAGAGATTGAGTCTCGGGCGTGCGGCAGGGCGGCATGCCCGGCGGGGCGTCAAGCGGCGTCAAGGTGGAGCGATAGCCATAATGCATGGGATCAGGCTAATGGCAGCAAGATGTCTTTCGGATTGAGCCAACATTGGATTGGCGGCACTTCGGCTCGGCCGGCCGAGACCGAGTGGAGCCCGCCCTGCCAGGTGCCAGGCCCAGCCCGGCCACTCAGCGGCGAGAAGGAAAAAAAACTGACTTGGAAACAGCGGTCCGAAAATTTAGAATAAATGGATTAGAACGGAGACCCTCAGACGAACTCCATTATGCACCTCGAGTGGCCGTTTGGCCGTTTGAGTCTGCCAGTGAAACAGGTGCGGCCTTTCGTCCGCCAATCACGCCTCTCCCTCGCGGCGAATCGGTGAATTGGCGCGGACGGTGATTGCGGTTTTTAATCATTTTATCGGCGGCATGGCTGCCTGGCGACTCACATCGCTTGCATCGAGCCGCCCTGCCCACTGGGCCCTTTTTCCGGGAAGCCAACGCGATCAAATCAGCTGTAGGGCAGTTCACCGCCCCGGCGCACTCATTCCACGCTTTTCGAGACACCTATGCCAGTCGGCGTGCTTGCAGTGGGCCGCGGTCCAGACCGCGCTGGACGAATGCAGTGTCCCAGTGTGTGTGTGTCCCTCCGGCCGCGGTGCACTAGGCAGGGCCCGGGCCCACCCCGCAGCGGCCACCCCCACCCCCTAACCTGCGCGGCACGCGGCTCTCCGATAGATAAGATTGAGGATGCCGAGGTCTCGACGCGGGGCTGGACGCATCCTCACCTCAGTGTGCCCCCGAGTACGCTCCGACCACCACAAGGACCTCCGCCACTCAGGTGCGCGTCGCAGCCGCGCCTCCCCCGCACTCGCCCGCACTGCAGAGCGATTCCAGTCCCAACAGCACTTCCGTCGCTCTGTCTCTCTCGCACTCATGGGGCGTCCCGTAGGGGCGCGACAGAGACAGAGCGACGAAAGCGCTGTTGGGAAGCCTGCGCGCGGAAGCTGCCCCCCAGTGAGAGTCTCTCTGGCTCGGGGTAGCGCGGCGCCGGCCGGCGGTGTGCGGCACGGCCACGGCACGCCCTTGTCTAGGCTGCGGCACGCTTGGCCCCCCTTCCCCACCCCTCGCTGACGTTATTTTGGTTTTCGCAGAGCTTCCCCAGGGCGGCGAACGACCCGAACGACGCTCCGTCATGTCCAAGATCACCTCGCAGCAAGTGTTCGACCGGGAGGACAAGTATGGCGCCCACAACTACCACTCCCTGCCCGTCGCCCTCTGCAAGGGGGAAGGTGAGTCCAGCGACTTGAATCGCAATTTCAAAACTGTCAAAATTAGAAAAAAAAATTGGGAGTGGTGGCAATGCCAAGTCTACTGTACGAGGGCCCCTGCAGCGCGGAGAGTAGGCAACCCAGCCGACAGCCGTGCGCGCAGCCCGCGCGGTTGGCCTACCTCGCCCGAAAAGCGAAAAAGGAGCTTCTATACAGTTGAGGAGATGAAGAAAGATAACGGAATGTTTCTCTGCAGGCGTGTACGTGTGGGACGTGGAGGGCAAGCGCTACCTGGACTTCCTGAGCGCGTACTCCGCCGTCAACCAGGGCCACTGCCACCCCAAGATCCTGGCCGCGCTCAATGAACAGGTAGGTGGACTCTGTCGACGCCGAAGATCGGAACACCGCCAGTTATTCTCGTTCTCTAACGCCAACTCGTGCCCGTGCCCCGCCAGGCCTCCAAGCTGACGCTGTGCTCGCGCGCCTTCTACTCGGACGCGCTGGGCGAGTACCAGCAGATGATGAGCGGCCTGTTCGGCTACCAGCGGCTGCTGCCCATGAACACGGGCGTGGAGGGCGGCGAGACGGCGTGCAAGCTGGCGCGGCGCTGGGGCTACGACAAGAAGGGCATCGCGGAGAACAAGGCCAAGATCATCTTCGCCGAGGGCAACTTCTGGGGCCGCACGCTGGCCGCCGTGTCCTCGTCCACGGACAAGGACAGCTACGGCGGCTTCGGGCCCTTCATGCCGGGCTTCGGCCTGGTGCCCTACAACGACCTCGCCGCGCTGGAGGCCGCCCTCAAGGACCCCGACGTGTGCGCCTTCATGGTGGAGCCCATCCAGGGCGAGGCCGGCGTGGTGGTGCCGCACGCGGGCTACCTCAAGGGCGTGCGAGAGCTGTGCACGCGCTACAACGTGCTGTGGATCGCGGACGAGGTGCAGACGGGGCTGGGCCGCACGGGCAAGCTCCTCGCCGTGAACCACGAGGAGGCCCGGCCCGACATCGTGATCCTGGGCAAGGCGCTGTCCGGCGGCGTGTACCCCGTGTCCGCCGTGCTCGCCGACGACGACATCATGCTGTGCGTCAAGCCCGGCCAGCACGGCTCCACGTACGGCGGCAACCCGCTGGCGTGCCGCGTCGCCACCGCCGCCCTGCGCGTGCTGCTCGACGAGAAGCTGACCGAGAACGCGGAGCGCATGGGGCTGCTGCTGCGCGCCGAGCTCAACACGCTGCCCAAGGACGTCGTGACCCTGGTGCGCGGCAAGGGGCTGCTCAACGCCATCGTCATCGGCCAGGGTGAGTGGAAAGCAGGGCCACTGCCTCGTCGCGCGCGGCGGGGGAAGTCCCAGTGCACCTACATCGCCGCCGCGACTCGTAACGCTCTGTCATTGTTTCAGGCATCGACGCCTGGGAGGTGTGCCTCAAGCTGCGCGACAACGGCCTGCTCGCCAAGCCCACCCACGGCGACATCATCCGCCTCGCGCCGCCCCTCGTCATCAACGAGGCCCAGATCCGGGAGGCCGTCGCCATCATCAAGAGCACCATCATGTCCTTCACCAGGAAGTGAGACGAAGGGCGCGGCGGCGAGCTGGCTTGCGATCCCGACAGTATTATTGATTGGATTGACGGTGCGTGAGAGTGTGATTGTGTAGGTAAACTAATTAATGGCTTCTTCAAGTAGAATGAAAGTGGCTTGCATCAAGCCTCATCATCTTGAAGAGCTGCGACTGCGAGGCTAAGCGAGACACACGTGTAAGGCGTGCTTATTACTTAAGATCTTTTTTATAAGGTTGATAAACGTTTCAGATATCAAATGTTTTAAGAGAGAGGATGGTAGTAAGTTGAATAAGAGTAAAAAATAAACAATAACAAAAGCTCTTTATTTGTTCATTCAGAGCAGAACACTTGATTTTAAGTATTACAGAACTCAAATCATGCATCATCCTATGCATGCTACATCAATGGCAGTTGTATACATAAGATGTAGAATATAAAAACAAGGAAGTTGTACATAAAAACAAAATAATCACAGTAAAGCATCAAAAACTTTCTCACCTTAAAAAAAAGAAAAAATATATATCAACAATAATTACAAATTACACAACTAAACAGGCAGCGCTATGATCAGTCTGTACAGATAATAATATCATCAGTTAAAATCCAGTCAGGGAAGTTAATTATTATGTGGCCTCCTTTTAAATTTTATTAAAATAATATCTGTTGAAAATAGAAACAGTCTGAATTAAAAAATGAAAGGGGCCAGTCATGAAAATACAGTCAGTGAATGTAAATTCAACCAAAGTGGTTTGAGATTTCAGTCTCAATTCAAGGGACAAAATGGCACGTAGCAAAAGCCAACCAAAAGAAAATCAGGGGTTACCCCAGCAGGTATACAGTCCCACCAGGTATAATCCCAACAGGTATAATCCCAACAGGTATAATTCCCACCAGGTATAATTCCCACCAGATATACACTATTTAATTTTAATGTTATTTACACGGATTCCCAACAAGTATAAATCCCAGCAGATATACACCCATTTTATTTACCTTCTTTGGAATAAATTTGCACGGCACGCTAGTTGAACAGCGCCTCTCTGTTTCTAAAGTCGCGAAGCCCCAGGTAGATTTTCTTCTCATCTAATGGCTGAATTTGCAACGTCTGTTCGACCTTTATTCGTTTTCCTTTAGAAGACGTCTGCAAACAGACAAACATTGGACGAACCTAGTGTTGCTCCTGCCCCTGTATACAGTAGCGCAACTTGAATAACGATTGAAACGCGAGTTGCGTGCCTGGCCGAACAAGCAAGATTGATTATGTGACTTTCTAAGGTAGCTAAAACGGCCCCTACGCACGGAATCACCCACCCGCTAGCGAAGGCAGTTTCATTGGGAGTGCAATTCCTGCAGGGAATGCGCTCGAGTCGAAGCTGTCATCATGCCCCATTGTAATCAATCATTTAGTTGTTTTTCTTCTAATGTATTCCTGGTGAGAATTATACCTATTGGGATGTATACCTGGTGGGAATTATACTTGCTGAGACACAAAAAAATCTAATATTAATACGTGTATATCTGGTGGGATTTATACTTGCTGGGAATCCGCGTATAGATAAATAAAATAAAATAGTGTATATCTGTTGGGAATTATACCTGGTGGGATTATACCTGGTGGGACTGTATACCTGCTGACATCACCTCGAAAATCAATGACAATTTGATTGATGTTAAAATTGTACTCAAAGGGACAATTAACATTGTACTTAATAGGACAAGTGGGAGAAAAATCATGGCAACATAAATACAATTCACTTAGAAATAGGGAAGATGGCAGCAAATTATGTTTTGATACAATGTGCTTTTCATGCACCAGTATAAATTAAAGCATATGGCATCCGTAAGCATCCTACTAATTTTCCTGCCACTAGGGGCAAAGAATGCTTCTTTAGTCTTCTTTTCTACAATATAATACATACTCATATGTACAGCAAAGCTCAATCAGTCATTCAACCATCATAGTAGTAAAAGACACAGAATAAATTCCTAGCATCACAGAAAAGTACAGGCAAGTAATTTTATATAAACCAAAAACAACTTGCAAAAACACACAAGCAATAGACTCATATTTTAAGACCAAGAGCAAACTGAATTAGACACATGTTTCCTTTTTGGATAAAGCTGTGGTGTCTTCCACTCCATTGGTTGAAGACACTTCTGACACAGCAGGGTAAGAAGCTACATGAGCATCTTTATTTTGAAGACTCACAATGGAACTAGCGAGTGATGTAGGGTGGGACCTTAAAGAAGATGGGTCTGGTCTCCTGTACCTCTTTCTAGAGGAGGGGCTTCGACTACTACGCCGACTTGACCTGCTCATAGAACAAACATCATTTTCTATTTCTGAGACTCTGTCCAGAGAAAATGAGGCTCCTGAAATAACACTGCTGTTGTCCCACGGATAAACGGGTGTCTTCTGCAAAGCAACAGAAGTGGGGGCCTCCTCCAAAACGGAGACCCTCATGAAGTCCCCATCCATCTCGACATCCCTGCTTTGGATTGATGACAAACTGCTCATTGTACCGTTCTGAGTAAAGCTCTGGTACTTTTCGCGGGCCATGTCATGAGAGCCACTTACGTCACGGACCCCCCTACTTCTCCTCCTCCTCGAATTTCTGTCAAAGAGCTTTCCAGGAGTATGGGTCCCATCAGAAGATATTGCGCTTCTAACTGTTCCATCATTGTTCACAGGAGGTGGGCTGTCTGCCCCAATAACCCAGCGCTCTTGGTTGCTTGTATTGGGACCCTCACTGATGAGAATATTGAAGCTATGGGCATGACTTGGAGAGGTGTCATTTGCACGCTGCTCCACATGGATGTTGGTGTTACTCACTTTGGAGCCGGAACCCTTCAGCGAGTCTCTCAACGTACTCTCCATGTCAGATTGATTGCCTTGCCCGTCGCCACGACGGCGGAAATCTTGGTTTTGAGAGCACATCGCTTGCCTCTTCTGCTTACGGAAAAACTTTCGAGCCATGTCACTTTGCCGTGGGTTGTAAAACATTTCCGCATCCACGACATTGGGGTAGGAACGATACACTGGCATGAGGTGCAGGTTGGAGTCCTTCTGAGACCCTTGCGGCGAGCCGGGAGTGGGCTTGGCACTGGCTTTGTTGAGCTCCACGGCAGCCCTTTGGTTGCGCGACTTGTTGGAGTTGATGCTGTTCGTGCTGGAGACGCGGTTGGAGAGAGGGCCGTGGCCGTTAGCCTGAGAGATAATGCTCCTGTCCGCGTTCGAGATTTTATCCGTGGCCGGGATTTCGGCGACCGGCTTGTCGGTGGCGGCTGGCGCTGGCGGCGGTGGCTCCGAGGTGCGCGTGTCCGACACGTGGCGGCCCCTGCACCGGATGAGCCAGCAGGGGCGCACGTCGCTCCGGGCGAAGCAGTGGAAGAACAAGATGAAGACCGCCATGAGGGAGGCGGTGACCGCGTACAGGACGCTGAAGACGAGCTCGGCTTGGGGCAGGAGGGTGTGCAGCTGGTTGGCGGTGGCGAGCGCCCCCGCCGTCCAGAGCAACACGAACAGCAGCAGCACGATGAGGGTGGCGCGCAGCTGCGTCGCGGGGGTGTGCTCGGCGTCCTCCACCTCACTGCTCACCGTGCTTGCCACACTGTAGGCACCTATCCCGGGTCTGGCCGGCCCAGTGCAGTCCAACAGGTCCAAATCCACGTTTTCAGTGCCCTGGAAGATACGATAAAAAAAAGTGAGCAAACCTGCACGGCAAAACTAAAACCATGAGACAATTGTAGAAGTCCACAGCTTACCTGTGTGCCATCCGACAACTGGGCATTTGTATCAGCTTGACGCTGGGAGAGGTCACATCGTACCAGCAAAACACACACAAGGAGGTACACAACAACAGCAGCGCAGGGAACAAGGACAGCACCAAGAGCCGAATTTGGAACGAGGAAACAGTATTCGTCTCGAACCAAGTAGCGGTACTGCTTCAAGTTCACTGCTCCACTGACTCCCACTACCATCAGACCGATGCCCCAACCAACTAGATAAAGCCCTAGTAGTGGTTTTGGAGGAGGGGTGCTGCTAGACGGTAGGTCATCCTCAGAACCCATTTCCAGTGGATGTTTCTTGTTCAAAGATGAGCGCATATTGCTGGAAGTAAGCAGAAGAGAAAACGACATTACAAAACGCAGTGAGCCTCCCAGATATACCTCATTTGGTCAGTAACACAAACATACCTCACAGTTACTGCCATCCACAAAAGGGCACACAGTGTTAAGTAATGAAGAATCATGCCAACACTCTGACAAAGTTCAACATCATCTGTTTGATGAACTCCAATGCTGCCATTAAAAAAAAAAAAAGGAAAAAAAAAAACATTTTGAGTAAAACATGAAATATGATAACAAGGATAAAGAAAGAAGGGTGTCACAAAATAAATTTTTACCTGAACATGAAACTAAGGAGGGCAATTGCAATCCATGTATTAATGAGGGCATGCTTAGTCCTCTTTGGCATCTGAATGTGAGGCCCAGCCACAACATATGTCACAATGGCAATAATCAGACTGAGGATCAATATTAAACTTCCAATGTAAATAGCTGGGTGTGCCAGTTGTAGGATACTTCTAGGGACCCTGCACACAAAAAAAATACAATTAATAAAAATAATCTTCAGATCAGACAACAAGACTTATTTTACAGGTGATGTCCTACCTTTGTTCAAACTCATAAGGCATTTCTTGCAAGAGGCCAAAGTAACCAAATCTGTCGCAGTTGAAAACAAGTTTGCCGTGCATGAGATGAGATAAAGCGCAACCCTGCTTGCTCCAACCTCCTGCCCCAGCATTCAGGTCCTCATCCCACCACACTGGTCGGGCCCAACCCCCAGCCTCATGGACAGCGGGAGCGCGAACCGCAATGTAGAGGGGCTCAGCAAGATTCCGGACATCCAAGCCAACTAGAGGAAAGGAGAGTTTCACAGTGAAAAATTACAATGGTGATGCCTGATCACAGGGATCGCAATCTTAGAGACTCATACATACCTAATTTGGCCCCTATGACGCTTGAAACGACGTCCCATCGATCATGAGACTCATTAAAATTAACTTGTGGAAATAGATGGCTATTCTCATACATTGATATCAATAATTGATGCGAACGCTGGACTTGTTCACCCTGCCTTTCCAATTGGAAAAATAATGTAGGTGGTATTTGGACTGAAGCCTGAAGAAAAATGAGAAAATAAAAGATATTGATTGACACATACTCTGATTGTATTTTAATTGTTGTATCACACAACCACGCACCTTGGCTCTACTTGACATGAATGATGTGTTATTTCCTTCAGAACAATGGGAGATCTGCGAAGGTCGTGCACCAGCAGGCCCAATAGACCCGCTTTCATCAGAGACTGAATACCAAACACATGTCAGACCTAGGAAGCTTTCACGAGAAACATGAAATTCTTCAACTGCTAAGGTACCCTGTAATCATGTAAAATGATTAGTGAGGTGAAAAAGAAATGTATTCCTAGCAGAGTTTGATCAATGTAAGCCAAAGTACCCTTTGAGATTGTAACGGCGAGGAGTACTGGGTCACAGTTTCAACTGCGTGCACTAGTTTGGAGCTGGCTCTTTCTTCCAGCTGTGCGGCCCGTAACAAACTGCGGGGCATCTGGGTGATGCAGCTCACCATGTCGACCAATAAGGAGCCCATCTGAAAGCAAATGAAGTTCAGTCTGTCATTCTATCAACAGCACTGCAGCACTGCAAAGAATGAGCGCCATAAAAATTCTTACCTCTTTATACTTTGGCAAAAATTTTACATAGTTACTAATTGCCTTGGAGAGAAAAATGGCATCCATTTTATCTGATAAGTGAGGCGTCCCACAGGACAAATTCAATAATTGTTGAGCACTCTCCACTATGGCAGGTCCATGATCTTCACTCAAATTCATCTATTTATAAAAAGAACAAAAGTTGTTCAGTCTTTTTTAAAGCAGAAAAAGGGAGATAGTTATTGCTCCAATGTTTTTTCTCTTACCCTGAGAAAGTCTTGAAGCAAACGAGTTGTTCTACTGGAATAGGGACACAGGGAGGTATTCAAGGAGTGCCATTTGCCTTCACTATCACATGCGTGGTATGCATGCTGCTCTTGAATGTTGTCAAAATCAGTTGCTTCACATGGGAGTTCAGCACTGAAGCCAACAACTGTTTGAGGCCAGACGTACACACCTTTGTTGTTCCTTGTAACTAAAAAAACAAAACAAAAAAGTTGAAATGGAGTAAAAAAAAATAAAGAAAATCCATACATATATGCCATTAACTAAAACATACCTATTTGAGGGCAGTACTTTGTTTTAGCAGAGATTACAATAACAGAAACTGTCCTGGAATGGTTTGCTTGTCCAGACACCAACAGGCAGTTCCACTGGCCAGAATGATTGGTGCTCAATTGGTCAATAATAAGTGCACTAGAACAGGTAAAAAAGATAAAAAATGTCTTAAGATTGTGGCACCATCAAGAAAGCTAAGATAATGAAATTGTCACAGACATGTTAAGAAAACTTACCTCACAAGTGTACCATTATCAGAAACATTAACACTTCCAAGGTGAACATCTTTGAATGCAACTGCTGGATCCTGCTTTCCCCAGAACCAAGATATGCTCGGGCTGTCCAGGCCCACGAGGGAAGCTTGGCATTGGAGCCTGAGGCGGTCTCCCTCAAACACAACCTGAGTGTCAAATCAAGTCAAGCTGATAATTGCTGTTCCCACTTCACAACCTTAACATTACTAGAAGAAGAAAGTTACCTGATCTTGCTGCGGCTGTATTTTGAGAATGTCCAGAGAAAGAACATTACTCGTGCACATGGAGATGCTCCCATTGTACCACTGCAGCAAAGGCAGTCCCCTTGCTTGCACAGGAGATGCACATGTTAAAGTTAGTTTTTTCCCACTGAAATTCCGTGCCCATTCAAAAAGCCAAGACTGAGCACAATCACAATCCAGAAAGTTGTTTCCAATATCACTGAAAAAAATTAAATAAAAAGTTATGGGACTTTGATCATACGGTTGGCCTGTAGAATGAAGGGTCTGTGCAGATACTTACAATTTTTGGAGGTGCATTAGGTTTTCAAGAATTGCTCTGTTTATTCGTGCCAAATTGTTGTTGCTAAGTTTCAACACCTCTAAATTGGATAGTCCATCAAAGGCATGATCCTGAAGGACCTCTATTTTGTTAAAGGATAAATCTCTGTTTTAGAAAACAAAAACAAAGAAAAAACACACATATTAGTACTGCGGAAGATGACAGGATCAAATTGAACACAAAACATGGGTCCTTACAGTCGTTTCAGGTTGGTGAAGTTTAGAAAATATCCTGACCCCACATCCACAATGGTGCTTCTGCTGAGGTCCCTGCATTTCAAAATAATTTAGTGAAGGAAAAAGAGATCCACTATCATGTCACATTAAAAGATTTTGGATGAAACTGGACTTACAAATGGGCTATCTGTGGGGCCAACGCAGACAAGTCCAACTTGCTGAGGACATCTAGTTTGTCAGAACACCGTACTTTGAGGAAAGATCCATTTTTCACTTTGGTGCAGTTGCAAGAAGTGGGGCAGCCACTTGGCCTTTCGTGCGCAGGCTGGAGAGACAGAGCCAAACCCAGGCAAGCCGCTAGCACTAAGATGAAACCCACTCGTTGCAGAAGATTCATCTTGGCGGCATAGGGGAAAAATTGAAGTCACATTTCTGCATGAAGTCTGAAACATTTCAAACCAAGAGAAAAATTTGATATGAGTAAAAAAATTACTGTGTCGTAATAGCCGGTTCACGAGGACGCGGCTTCAGGGTTCAGAAAGTAGCACTCAGATGTACACTCCGCTAAAATAGAACGAAGCTCGGGGTAAAATAATTGACAAGAATATTTGTAAACAAACATAATGGAAAACGTAGAGGTTAAGTGTCGGCTCTGTAGCTTCCTTTCCCAGTTTAGAGACTTTTTCTGGGTATTTTGACATAATACAGGCGGTATAGGTGAGTGGGACATAGTTTACCTTAGAAAAATTATGTTCTACTGTTTAAAAATCAGAGAAAATGTCAATGTAAACGTTGCAGGGACAATGTTAATGTTTTCCAGGGCGTCACACACACACAAACACACACACTGACACTGACATAGGGCCCGTGCACCGCTGGAGGAAGAACAAAAACTCCTGGTGGGCATTTCCGCGCGAGCCTTCAAACTGGGACCCAGCTGGGGGTGCCTGTTTGTTGTATTTTTTTTTTTTACCGGTTTTAAACAAAGTGGCTAAGGATCGCGGCAGGTTGCGGTGTCGGTTCACGATAATTGGAGAAGGAAACTCTAGTCGATTACGCCGAACCTTAAGCAAAATAAGTGAACTTGTCAAGATAGTGCAGGTTAGGTTGACTAAGATGTCTGCTAGGTCGACGCCATGTTAACTCCGCGCACGTCGCTGCTGGTGGGCAAACGAAACAGCCTTTTTCTGCTTTTCCCGATACGAGTATGCCACAAAAGCTCTCAACACGAGTCGGAAATTTTTATTTAATTTAATTTCGACAATGTAAAAGGTTGGATGAATTCCAGTCACTTCTCAAAACGCGAAAACGCGAGAACCAAATTTGAACTTCGCGCTGCTTTCCCACCAGCACGGAAGGGAACGTTATGCGTCGTTTAACAGCACCGTTTCGAGATCCTCGACCTGCACGGGCCCTATAGGGCATGGGCACATCGAGACAAGTGAAGGTTTCACTGGGGATCATTGAGCGGGAACATTCAAATGCTCCCCTTTTTGTAAGGCATGGTGTTTACTGCTGAAAGAAGATAAATGTTGCAAAGATGCCTAGAGGGCATTGGTAGGCATCAAAGCACGCATAGAAGTTGCTGGAGAGTGTTAAGATTGCTTAATCAAACTTTGGCCTTAATGAAAGTAGGACCCCCAGCGATAGCGCCTGCTGGGTAGGCAACAAGCAGTACACAACCGTCCATAACCTCCAACTGCATAGCTTTTATTTGTTTCACGTGATGAAGTCCTAAAATTTTCAATGAATCCATGTTCCTGTAAGGCACGAATGCCAATAAATTCGTGGGCGAGTGATAACCTCCGCTTAAATCGTAGATATATCGTAGGAAAGACGTCGAAATTCAAGCTTCCCGCGAGATTGATCCCCAGTGAGTAGAGAACGTTCTGGGCCCCATCACCGCTAGTGACTTCCAAAAAGCCCACTGCCCATGCTCTATCACACACACACACAAACACACGTGAGAGTCGACTGTTCGATTACTCGCCAATCGATTCAATATGGCGTCCGTTTGTTTTGATTTTTGTTGTTTTTGTTTGTGCCGGCAGGTGAGAAGTAAAATTTATCCACTTCTTTCGTTACTGATTTCTCTTCCGAGGAAGTGAAGCTGTCCTCCCTCTTTAGTCCTCCTGTTAGAAGTGTCGAGCTTCAGCCAAGACCTGAGATGTCTGAAAAGGGAGCAGCACTGCAGACTTACAACCAGGAGCTTGTCAAAGGTGCGAATGGGCAATGGGCAGCACTTGAGACAGTTCTGAGAACACATTGTCCTACCAACATCTTTCATTTAAATTTCAGGAATAGAATCGTTAAAGAGGAAACGATGCGAAATCGTGCAATGGATTTCAGAAGATCAGCGCAAGAAGGAGGTACTCGAGAAAGAGCTTGCCACAGTGCAGGCCAAGCTGTCGACAGTATGCACCAGTCTCCAACAAAACATTGACAAGAAGGCTTCAATAGATGAATCCATCGAAAGCTGTGAATCAGCATATATGAAAGTGAGTTTCAGTCTTGAGATTTTCATACGTAGAGTATCCATTCAATTTAGACATTCATAACTGCATTGTGTTACAGATCCTGGAGAGTTCTCAGGCACTATTGAACATGGTGCGCCAGGATGCTCTTTCTTTAGATCATTCTGGCAGCAACAAGTGTGAATCAACATGAGGTCTGACTTGTACTTTCTGTACGGCTCACACAATTTAATTTTAAAATATTATTTAAGCAAACTTGGAGACTTAAGACTTTGTTTTTCCTGAGTGCAATGTGAAAGTTATAGTTTTATAAAATACAACTCAACATTATATTTTTTTAATCTTATTGAAATATTTTGTTTGTTTTCCATGTTTGATGGCCCTCTATAATTGCAGAATAAGGTGAGAAAAATTGAAGAAGCAGGAATGTACAGAAGTAACAACAAACATTTATTCACAAAAGCACTGCTAAAAAGAACGAGGTTCCAAATTAAGAAACTCAAAATATTCCTTTTAGAGCACTCAACAAAATTACAAACTTGAACAGAACAGAGAACAGAGGTTGCCAAAATCAATAAAGTTACTGTATATACAAGTGGTTGTGCATTAAGATTTGGAAACAAAAAGAACAAAGAGCTTTTGAAATCCCTTGATAAATATAATGTTACCTAAAAAGATCATTTTGGGGAAGGCATGTGAAAATGACAAGAAATTTTGTACATTTTTTAAATTATTATAAAATAGTGCGTGTGCACAAAAATTCAATAGAATTTTTTAACAACAGGCAATGTAGGCATAGATAGATTATGCATAACCCACAAATTTCTGCTCATTCCACACTTTGACTAGTTCTTCTGGATCAAATCCATGAGAGGCGATAACATACCGATACGAGTACTTATCATATGGTTTCTTGTAGAAGTGAAACTCGTTGCAATGGTATGGCTCAACACCAGCTTTTTTAGCCACCAAACCGAGATAGATATCATCGAAGCGAAAGTGCTCCGTGTACATACTCGCGTAGTACATGTCTATCAGAGCTTCCCGAGACAGGATGAAGGCCCCTGCAGTGACATAGGGTGGCCACAAGTGGTAAGGGTACTCAGATAGAGGTACATACCACTTACTACTGAGATGTCTGTGGGGAGATGACACAAAAACAAAACCAGAAAATAATCTCACATCTTCTGGTAACTCATAATCTGTTTCTGCGAGATTCCCTTTTTCATTGGGATAGTTGGTGGGATCCCTTAAAAAGCGCAATACGCTTCTGGTAGAAATATACATATCATCATCAACAAACATAAAAAACTTGGAATTTAAGCAGTTGTTCATAATCCACTTGAACCCCATCATGGTTTTGATGGTGTTGTTGTAGTAAGTGTCAATGAATTTAACTTGAACAATATCACCATGTTCAGCAATTTCCTCTTCTATTTTCATCTGTAGCTCTGCATCATTGGGTTTCGTGCCAAGCATAAAAATAGTTCGAATTGGCACATCCGAAAATCTTCTTTCAAAGCCCCATGACTTTCTAATAGCTTTGCGTTGCTCAAAATGATGCAAAGCAGATTTGACTACATACACTAAACGAAGCTGAGGATAATCTTCATCGAAACATTTTCTTTTCAAGTCTGTTAGGAATGTATAATTGTACACTGTGATCGGTGGGACATCTGGCTTTTCTTGGTTGCGTAATTGATTTATGAATTCTTGAATGTCTCCCACATATGGATATTTAAAATCATCATTGTAAGTACTTTCTAAAAGATGAGTCAAAATACCAAAGTAGTAAATAAACCCTAATGTCAGAGCAGCGCAAAAAACAGTCTTCAATTTCACTTTCCGCATCATCTTGATTCAAACTAAATTCTGAAACACATGAAAGGAACACAACCATAGAATTTTGAGCACAGAGGAAAGTGTAGATCAGTTGCAAGCACGCAAGAATAGACTTATGGTGGTTGTTACCTTTCTACTAATATTCTCCCTGATAAAGGACAGCTGGGTAGTCCACATGAAGTCTTGGATAAGGAAGAGGTACACTGCCTTGTGGTTGTAAGGATTCAGTTACTTTTTTCATAGTTGGTTTGCCTCTCTTGCCCTGTGGCACCACTTCAACATAGAACTCATGTGCTAGATCACCATCTTCATCAAAGTACATCGATCCTTGCCGAATCAATACAAAGGGACTTCCTTTGAATGTTCTCTCGAAGGTCTTAGTTTGGTATTCACTTTCGTTGTCTGAACCAGTCACAGTTGAAAATGCAGAAGCCCCCTTTTTGAAGATCTTAGTGCTTGTGCCACCCATTGATTCACTTCAAAGCTTTGATTGACATCCAGAAAGCAGCAAGATCAGATGAGTGGAGAATCAGAGTAGCAGCTGGTCATTCTCGGGATCAGCCACAACACTGCAACAGTTGAATCTTGAGAAATTGAGACCTGAAACAATGAAGTAAATGAATATTTTGAGCCATCATTAGACAAAAATTGAAATATTGCTGTGCTCGACAAATAATGAACTCATGACACCTTAAACTACAGACATTTTCGGAATATGAATAGATGAAGAACACAGAAAGCAAGTTTGCAAACGTCAAATTTAATTCCACGATAGATTTGGGGAAACAAAAACATATGAATGGTTAACCACCAACCTAGAATCGGAGACAGCAGACAGAAAGGACCTGCCTCATCATTCAAAAAGCCAAGGGACTGGAAGAGGTTACCGCAACGAAACAGGTGGCATGAAATTGCAAATGGTTTCGAAAGCCAAGGGGAAAGGCTAACGATGCCCAAAAGCTTCCAATTTAGCGATTTCTTCCTAATTAATGCTGAGAATCAACATTCTTTCCATCTAGAAATTTGTCATGTCTGCATTGTCACCGCCTGCAGGAAATGAACCCTAACCTCTTCATTTTAATTTTTAGAAATAATAGCTGATTTGATACTTAAAGAAGATTAAGTTTACCTATGGACAGTGCTAAAGTGATTATACGACCGTTAAGATGTCTGTAGTGGCGTTAAGTGGTAAATAAAGAAAGGGTAAAAGGAGGTCGTCATGAATCTCTGGCTGAAGCTGTCAACATCAGTCCCACTGCCAGAGCATTGAAGAAGACAAACGTGTCACGGTCATTATCCTTTTTCGTCTGGGTTTTGTATGGGTAGATTGCTTGTTTGGGGTCTATTTTTTTAAAGGATTTTTGCATTCTTTTTCGAATATTGGTTCTATTTTTTACACTTGTTGAGTAAATATTGTCTCTCCTGTCACTCTGTGCATCGAATTGTGCCCCTACACCCGAAATACGCGAGTTCTCAGTTCAACGACCTTGGACATTGCATTCGGTGATCCACTCCACTGGCATACTGCTGTTTTCTTTACTTTAAAGTGGAGAGCTTTCTCCGCTAGTGTTGTGCTTGCGCGCTGCCCATCGATGTTGTGAAGTGGTCTTCCTGCGGCGAGCACCGGTGTCCCAGATGATGGACAACGACAGAGGTAAGCAAAAAGGTTAACCTACGTATTGTGAGGAGCGCGAGTCCAAGTACTCGTCGGTCATGGTTCGGTTTTGGGTTCGTTCGTTGCCCCTCCATTTGCCGACTGATGAAAGGAGGCACTGTTAGTTCCTTTGACGCATTTCTGGAAATGGTTTGCTTTCCTCGGACAAAGTTCTTGAAGCCCTGCGGGCTAAAGGGTTGATGTTAATCTCAAAGCCTTGATTATATTGTCTTCGTAATTTTGGTGATGGGCATCGTCATGTACAGGTGCACCTGTTGTCCTTTGGAATTTACCTTTTCTTTGTGTCTTCAGTCCTTGTCAGTTCTTGAATTTGTATTGTAAGGAGCCGCTGATATAATATGGCACAGTTGTCACGTAAAAAGCTCAATTTGATTCTTACATAATATAACTAAATTCATTGCCGTACATGAGTCAAGCTCAAATAATGCAGGCTCTGTTTAAATTCTGCGACAACATCGCAAATTCTAGAGACGTGTCTGCTTTAGTCATTTCACAGAGATCTCTCCAATGGGATATTGACATTCAATCGGTGACATTTCTCCCTGTCCTGCTGCGGTGGATTGGAACCCATCTGAAAGCCCCCCGCCTGTGATAAGGACTACGTATTTGTCTTCCTCTCTCTCTCTCCTTCTCACCCTCTGTTCCCCATTCCTTCTCCTCGGCCCTGACCTTATTCTCCTTTGCAAGTACCCCTTCCCCCTCCCCCTCCCCGACCTCCTCTTCTTCTTCTGACGCCGTCTTGAGCATCCGAACTTGCTCCCATCGGCGGCTCCGCAGCTCCACGCTGGCCAGGCCGGGGCCGGGGCCACCGACTGCAAACTGCACGCACTGCACGCGCTGCACGCGGTGGGCCGTGGCTGCCGTGGCTGTGGCTGGTCAGTCGGGCTGGTGACGCCGCCGCCACTGGCACGGCACTGCAAACTGCAAGCCTGCACGCGCGGTGCATAGAGTGCATGGCGATGCGGTGAGCTGGTGCAGCCAGTGCGTCCGAGGTGGCCCCGTTGCCCGTTCAGTTTCTCTCGCAGCCGCCAGCGGCCGCGTGCGAGACGGCTCGGCGCGAGCGACGCGGGCCCCATGGCTAGGCCCGCGGGCCGCGGGAGCGACGAGGCGGGGCGGGGCGCGCCGCTTCGGACGCCGCCCTGGAGCAGTGCGCGGCGCGACGGCGAGCGGCGCGGCGCGGGCTTCAAGGCCACGGGTGGCGCGGCGTGGCGGCGTGGCGGCCCGTCCGAGCCGAGCCGAGCCGGCCAGCGCGGCCAGCGCTAGCAGCGCCAGCGCCCAGCACGATCAAGAGCCGGGGCAGGGCGGGCAGGGCCGGCAGGGCGCCCTTGTGGACCTTGTCAGGACTCGGGACGACGTGATAGCGCCACGCCGCCACCCCCTCGCGCCCCCACGCCGCGCACCGCACCGGCTGGGGGTGGGACACCCTCGAGGAGTGGAGGAGCATCGTGGGGAGCCTCCCCCTCCTCGCGAGGTGCTTGCCATGCATGCGCGATGACGGGCGTGTTGTCTTTCATGTACGATGCCCCCAATCTTATCGCCCACGCCGTTGTCTGGGCCGCGGCGGGCCGGGCGGCTCGGGGCGGCTAGAGCGGCAAACTCCGCGCACGGCGCGCACCCAGCCCCGCGGAACACGAAGCTGTCACCGCGGTGCCTCGCCGCGCCCCCGGGCACAACGGAGACGGCGTGTCGCCGGGTCGTGTGCCCAGTGTGCCCCCATGCCTCGCCTTGCGCGCCAGGGCCCCTGCGAGGTAGGCCGGCCCGCTCGACAGCCCCGTCCGACGGGCAGGCCCACGTGCAAGGGGCTCTCTCTCCCTCTCCGCCTTGACTCGCGCAGCTTGACTTCGCCCCGCCGCTCGTCGCGCTGTCTCTGTCGCACTCAAGGGTCGCACGCGGAGGGCTGCGAGAGAGACAGAGTGTCTGCACACTGCAGTGCTTTGACGGCCGCGTCGAGCAGCGTGCCAGGGCAGTGCCAGGAGGCTCATTCCGGACGATGCTTTCGTCGCTCTCCCTCTCTCGCACGCATGAGGAGTGAGAAAGGGGAGCGACGAAAGCCCTGTTCGAACTTTGCCAGCAAGGCGTCCTTGGAGGGGGTTGGCCTCACACCGCCTCAGACTTTCTCCTGTTTCCATTTTGCTCGCCCTGCTGCGCATTGGCTCTGTGTACAGCACGCTGGTTCCGAAAGTGGCGTCTCTCTCACACTGGTGTCGGCCCGTAGGGGTGCGAGAGGCACAGGGCGACGAAGGCGGCTCTCGGAATCCGTCTTCTGCTTGGCAGCCCATTACAGTGCGCGCACGGCGGCACGGCACGGCACGGCACGGGGCCGTCACGCCCAGACGCGAGTCGCCGCGCCGGGGGTTGCTTTTAATCAAGTTCGGGTTACCTTGGCTTGGCCCGCCTCCTGCCGCGCCGCCGCGCCACTGGGACCGAGTCGACGCCAATGGGTTCCTCATGTGCGCGGTGCGGAGCGGCAGGCCGAGCCCCTCCGGGCCCTTTGGGGGTAACGGCCCCCCGGATGACACCCCTCTGGGGGCCCCAGCCTGCCGCCCTGCCGCCCTGCGGGGGGCCGGGGTGTGAAGAGGCGCCGGCCAATGACCGTCGGAGGGGGTTCAGTTCGCGCTGCCACGCGCTGCTCCCCCACCCCTACACGAAGCACTGCGAAGCACGGCGAAGCAGGCAGGCCGCCGGGCCGCGTGTCGCCGTTTGACAGGCCGGGGTCGCGACCCCAGGCCGTACCCAAGCCAAGCCCTGTCGGCGCGGTGCCCCGCCCTCACGCCTCGCACGCCTCGCACTGCACCGGCCTCGCCGTCTAGCCCATCAGCCGCGATGAATAAACCACCGGGCATCGCTCCGTCTCCCTCGCACCGATGGCGGCATGCATGCGGACGGCGAGCGCGGCGCTGCGGCACTGCAAGGGCGATGCCGGCGGCCGATGCGGCGCTGCGCGAATTTAATCGGCGTTGTTGTTGTGCCTCCGGCGGGTGGCGAACCCAGCACCCAGCCCACGCGGGCCGCGCCCACCGCGTGCCGCCGCAGCTGCAGGCCGCCGCCGCGGCGAGTGACTTCCGCGTTGCAAGCCGCAGTGTCGCCGCTGCATCGCCGCCCCCCCCCCTCCTCCCCCCGCGGCGGAAGAGGATAGATGGGCCGGGATTAGAGCCCAAGGTCGCGGCGGCATGCGTGGCGTGGCGCGGCGGGGCACTGCTTGGCGGAGCCGCCGGGGGACACTATGTAGGCCACCTATTCTATGCACCGCTCGGCACCGCGTCGCAGCGGTCGCAGCCCTGGGGTACGCTTGACGCGCTTCTCGGCGCCCCGCCCCGCCCCGCCCGCGGACACACCCTGAAATAAAACGCGCATGGTGGCGGCCGAGGGGAGGGGGAGTACTGCAGGGGTTGCTGGGAGGGGGGGGGGTCCTCCACAGTGGAGTGGAGTGCGGTCTCGGCTAGGGGTTGCCCCCGCAGCCCCGCAGCAGGCCTGGGCTGCGCCAGGCTAGGCGTGCGACGCCCCTTGGGACTGAAATAATCCTGGCGGTGCAGTGCAGGCGACAGGCGGGGCGGCGGGGCGCGGCGGCAAGGTCTCGGTGCAGCCCTGCACTTGGCCCTGACTCGCTGGCGGCCCGTCGGCGGGGATGGTGAATGGGATGGGTGCGCCCCGCCCCGCCCAGAGCCCTGCCGCCCTGCGGTACCCCTGCCGCCACTACCGCTACCCGTACCAGCCGGGTCGATAGAGCAGTGGGGACAGCTGGGAGGCGGCTGGGGCCTGGCGGCGGGCTGGCCTGGCGGCGCGGCTGGCTGCCTCGCTCGGCGCTGTCAGTTGAGTCACAAGAGTCAGCACCGCAGCGTGCCGACGGTGCCGACGGTGCCGCGCCGTGTCCGCGGCCGTGTCACGCAGCGACACGTCCGCGTGTTGAGTGCGTGCCGTGTCGCCGCCATGTACAAGAAGGAGAAGCCCATGATGTCGGTGGCCGCCATCATCCAGGGCGCCCAGGCGCAGGCGGGCCTCTGGGGGCGACCCGGCGGTGAGTTGGGGTGCGGAGCACGCCAGCACGCAAGAGGACTGCAAGTGTGGGGTGCAAGTGGAGCGCACGCGGGTGTCGCCGCCAGCGGGGGTTGATCCAGCGTCAGGTGTCGAGTGGGGCCAGCCAGTGTCTAGTGCGAGGGCGTATGTAGAGCGAACCGTGAGCCCGCAAAGCAAGCAGTGCCTTGCCGATGCTGCGATGCTGCCGTGTGCGGGCCGTGTGCAGGTGGAGCACGTCTCGAGCTTGCAGCGCGGCGAGTCAAGCGTGCAGTCCAGACCAAGTGTCAAGAAGTTAATGTGGAGCAAGTGTCAAGAGGGGGGGGGGAGTGCGGAGAAAGTGTCCAACCCTCTCGCAGGTCACGTGGACGAGTGGGGGTGGGAAGCAGAACAGGGGGGGCGGTCGGACTGGACCACCTTGGCAGTGAAGAGGGTGCAACGGTGCAGGGGGATGCTGCAGGGGGAAGGGGGCTCCCTGGGCTTTGGATGACGGCGAGAGGTTAAAAAAAAATTATGCGCAGGATAACTTAGAACAATTAAAAATTGACTTTTGAATTTTTGTCATCCCATCACTAACCGTTGACGAAAGAAAAACGCAAAAAAAAGTTAGGTTTTGACGGCCCGCACCCCCTTTCCTCTGGTCCGCTGCGCGACGCCGCGACGCCGCGACACCCCCTTGTTTGTGAACACGGACACCAGCTCGCACTAGCTAGCTCCCTCCGACACCTGTACCGTTGCGCAACGCGGCCGCGGCAACGCGCATTGAAACGGACGCGCCTCATCGAAATGCGGGCTCACTGTAGTATTTTGGAAAGTTTGCCAAGTCGTGTGGCAACGACGACTATACTATACGTGCGCGTTGCGCCAAGAGATGGTTTTTTCCTTCTTTCGTTTTTTTTTTGTTCTTTTTTTTTTTTTTTTGCTTTTTCAAAAAATGAAAAGTGCCATTACCGGCTGGCCGGTGTGGAGCTTGGCTTGTTGACACGGCGAGGCCAGGCCAGCCAAGCCAGCCCGGCCAGCCCAGCAGGCCTCTACCGGCCGCGCTGGCCAAGCTGGCGGACGTCCACGAGACGGAGAGGAGCCGCTCTGTCATCCGCGCCACGCTTTGCTCTGCCTCGCTCTGCCGTGCTCTGGCTCGGCCGCGTCGCCGCGTCACGCCATTGTCTTTGTCTGCCCGTTGAATGATGCGATCCGTGGAAAAGTCTGTCACCGGCCGGAGCCGTTTAATTATTGGTGCACTGGCGGGGGCGGGGGCGGCACTGCCGGCCGGCCCGGCCAGCGCGGACGATGACCGACTGACCCAGTTTTCGTTTTTGGACGTCCGTCGGATTTGCTTGGGGGAGGGGCTCATCTTGTCTTGCTGCGCGTCGCTGGAGACTGAAAGCTGGAGACGCGTGGAGGCTGTCCCGGCCACGGCCACCCTCTCCGAGAGTCGTTTTCGTCGCTCTGTCTCTCTCGCTCTCGTGGGGCGTCCCGTACAGGTGCGAGAGAGACAGAGCGACGAAACGACTACTGGATTGGACTTCCCCTCGACGCCGAAGGGACGTTGGACAAACGATTCTCGCCTGGACTCTATGGGCACGCCCTCCAGCACGCCTCCACCCTGAATGGTCTATAGGCCATTCGCACCCGTGCGGCCGTCTGTCTGTCTGCCCGCCCGCCCACGGCGAGTTTGGGGGTGGAGCGTTGCCACCTGCCGACGCATCGCCATCGCCGGCTGACGGGGTGACGTCACGCCGGTGGCGAGCGGAGACCATTTTGACGTCACGTGGCGACGCGGCGACGCTCGGCCGCTCTGTGTCTTAGCCCGTTTCCACGGGGGGCTTTCCATGCCCGCCCGCGGCGTCTCCCTCTCGCACTCGCGCGCGGGGCGTCGGGAGAAAGAGAGAGAGAGGCCTGTCACTCGGCCCGCGTCGCGCCTCCCGCGTTTCCCGCGCTCCTGGAGGATGACTGATTGGCGGAGGCGCGGGCGGTGCGCGGTGCGCGCGGCAGGCGGCGGTGGCTTCGATTTGCGATTCGGGCGCCACGCCTCGCCTCGCCTTCGGCCATGTCGCCTTGCCCGCCTTGCCCGCCTTGCCCCCCGCGGCATGGCTCCGGTTTAACCTTTGAAAGGTCGAACAACTCGTTACGCGGGGCCGTTCGCGCCGTTCGCGCTGCCTCATTTCGGTTGTGAATCTTTTGCCGGCCGTCGCCACCACACCGCGAGTGTGTGCGCGCGCCTCCTTACTTGGCGGGCTAGAAAGCATAAGAAAGCCCAAGGGAACGGCAGGCTTCTTCGGCAATGAGTCGCTCGGCAGGTTAAGGTAGGTTGGGGAGCGAGCGTCGAACACACCAAAGGCACTCTTGAGGCGCGCCCCGCTGACGCGCTGACGCGCTGACGCAACCAGGCGATCAACCCATTGGATCACCCCTCGAGGGGCTCGCCCGTCCCACGGGGTCGCCTTAATTGGTGCTTGCGGGATTGATTCATTCACCGAGCGGCCCCTCGTGGGAGGCTTGACTGACTTGACGGCGGCAAGGTTGAACGGAAGGCGGGGGCGCGGGGGTGGGGCGCCCAGGGGTGGTTCCTCGGGGATGGCGCCGAGGACCGCGTCGTCGCTCCGTCACTGTCGCACCGAAGGAGCTCTCCGTAAGAGTGCGGGAGGGAGAGGACTCTCGGAATGAGTCTGCCGAGGGGCGTGGCGGGTTGCACTGGGATGGGCACTGGATGGGGCTCGGCACTGCACTGCTATGCATGCTGCTGCAAGCTGCCTGCAGCTTCAGTCCGCGGCTTTGTCCATGTGCAGCGCGCCGCGCCACGCCGCGCCACGCCGCACCGCGCCCTCCCACGCCGCCTGCACTGCACGGCCAAGGTCGCGCCAGGATCGCGCTCGCCGCGTTTGATGACGACTGCGCTTTACCGAAGCGCGAAGCGCCGCGGAGCACGGTAACCTACATTAACCTGGACGCCGAGTCGAACCATGCGGGTTGTTCGCCGTGCTAATGGAGAGAGGCGCCTGTCTGTCTGCCTGTCTGTCTGTCTGTCTGTCTGTCGGCGACTCTGCCTGTGTCTGCGGTCAACGCGACGCGTGGAAATGTTGCGTGGTCCGGGTCCAGCGGGTCCAGCCTGCCCGGGCCGGTCCGGCCCGGTACTGCGGAGGTACCTCGGTACCGAGGTGCCGTGTCCGTGCCGGCGCGTCGGAACGGCGCGGAGTGGCGTGGCGGCCAGTGGCGGGAGTGGCGGCCGGTGCTAGCGCCGAGTACGTACGAGTGGCGAGCTAGCTCTGCTCCGCGCTCCGCTCTGCTCGGGGCCTTGGATGACCCTGAGGCTGGGGCCCAACCGGCTGCCGGCTCGGTCTCGGTACGCCGTACGCCTCTCTGTGCAGCGCGGCCGAGCCTGCCCGCCCGCCTGCCTGCCTGCCTGCCTGTGCGCGCCACCGCGGAAGAGACGCGGCCGCTCCGGGTGGGGGGCGCGGAGGGGGCGGGGGGCGGGGCAATCACAAGTGACATTGAAGTTCGCTCGCCGCGCCACGCCACACGGTGCTCGGTGCTCACCGGCCAGGACGAGGAGGAGCAGGGGAGGGGTGTGTCTATTTCTGCACCTTGGCTCGGGAGATGTTGTCAGGGCTCTTGAAAGGGAAGGGATGGGATGGGGTCGGGGTGCGTCCGTCACTGTCCGGGCCGCGGGCCGGGTGTGGTGATGCATTCACGTACAGTACACAGCGCCACAAAGCCTCTCGAAGCTCGATCAATCAGTTCACAATGGACCGTTCGCTTTCAGACCGCCGTCAGGTTTGGCAGCAGCGTGTGAAAATGGGAAGAAATCGCAGCCAATCCTGACCAACTGCGCATTTTCCGTTCCGGGGAGCTTAGGTTTTCTCTCTTGGCTAGCGCAGTAAACGTTTTAATTTTAACAGTGCTGATCTTTCCAGCCACACGGAGTAGAACTATTTATTAGCATGATGCGCAGCATTGGCACCCATGCTGCACTGGAGGATCTTTATCTTTGCAGTTGAGCATTGTTTTCATTTTTTCTTTTCTGTCTTGTTGCAGGCCTTGGGCTGGACGGGGGCCTGATGGCGCCCCAGTCGCCCCTGGACATGAAGCCGGACCCAGCCCTCCTGGGCGTCGGCCCGCACAGTCCAAAGTAAGTCGAAGCGCGAAGCGCGAAGCGCGAAGCGCCCTCCTAGTGGCTAGTTCCCTCAGGAATATTCGGTTTTAGTTTTGTGTCTGTAAACTTCTTACAGCACTCATTGGTTCCCTGCGCGAATGGTGGGACTTATCCTCATAATTAGCTGAGACGCAGTAGGCATGTTTCTGTCTAGGTGGTGTCGTTTTTAAAGCCATCCTCTTTTCTTTACTGTCAGATAATTGTCTTTAACACACTGGAGCAATTGGAATCGATCATTGTTCCAGAGGATGGCGGATTTTACATGTCTCTTGGATTTCCTTTTTTAAACTATTGGTCCCGTTGAGTTCCTTTTAGTCTGGTTCTCAGTGTCTTCTTTACTTTTTCCTCTAGACATTAGTTAGGATCCCTACAGCTTAGTAGACGTTGCATGCGCATGTACTGTAGCCTAGCCAAGCTTGGTGAATGCCCTTTCGCTACTAACTAGTTCCTTACTCTGTTTTGTGGCGTGCAAAGTGGTTCACCTGAGCCCGGCATGTTTTTCAGCTCCTTCAACTCCATGGGAAGCGGAATGATGAACAACTCTGGAGGCTCAGGGCAAACCAAGAATTCGGGGAGCACATCCCCCTATCCACCTAACCATCCTCTAAGTGGGTCAAAACACCTTTGCTCTATCTGTGGAGACCGAGCTAGTGGAAAGCATTACGGAGTGTACAGGTTGGTGTCATTTATTAAATTTTTCCTGGCCTTTTGCCTGAGTCTCACTGTTTGCTGTCACACTTGATTTTCTTTTCGGCAGTTGTGAAGGATGTAAGGGGTTCTTCAAAAGGACTGTGCGCAAGGATTTGTCTTACGCATGCCGTGAGGATCGGAATTGCATTATTGACAAGCGCCAGAGAAATAGATGTCAATATTGCCGATATCAGAAATGCCTCAGCATGGGGATGAAACGAGAGGCTGTTCAGGTAGATATAACCCCTTACTGTGTTTAATGACTTACTTTTTTTTAAGTTTTACTTGAATTTGTGTCATTAAATGCTTATGTTAAAATTTGAACTATAGGAGGAACGACAGCGCACAAGGGACCGGGATCAAGGTGAAGTTGAATCAACAAGTACAGTCCACACAGACATGCGTATTGAGATGATTTTGGAAGCTGATCGTCGTGTGGAATGCAAACAAGAGAATTCTGCAGATGTGGAGGTGAACATACTTATGATATTGTATATATTACTTTTCTTAAATAATTATTTTTCATTTAGGAGAAATCAATGCATCCAAGGTGATATCTTGAAGTCTCTTTGGTACTCGGTGACAAAAAAAATCCTTAACAATATTTTTTAAATAAATTTAACTAACTTTAAATAGATTTTAAAAAGTCTTAGGCCTTTGATTTGGGGGCTCTAAACATATGAATTTGCCTAGCACTTTCTAGGCATCCTCCATATAAAGAAAAGCATGGCGTAATGTGTTTTGCAGAGGTGGAATAAGGCGATCGCATCTTTTGGTTGTGTGTCGCAGAACGCAATGACCAACATCTGCCAGGCTACGAACCGACAGTTGTTCCAGCTAGTGGACTGGGCTAAGAACATCCCTCACTTTGCATCTCTGCCCTTGGAGGATCAGGTGCTACTGTTAAGGGCTGGTGAGTAGAATTCCCTGCTTCTTCATTTTCTCTTGATGAGTTTAATAAAAAAGTTGACTGTTTTGTGTGTGTTACAGGCTGGAATGAGTTGCTTATAGCTGCTTTCTCTCATCGCTCAATTGATGTGGAAGATGGCATTGTGCTTGCTAATGGTCTCACAGTACACCGAAATTCAGCTCACCAAGCTGGTGTGGGAAATATTTTTGACAGAGTTCTTACTGAACTTGTAAATAAGATGCGGGACATGCGGATGGACAAGTCTGAACTGGCCTGTCTGCGCACCATTATTCTTTTTAACCCAGGCAAGGAACCTGCATATTCCAAACTTTAATGTTTTATCACACTTGACACAACTCTCTCTTATTATGATGATGTTCTTTGCAGAAGTGAAAGGGCTGAGGTCAAAGCAAGAAGTTGATCTTCTCCGTGAAAAAGTCTACGCAACTCTGGAGGAATACACCAGAGTCACCCATCCAAATGATCCTGCCCGTTTCTCCAAATTATTGCTGCGCCTGCCTCCACTGCGGTCAATTGGGTTGAAGTGTTTGGAGCATTTGTTTTTCTTCCGGCTCATTGGTGATGTTCCCATTGATACGTTCCTCATGGAAATGTTAGAGTCTCCTGCTGATCCATAATTTTTTTAATATACTTGTTTGAGAGGTGCGCACTCTTCTCTCAAGGTAGTCTGCATTTATTTCTAATTTGTGTCACTATGCCTTTTAGTTACGTTGTTAACAATTAAACTGTCAGCCAAACTTGTTAATGGTACTGCTCATTTTAATACAAAAGCACATATACTTCCAAGAAAATCATGTGCAGGGTCTTTCAGTAATCTCTCAATGTTTCAAGTTTGTTTATTTTTGTTTGATTCGATGGTGATAGAAAAATTAATTGAGAACTTATTGTAACAGAATGTCGATTGTAGCTAATGGAGTGTGTCTTAGATGATCTGTCTAACTTCCTGAACTTAGCAATACCAATTGTAGGCTGAAACATAGTGTTTTAATTTGCCTTCATTGCACCATTAATGAGTTTCTGATACTTTTTTTATACTTATTACTATTGATTTTGTGGAAATTTTAATTCTCTTCTTTGTAAAGATCAAAAGTTAACTATTTATTTTCATACAGATTGGAGTAATCTTATTTTTTAGCCCTTATTGTTTCTGTCTGTTGCCTAAGTGAAAGTTTAACACTTTGTGTAGTGTTAGTCATTTGTTTTCACTTAAACCTACCTCTTACTTAAGTAATAAATCATGTGAGTAATTAGTGAATGGTTTGATCAGTGTCACTTCAATTTTGTAATATACAGATATGTGATGTTCGCAGTAAGCTTTACTTAGTACAGTAGTTGAGTGTTATTCTGAACAGTATTGTGAAATTCTCATTTTGATTTGAGGTCTTAAGCCTTGGAGACACAATTTGTTTTTTGGTGCTTGATGTTGTCGTTTTAATCCACTATCTTTAATAGTGGTGGTTATTGGCTTAACTTTCTCTTTTGGGGTATGTGAAAATTCTCATTACAGTCAGTATACTTAAAAACCATGATGGTTGCTTTTATCCTCTATTTTGCATTTGATTGCAAGCTGATTTTGCATGGTTCCACATCAGTCATTTGTTCCCATTGTTCTGATTTAATTCATCCACCTTGTTCTATGAACTGATATGTAGTTGGCATGTAACTCATCATTATTCCATGTTTGCAGGGTGCAGCATTGTCTCTTCTAGACCTACATGTATTTTCGATATCTTTTTTTTTTTTTTTTTAAAGGGATAAGTGATGTTATCAGATATCCAATGGGCATAACGTAAAGGTGCTATTACTGATTTGTTTTTTGTTGTATTTTTTTTTCTCTTTAAGTGAACAGAATGTTAGACTCTTGACAGCTCTTGTACCAACTTTATAATTTATGATTTTATGAAATCACTGTGAAGGATTTCTGCCAGTTCATAGTTTACTGTAAGGCGTTTTGTTTTTTTCCTGTTTGGAAAGGTGAATGATCTTCGAATTTGCTTTTTTTTATTTATCTTGAAAGCTAGTGATATAACTTTACTCAATTATCTGTAGGGTCTATGTTATTTGGGCTTTTACTGTGTACTTTGATTATTTATTATGAAAATTTTCAAAATTTAATGTTGTATTTCATGTCTAGTTTATGTAGAAGTTTTGTTATTTTGTTTTGACTAGGAAGAGTGATTATGTCATTTGCATTTTCCAGAACTTTTGAAGGGACAATCCATGAGATCAATATCATATGGGCCTCTTACACGATGGTAAATGAATGGTACATTAAGTACTTCTTGAGGCATATTTCATTGTTTTATTGGTTGTGACAGTTTATTAGCAAAAGTTCGTTGTAATTGTGGACTCATTTGTAAAAACCGTTTAGGTGCATTTCATTATGTAGTGAAAATCATGGTGCAATGCTCGAACCCATCTTGTATTAACATCTTAAGTGATGTTTTTCTTCTTCTAAGTTCTTGTCCCCATATAGTAGTTGATTTGTAATGTTTATGATGAAAACTAAGTACAAATTATTATTACTATTTGTAGATTATCCTGATTTAATATTTAATGTTGAGTAATTAAAAATTAGAGTGTGATGTTTCCTTATTTTCTCTTTCAAATTGTTAACATTCATTTCTTTTAAAATTTCCATTTTGTAATTTTTCATTGCTTACTCTTACCATACAGAAACCAAGTGGGGGAAAACTTTGGCCTTCGTTCTAATGTTATGCCAAGAGAAACTTTTTAAAATCTTTTATGAAATAGAAGAGAAAATTATCTTTCTAAATATTTGTGCTTAATTTGACTGCCATGAGCTTACTGAAGGTTCTGACACGTGAAATCCTTGGGGTGCTGCATTTCTGGAAATAGGTTTCGTTTCTCATGTTTTGAAGAGGTTCACTGGTTGATTTCAAGTGCCTTAGCTTTCACAAATGGCTTTGTCTTGAAAAGGCATCTGGTACCTGTTGGCTGTTATTAAGTAGTAAATAATGTTCCACATTCCAAGCCCAAAGCTTCAAACTCATTTGCTTTTTGTCATTGTCCGGCCCACCTCATATCCTGTAGAGTTAAACACCTTTCAAAGTAACTCTCTAATGAGTCTTTGGTGGCTTCCTCCCAACTAAGGTCTTGATTTTAAATTGGGCACGAAGATTAAGCTTCCTTTTTAATAACAAAAGATTCTTCAAGCAATACTGATTTGCGTTGAAAAGACCATTAAGATTAGTGCCAGGCATCTAGTCAGTAAATTTGTAAGGTGGCAGATGCTGTTGCAGATTGTTTTGATTCCTTCACAGGAGACAAGTAAATGCTCTAAAATTAAAAATTTTTATGCGGTTTAAGCTGCTTACAGCACCTCCTTGAATATCATATGGCAATGAAATTGTTTGTTAAAAGTTCTAAAGTATATGATTGAAGGAAATTTGTAGGTTTTAGATGTTGTTTTATATGTTTTATATGAGTTTTTCTTTCTTGTTTTCATGATGAAAACATGACTATTTTTCAAAAGATAAAAATCAAGTTGAGTGAATGTTAAGTTTCTTATAGAGTTTTATGAGACTTTCGTCAGAGTTGCACTTAGGTTGTGAACTTCTGCCTCTTAAAGGAGTGTAAGAAATGGAATTATGTGCCTTGTGATTATACCTTTGTCACTGATCAGAAAGTCGAAAGTTGGCATGTCCTTTTAAATAAATATTATTTTTTTGTGAATTTTCCGAACAAAGCAAGTCAGTTAAATCAACTTTTATACCTTAAGATCATGAATAACAAGCACAGGAATCCATATCTGCTCTTATGAATGCATGATATACACGGGTCAATATGACCTTTATCGAATGGCTAGTGTTTGTATTGTACAGAAGATATGTGATACAATTATGTTTTTCATCGTTGCCAGTTTGTAAATCCTCATTTTCATTTTAATATGCTTCCTGTTGTGACCTTGAGCTTCTGTATGATTGCAGTCAAGGCTTCTGTGAATTGGCTTATATTATAATTATTGTAACAATTTCATGGTGTATTTTTTTCCCTTTCTTTTTATGAGAAGTAGGGTCTATGTAGGTTTTGCTCCCAGCAATGTGTCTGGTACTATGCACAATTGTCTTGATTCTTTAGTACAGGTTCATTTATGATCTACATGTGTGATGATATTAGTGCCCTGGTATCTTCTTGATGTCATGTTCTTGTTTAAAGCAGTTCTTGTTAGAATTAATAAAGCACCTGTTCAAAAGTGTACTCCATTTTGTTTAATTTCTTGCCCTCAAACATTGTCCTTAAATACGTATTCAACACAAAAAGAGACAACACAACATTTTGAATATCACCGATTTTGTAGGTCTAAGATTTCTCAAGCCTTTCCTCTTAACAAAAGAACCTTCCATTTCACAAAAATAAAAGTAAAACAAAGCGGTTATTACAACGCAGTCAAATTTACAAAGTGTCATGGGCTTGAGAGGGAAAATGGAGAGGGGGAATGCCACCCTTTAAAGCCTGCGCGCCCTCCTGGATTTGATGATCCTGGTGGAGGCGGTGGAGGCCGTGGAGACGGACGACGCGGAGGCCGCCGACCTAGCGGAGACCCTGGAGGCGGAGGTGGACACGGTGGTGCCACTCGCCTTGCGTGCCGTGGCCGTGGTCCGGGAGGTCGCCTTTTTGGCCCCGGCGGCCCCGGCAGCCCTGGCCTTCGCCATGGCCCTGGCCAGGGGCGTCGAGCTGGAGGCGGAGGCAGAGGCGGCCTTCCTGGCGGGCACCGCGGGCACGCCGCGCGAGGCTCCGGACTGCTGCCTGGGCGGCAGCTTGAAAGAGCCCGACGCCCCGCGACCGCGAGTCTGCACCACGACGCCGTCGCCGACGGCCGAGCGCAGGAACTTGCGGATCCGGGGCGCGCGGTAGCGCATGTCCACCTGCGCAGACAAACAACGACGTCATGCACGCTGCTCGAGAGATGTACCTCAGAACCCACTCGAGAAAGAGGCAGTCACCTTGTAAACGGCCTCGATGTATTTCTTGATATTGTGCAGGGACGACCCGGTCCTCTCGCCCAGGGTCTTGATGGCGTCCTTCACCATGTCAGCGGTGCTGGCCTTCTCCATTTTTGATCTTTTCTTGGGGAGACCTGGTCTTTGTATCTTGGCTGACGGTTTATTTATGCGTCCTAGCAGCGGTCAGACTGCCTTTGCATCCATGGATACACACTGGGACTTCCCTCAGCAAGCCCCATTCTTGCTGAGCTATTGCCCGTTTCCCAGGTGAGGGAGTGTTTGATCTCTCTGCATCGCTCTGGCACGGGGGCTGGGTCAGACTGGGGCCTGTTAATACATTTTCTGAAATTCGGAGAGTCCAGCTTCGGTCTAGCTGAATATATAAATTTAAAACGTTGGGATTCGAACTCCAGACCTTCGAGTTGATGGAACGGAGCTCTACGGCTTCAGCTACATGTTGCACAGATTGTTACCAACATAACATGGTCCCATACACAACACGCGCTCGCGCACATCATACAATACAACTATCTTTTAATCAAAAAAAGAGATTTTTAATCAAACGGTAAATTTCAACGCAAAAATTCGAGAGTGTTCTTGATTGGAGAAGAAATTATTTCGTTTCAGATTGTTGGCTAATCTGGTGATTATTGGCAGCTGCAGCCACCTGCTTGTCGTCTGCAGCTGTAGCAGAAAGCTGTCTTCGGAGGTGTTGATGTTATTTATCTTCGCCAGCACAGGATCGGAGCAAGAAATCAACAGTTTGGTTCTCTTAGTTACTGCATGCACGTAATTTAGAACCACAACACCTAAAAGTGGCTCCAACGTCTCTTTCAATGGAGAAATTCGCGTCAAAGCCAGCCATACGTGACAGCTTTGACGAAGAGGATGCCAGTGACGATGTCGACGATGAAGTATTCATTCGCGACGGACGAAATGGCTACAAAATAGACGAGGAATGCGGTGTGAAGAAACCTCTCATGCCTCTGCGGAGGAGGCCAAAGCCAAAACACACAAAGTTTGTGTCCAACTCCATTCAAGAACCAAGGAGGAGGCTAAGGATGCTTTTAGCTCCCTGTTGCTATGGTGTCGCGGCGCTGTCAGTACTTCTAGGTTGGCTGTGAAACTACATTACTTTATGGGTTCGCCTTTTCCTAGACCTGTATGATGACATGGATTTATTTTTTTGGTTCACCACAGGACTTATGGCTCTTTCTGTTGTTGTCATCAACTACTTTTCTCTACCTCTGAGTCGAATACAACTCTGGTTTGGAAACAATAGTCAGCCGTCAGTTAAAAAACTTACCCCTTGCACCGAGTTTGCTATCTCAGATGTTTGGGTGCAATCTTTTCCCAAGCTAACATCTGAGACAGCTGTTAGACTGAATGATGTAAACCATGACGGTGTTTTAGATATCATTCTTGGATACGGGACAGGTTGGCTGTGTTCTGAAACTGCTGTTATGAGCTACATTTGCTGTTTGTTATTTTTATTTTATCTCCCTTTTCTTTTCGTTTTGTTTTTTCTGCTTTTCAGTGTTGGTTTATGCTGCTTTCCAGTAGCTGTTGGTTTTTTTTGTTTTAATAGCGAGCAGTTATTGTACAAACTATTACCCTTTTCATATGCCTATGTGAGTTATTTTTTGCTTTTTATTTATTTTCTTGCTAGCTGTCTTGTTAAAACAATGAGAAACATGCATGTTTGCTATCAAGTACTATACAATATTTTGGATATTCATAACTTTTTCCCAACAATAATTTCAGGTACTGACGGAAGAAATGTGCCAGACTTTGTATGTATGCTATACTTCAGGCGTGAACCACCTTGCCTAGGAGGTATTGTTGCTCTTGATGGCAAAAATGGAGAAGTTGTGTGGCAACACTGGGCACGGCGTCCCATTTTCTCAGTTGATTGCAGTGCTGATCTCACTGGAGATGGAGTCAATGATTGTCTTATTGGAGGAAAAGGCGGTGTAAGTATTGACTTTTGTCCTGATTGTGACAGTTTAGTTGTTGTCTTGTCAAGACTTAACATGATGGGATTGAGCTTTTTCAGCTGCTTCATGTTGTGAATGGTCATGATGGAAGCTTACTTTGGCACCTTGAGGAGCAGCTTGAGCGCCAGCCATCTGAAGTGGCCCTTGATGTGTATTCTGCTCAATATATTCCAGATATTGACAATGACGGTTTCATTGATGTTATTTCTGCTCATACTGTGTCTGATATATCAGGTATCCAAATTAGTGCTAGAGTTTGTACCAGAGTTTGTTCATCTTCAAAGTTATAAATATCATCTCTTATATTTCCAGGCAACACTGTCAAGGGCCATCTCATCATCATAAGTGGTAAAGTAGGAAGGATTTTACGCATGATTGAAATGCCTGGAGGATCTGAAAGCTACTACGCCCCACAGTTGCTTGTCCAACCTGATGGAAAAACTATTGTTCTTATTGGTACTGGTGGCACAGCTAGCCACTCATGGGGAGGCTTGCATGCTCTCTCTCTTAACCAATTGGCAGGAACAGATAAGATTCCAGTAAGTTATAGCATATGCTGTCAATATTGACAATTAGATTGTAATCATGTGACAGCACATAAATTTTGTTGGTTTATTACAGTTCCAAACCCTGGTTACTAGTGACTCTCGTGGAGTGATGTCCCCACCAGCACTTGTTGACATCAACCAAGACGGTACTGAAGATATAGTGGTTTCTCTCTTCAATTCTACTGTAGTAGCTGTTGATGGGAAAACATTTAACACTTTGTGGAATTACACATTTCCTGACTCCCAAACTTTGAGGTATAAATCTAGCTACATCTTCTAAAGAATTTTTTATCTGTTTCTGTTAAAAAACAACAAAGTGAAAAACAACTTGTATCTTTAATTTTCTAGCTCTCCTACACCAGGGTATTTTAATGATGACGAAGTGCCAGATTTTCTTATAAAGTATCAAACAGGCCCTGACTTTCCTGTTTACTTCTATTCCCAGGTGCAGTAGCTTACTTATTGAGCATACTTCCTGAATCTTCTATTACCTTTGAGAGTTACAATCATATTTAATTTTCTTTGTCTCGATTTTTTGCAGATGAATGTACTTGATGGGAAAACAGGTTTGCCCTTGCTTGATCACCCTGTCATTGATTCAGTTGGGTCCCAAATGGGAGGATTGTCTTTGAGCGTGGAAGGTCAAGGTAATGACTGGTTTCTCTACTGGACTGCTGATTGTGTTGGACATGAAGGTTCAAAAACACCATTTTCTTTTGCCAAAGGTAGTCAACCTTCTACTGTTTTTTCAAAAAATACTGATTTTTATATCTTGGTTTGGGGTCAGGATTGGATTATTGCAAATGTTGTGTCTTTCCAGGAAGTGACATAGTAGCTCAAAGCCAAGCTGATGTCTGCCGCCTACGATTTAACAGCACAATGGTAGCAAAACTTTTGGCCATTAATCAACACATCAATGTACCTGGCCATCCTATTTATTCCTCTGGTAAGTAGAATGCAGGATGCGTAAAACATGACTTTTTTCCAAGTACTATTATGATTGTTCTTCCATCTTTGTATAATGCAGACAGACGATATTCAACTGAATATAATAACTCCAAACTGATGATCGATGAAGCAGGGCAGTATCTTGCGTCTCACCCAGATTTTTGGAACTTATTTGGTGCTCAAGAAGATTTATTGAAACAAACTAACAGGGATGCATACACAGAAGACGAAGTTAAGCCAAGTGAGTCAAGACTCCAGCACAGCGAAAAAAATCTTTAATTTTCATCGTTTCTGTTATTTAATTGCTTTCTTCCAGATGACAGACAACCTGTCCCATATGGGAATCCCACTTTTAAAGAAGATCAAACCAAAGTCCCTTTGTCTGGTAGAGGCAGAAGTGGGAAAGACAGAGAACCTGATGAGGTGGGAGAGGCTGGTTACTCACCCATGCAAATGCACCAGACTGGAAAGCACCAGAAACCATACAGCAGTAGACCTGGCTCAGAAATGCAAGATTGGCGGCTGGATGAAGCTTCGAAAAGTAAGTGTATTTATTATGGCTTCTGTCATGACGAATTCAGACAAAATTTTTAATTTTGTATTTGTGTTCACTTGCTAAAATAATTGTTTACCAACCAGGTTTTGGTTCTTTATATGAGCCCCGTACTTCGGACAATTTAGATACAGACTATGAAGCTCCTATATTGTCAAATGTTGACCCTTCTCTGCAAATGGATGGTGTACTCAATCGCTATCTGGCAGATGGTGGAAATGAGCAAGGAGGAGCACCCAGGCCTCAATCCAATTTTGGCAATATTTTCCATGAGCAACGAAGATCAGGTGTGCCTCTCAGTTTTAATATTGTAATGAATATAATTGTTGCAGTACCTGCAAAGCCTCTTTCCACATTTATTGTAGTATAAAAATAAAAACTTCTCCTTTGATTGACATTCATGATTTTTTTTCATTCACTCTCTCTTTTAGGAAGAAGAAGAATAAAAAGAAGTGGGATGGAAAAAGTTCGAAGACTGAAGAAAGATATGGTAAAATCATTCAGTGGAGACATAAATTTTTTGAACGTATCTGATGGATCACATATGGTGCCAACTGGGATTTATCCCATCACTTCCACAGGTTGGTTAAGTTCATAAGAAATTCTCAAACAATTGAAGCCTTATCAGTTAATTTGTATTCCTCTTTCCAGGAACTCTTGCACCAGCTATATTGGGATCTGGTATTGATCTGGTACTGGTTTCTTATTGGATCCCTCCAAGTGATGGTGTCCAGATTCTCACTGAGAAAGACATCGAGTGCATGAAACAGGGGGTTGCACGGGCAAGGGCAGCTAACGATGACAGTGGTGAGATTAAGACTCTCTTTTCTTCTTATAATTTTTGTTTGCAAAAAGGAAAATTAATTATGTTTCCCTGGTTAAATATCGAATTTCAGATCAGGAGTCCTTAGAAATGGCGGTAACTGCAGAGTGCCTGTACCAACGATTTGCTTCAATGACAGCACAGGATTCATCGACACCCAATGATGGACGACGATTAGAACCTCACCCAGGTTTTATACCAAAGGTTAATCTTAGAGCTACTTCTTCCTACAAAGCACTTAACTTACGATTAGGGCAGCTTACTGTTTATCGGTTCAACCTGCAATGTAAATGCAGAGGTGAACCAGAATCTTGTGCTAAAATTCTCCCATTCAGTCAGCAAAGCTGGCCCTCATTCATGGGCCGTGATGGGAAAGGGTATTTTTACCCTAAATAAAGTCTAAAAAGAGTTATTTTTATTACATATTGCCAATAATGTCCTAATTTTTTTTGTGAGTTGTCATTAATTTAAGGAATCTAGAAAGTGACAGGATAGAATTTTTGGCAGAATCAATTTATTAACTTCCAAATTTAGCAGTATTGAGTTTCCTCTCTTTTTGACTCTGCATATCTCAGCACCTGTGCCTTATTCATTAGTTATAAAGCTTATTTTTTCGTTTTACTGTTTTTGATTGTAAGGTGGGATGTTTGACTTGATACGGGTGTAAATAACCATGTAGCCTCAGGCCTATTCATCGTTATAGAAATAAGAATAATCCCTGTTTGTGTGTAAGATGAAAGTAGATTAGGTCATCAGGAACATATTTGCGAGACTTTATGCCAAACCTTCCATGTGATAAGTTCTCTTCGATTGTTTTCACTTATCCATCCTCATAACATTAATATATTTTTACTATTAATATATCAAGGGTATGCACTGTTCTCTAAGGAGACTTTTGGCATAAAGGCACAGATAGCAGTTCTATTTTTAAAGTATCATATCTAAACTGTTTCACTAGAAATGATTTGGTTTGTCACCTTTGGGCTAATATTTACCATTGGAAAATGTAATAGGCACTTTTCAAGCTTTTATTTGGAATTTCAGCATCTATGGAAAGCATTCTACATTCTTGACTCCTAAAATAATTGCAGTAGAATGATTGCTCATGGGATTGAGTAGTTGGAATAAGTCTGATAGGTACATTTAACTTTTTCTACTGGCAATGAGATTTCAAAATAACTTCAATAATTTGTTTTGCTTGCCTACCTAGTTGTTTTGATGACAATATTGCTTTCTACTAAAGTCATCCCCTGCCAGCACTACTTGCATACACTTGGGTGCATTGAAGCTGTGTAATCCTCAGTTTTCCTTTCTGGAAGTTGGGGAAAAATAAACTTTTTGTAAAAGATGTAAATAAAATTTATTGTCTCCTCTCGTGATTAAAATAGATGTTTGTTTGATGCAGAGTACTATTTTCACAACCTGGTTGACCCTTAAAATGTACAAATACAGGGAAATTTGTCATGATGTCATGTCATGATGCCATAGTTTACTTCTGACACAACAATTGCCACCAGTTATCACAGACATAGTTTGAGGAATAAGAACCTACTTAGTCACAAAGATTCTGGTAAAGTATTATTAACATTCTGAATGTAGAAGACAAGACATCAAATACCTCATACATCTATACAGTACGGCAGTCTCATTCCATGTCTCATAATCTGAAAGTCTTACAATAGGTCACTAAATAGTTAAAAATATAATTTAAAAAAATAAATAAACTAGTTCTACATTTTTGTAGGCATTTGTAAAAGCTTAAAAACTTAAGTACCTTCGTCTGGCACAAGAAGATTAACATTGGCTCCTGTTGTTACAGTGCCAATATATGTTTCTTCCATCCCGCGAACTGATAAAACTTCTTGAGTTAGTCCCACTTTCCTTTCACGGATCATAGCAGCTTTCTCCCAGCGGGATCCACTGCAGTTGGAGCAAGTTACAACAGGAATCAATGTGAGACAGACTGTTCTATTACCACAGTCACCACATTTGAAGAATCGCTTTGTAGCATCAATAACTTTCAGTGGATGGCGTTCAGTTTTACAGAGTTCTGAGGCTGAGAATGCTGTATATTTGCAGGTAGAACAACGAACAGCCTTACACTCAACCCTGAATGTGTTCAACATTTTTTCTTCCATTTGTTCCTTTTTCTCTAGTTTTCCAAAATACTTCTCCTGTGCTTCATCTTCAGCAGCATCTACAAGGTCAGCATGCCTAGATGTTGCCTCCATGAGTTCCTTAAATCTTGCCTTCCTAGCTTCGGCTTCCTTGTCTTTGTCCAATTCTTGAAAATCTGCTTTGAATTTCTTGAGTAAGTTTGTTGTAGGACTAGTTTTTTCATCACGTGGTCGCTTAGCTAACTCTGCTTCCTTGGCAACTTTTTTTCTGGATCCAAACTCTCGGAAATTAGGATCTTCCTTTGATATACCTCCTTTACGTTTGATAAGATTAATAGCATTCAGTTTAGCAGCCTGCGAAATTTTCTTGCTAATTGGAGCATCAAGATCAATACTTGAAAATGAAGACAAGCCCCTGCCAAGCTTAGGCGATGAATCTGTGAAACTAGTCAAGTCAACCTTGGGCCTGACTGGGGCAGAACTGCGACCCAGCCCGAGCATGGATGGAGTAGCATTTGGGCAGAGTTTTGCTGCTTCCTCCTCCAACGCTGCTTTTTGGGCGGCCTGTTTCAGCATTCGACTTTCCAAATCCACTCCATTAGATGCTATTTTCAACAGTTGATCTGAGCTCAAAGGGGCAGTGGTAGGTTTGTTGTTCGACCTTTTGTTGCTTGTCAACTTTGAACAAGATTTTGGATTGGGCTTGATATTACTCTCAGAGGTGGCAGATTCCCCAGTCTTACATTTATCTTCTTTCTTGGGTGGAACAATAGCAGCACTATTAGTTTCTTTCTCTTTCTTAGATGGAATGACAGCAGCACTACTAGTTTCTTTTTCTTTCTTAGGTGGAATAACAGCAGCACTGTCAGTTTCTTTTCTCCTTGAGGTAGCTTCGTCACTTGATGCAGATCTTCCCAATCCAAGAGAGGAGGCTTTGAAGTCACCAGTACTTTGTCTCTTTTTGTTGAGAGCCAAAGTGGCCATGACTCCTCGTGATTGAGGCACACTTTCAGTCATGACAGCTGCATCCTTCATGACAGATGATGATGATGAGGGATTGTTGTCTGGCTCTGCCACACTTGGAGCATTGCTACTTGTTTTCTTGGCAATCAAAGCCAAAGCAGCACTCTTGGCATCATCTGGTTTCACCTCATCAGGATTATATTTGGCTGTCACAATAGAACTGCTTGTTGGCTTGGATAGGGCTTTACCATCATCCAAAATAAGTTTCCGCAAACGATCTACATCTTTCTGAGATTGGCGATGGCTCAATTCTACAGAGGATGCAATGCCAGTCTTTGCGTGGGATTTCATGCCCAGCAATGATGGACCGCTTGATCTACCTGAGAGAACAGAGAGTCTGTTCTGGTCTCTATCCATGAGTTTTTTACTTTTTTTGGCAGGAATAGCAGAGAAGCTTTGACCTCCATAGAATACCTCGTTTTTACCCAGCACTTTATTTCTAAGATTTGCTAAACCTGGACCATTAAAGGTGGACTGCAGCTCAGATCTTCTTGAGCATTTTTGATACTCTTGTTTAACATGATAAACACAGTATTCACAAAGTGCTGTGTTCACAACCGAAGTACAATTCTCTCCATTCTTCTTTTTAGATTTGCAAAGTCCAAAATCTTTGGAAGTACCCAAGATCATAACTCTGTCAGAATTATCAACGGATAAACATGCTTCATCACCATGGTTTCTGCTGTTGTCCATCACACCAGGATTTAAAATCCCCAAGACGGTACCGACAGAATCTTTGCCGTGGTTTTTAAAAGCACTGGAAAACAAAAATAAGGACACTATTCTTGGATTTCCAGGTCCTCTGAGGTCACTCAATTTTATGATACTGTAATTGGAGCCTTTAGCCGAGGTTCTTGGCGGAGCCTTCGAAATGATTACTCCAAAAATTACCCAGTCATCAGTGATTTTCCCGTCAGAGGTAAATTGTTTTACTTGACTCATTGATATAACTTTTCTCCCAACTAGTCTTTCTTTGATGACACTAGAAGACACTAGAGGGTTGATGATCCTGATACCAATAGAAGAGTCAGTGTATGCATCCATCGGCCCAGTCTTGTTCTTTTTATCTGGAAGACTAAGCGTTCTAGAACCTTTGGCTACTGCTGCTGCTGGTGACTTCCATGAGGGCATTTGAGAGAAGAGGCTCTTGCCTTCTGTCAAACGAGGAGCAGTTCTCTTCTCTTCCTCCGCAGTCTTGAGCATCCTTTTAACACTTGCCCCAAAATTGTCAACAGTGCTCCCATGTTTCCTGGCCTCTTCATCATCCGAAGAGTCTGTGTCCCCCGAGTGGAGGGAGCAGCCCCTGTTGCCCTTTCCCTTGACAGCTTTCTTCGGTGGATCTTGGTTGTTGAACTGGCCCGTCTTGTCACTGAGCTTGCCCTTAGAAGATGTACTGACGGGTATCTTGTCCAGGTCTTCAAGGAATGAATCAAACGACTGCTCCTGTGCAGGCCCTTTTTCGGGTGGAGGAGCTTTGCTGGAAGAGACAGGGTTTACGTCATCTTTTTCAGCCATCTCCAGAAGCTCCGACAGCAGGTTAACGTCTATGTCTTCGGTGTCCGACATTTTTGGGGAGGTCACTAAGGAAAAAACACACATACAGAGAGGCAATAAGTCAGCTTAGTGCGACGAGCTAGAACGTTAACGGAGACACAAGGTGCCACGCGACATTAAATATGTACCTGGGAAAGAGGAGCCGTTGCACTTCTGCTATTGTCTGACGTGCATTTTCATTTGCCGCCTTTCACGAACGGTGTCACTGCTCGCAGGATATGACCCACTATCGGCACGACGCACCGCCTTGTGGTCCTGCGTGTCGCACGTCATTTCTTCTTCCTCTTGGTCTTTTTTCACACCGTGTTCGACGTCGTCGTCGCTGCCGCGACTGCTTAACCAATAATTTGTTGATCGGTTTAACAATTATGGCGATTTCTGTGAAATTAGGGGTTTTGAGCGTGGCTCTCGTGCTGGCGATTTTCGCCGGCACAGCGTATTCTCGCAGCAAAGTGATAACCTTGGACGAAGACAACTGGGATGTGATGCTGGAGCAAGAATGGATGGTGGAATTGTACGTGGTGTCAAAGTCTCGGCCGGCTGCCTTGCCTAGCCTGTCAAAGTTCTGCCTTGAATTTTAAACATTCCCCATAGGGATTATGGACTCATCTTCAACTTTGAGCCCCTTACACAAGCCATCTAAAGCAAAATACCTTATCGAACAAAGACAATGGGAAATAAGTCTTCCCTTACTCTTTGTTGTTTTTGTTCTTTCTTGTTTTCATTAGGTTTTCTTATCAGTTAATACAATTGTTTCAGTTATGCTCCGTGGTGTCCTGCTTGCCGGGCTCTTGAACCCATATGGAACGAATTCTCCACATGGAGTGAAGAACTTGGACTTAAAGTTGCCAAAGTTGATGTGACAAACTCTCCAGGATTGAGTGGACGATTTATTGTTACTGCTCTGCCAACAATTTACCAGTATGTTTAATTCACATGTTTTTTGAATCAATAATTTTATGACAACTATATTGTGTCATTCTTGCTCTCATCCAACAGTGTTCTCAATGGTGAGTTCCGTCAGTACCATGGCTCTCGGGACAAAGAGTCTTTCATGTCATTCATTGAGCAGCAGAAGTGGAAAACATTGGATCCCATCCCCTCTTGGAAATCTCCTGCATCCTTCCACATGGGAGCTACTGCCTACTTCTTTAAGTTGTCTCAACTTCTTCGAGTGAGTTCTCTTCGTTCAAACTTCTTATATCATTGGTGATTGATTTTCTGTGATGCTGAGATCAACCCTCATTCTGCAGGCTGTTCACAATCGTTTGATGGAAGAGTACGGCCTGCCAACTTGGGGATCCTACATCATTTTTGCCATTGCCACGATTGTTCTAGGAGCAATCCTTGGATTGGTAAGTCATTTTTAACCAAACTCGCATTAAGTTGCATGTCACTTGTGTTTGTCATTTCACGTCAACCAACATTTGTCTGTTCACCATGTTGCAGGTCATGGTATGCGTGATTGACAATATCATCCCTTGCAAGCCGTCTGAGTCTCAGGCCGGCAAAAGAGTAGGCCCATCGGATCGGGGTGATGTTGTAAGTGCATCCTTGGACTTGAGAGGCAGTGTTTTTGCAAGTTAACTCGACTTATTGTGATTTTTTAATTATTCCAGGATGATTTGGTGGATGAAGAAGGATCTCAAAGTTCTAATGACGAGCGCTACAGCAAGAGCAGTTCTGGTGCAGAAGATGATGAAGATGACGAAGACGATGAAGAAGAGGATGAAAAGTCAGCTGGCAGCGCACCACCTTCCCCTGCTCCAGGAACCCCAGGAAAGGCTAGGCAACGTCGGGCCCGGAAGGCTGACTAAGTTTTTGAATTGTGTTCTGTGGGAGCCCCTGTCTTTTAAATCTTAACCCAGAATGTTACTGTGTCTTTAAAAATTTAACAGGTATTATCTATTTTAACTGAAAGTGAGGGCAGCTATATTCCATTGCAATAAGCAGAGGCTGGTTTTAGGCTGTATTAAAGCTGTAAAGTAATGCATATTGTGGGACCTTGTCACCCATTTCCTTTCTATTCCCGTTATGCCAACTGTTTAGAGGGCCTGATGACATTTCAGTGAATGATAGGGTATAGTTCATTAAAGGAATTTTTTTTTTTTTTTGCTCACTCCCAAAACCCTTAACTTTATCCCCTCAGGAGTTTTGAAGGAATATAGTGAACAATGTTAAAAAAATGGCTCTCACAAATTTGGATTTTTGAAAATGTTATTTCAAGTCAAGCATTGCAGTGAACAAATTGTTGCTAGCTATCACTGCAGCCATGTGTGGATTTGTATGATTTTGTGTGTGTGCTGCCAGATGTCCTCTGTATACATGACCAATTCAATTTTGAGGATTTGTGATTATCTGCACCCATTCCAAGTGTGTTTAATATATTGCTGACAGACCATTAAAGTTGTTAGTGATCTTAATCAAATTAAATGTTCTCTCTTTGTTTTTTTTTTTTTGTTTTTAAAGAATCTGATGATATGACTGAAAGGTGTATGTCCCTTGTCGTGCAAAACTGAAAAATAGCATGATTTGTGCCTTTAGTAATGCACCTTTCTTTGATAACTCTCCCAACAGAAAATGGAGAATATTTGCTTTGCTGACTGATCTTAATCGCTTAAGTGTTATCAATATTACTTCCTTATCCAACAATTACTCAGTTATGTTGTAACTTATGTTTCAGTGACTCAAAACCCATTAGTGGGTTGAACCTAAAAAAAATCTTACATTATGGTACTTATTTTAACAGAAACTTACATTTACCTTTAGTTTCTGTATCAGCTCATTCCTTGTATCTCTTCTCTAATTTTTCTACATTTTTTGTACTCTTTTGCCGTATGTTATTCTTTATTTATTGATTGATTGAGAAGGTAGATGGTAATGTTGCTCTGTTAGTGGCAGGGTCAATGTGGTTCTTAATATTAACTGGGCATCAACCATTGAGTCAAGTATCGTATCACAGATAGAATTAAATATTTTTGAAAATTTGTGTCTGTGAAACTATATGAGAAGCTTCTTCACCTTAACTTTGTTTGCTGGTGTGCCAGTATTACATTTTTTTTTATTACTGGATTTTCAGAGTTTTTCCAGGCAGTGTATTGTTTTAAAATAGAACTGTGATATTCTGTACTTCCCTAGGTTGTATCTCACAGAACCTTTGTGCCGCTAATATTTTTGAAGTCTTCATTCCATCTTTGACTAATGTTTGAGGAATTTGTGTGTTGAAATGAAATCTTACCGATTTCTATAGACACATCCTCTTTATCCTGGCAGTTCTGAGTAGTCATCACATAATCCTGAAAGGCCTGATTTGTCATTGATAAGTGATTTTGTGTCTGTTAAAAATCGTGCTCAACTACATCAGCTGTTCTATTTTAAACTGATGGCTTTCATTGTCCATAATTAGATCTTTCTCATATTATAAAGAAAACTTTTTAAAATATGTGATGGAAAAGTAACATAAGAACATATATTTTGTTATGCGCAAAAAAAACTCTACAAATTAATTTCAAAATTTGGAGGAACATTAATTTTTACTTCTTTTAACCACTTCTGAGTAATTGTTCTCGATTTTATGGATTATAAATATAGAAAGATAACTGAAATATGAATCTTTTATTTATGTTGTTTAGAAACTTGGACAAGATGTTAAGTCAATCTAAGTTTTTAATGTTACCTCATTGTTTATTGTAGTTGTTCATTGAAAGTATGTTTGAGGAATTGAATTCTTTAATTGTCAAGATTCCATTGTAAATAAATAAGTTCCTCTTTAATCTACTTTTTTCTTCTTCCCTGTCCTCCTCTGGGCACACATTGATTGGGTAACACGTTCGGTCCGAGTCCCATTTAGCGACTCTAGACCTCAAAACGTGTCTAGAATTTTGACCGCCTTCACCGGTCTCCTGGCAAATGCACTGTTTGTGCTTGGTTGGCGCTTGGCGCTCCCCCCGGTGCTGCCGCCTGGCGGCGCGGCGCGCAAACGCGGGAGGGAAGGTCCGTGCCGCTGTGCCGCGTGTTGCCGGTGCCGGTTCTGCCGCTTGCCTTGCCGTTGCCGCCGTCCGCACTCAGTCTTGCTTGAAGCTTCAGGGCACCAGCGCGTCGCAGCGCCGCAGCGTCGCGCCGAAGCGAACCGAACCGTCCGCCGGGAAGCGAAGCGCGAAGCGCGTTAGTTGCGTTTGGTGTTGGTGTTATCGGGAGGGTGCTGCATCGCTGTCTCTCTCCTCCGTTATCTTATCACTGCAGACTTCTCATAGTCGGCTGTCCTGTGTTTACCACGCTGTCCTCTCTAAGTCTGGAACCCAGTGTCTCGTTCAGCATCGAGTCGGTGTCGTGATTGTTACAAGTGTGTGCCGAGGCCTAGGCCCGACCTGTGGATTGCAATTGGATTACTTTTCCCCGATTCCCCACCGAGACACAAGATGAAGGCCTGGACACTCGCAGCTCTTCTGATCGCCGCCGTTCTGGCAGAGAGAGGTGCGTAGGAGGCTTGTCATTTCAGAATTCCTTAATGTCACTGCAACTTTGTAAGGCAAACTTCGGTTCGTACTCCAATTTTTGAACTAAGGCACAGGAGTAATATTCCTCCACAAAATTAGAATGCCTTGATCAGACCGACAGAAGCTTGGTCGAAGCTTGGTTCCAAATTTTTTTTAAGGCCCCGCGTCAAACTCATAAGTTTGGGGAGATTTGTCGAGTCGCTTAACCGAGGCCGGCAGCAGCCTGCGGTGCTCTACAAGGGTGGCGACGCGAAGGGTGCGCGCCGCGCCTCGGGGTGGGGAAGGGTTGAGGTGGCCGCGACGACGCCGACGACGCCGACGACGCCCCCGGCAACGCCTGCGCCGCGACCTGCGTGTCGTGGGAAGCTGGGCCCGGCTGGGGCCCTGGCCCGGGGCTGCCGGCTGCCCTCGTGGGGACACAGTGGGGACACTGGCCGAGACAGAGACAGGGGGAGATTAGACGATTGAGGTGGGGATGAATCGTTTGGCAGCCAGTGACCGCGGGGCGGGGCGGGGCGGGGCGGGGCGGGGCACCTCTCCAAAGGACAAGGGCGGTGCATATCGTTAGTGCAATAATGCGGCGAGGACTTGAGCTGCGACGGTTTTACAACGAGGAGATTATTGTGGGTTTGTGCTGCATCCTCCTGTATCGGCAGCCGGGTGATGGATTTGGGGTGCGGGCCCGAAGAGACAACACCGGGCAGGCTGGGCTGCGCCATGGCTGCGCGCTGCGCTATGTTCCCCCCGGCCGTCTATTCACGTCGCCTGGCCGTGCCGTGCCGTGCCACGCCCTGCCCGGCTCACACCTTGATTGAAGGTGTGTGCTCCGCTGCGCCACGCTGCGCCATGCAGTCCCTGTCCCTTGTTCGTCTCGGCTCGGCTCCGTCTTACCTGGCGGCCCGGCGGCCCGGCGGCGAGCCTGTGGGCCTTGTGGGCCAGCACGGCCAGCCCCTGGACAAAGTATCTAAAGGGGGACTGGCTGCGAGGGCTGTCTCAGCGTGCCGAGGCCCGACTGCATGCACCATTGTCAATGGCCCGCCCGACCCTTCTCAAGACGAGCCTGACACAGGTCCGACCAATCGGCTCTACTTCGGCTCCGGTTCGGGCGTCTTCGGGTCCGACCGCTCCAGGCAGCCGCCGGCCGCGTGGCCGAAGGAGCCTCCGAAGGCGAGACAGGCGACCCCGAAGACGCCTTCGGGTCGGACCATCTATCCATCTATCTGGCGGCGGCGTGGATGGCACATTTATGGTAGGGTCGACCCTCCGAGGCTTGCCTCGCTGAAACACAACCAAACCTTACCGCGCTTCCAGTCCCCCTTTAGATACTTTGTCCAGGGGCCAGCCTGCCGCCTGCCGCCACCGGGGTCCTGTGGGTCATCGTGGTCATGCAGGCGATGCAGGCATGCAGGTAGCGGCAGGGCGTCGGGGGCCGTCCCTCAGCCAGGTGGAGGCTTGGAAGGCCGGCCGCGAAGGGGGTGGCTTTGGGTGGCTCAGGATGGCCTAGGCCGACGCCGTCGCAAGGGCGATGCCGCGGGGTCTGTCTCTCTCGCACTCACGGGCCGCCCCGTACAAGTGCGAGAGAGACAGACTCTGCTCGCGCCTTCCGGACGGCCCCTCTGTGGCGCTAGCTGCGGGACCGCGCTCGCTGCATGCGAGTGTCCCCGGCCCTGTCCTGTCAATGGGCCTTGTAATGAGTGGGAGAGAGACGCAGGATGGCTACCGCAGTGTGTGTGTGTGTGTGTGGGGGGGGGTGAGAGAGGCAGCGCTATCTGATGCAGTTGTGCAGCCGGACGACGGTCCCTACGACGGTCCCTGCTCGGCTCCGTCGACTCAACGACCAAACGGCCTCGCGACCGGAGCCCACCGGTGCCTCGCGCGTGCGCCCACCGCTTGGTAGCCCAGCCCTGCCCAGCCCACCCTGCCAGCGAGTCTCTGGCCAACCGGCCAAAGCGATGGAAATAAATGCATCATAAATACAACAACGCACTGGAGTAGTACATATACACTGGAGGGGAGCCCTGCCCGGCCCTGCCTGGGTCAGTCATGTTCGGCCGGTGGTGGCGCCAGCGTGCCAGCCCGGCTCTTAATTGGTTCAGCCAATTTTGTTGTTGTTGTTGCTGCAAGGGAAGTGATGCCACGGGCCTTATTGTGTGCTCAGTGGGCATGAAGGAGGCCTGGTTGGGCTGCAGCAGGCCCCCGATTACGGTTCACGCACGACAAGCGCAGCGCGTCCAGCACACACACACACACACGCGCGCGCGCGGGCACCGTGGCGCCGCATTTAGTACTCGCATTTTCATCCGCAGCCTTTTTCTCCCGTGTCGGTTCACGATGCGTTTCAAACGAGGGAACTGCCAGGAAGAGGGAAAAAAATGTTTCCGTATCCGATTGGCCGGAGGCTACAGCGCGCCTGGAGGATAGCTCCGCGTTCCAGAATCAATCCGGGAGACTGCGGCGGCGGTGACTCATGCAAACCAGCAGAGAGGGCAGAGCGTGCCGCCGCAGTATATGCAGGAATGAAAATAGACGTATTGCCCCGACCTCTTTGATACCGGTTACTCTCGGGTGGGAGGAGTTTCATCTTTACTGCAAGGTGACCTCTCGGCCGCCGCCGCCCGCCCCCGTCCGGCCCCGGCCGCCGTTGCATTTTCTGGCTCCAGCACTCCAGCGCCGCCCGCTCAGCGCTCCGCGCTCCGCCCGCCTGGAACCTGGAACTTTCAAGGTCGGCCGGCTGGCTGTCTGGGTTGGCGGACCTGGCAGCCCCGTCGGGATGCTGAGCCAGTAGCCGGAGATTCCAAGATACGCGGCCTGCCGCGGGGGCGGGGGCGGGGGCGGGGTGTGGGTGTCCGCGGTCCTGGAGACTTCAGATCGGAGCCAAAGATGGGATGAAAAATAATGGTCGGCCAGGCGGGCCGGGCCAGTGTGCCGGGCCGCGGGGACTTGCAGGGACACTTTACAAAACGCCTCCCCCGACGATGCCGACGCCGCCGACGCCGCGCCGCCGACGAGGACGAGGCCTGCCGAACGTGTTTTAGTGCCCCGCGGCAAAAGCCGGCACATCTGCCAATCGCAATTATTTTCCTCCTGCTTTTATTTTTGTCTGGAAACGCACGCGAGAGAAAGGGATGCTCCGTAAAGGCTTGGAGGCGGCCGGCGGGGCGTTTAGTGGCCGGACTTAATGACCAGGGGCATACTCCTGTCCCGATAGCGGTGCCGCGCGGCCATTCAGAGAGTCGCGCTGTCTCTCTCGCACTCATGGGGCGTCCCCTACGGGTGCGAGAGAGACAGAGCGACGAAAACGACTCTCGGAATCGGCGTGCTGGCCGCCGTTCTGCTTGCGCTGCACTTCGCTGCAGGCCATATGGCCCCCGCGCTTGCTCGCCTCGCCACGCACGCCGTGGGCACCCTGGGCCCCGGCCTACAGTGCAGTGCCTGCCTGCAGCCGCGCTTGTGCATCACTGCATCGCCGCCATCGGCATGCCCTATCGCCACGCCGATCGCCACTTTATGGTGTCCTCGCGTGTGGAGCCTGCGCCGCGGCAGCTGCATTCGCTCTGTCTCTCTCGCGGCCCTGCGGAAGGCGCCGCGCCCTGCGGGTGCGAGAAGGACAGAGCGCCTCTGTTCGGAATCAAACGGCAGCGCATTCCCGAACGGGACCCGACGAGCCGAAGGTAGCGGCGTTATGAATTTCGCTGCGACCAAAAAGTGACCAGCCGCTGTCTCTCTCGCACCAGTGCGGCGCACCCATGGAGCCATAGGGGTGCGAGAGAGACGCAGCCCGGTCGGTCTCGGTCCATTGCATTCATTGGATCAGCATTCTGGCGCCCGGAGCCTTGCTCGCCGTTCAAGAACAGAGCGGGGCGCTGCGACACTGGTCCGCCATAACCCCTCGGCGCTCCGAGGTGGGTCCGTGGACCGCGCTGTAAAACCGGTACCATCATTCAGCCTAATGGTTGGCGTGAAAGGAAAAGGCAAGACGGTGTGTTGAATTCTCGCTTGCCGCCATGCGGCCTGGCCCGGCGGCGGGCCCGGCCGGGCCTGCAACTCTATCTCATATAAACCGAAGCCGAGGTTGTTTTTCTGCTGCGTGCCGTGCCTGCCTGGACGGCCTGGACGGCCTGGACGTCCCGCGAACGCGGTAGGGGGTCCGTTTGGGCCGCTTACCTGGCTGCATCGCTTCGCTTCGCTGCTGCACTGCATCGCCTCGCGCGGTCCAGGACGTCCAGGACGTCCAGGACCCGGGCGCGTAGAATAGAACAAGCATCCCATCCCGGCGGGTATCCCATCCCATTTGGAACGAGTGTGGTCCGAGCGAGACGACGCCGACTAGACAGAGTCGCCGGAAGGCACGAGTTGTTGCCGCCCCGAACCGAAACCCTCGGCGCGCCTGCGTGTGAGCGTGTGTGTGTGTTTTCGGAGCGACGGGCGATGACGTGTGAGGAGGTACGATGCACCGTGACGTGGTGGGTGGAGGCAGGCAGTACTCGTTCGTGTACCCTGTGCGCTGAATGGACTGTCCCAGCTTCCTTCCTTTGCAGTTCGGGGCGGCGCGCGCGCGCGTGTGAGTGTGAATGTGTGAGGGGTGGGGGAGGGGCCCTGGCGGCAGGCGGTTGGCGCGCGGGCAGGCGATAGGCAGGTGCGATGTGGCAGGACGGCGACGGCGTGCTGCTCCTCCTCCTCCAGGCCTCCAGGTAGAGCAGCGTGCTGCAGCAGGGGACTTCTCTACGCCATTGTGGCCATTGGACCGACCGAACAGCTGAACGCGGCGGCCTGGGCGGCCTGCAGCACGGCCTCGACGAGCACCACGGCGTGCAGGGCGTCGCACGCGCGCCGCTCCCCAACAAAAGGCCCCCTCACTCCCCACCTGCCTGCCTGCACACTGTAACAGTGCTGCATCTGCGACTTTTTATTCTGATCTCGTTTCGACGAGGCTAGAATGCCGGGAGGAAAATGACGGTCCGGTTCACTCCGGCCGTA